AGAAATTAATTGTTCTTATAATAAACAACAATATAATTTACTAGTATCATGACATTCAAAGTCAATACAAGTTAATATTTGTTATTGTTTCCTGGGTTTCAGGTTATTCAGCTGAGAATGTGATAAACAAATACTATTCAATGGTCAAGCTTAATCTTACTGAAAGAGGGGAAAATATCTAATACAATATCTATTTTCTAAGTTACATAGTAATAATAAAAAAAACTAAATGTCGGAAAGAAAAGTTCTAATAATAATGAAAAAGAAAAATCGATTCATCTTGTAACTGTTTCAATTGAATCATCATAAAGATTAATTCAAGATCCAGATGAAGAGATAAAGATTTATCAATCAATTACTTAATCCATATTAATAATAATACGAAAGATTAAGAGATAAATCCATTTTTCTCTTCTTCTTCAGCATCAACTTTCATTTCATTCTCAAGTTCAATCTGAAAGTTCTGAATCACTCCAAAGACTATTAATGGAATTGTGATTAAAAAAAACTTCACCATCAAAATTTAATCTGTATTTTTATTTTTATGCTATCAAGTGAATTAGTATTGTGAACCGGAAAGAGATAAAAGGTAAAAACGGAAATGGAAACCTGTCAAACAATCATCATCATTTGCATCTAGCAAACAATTGATTCCCTCATGAATTCAGGAATAAGAATCAATAACTAACGGATATGCATGATTCAAAGAAAGATAAAATTCAAATAGAGATATGAAGATAATAATAATAATCATCATCATGAAATTGGAAAATGAATGAGAAAAAGTTTTTGCTTCTAAACTGAAAAAAAAGTAGAAATAATAATAAAAAAAGACAGGATAAGTATTCATTTTCAAGATGATTCAGTAATCATCATTATTATCATGAAGATGATACCGATATTAACATGAAATTTTCTCAATCCTTTTTTATTCACAATGAAAGATGATGATACAATGATAATGATGATGATATTATCATTACTATACATTATTGTTTATCTAATATTAACATGAAGTATTTTCTCCTCTCATGAAAAACTTATTCAGTTCATTTGACTGATGAAAAGATAGAGAAAAGAAAGAAAGAGAGAGAGAAGCAAATTTAACCTTAATATACACTATTACACTTCCTTTAGTCTTTTCATCTACATCTTTCATCACCATCATCTCCATCTTCATCTTCATCCTGATTCCTTATTCAAACCTTAATCTACTTCTTCCTATTCACCTTCACCCACTTCCACCTCCTTTTCATAGCCTTTCATGTTAACTTTGTTATGTTTGTATAAGTAATCATAATAACATACATACACTTTTACTTTATCAGGATATCATTCAGTTAATATTGTTCATTATCATGAAACTTGAGGCTTAATTTTGGCTCATTTCAAATGGATGAAAAATTTTAATGATAAAAATGGACATTAAAATGATAATCAATTTGATTTCATCAAAAATCTTTAGCTGCAAATTAGTTGATTGCTGTTGATACGATTAACTCATTGATCCAGTTTACTGATTAACTTTTGTGAATCAAATAAAATCTGGTTGATTAATTATTTGAATCAATTTAATTTGCACATTTGTTTAAGTTAACTCTGAGTGTTTAGGTTTCAATTTTATTTAATTCCTAACCAGAGATTTACTATCAACAATCAACTTAATTTAATAAATAATTGATCATTAACTTTACTTTGATTTATTTTGTTAAACTTTAATGTTTACATTCAACTTTGTTGTTATCGTAACTTTTATAATTATTATTGTCACAATTAACTGGACATCATCAAGATTAATTGTTGACCAGTAAGTAGGTTGAAAAGTAGTTTGAGTTAATCAGCAAATTATCATCATTTGCTATCGATTGCAATTTAATTCATCTCAAATTGATTAATTAGTGATTACATGTGAACTTTAATCATATAATAAAAACTGCTGACCAATCAACTGAATATCTTTGATTAATTGGGATGAGTAGACAATCAATGAAATATATAAATCATGATGATTCAATAAAATAAATTTCCAACTACAATTAGATTGTTATGGATTAACTCATTACAAGATAATGATAAATTATCTCATGTGGATAAGTTGAATTTGGATGAACAGGGAAGAAAAAGAAGTTCAGTTCTAAACTTGATCCAATTAATTTCATTCTTTAATCACAAATTGATGAAACACCATCAAGATAATTGGAATTCGTTGATAATTGAAATTATGGTTAATCTTTCACCTATTTTTTTCTCAGTCACTTCAATCGTCGCCTATCATGATGTTCATGAATCATAATCAACAGAATATTAATCAAGGAAGAAAAAAACTTTTCAGTTTCGTTTTTTTCTTCTCGTTGATAAATGAAACGTAACTCGAGTAATTGAACATATAACAAGACTAACAATGACTGATGGTTAATCCATGTAAAGTTTTCTTGTTTCTCTGATACCTTCATGATGATGATAATCATGGGAGAACAACAAACCCTCTCTAACAATACCTTGATTCTTGGCTTTGGAACGAGCTTAATCATGAGTAACCATGATGATCAGAAAAGAAGTAAAAAAAAAACCTAACCTCTTTCATTATCTTTAATCATCATCATTTTTTTACCTTCGATTTTACTTTATTCATCTTCCAGAATATACCAAGAATCATGTTTATTATTATTATAACGATGATGATGTGGTGATGATAACAATCATTTACTCAATTACTTAATCATGTTCATCATTTGTGATTCTCTTTCACCAGAACATGATGGAAAGAATAGTTTTTTTAATCAGATATACGAACTTCAATGATCAAACTATAGATGAAGATAAAAAAAAAGTTTCCATATTAATATACAAGAGTAAATAATGATGATAATATTTGAAACAATTCCCTCGATTATTGTTACATCTTAGTTTCTTATGGTGATAATAATGATACTTTTTTTCTGTGTAAAGATGATTATCATGGAGATGTTGATCAAGTCAATTGTGGATACACAATCATAGATATTAATATATATATAAATATGTATATTCTTGTAATGTTAGTCTCGTTGTTATCTTTATAATATTTTTTTTGCTTCTTTCTATTTAAATTGACAGAATTGAACAAACCACAAAACTCCCGCCTAATCATGAATCAAACTACTCTTTGATATTGATTAAGTTTGGAACCTTAAATAAAAATGAGGTTATAATAATTTACATATCCTTAACTTTGGTGTGAACATAATCATCATCTCTCTTTAACTTTACTATCATTATCATGGTGGGAAGAGGAGGTGGAGGAGGATGACAAGGAGGAGGTTAAAGAGGAAGAGGAAAAGGCGGAAGATCTTAGGGAGGATAAAAGTTATTCTAAGGAAATGGGTTACAATAAATATTAAGATTACTGTTTCCTTGGGAGGAAAAACATTGTGTGTGTGTAAAGAATACAAATAAAAGAGAATAGAATATTTGAAAACTGCCCCACCTCAATACCCTCCATCAACATTTTCCTCATCATCAACTTTTAGTCTTTTACCTTTTCTCTAAGACAACATATAATATCTCTCTCTCTCTCTCTCTCTCTCTCTCTTGAATTAAATTCTGAATAGTTAATCATCATTATCTCTCCTTTTTCCTCTTGCTTCTCATGTTGACCAAAATTTCAGGTGAAAATAATTGAGAAAAAAACTAATGGAATATTGTATTTAGAAATGTGAAAGTATAATGTTTATATTTTTTCTCTTCCTTCTCATTTTCTGTTATAATCATCAGGGTGAATAAACGATAAAGAATAAAAAATTTTCTACCTGTTTACGTTTTTCTATTTCTTCAAAACAATTAGTTTTATCCATTACGTTGGAAATGCTAAGAGAAATCTAAAGAAAATGTTAAGTGATATTAATATAATAGAGGATAGAGAGAGAGAAAAAAATTGGTTATATCTTCTTCTGTCTCTTATTCATCTTTCTTCCGATATGATAACTTTCCCATTTCATGGAAGAATAACTCAAATCATCATCACTACCGGAGGAAGACTGAAAAAGAAGATGAAGAGGAAAACAGAATGCAACTAATAGTTGTTATCATCATCTCTTTAGTAAGAAAAAGAAGAGAAGTCTCTCTCTCTCTCTCTCTCTCTCTCATCTTCCAATAATCAAGTTAATGATATTTTTACAGTTGAAAGATGATTTGAACTTTTAGGTTCCCGCTTTTGACCAGCAATTCCGAAAGGGAAGATGAAATGTTGACAACAATCAGTCAATTGTTTATGTTCATCATTATCTTGTAATGTTTTTTACTCTAGAAAAGTTCTGATTAGAGGATTCAGAGAATTTGAAATTATACCTTTATCAAATTGTGAATAATTTAGATTCAATTCTTTTCCCTGTGAAATGTTTGGTAACGAAAAAGTTTCCGTTGAAAAGTAAAAACAACAAGAGAAACAAATTACCATACAAATTGAGTAATTAAAACAAATTGTGAAGAAAAAAAAGTGAACATAATTTCCTGATGAATATAAAATTAAACACGAGGAAGATAATTTTCTAATTCCCAAATCTAAATTGAATAGGAAATTGGAATCCGTATTAATTGTTCATATGATAAATATACTATTGAAAGCCCCATGGAACACAATTTCAATTTCAAATTGATTGTTAACCAGGAAAAAAAAACGAGTTCAAAATTATAAATATTATCAAAGTAAAGGGAAAAAAACAAAATTTAATTACCATCGGAAAATACTATTAACAATTAATACTATCATGTATTAATAGATTATCATTCCAAGTGTGTTTTCATGGTTATTGAATAACCAACAATTGAATTAATCATGTTTGAAATTTTCCACGTTGAGAAATATACACAAATTATATTTTCGGTAGTCACGAACTTGAAAATTGTTTCAAAAGCTAATTAACTGATTCACACTGATTAGAATTAACTTGTAATTACATATTCGATGAGACGAAGGACACAAATGCAATAAAATGGAAAATAAATTAAGAAAAAGTTCTTACCTGTATCGATTTGGGTGCTTGGTAAAGATTACGAATTATTGGTAAAATATGATTCTGATATTCGTCGGTGTTACATTCCTCGATAATGTACAAAATGGGCTGAAGGGCGGCTGCAAGTACGTCACTAAATTGAAGTTCAGCACAAATTGTTGGCAAAATGTGTTGGAACCACATTTTCTATGGTGAAAATGGGCAAAAGAGAGAGAAAAACAAATTATTTCTACCATTCGAAATTCATTATTAAGATCAGAATTGTTCATTTTGTCACATTTTTCAACCAAAATTATTATGAAATTTACACTTAAATACGAAGCAAATGTTTATATCTAATGCTTTTCGTTGTTCGATTATCATGTTAACCATTTGTGATTTACTGTCAAAAATATAATATCATATTTATCATCGAAAGGCGATAATGTTATGGGAAGTGATTCTGAAAAGTTCTGATGATGAAAGATAACAATGATAATCGTATTATCAAGTTTATCTTTTTTTGCTTCTTTTTTTCTAAATCATCTTTTGACTTTTACCTTTATACTCATTCATTACCATGTATTCAGAGTCAATACCATCGTCATCATCATGAACATGATAATATAATATTCATGGTGAATGATCAAAACATGAAATAACGATAATAAATATTATCTTTTAGATTCAATTAGCTTGATTATTTTCAATTATCATCATTATTTTTTTTTGTTCACCACAATATTTCATGTAACTTTCTCCCCATGAAGATTTAATTTTATCTCTATTGAACTTTTTCATGATTCCAAATGAATCTTTAACTTCCTGATTAACTGTTTCCTCTTAATTTTTTCCCCACCATTTTTATCCTCATCGGTCCAGTACAAAATAAATTGATCATCAACAATCAAGCTCATCAATTCAATCATCTTTCATGATAATAGATTAATATTCATGAGCAATCTTCAAGCACAGTTAACTAATTTAATGAGCTATTTAATTAGATCAATCAAACTGGTCCACAATTTATTAGCCTATTCAAAATCATCAGATGTATATTATTACTACTAGAACATTATTATTATCATCATCATGAGTTCCTACCTTTTCCCTGTTAAATAATGATAATAATGAAAGGTGATGATGATAATGAGCATCTTCATCAAGAATTTGGTAAAAGTAAAACAATGATAATTAGTATTATCAAATCGATATTGTGTTAATTTGTATTAATCTTTATCTTGACAATTTAACTTGTATTTCAAATGATTCAATGAAAATAATGATTCACTTTTATCATCACAACCAATCTGATAATCACTATACTGATCCAGATAAATTGATTGATAATATTTACCCATTTTCAGGTAATGATATTGATAAATTATCGATTGGTAGACATTTTCATGACCACAAACACCATACTAATCAATACCAATTTGTGTCTAGATAATAGAGGCTGTTAATTTGTCTATTAGATTGATTTTAGTTGATTTAAAGGTTAATCAACATTAAATTGAGTCAGAGGAAAAAAGTTATCGAGTGTATCAAAATTTGTTACATTTGAAACATTAAAAATGAACTTTTTCTCTCAATTCTAAATTTAGATTTCTGATCAGATCATGGTGATGATCAGATTTACTTATATACCATGATAATAATAATGATAGATATTGTTAGCTACAGAAAATGATGACTTTATAATGATGTTTCAAAGTGAAATGTTTGTAACTATTAATACATATCAGTATTATCACCTTTCTCTCTCACACACACACTCCCAGTCCAGAATAAAAGTTTAACCAGAATAAAGGAAAGTCAAGAAAAAGACTTGAAAGAAAGAGTTTCCTTTATGAGAGATAACTCATGGTAAAAGTGATATAATTCAATTGATTGAGTCGCTTTTCGAACATGATGAAAAGAGAGTGTCAAATAATCTAAAATGCGACTTTATCAACTTCTACGTTCTCTATCTTTTTCCATCCACCATCATGTTCTCTCACCATTATAATAGCTGTGAATTTCTATCCAACTGAACTTTTCTTGAGATACAAAATGAAATAGTTGAATAACTTTTTCTATTCGAGTTTTTTTTCTCCTTCATCTTCTTGTTCTTATCATGATGATACCCGATCACATACTTGACACTGGATGATATCGGCAGATAGACAGCACATACATGATGATGGTGATAAAGTTGAAGAGAAATAAAGTTCTGTTGATGATGATGAGAAAGGGGGAAGGTTTTATCTGTATGAATGACGTTATTGAGTTTTCTTTTCTTATTTTTTCTCCTTTTCAAGAAAAAACCCCCAAGATTTTCATCTTATTCAGAATTTAAGAAGATGATAAAGAAGAATGAAGGGAGAAAAAAATTCTGATTCTTTTCCCAGATAACATGTTCTACTTATATTCTGAGCATTCCAAGGTAAGAAAACTATTCAGTATTATCTAATCTTCACTTTTATTTCTCTCAAGGTAAACACCAATTCAACATCATCATCATCATCAACAACAACAACAAACAACATCAATAACACAAGAAAAAAAACTCAACAAGGTAACAAAAAGTATTAGTGAGATAAAGAAAATGTTGACTAAGCAACATTTTCATTGTCCAATTCTGATTCCCATTAATATCTTTCAAGAATCATGGAGAAATTGTTGTATATATTTTATTACGATTATGGTGAATTCTGTGAATTCTGGTAGCTCTTTTATTCATTTTTTATTGTCGATTTTTTTTCCTTTTTGTTGCTCTTTTGGAATAAAATTTTTTTCTCCAGATATTTCCACCTCCCAAATTAGATAACAATCATGATTATAATTCATTTACATTCATGTTTATGTTTTTTTATATTTTCTTTCCCAATGATATCATTATCTTGGTGTTATTTTTTTATCTCTGTTATTATTATCATGGTGAAAGAACTTTGAATAAGACGAGTAAAGAAATTGGAACAGGTTGAAAGTTGGAGTTTTTTTTCTTCTTCTTCTTCAAAGTTCTTACGTTCATCTTATATAATCAGATGAATAAATTCCGATAGAAAGAATAGAAAATTTCAACTGATATTCACTCAATTGATTAGCTGAATGGAAAATTTTCCTATTCGAATAGAATTTTACTTTTCTTTTTGGTCTTTGTTTGCATGTGCGTCAGACCTTTCGACACAATGTGTTCATGTTGACATTAAATTGACACTGATTTATATCTCATTCTGTTTAACTTAATTGTAATCATGATAATAATAGTATGAAATTCAGGATAATAAAGAAAAGGAGAAGATACAAAGTTTTCCGAGCTTGAAAATGTTAAAATATTGAAGATAAAGTTGATAAAAGTGAGAGAGAGAGAGAGTGAGAGAGTGAGAGTCAAGAAGAATGAGAATATGTAAGCTTCATTAAGATTATCATCTTCATGATGTTAATGATTACAATGATAATAGTGGAATGGAAATTGAAATTTCTTCAGGTGAAAGATGAAATTCTGAGTCTCTTGTTATTATTAATATAATTTAATCCTTTCAAATGCTCTATTTAATTGAGTTTACCTGAATTATTAAGAAAAAAAAAGAAAAATTTCACGACCAGATTAAGCTACACTGTACTTGAGAGAGAGGAAGAAGGAGAAGATTGAGTAAGTGAGTAAGGGAGACTGAGAGAAATGGTTAAAAAAAGTTCTATCGTTGAAAAAGTGAAAGGAGAAAATGTTCAGAAATGAAGGAGTTCTGTAGATGAATTAGTTTCAGGGTAAACAAGGAATCGATGTAAAAGAGTATAAAGAATGAGGATAAAGATGAGAACCTGGTGAAGATTTCATTTTGATTAATCAAACTCATGGAAAAAGGTTTTTCATTACCTGTTCTGGTGCAAATGAACAAGAAACATGAACCGCAACTTTTACATGAAACAGATTCTTAGATTTATGTTGATGATTAGATGTATTGTTGCTAAAGTGCAGCAAAGTATCAATATCAAAAATAACTCATTAGATTGAATGAGAAGAGAGAGAAAGAGAGAGAGAGAGAGAGAGAGAGAGAGAAGGATCAATGGAACTGAATCATTACTTTTATCAGAATCAGAAGAGTATCAGATTCTTCTTGATCTCCATCTCTTTATTTATTACATTGTGTTATCATACATTTCGAGAATTCATCATTCACATTGTGAGATTCATTATTATGAAAATGGATGAGAAAAGATCATCAGATATAAGAAAATGAACTTTGTTGAAATTTTTTTTTCTACTTTTCGATTTTGTCTTGTCGAACGAAAATTTTAGATCCATAAAACTTTTACATTGTTGGAAAAATTTTCTTTTTTCTCTCATTTGTGTTATTTTCACTATTCCAATTATCTGTCATGATGATATTCAATAGAAATGAATTTCCTTAGAATGAGAAATAATGACTCGATTGATTTTCTTACTTTTCTTTTCTTGTTGATATGATGAAAATTTCATCTTTTTCTCACAGTTGAGTTGATAAATATTAAAGATTCTCATTGATGTTTAGGTAAATTGTCAATTCAGCATAAATCGTGTATCATTTTCCAATTGAATCTCATGATTATTTTCATGATCGCAAAGATTATCATCATTACAATTATCTGATTAATGAGCACAAACCTTGATCCAGGTAACATTTTCTTACCCAAAACAGTCAACCAGTAAAAACATTCAAGGTAAGTTTCTATTCATTGGTCATGAAAATCATCATGAAAAGCAAGATCACTACATGATAGATGATAGAATGAACTTTTTTCGGTGTCCAGCTGAATATTTCTGTCAATACACTTTTACTCATTAATCATTTCTCAGAATCACCATGATGATCAACTAACTGTAATTTTTTTCTCTTTCGGTGTAAATTGGTCAATCTAAAATATTGATATCTTTTCATGAGCAAAAAACCCCTGTTCATTTGCACTGTCAACAGTGAAGAGAGAGAGATCATGATAAGATCACGGTCGATATGAAATCGTAGTTATAAATACTCATACTTTCAGACTGAAGAGCAAAAAACATGATAAAACTTCATTCCAACCGGAATTCAATTATTTATTATCTCTTCACTATTGAGATTAGTATAAAAAAGTGAAAAGTTAATGGATAACAAAATGGTCAAGATGATGCGGATCAAGATGATGGATAAACTTTTGTAATATTTTAAGTTAAAAGGTCAATATTTATCATGGACTTTAATATATAAATAAGTAACCTTAAGAATGATTTTCCAATCTTCCAAAAGCATTTTCCATCATCATCTCAAACTTCATCTTCTTTATCATCTTATCATCTCATAGACAATATGATTCTATCTTCATCTTCATCTTTTTTTTTCTGGTTCCAAAAAAAGATGGAAACAAATATTATGGCAAAAAATGTGAATGATTACCAAGGTGTGAAGGGTATTCAAGATTGGGTGTAAGTGGAGAGGGGGTAATAAAAGTAACACGATGGATGAGAATAAGTTGACACCCATGTCCACCTTATATCATACACCTTTTTCATCATTTACCTGGACAAAAAGAAGAAAAAAAAATTACTTCTTATTTTCTTCTAATACTTTTTTCTAGCATCTCCTTGTTTCCTTCCTTCTCAAGTTTCCTCTTCTTTTTTTCTCCTCCATGTCACATCAATTCTCTCTCTCTCTCTCTCTCTCTCTCTCTCTCTCTCTCTCTCTCTCTCTCTCTCTCTCTCTCTCTCTCTCTCTCTTCTGTTTTTCTCTGTCAGTAAATCTCATCATCACCTTTATCCTCATTTTAGAACAAAGTAATTGAGAAGAGAAAAAGTTCGAATTGAACTTTTCACCATGATCATCTTTTCAACGAAAATCTAAACTTGATCTGAGTCTTTTCATTTTATGTTTGGCTTTTCATGATAGTCACAACTCTACAATCTTCCATAAAGATCTGAACTTTCATTTTATTATCATGATAATGATAGAATTTAAAATAATCATAATTACGAATACAATTTCTCATTCAATTCACTTTTTCATTCCAACTGATTTTCATTTTTCATTCATGATTCCCAAATGAATATATTTGAACTAAATTGAGTAAAAATTGAAAAATCGGTTTACTCTCCCATGTAAAATTGGTGATTATTTTTAATCAATGAGAAAATTGTTCACGATGAATGAACAGAACATGAGAAATGAACATTATGGACCAAGTTAAAAACTCGAGAATCGCAAGAATTGTTCACGATTATTCATATATTCACATATTCAAATAATTTCTTCTTGTCAACAATTAGATTGGATTAGTTATCAACTCTCAACAATTTATTCATCAGGTGTGAATATTTATACATTATGTATTAACGATATTTGGATCAATTTCAAACTGAATTTTTCACCATAATTCCTGTAATCAAGACGATAAATTCATTGAGAAAGTTTCAGATTACATCGATTAAATTAACTGATTGTTACTATTTTTGGACTTATTGTTTTATATTTCTCTACACCTTGAGTATTATCACCAATGTAATACAATTATATGATTTTTGAAAAGTTTCAATTTCAATGTTGATGTTTGGTTTCAATTCATATACTTGATCGAGTTTCCAACACCAAAACATGATAACAAAAGTTTCCATGAAAATGACTGAATAAATTGTGAAACAAAAGGATTTCACATATTTACCGGATAAAATAGACAATCGACTGACTTAATTGATGGATAAATTTCATGATATCGCTCGAATACTAATTGAATTTAACTGAATCGAGATTTATCAGACTGGAATTGAAAGAAAATCAGATCCAATTCAAATCGAACTTGATTTTTTTTTCTATTTATTCTTCTCAGTGAATATTCATCCTGTTTTCTTTGTCAATATTATTATTAAATCTTCCATTCAGATGATAATCATCATGATGAACTTGATTCATTCTTCATCACTTGTTCATCGATCATAAACCGTAAATTTGAATAAAAGTAACAACAAGGTAAACAAAGATGATAATGATGATAAAGGTAAAGGTAAAGATGACACAAAGATGATGTTGATAATCAAATGAACCACGATAATGCAAATGTCTCTTTTTCCGTTCATCAACTTACCTTTGGAATTGTACAGAGGACACCTCGAAGGCTTGGATAAAAATTCGCCTTATGAACTGAGTCTTTCATGTGAATAGTATCGAGATATTGAAGTGCATGAACTCCTGGATCCATGAAGTATTTGATCTGAGAAAATAGGAAAGAAACAATTCTCAAAATCAACAGAAAAAAAACTAGGGAATAAGAAAATTTCATCATGATTACATGAGGATAAACAATATAATGGTTACGATGACATTGGAAATCGTTGTTTACATTATATTGAATTAAATCAATTGTAAAAAACGACAAGTGGGTGGTAAGGGTGAAGTAAAAATGGAGATAAAAATCATGATAAACTATTGATTCTAAATTTAAACTGAATAAAACATGAAAGAAAAACTCTCAGAATTTCTCGTCAATTCAATAGGATTAAGATAATCATCTTTGAATAACGATGACTATTTATTATTTCATTTGAAAATCTCCTGTTAATTATGATCAATCCTATTGTTAGAATTGTATAGATAAACAAAATGGATTAAAACTGTTTGGTTCTTTTATCACTTGAAATTTAATTGCAATCTAAAAGTTAATTAACTTTTCTAATTATATACATATTCAGTGTATTCGTAAAGGTGTGATTATGATTAGTAATTATCTTTCAACATTTAGCTTGTGATTCCTAAATTTTGATTCTCACTCATCTCATCTCATGGTTATCGTTTAATACTCAAAGCTTTCATTAGATATCAAGAAAATCATCTTCATCTCATCATCATTATCTTTATAATAATATCACAGCTAACAAACCAGCATCTCTCTCTCTCTCTCTCTCTCTCTCTCTACTTATCTTCATCCATAATATTTCATGAAGAGATACAAATACCCACCACATAGATATGAATTCATTCAATTGTCTGTAGATGACAAAGTAAACCCAACCTCTTGTGAATAACGATCTACCCACCGAGTGGAATAATTGACCTTGTATCTCTAATACTATTTTCTGTTATTCTCTCTTTTTTTCACTCCCACCTCTCTCTCCCTTTAACCTTTTTCTCCCTCCCTTGAATTCTACCTCAAATTCTCCCCATGGTTCAGAATCTTAACCTCAATATTCTTATTCCTGTCATCTTCATCTTCATCTTTTACTTTTTTTCTTTTCTCTTTTTGTGTCTTCTAATATAAGGGAGAAAAAAGTTGATCAGCTGATGAACAGATTAAACTAAAAGTCAAGAACTTTTTTCGTCCACGAATCTCTATAAGAACCAAAACAAACAGAGTGAGAGAGAAAAAAAAACTCGAATCGAACTCAGAAATTTCTAGTCAACTCTTGCTTAGAATTTTTTTATTTTCTCCAATACAAAATCATGATAATCTTTGCAACATCTTCTTCAACTTGCAACAATATTTTGATTTGGATTTTTTCTGTTCGATTCTCTTGGAAATTTTCATCCCAAGAGATTATTGGAATAAACTTTTGATTCCATGATAGCAACAGAAGAATAAATATCTCTCCCTCTATCATTTTCTTTTCTGTTATTTCCATAATTCTTCTTGTAAACAACATAGGTGAACATGATAATAAATAATTCGTTAAGTTGAGAGAAAAAGCTAAAAAAAAGTAAAAGTTGAGAGAAATTTTATTTTTTTATTCGAAAACTGGACATAAATTTAGCTCGAAAGAAAAAGTAAAAAGTTATTCAATTTTCAATAGTTTCTCAATATCAGGTATTAGTTGAACCTTTAGATAAACATTTAATAACATGATAATAGAAATGATTTGTTAGAGAAATTCAAGATTCAGTAATAATAAAAGTCGATATCAGAACTTTTTTGTTCCTCCTCTTGTGATCAGAGTAATTTTTTTCCACCAATGATTATCATGGATACTTATTATTACATTGGAAGATATTAGTAAATACCCAAAGTGACCATTAATATATTAATGGTTAGTTAAGTGTTTAAGTCTCACAGTCAACTGAATATTAAAGACGAAAAGATATTTTTTTTATTCAGAAAAAAGGAAAAAAAACTCTTGTTTCAATCATCATAATGAAAAGTTCTGGATAGTTCTCAGTCTAAATGAATGTACCAAAGTGAGAGTAGTTTGTTTTAAAGACATTTTAACATTACTCTTGTAAAGGAAACGCTTTGATTTCCTCTTTCTCTTCTTAATCATTTTTCTCCATCAGCAATTAGTTAATTGTTTATTTATCCCGCTCAAATCTCTGTAACCAGTCACATGTTTCCTTAGTTGGATTAATACCTTAAGCATTTCCTTTTCCTACTTCTTTTCATCAGTTGTTGTGATACTCTCAAGTTGATAGTCTCATCTTCAGCTTCAAGTTAAACCCTTTCTTGTCCAATTTGCCAACTTCCGTTTCCTTATTTTGCAAACTCACAATTCTCAAAAGAGTTTTACTTTTCAATTAAAACGATTCTCTTAATTAATCAAGTGCTTACTGATTGTCCAAGCCTATTATGAGAAGGATGTGATGAGCCTTCCAGTTTGGTCAAATTCGGTGCATTTTTGTACGTGTTGGGTTCGCGCGTACCTCATTCCCATGAATTCATTACTACCTCAAACTCTAGTGGAGATCGATGGGATTTTCCTTACACTCTCACTTTTGTCTCTGATTCTGACCTAAATGTAAAGGTTTTTGTGCTAATAATCAGAATTGATTGAATATTAAAATTCTCAAGTTCTAATATCAACAAAAACAATTGAATTTTAGGCTCACTTTAAACTCGATATAATTAATTTCCTCCACTTAATGGCAATTTTTTGTCTACCATGAAAAATTGTTAATATCTTAAGGTTTCAATGCGAATCAGCTGATTGAAATTTGATATCAAAGGTAATTATCATGTAAATGTAACATGAAATTGATATTATACCGTCAGAATTGTCTGAGGAGTTCACCTTAATGTTGTGTAAATTTTTTGTTTAATCAAATGAATGAAATTGCAACAATTATCTTCGTAAACAGTTATATGATTTGCTTTTCTCACAAAATGGAAAACAATTAATAAACCAAATTAATTGTTGTTTTAGTTATCATGATGATTGTTTCAACAAAATGTTTACTTTCTTGATTACGCTGACTAATAATGATTCTGAATTTTTGATTAACTACAAGTTAATTTAATAATCTTTTTCTCTGTTTGTATTCAGTTAATTTGAATATGTTAATCTATTTGTTAATTGTTAATTGTATTCACTTTGTATTCCTTAATTTTGTTGGGTTACAATGTTACAGAAAAAAAACAACAAGTAAATCACATTAACAATTAACAAAAAGTATAAACTTTTCACCGAGAAAATAAGTTAATTGTTACTAATCAAGAGCAATTAATTAATTGTTTGCATCGTTTGTATCAGTTTAAGATGAATTAATAGATAATTAAATAGTAAATACAATTAGAACCTCAAAGAATAGAGATACAATTGATTAGATTATTGGTTATTATTTTCTCGGAAAATTGTTCATTGATTATTGTATTGTTCTGATGGTTTGGAGATTTTTTTTCCCACCGGTGGGAAATACTCACCATAGAAAAACTTTGGGAGGTTGGCCTTTTACGGGAAGCGGCTTCCAATAGACTTGGAACATTTTCTGCTAATAAAATAGGCATTCGATCCAAAAGTTCTTGAACACTTCGATTTAACTGTTGAGACAATTACAAGAAAAAAACGTTAGTTTTACTTTTCAATTGATTTGTAATCAATCATGATTGAGGTGGATTGTTGTTAATTACAGTTTCTAATTGTTTGGTGTAATTAGCCGTTGATAGAGCTGCTTGAATTGGTGATCGTCCATTGTTAAAAATACTGCATATCAATAGTCCAAATGAAAACATGTCACTTTGTGGGCTACATGCTGAAGAAGCTTGAACTTCAGGGGCCATGAAATCAAGATCAGGTTGACTCATTTTCGGTGATTTTGAGGTGAATGCTGGACAAGAAACTGGCAGCTAAACATAAAGGAAAAGAAATCGATAAAAGGTCAGTTTTAACGGATGTTAACAAGAAAACGTTTCAATTCCAAAGTTCTGGACATTATTTTTTCTCTATCATCAAATTTCGAGTTATCATTATTAATATTTCTTTCTCGAAATGTAAATTCTCTCAGATTTTTTTTTCTCTCTCTCATAACAGGTAAATTTGACAAGTTTTGGTTCTCTTTTAAATAGAGAAAATGGAAAAGTTCTAACAGACAAGTTCGAAACTTTCAATTTCCTTTGAATACTTTTCGAGTTCACAAAATACAAGTCAAAGTAAGAAATTCGAGATTATCTTTGCTGGAATGATATTCTCATAACAGTTGATTGCTTCAGTAATTAAATATCATTTGAATTCTAAGCTCAACTTACCATGTTATCGCCATCATTACATTTAACTGTAAACTCGAAGCCAGATAATTTCCAAGTTCCCCGTTTATTAATTATCACAGATTGTGGACAGATATTTCGATGGATAATTTTGCATGAATAATGTAGGTAAAGGAGGGCCTCAGTTATCTATGGGAGTAAAGAGCAGATCCAAATGGTAATAGAAAAACTAAAATGAGTCTGAAAAAGTTTCACTCAAATTGTTGGATAATCTTTCATCGACATGATAATAAACATGATGATGAACACATTTACTACATGTGATATTCATCCAGTGTAGAGATACAACTTTATTAATATAAATCACTCCCTGAACAAATGAATCGGTTTATCATCATGATGTTAATCAATGTTGTCAATGTGATAATAAATAACTTATATACAAGTCAACTTATTGTTGTTATCGTTGTTATTATTATGTCAATGGATATGTTGAACTTGTTACGATTTTGGTAAATATATGAATTGTGTCCAATGTTGAAACAATAAGAATTCAGTTTTCACCTAATATTGAATTACTCTAATTCTGATTAACTAGATTATTATCAACTCTAAGATAATAAAACTGATATTCTGTTTCGTTTCTATCATTTCCATTGAGTTGATTGACTATTTTAACTAACGAAAAATTTGTTTCGCTTTTTCCAATTGTTTCTCATCAATTGATAGATTAACGGTCAATTGGTCAATTGATTTTCTCTCTTCAGTTTTTCACCTTTTCTTACCTGTAATAGTCCATATTTTGTCTCAAATTCAGAGAAAGTGTATTCCCTTAATACAGAGGGAACTCCCTGTCTTAATCTATCTTCAAGATAGCCAAGTATATTGGCCAAACTTCCGATTATCGGCTCAGAGGCGAAGGCAAGATTTTCATTGGTCTCTTCAACTTTGGCTACAATTTGTAATATCTTTGAATGGCGAAATCGATCCAATTGAATGGCACCGCACTTTAACACTTCACTAATACACTCACGACGTTTACCTGAACTTTTACCAAACTTTTCAGTCCACTTTTTGTCAAAATAAAACACAGACACTTCCTATTGAGAAAAAATATAAACAATCAAAGTAAACAAATCGATCAGATCATCAATATCGTTAATGATCATTAACACTAAAGATAAACAATAGGAACACTTTGTAAGTACATGTATAAATATATATACACAGAGAGAACCTCAGAATCTATTGTGAAAATAATAACCATAGGTGTAAATGCTGAATGGTAAAATTATAATAACGATAATGTATGATCATGAATGTGAATATACTTGACTGATAGCTCGAGGGTAAAAGTTTTACTTTAGCAAAATCTGATGAAGAAAATTTTTGTTATTTCTAAATAAAAATCTGGGTCATCAATGGATAACTGATTAGTTAACTAATGATATTCAAGTTGAACTTTGGGTTGATTAAATTTCTATAATAATTTATACATTATAATTGAGTTGATGATAAAATAATTCCAGAGGATAAATGGACTGACCTTTCCATCAGATTTACGATAACCTTCATACACTTTCCATGCTAATTCGGGTCCAGCTGATCCGATTTGTTTACCGATCTCAAAGAATTGACTGATCGGATTGTTATCCACTGGCGATGTCGCTGGAATCGGTTGACCAGGTTGACCAGAGGTACCACAGGTTCCAGTCCCTTTTAATTTGGCAAACATGATTAACTAATTATCTTTTTTTTTGCACTAATTTAGAAACTCGTATATATATAATTAACTAAATTATTGGATATGATTATTTGTTTTGTTATTAGATTTTGATATTAGTTGAGTTGATATATTTTTGTTTATAAAAAAATGAGCTACTCAAACTTTTGATTATCTTATTACAATTAAATACTTAGGGAATTGGAACAATTGAAAACATTAACTAATTGCTAATTGTGATGTGATTATTAATTTTACAATTTTGGAAAATATTATTATCATTAGTTAGTTGATATGGTGATTTAAAATAATTGATTAACTGTTAATCCATTTTTTTTTGTTTACGTTAAGATGATTAACCAATTGAATTGTTATCACGAACAAAATTAATTAATAATAATCATCATTCATTTATCTTATTATTTACTTGGAATGAGATGATGATTAACTTTACTGATTAGTTGATTAATCCAGTTGATTAAATTTCATGGTAATTCAAGATCTGGATTAGGATGAAGATGAAGATGAAGATGATGATGGTGATGATAAGGTTGTGAATGAGATTTGAAAATTAATCTCATTGAACTTTGAGACTGATTGTAAATGGTTTTTGATGATAAACAATTGATAACAATTAAATTGAGATTACAATCTAAATATAATAACATAATAATAAGTTTATAATGAGATTGAAAATTGAATCACAATCAATGGGAAGACATGATAATAAGATGATGATGATGATGATGATGATAACGATTATGACGATTGAATAATTTGATTGTAGGCACAAAAAAAACACAATTTATAAAAGTAAACAATCAAAATAATAGACACAGAAAGAGACAAACAATTAATCAACAATTTTTCATCTCCAATTGTCAACAATCAACACGGAAACAAAGTTGAGCCAAAGGAAAAAGTAACATGAGAAAACAAGTGATTCCAATTGAACAGAAATCGTTATGATGAAATGTTATCCTAATGTTTATCACTGTTGAATGAAGCTCAGAATTGTGAAGATAAATGAGAGAGAAAGAAAATGATGATGAGAAAGTAAGTGAGAGAGAGAGGGAAAGAGAGAAAAAAAGAGAAAGAACTGTTGCCTTATCTAGAACTGTTTAGAACAATTCGAAAACTCGAAATATTGGATCACGCAAGCTCTCAATTCTTGTTAGCTTCAACTTTTCTTCTTCTTCGTCATCTTCATCATCATCTTTTCCTGTCTTCTCTTCTGTCTTCATCACCTCTTACCTTTCGCTCTCTCTCTCTCTCTCTCTCTCTTTATTTATCTCTCCTTTTCTTACTTCTTCCAATAATGATGACATTTCACCTCCTCCATCAACTCCACCCTCTATAATTCATTGCCATCAATTTTATCATGATAATTAACTCAAGATAATATTTACCTTACCTCATACAATTGATATTCATTGATATCATTTTTTTATTATTACCGTTACTTGTTTACCTGGGAGTTTTTTTTTCTGTTGACAAGAAAATATCAAATTCAATAATAAATTAATCATTGACTCATTTGAATCAGATTTCAGTTCAATATTATTATTATCCCGATAATCAACCTGATATTACAATCAAAATGATAACTTTATTGATTAATTGATATAAATAAGTTTAATTGTTATCCAAAGGTAAACAAAATCAAACTAATCATTGGATTTTAATTGTTTACATTGAGTGAGATTTGCTTGTACATACGTTTAAAAATCTAATACAATCAATATTAATTAGATGATCAAATTTAAATCTCTAGTTGATTGCAAAGGAGAAACGAGATTTTTTTAATTAATTAAATCACTGAAAGTGTTAATTGTTAATTAAATTTTGTTTGATTGATTTTCTTTGACATTGTCAATCAAATTTTCAATCTAATCAGAAAATTTTTTCCAATATTTTGTTTCTAGTGGTCATCATCATCTTTATATTGGTCAAATTCAGTTTGGTTGATGTTTTATTAATTATCAATCAAGAATAAACTTTAATTAAAGTTCATCTTTCAAGTTGTTTCGAAATTTCGCGAATTTGTGCTGCCATCTATTGGAATTATATTTAACCGGTCGAACTTTTTTTCGATTAAAATTTTGTCCAATTACTTTTTTTTTCGATAATTAAATAAATGGATATTTTTGTTATTTAATTGTTACAATTGAAAATTTACAAGTTGATTTGTTCAATATTTAGCACAATTGTGATTAACGTTTCTCATGCAAGGGGAAAGTTAAACATTAAATTAGTTGGTTGATTGTTGATTAGAAATATTTACATGAACGTTTTTGATTCAATCGATTTTGAAAACAATTGTTAATTACGACGATTATTAAATCATCAATTCATTTGAACACTTCTCTATACATGGTAAATATAATTGATTGTTGCGATGATTTTTGAAAGATGTTCAAAAGTCGATTAGTCGTTGACAGTAAATTGTGTCCAATGATGAGAGTTTAGTAAAAATTTGTGTCCCGAAAATCATATATAATCATGATCGATGATTAAATTTAATTGTAATCAGAAGCTCTCAACGTTTAGAGATAGAAGATGAATTAACTCGACTATTACTCGAACTGGTGGTTGGCATCGAGTGATTAGGCGTCAATGATTTGGGTATTTTCTGGAAAAACCAGGCACCAGATTTTTTCCAAATCTAAATCAACAGAGAGAATCAAATTAACTAATTAAATTGAATCAAATTAATGTTCAATAAGACAAATCGAATCAAAGATCAATCAGTTACCTCTCGTGTCTCTGAGCAAATTTTACAAAGCCAAATGGGCTCACCGGTGGGAGTGAAAGTGTCAACGCCGCATTTACTACAAACCGACTGATGGACAATAATTAAGGAAAGAATTGAATTAAATTAATTGATCACAATCACTTTCGATTGAATTTTAAGGTTACAATTCTATTCGATAGATGGCACAAGTGAAATCATCTTTTTCCAAATTGAGATGAAAAAGTTTCTTTTCTTGAAACTTTCATCTTATCGATTTTCTTTTTCGTTCTTACCTTCGAACAGTCTTTACATGTGTGATTTTGTGCACCAAAAAGGCCAAACGAATCGCTACAAAGAGCGCAAACTTTGGAACCATCGCCTTTGGCGTTTCGTTTCATATTGTTCAGTCGATCTTGTAATCGACTAGAAAAAACAGAAAAAGAAAGAAAAAAGTTGGACCGATCAATTTATCGAATAAAATTAATGATAATTCCATGATTAGAATTGAGTTAAATCTGTCAAGTTGATCATCTTTGATCATAATTGAATCAATGAGAAGAATTAATTATCAAGGACTAATTACTCTCTTTCTCTCTCAACAGATAAATCTTATTGTCATTTAATGGGTTATTTGTTTTCCACGATCAAATTAACTCATTGAATGAGCAACACTTGGAATCAATAGATGAATAAATTAATTTCAATTTTAATCTGCAAGAGAAAAAGTAACTATTAATAGATCAATTAATTACCTGATTCGATCAGTTTCCAGTCTCTCTAATTGTTGTGATCGTCTCAATACATCCATGATTATCTGTTGCTCTAATTCACTAATTTGATTAGCCGATGAAGGTGAGTTCGAGCCACTTTTAACACACCAGCCAGTGTCCAATCTGTTAAATACAACAATTAATTGATTAAATATGAAATGAGATTTGTAATTATCAATGAGATACAAGAAAAGTAAACAACAATTAAGTAAGAAAATCAGTTTCACAGATCGTTAAGAAAATTAGACAAATCATATTGGAAAAACATATTGAGGTGGAAAAAAAAGTTTGACAGTTTTGCTTAATGTCAACGAGATCGGGAAGTTCATGGGGAGGGTGGAAAAGAATCACATTAACAGGACACTTCGATCATCCATCTTGACTTTGTTTCCATCGATTAATTGATTAGAACTTTTTTTTTATTCTCTTTTTTTTCTTGTTCTCTTCTTCCTTTTCCGGTTCGCTTTTCTTTCGCATCTCTCCCTCTCTCTCTCTCTTTTTGTCTTCCTCATCTTTCAGAAACAGTAAACTCGATTGTGTGTCTATGGGAAAAACGGGTGATTAATTAATTGTGATTAATTATACTCACTTAGCTCTTAATGTTAACTCTCTATCATTGGGACAGATCCAACGACTTTTACCATCAGAGTTTCCATTCATTTTTGCTTTTCTATTGATTATAATTAGTTGATCCAGTTCTTTGATTTTTTTGATCTCTTCTCATCCAATGATTAACTTTAAATTAATTGTTCCTTCAAAATTTGATACATTTCTAGAAGGTAATTGTCATTTAAATCATCATTTAATCTGGAAAATCAAAAAAAAAGTCCAAAATTGTAAATTGATTGTTAGTCTTGATCACTTGTTGATTGATTTAAGATTTAGTTGATCGATTAATTTTTTACTAATATTGTTAAAACAATTACTCTCTCTGTGATTAATTTAATCATCGGTAGAGCTCAATAGTTGCCTTTCATAATTAGATCATTAAAACGCCAATCAAATTGATGGTGATTAAGATAATCCAATATAAATCTAATCTATTGATTGCGAGAAAACTTTGATTAACTTAAAATATTGAATAAATTGTTTGTTGTATCATCAAATTGAGATGATCAACTTATAAGGTAATGAAACTGTTTGTTGTTGTTGGTTAACCATTGTAACAATTTAATTAATTGTTTAAGGAGGTTCGAAATTTTTCGAAAAGTAAACCAACATTTATCAAAAGAAACTGTGAAATTTTCTGTGGTTACACAAGAAGATAAAGTGAGAGAGAGACTGAGAAGAGAGAGAGAGAGAGAGAGAGAAGAAAAAATTATGTGTCAAGAAAATTTTCTATCAATTACAAGGGAAAAAATTGTCTTCTGTTTCATGTTGAGGCTAATTTATGACAAGAGGATGAGGACCAAGAGCGAGAGCGAGAGAGATACAAATATATTCAAGGAGAAACACTGAAGATGAGGATGGAGATGATGCTGAGAGAGAGAGAGAGAAGGAGGCGAGGCAATATTTCGGGTTACAGTTTCTCTTCAAGATGAACCACAACCTCCTCCGGAAGTATCATCAGTATAGGAACGGGTGTACGTCTTGGAAAGAGGTTGGTTTCAAATAGAAGAGAGAGAGAGAGAGAGAGAGAGAGAGAGACTAAATAGACAGAGAAAAGGTACTGATAATGAAGATGAAGATGGTGAGCATTTGTTGACGTTTAACTGATGAAGATGAAGATGATGATGATGATGAAGATCGTTGGGTAAACATAAACATTCCGATGATTCTAATGTATGTAAAAATTGAAATTTCAATTTTTAGTTATTAGTCTTTTCCGTTATCTTCATCATCTTCATCTAATGGTGCAAATGATGAGGATGATAACGATGATGATGATGATGTTAAGCTATGTCAGTGTAACTTACGATGTGTTGTTGTGAAGGTGTAAAAACAAGATCTCAATAAGATACAAATTAAATACGAAACAAATTGTTGTTATATTTTTAAAATCTTGTCACTAATTCATTTACTTTTCACTGTTGACAATTTAAAGTTTAAACAGACTAAACATACAACAATTAACTTTGATTGTTAATAAATTGTAAACTCTTTTTTTTTATAATAACTTGATAACTTTCTAGTCTCTCTGTAACTTAATTTGTTTAATTGTTTGCTGATCTTTTCGTTTATTTGTTTTATCCAAATAATTTCAATGTTTGATTATTATTAATCCGATTGGTTTAATTTGATTAGTTAATCTTGGATTATGTTTTATCCTGATAGAGAGAATCAAAGTTTTTTCAGTAATTACTATCAAGGGTATCATCATTTTCATCATCATCAACAACAACAACATCAAACCCAACAAAATGGACCAACAATATCATCGTCATCGTCATCATCATCATCAGCATCATTAAATTATCAATTATCAACAACACAATCAACTGCTGTAATAGTTGACAAAGTTTGGGATCAACAATCAAATGAAATGTTTTCAACTAATCAAGATTTGATATTATCAGTTAATCATCAGCATCACTCAATCAATGATGATGATAATAATAATGATCATCTTGATGGTCAATGTAAACTTAATGATGGACAGGTAATTGTTGATAAAGGTGATAATGAAGGTGATCAACTGGTCAGTTCAAAGGAAAAACTTGAATGCAATGAAATTAATTGTGAAAAGTCAATTGAAATTAATGATAATTGTGATGAAAATAATAATAATGATAATAATTTAATGCAAATAACAAATGGACATCAACAACTATCATCAAATCATCATCAACACAATTTACTTCATCCACTATTATTACCTGATTCTCATCATCATCAACATCAACATCAACATCATCCTCACCTTCATCAACAACAATTAACTGTTAATGAATCTCATGTGGAAATAAAATCTATTTATCTAGAAAATAATAATGATAATATAACCTCACTGGACAGAATTGAGTCTTCATCCATTTCAACCACTTCTCCGGTAATTCATGAGCAAATGTCAACACCGGCATCATCATCATCATCATCATCATCAAGCTCATCTTCATTATCATCAACAGCAACCACCATAACTGAATCTTCATCAAATACAATCAATCAGGTTAATGAATCAGGTAAATCTCCTCCTTTACACCCTAAGCTTTGGGAGGTAAGAGCAACACTTGAGATGAAGTGTCTATGGGATGAATTCAATGAACTTGGAACTGAAATGATCGTAACGAAGGCTGGAAGGTAAGTTGAAACAATTAACATGGTTACAATTGAATTGACATCCAATTAACAATATAGAGATACATTAATTTTATTAACTTGAAGAAATCATTGTAATTACATTGATTGTATTCATTCAATTAGTGAGATAAAAAATCAAAAATCATTCATGAAAATCGGTTCAAATATAAGTCATGCAATACTAAAATCTTTGAACAATCAAGAATCAATAAAAAAAATTAAGTTGATTGTTACATGAAATTCAGTAATATCAACAATTGGTTTGATTTATTTCGAGGAAAAAATTTGAAATTTCCAATGAAATTAAAAGTTACCATGGTAATATAAGAGAAATTCAATCGATAGTAAAATGAGATTAAATTGATGAGATATAGAGACGAGATAATAAGCATGATTTATATCATGAAAGAGAGAGAGAGAGAGAGAGAGAGAGAGAGATAATCAAGAATCAATTTAAATTACGATGATAAAGTTAATTAACAGCGTCAATGATAAACAGATTTTTAGAACGAAAAGTTTACTTTCAAGGTAAAGTCTATGGAGAAGGAAAAAAGTTTCTTCTAATCCATTTTGTCTTCCTCATCATTTGATGATGATCATCATCTCTTTCATCATGTTCATCATCTTCCATCATCCATATTAAACATACACCAAATAGGAGGAGGAGGTGGAGGAGGTGAAGAGGGTGGAGGAGGAAACAGACAAAATGTAAAACTCATATTAGATATTTGAAGAGACATGATTGATTAGATACGTCAAGAATACGAAGCCTGGATTATTTATTTTGCCTTCATCCGGATTCATCTCATTTACTGTATCTTAATTACCTCATTTTAAGCAAACTTTTCACCCTAAATATATCTTATACACTCCCTCTTATCATCATCATCATCATTTTCATCATAAAGATGAATCTTCCCTTGCAAAAGCGTAATAATTATTCAGTTGAAAATCAAACATTTTGTATCAACATGATAAAGTTCATGTTGATTCAAAATGAGATTTAATTGAAATTTGTTACACAAAGAGAGAGAGAGAAAAAAATTTCTATCATCTTTATCTGCTCTTATTTCTCATCATGGTCTCTCTCTCTCTCATCTTCTTATTATATGATTGGATGATTTTGAATCAGTTCTAAGCTGAATGTTGATTGAGAATATGAATATTCAATGATTCTCTCTCTCTCTCTCGCTGTATTCATCAATTTGCTTCTTGTTCATGTATCACTTTGAATGGTGATAAAAGTTTACCATGTAATCTGTTTATTATCCTCATGATAATTCTGAATGAGAAAATTGTGTAAATATTCAGTGAGATAAAATCATCATCATCATCATAATGGTTATGAGAATGAAGAAAAAGGTGAAAGGTGGGAAAACAATTCCCTGAATATTATATAAAGAAAAATATTCTCGAATAAAAATTCCATGAAATTATCATGATGATGATTTTTCAGGTGAAAATATTATCGAGTTTTCTCATTTCTTAGCTAGTTAGAAATTCAATTCCAATTAAATATATATATATAGATAATTAATTCCATTGGTTGTAGAAAATTGAATTTGATGAGTTAACAATGAATTCATGATAATAATACAAATGGATCATGATGATAATAATAATAGTTATCTAAATGATAACCTGAATTCAGAACTTTTTTTTTTTTCCAAATTGAGATAAATGATTCTGATTATAGATTATTGTAAATTCGTTCTGTTGATGAAACAATTTACATGATGAATTTACATGTAACCCTGAAAAAAAATGCTGAGAAAGGAAACAAAAATCGACTTTTACCTGGAACTTGATAAGAGGTAAAAAAGTTCTGGAAAATTGAAAATTGAGAATTCTTGAAATATCATCAACAATACTGATGATAAAGAAGAAGAAAAAAAAATAATCATCAATAAGTTGGAATTGGGGGAAGATCGAAAAACGAGAAAAACTTTTTTTGTCAGAACTTTTCAAATAGAATATTTTTCATTTCGAATTTTCTATTTTTTTTTATTTTCTCTTTTATTCTTCATCGATTCAATAGAAATCATATTGAGATTCAATATTATAAATATTGTATTCACAGAATTATATTATTACCTTAATATTTATATATTCAATTGAATATATTGTTCAGTTATCATTCCGGAAACCATGGTAACCTTTCATTAGGAAATCATCATGAAACAAGTGGATATTAATATTATTTTGTCATGAGAAAAGTTCATGATTTTTCAATTCAATTTACTAATATATAAGGTAACTAATGATCATCAAGATAATCAGATTTAATCATAAAAATCAAATATTGCAACTTAATTATGTAAACATTGAATAATTTAGCCTAGAGCAATCAAGGATTAACAATTTAATTATGATTATTTTCATCATCATGAAATTGCGATCATTTGAAAATTTAAGATTTAATTTGAATTGTAATTGATTGTTGAATATTGTTGACATGCTAATCAAACTTGAATTGTATTGATTTACTTAATTGTTACAAAAGTTTTCTTGGTGATTTAATGATCATGTTCATCTTTGACATGAAACAATTTATGATTAACTCAAAATTATTGCCAATTGATTGATCAATTAATTAGTTTGCTATTATTTACAGTTGAATGGATTGATTAATTGTTAATTGGTGCATAAAGTAAATACATTTTAATGGTAAACAATTTAATTAATTGTCATCAACAGGAGGATGTTTCCAACTTTTCAAGTTAAATTGAAGGGATTGAATCTTGATTGTGATTACATTTTAATGATGGATTTCATACCTGTTGATGAGAAAAGGTATCGATATGCATTTCACAGGTAAGTTGATCAACTTTCAATTAACTTAATCATCTAAATAATTAACTAAATATTTACAATCGTTAAGCTTTAAAATTGAAACAAAAAACGTTTCAACGAGCAAAATAATAGTGATAATAATAATAACTCCCAACCAAATATACAAAGAGATGAACGTGATCAGAATTTGGATTGAGCTAAATGTTGAGAAAGTTAATTGTGATTAAATTGTTGACATTATTCAATAGATTGGTAACAATTGAAAGCTAAGTGCTTGAAATTGAAGTGGATTTAAGTGAATAGGAGGTGGGAAAATTTTCACCCAGAAATTGAATTGGAAAAGTTGAAGAAAACTGAGTTAACTTTATGAAGAAAATTAAATCATTGGAATTGGAATCAATCACAATTAACTAATATATTCTTTGAGTAATGATTAATGAGCACTGTGAATTGTGAGACTTTTTAATTGTTTAGAATTGAATGGAAATCGCAAATTGCCATCCAATAGATTTTGGTAATAGATTGATAAGATTCATACTCTTTTTCAGTTCACATGATGGATTCTCCTTCATGATGATGGAACTGAGAATTGTTCTTGATGATGATTATGGTGAAATTTCAATTTCAAAAGATTTACTCTCATGTTCATTTTAATCAACATCATCATTATAAATGAATAACAGAAGAATCAAGTTTCATTATGATGAAGGTAAAGAAAAAAATTTCATCATGAAAATTCAGATTCCAAAAAGGTAACATGGAAACAAGAATGAAACTCATAACCTATTATCTAAGTTGTTCATGAGTTTAGAACTTTCAACTTGAAGATATCATCATGTAATTTCATCATCATCATCATCATGGTGAAAACTGAAAGAAAGTTCAGAGAGTTGGCTTGAAATCTACTAAGATTTTACTTCTCGAAGATGAAACTTTTTTTTTCTCCCGAAAAAGTTGATTACTGTTCATATTTTGTTAACAAATTGTTAATGTTGTTATAAGTTGATTATCATCAAAAGCAACATTAACTATTAAACAATTAACTCTAATTATCTTTTCACGGTAAAGTTCAAGCTGGATTGTGGCTGGTAAAGCTGATCCATCGGCTCCACCTCGAATTCATATTCACCCTGATTCACCCGCCAAGGGTTCCCACTGGATGAAACAAGTAATTTCATTTGATAAAGTTAAATTAACCAACAATCAACTAGATGACAATGGACATGTAAGTTTATAATTAACTCTCCGAATGAAAACAACAACAACAATTAACTTAATTGCTTCCATTATCTTATAGATTATATTGAATTCTATGCATCGATTTCAACCTCGATTCCATGTAATCTACCTGGCAACTAATTCTGATCAATCTGAGTCGGAAATTAATTCTAATTGTTATGGAATCGATAATTTTAAAACATTCATTTTCCCAGAAACTTCATTCATGGCAGTTACAGCTTATCAGAATCATCGAGTAAGTTGTTTAATTAGCTAATCAACAATTAGCGTAAATTAATGGATAACAATTGACTAATTTTCCTTTTGTTTGTTTAAATAAAAATTACCATGAAAGTTAATTAGTGTAATCAATTAATCAGCTGGATAGAGAGAGAGAGAGAGAGTTAAAATTATGATTGTAATTACAATTGAAATGATGATCAACTACTATGATTATTATGATGATTTAATTATTATTAACTTTAACTGTTAACCGCTAATATAAATAAACAATTTAAATTGTTTCCTGTTAATCATCAGGAGTGAAAATTATTGGTGATAATAAATCAATTCTAACAATTAAAACTAAATCAACAATCTCAAGGAAAATAAATCAATGAGAAAAGAAAAATATTAATTTAACTTTAATGAGAGTCAACAATTTATGATAACAATTAATAAATTATCTTACATTGGAAAGTCAATCCATGTTAATCATCATAACAATTAAAAAAAATTTCTACCAAAAAAAAGACTATAATTTAAATTATTTGCAATTTAGATCATAACAATCAATTGATTGCTCTCAATTTCTTTGATTGTTAATTGACTATTGATATGATGAAGTTAATTTAGTTTCTTATCTCGTCTAATACAATTTAATTACTCCATTGTGATTAATGGTGATGTATGATAATCAATTGATTGTTTCAAAGGTCAACAATTAACTAATTCTGTCTTGATTGTTTCCATTGATTAGATTACACAATTAAAAATAGCCAGCAATCCGTTTGCCAAAGGATTTCGTGATTGTGATTTGGATGAATGGTAAGTTAATTGTTAACAATTAACATACTAATTGTTTACCATAATATAAATGATTATAACCCAATTAATATTAATTGTAATGATAAATACACTAAGACAATCAAATCTAATTGCTCTGTCCTTATGTTTCAGCAGATGAAAAATCAAATTGAATCAATTGATTTCCAAGCCAATCTAATCATCGGATTCAATTGCAATTAAATTTAATCAACTAATGAATTAATCATTAAACAACAACAACATTGATCCAGGAATTAAAGTATCATCACAATTAAGTAACAATCAGTAAATCATATCAACTCCACATCAATTTAGTCAATAACTTTTTCTCAAAGGATCAAATTTTCAATGACAACAATTAACTGATTGATTTTTAAATTGATCTAAACCAATCAATCTCAATCTAATAGTCATCAATTAATTAGAAATTAATTAACCTCTCTCTCAATTGATTTAGAAATGGATTAACTGAAAAATTGAGATATTAAATTGTTGAAAGTTAAATTGATAAAAACAATTAAAAAAATGTAAATAAATCAACTAATTAATCCTGTAAAACATTTAATCAAATTAATTAAATTACAAATGAGAAAAGGATACATTAAAAACCTTAATTGTAATCAATTTAGTAATTTAATTATTCAACCAACAGTAATTACTTTTTGTTTAGTTGATCAAATTACTAGGGATTCATGTGTTAATCAAAAGCAAACTGTAAACAATTAACTTAATTGTTGCCTCAATGTTGATTGTTAAAAAACAAAGACAAAACAACAAAGTAATTTGAAACTTTAATTAATTAGTTCATTACTTTTAATGATGAACAGTTTTAATCACAATCAACAGTAGCAATCAAACTAAATCATTATTTCATCATAATGATAATAATTAAAAGTAATTAGATAAATTATTAAGTTAATTGTTACATTAAGGGGAACACAATTAGTTTTGAGTAAATATAATTAACGGAGTAAATTAACAAACCAACAATTAATTCACTTTCTTGATTGTTAATCAAATCAACCGCTTCTCAGATAATCAATCATCTTACTCTTACTTTAATGATGATAACAATTAACCCGCCTGATTTGATACAATTAACTTAATCATAACCATCAGAATGATTTGCAAATAAGTAAATCAATAAATTGTTGATTCAATTTTCGTAATCAATGTCAACAAATTAGATTAACAGATTGAAAATGTAATCAGATTAAATTACCGGATAGAAAGTGAATCAAATCAAAATTACAATTTAATGAAAGAAAAACTGATTAAATAATTTAAAGTTGATTAACTGATTTGATCACAATTAATAAAATTGGGTAGCAAATTAACATTAATAATGAAGCATATGTTTGATTTAATTGTTGACAAAGCACAGAATTGATTAACTTTTTGATTGTATCCAATTTCCTGGGATGGAAGCAACAATTTAACCAATTGCTTGCTAATTGTAACCATTTAATTGTTGCAGTATTTATTATATTCAATTTAAAGATTGTGGGATTATATTTAATTGCAATTGAAAGTTAATTGTTGCTAAGAAACTGAAGGTTTAACATTAATCAGCTGAGAAAGTGAATTGTTTACATTTTGGTTTAGCATTTTGATATTTTTCAATGAAAATTCAATTGATTTGTTAATTGTTTACAATTATGTGTTTACTATTTTTCCAATTAATTAAACCCAAATCAGTGAATTCATTTAAATTAATTTTAATTAGTGTTCGTGATGAATATATGAATCGACCGGCAACTAGTGCATCATGTTGGTCGGATAATCAAATAATTGGAGGTAAATTAAAATTGTCAAATTGTCTAATTGTTTTTGTTTACAGATCAACAATTAGTTGATTGTCATTTAGTTGACAGAATGATAATATTGTCAATGGGGTTTCAAGGGTTAAAAAAAATCAATCAACAATCAGATTGTGAGTAAATTGTTTCAATGGCAGATCATCAATCAATGATTAATCATTGATGATAATAAGGTTATCTATGATTATCTTACCTGATGATGATGGTGATGATGATGATGATGCTGGTGGTTAAAGTGATAATGATGATGATGATTTGGAAGCCAAGGATTTTTGTAACAATCAACAATATGGAATCAACAACAATTTAAATCTTTCACTCTCTCGGTGTTTATATTATTCACTTTTGGTGTTACATCAACAATTTATGGTTTAGATTTGATGGTTTTTTGTTTGTAACTGTTTCCTTGATGATAAACTATGAAGATGATGAGGATGAGGATGAAAGTTGATTCCTGTTTATGGATTTGATGGTTTATTATGAGATTTTTGTTCCCCTTCAAAAGGATCAACAAATTGTTACAACTATTGTGATGATGATGATGATAAATGTTTACAACAAACAATCAACAGGAACAGTGGAGGAGAGAGAGAGAGAGATAAGGTGTTTCCAATGAATCTTTTTCCTCTCTCACTAACTCACTTGCTTTCTCTCTCTCTCAAGGTAACTGGTGGTTGTTATTACTTGACACTCAGGTAAAAGAGAGGGAGTTAGAGAGAGAGAGAGATATATATTCAGGTATGAATTTTTCTTCTCAATTTAAATTCTTCTTCTTGATCTTTTCATTTCACTTTCCAATGGACAATGTTTACATATTGATGATGGAATTTGATTATTCTCTTTCTTTTCTTATTCTCTTGAATTTTTCTGTTCTTTTCTCAGATTCTATGGTGTATAACATATAAAGGAAACATGTTTACAAACGGATACATTAAAGTGTGATGTCATTTTAAGCCAAATTTCTCATCATCTTCTCTCTCGATCTCGATCTCTCTCTCTCTCTCTCACTCCAATGTCTTTCTCTTGGAGTGTATGTTTAATGATGGAAGAGGCAAAAATAAAGGACAGACTCCGAAGGTGGTTTTTAGTTTTCCTCCATTGATCCAGTTACCTTTCCACCTCCTCGTCATCATCATTGAAACAAGAGAGAGAGAGAGAGAAACATGTTGGAGAGAGAGAGAGAGAGCGATTTTTATCATCTCTTCCTGATGATGAAGATGAAGATAAAAAAGTAGAAAAGATATAAATCTAACATGTTCGTATTTCTATTCAACGCCGACTCGATACATGGAATAATATTATCTTGTTCCAATGTTGATCATATTGTTTTCCTCGTGACTTTCATCTTTCATCTTCCATTTTTATCATCATGCTTTTTATTAATATCTTTTCTCTCTCTCTCTCTCTCTCATCTACTTACCTGATATTATTTCAAATACTAACCATCATCATGATCAATTGTCTAGATGCACAATAATAACTTACCTGTAATAACATTTTCCATTCTTAATCTTTCATCTCTACCAAATTAACCAACATCATTAGACTCTTATTATTATTAGACTCACCAAAATGACCACTTGACCAAATCAATTGTCAATCTATTTTCTCATCTTCCATTTATCATCCAACTTTTTTCTTCTTTTCATATAACAACAAATCCAACATCTAACAGGTTGTTACTATTATCGAAATACATTGAAACAATTTCTCAAATTATCCTTCTCATTGACTCTATCATGTCATTTTCACCTTAAATTCAATTATCTTGACGATAAGTATTCAGTTTATGGTCAATTTCAATCCATCGATGACATGGATTTGATATTGTTATTGACTTAATTGTAACCATTGTAACAAATATATACTCTTATATATATTATTGAATGATAACAAACCATCAACAGCTTTTAACCATTAACTGAATACATATAACCATTAATGTAATAATCAAATATACAAAATGTATATTCACTTGATAATGGTCAATATATTAATGACCACTGGTGTATGAACAATAACCTAATTTAAACACAGCCTGAGTTTCCTCAGTTAATTACGATACATAATCTCAACAAACATCTCATTGATTTTTCTTAATTTTATTATTCTTTTCCTTTGATTATTATTATACGATTATAATTGAATCTGGAACAACAATTTAGCCCAAGACATGGAACCAGGACGAGAAGGTGGAACCTGGTTAGCAATTAATCCGATTACAGGGAAACTTGGAATCCTTTTAAATATCTTAACAGTTAAATCGGATATTAATCCAAATGCTCTTGGTCGAGGTAATAATAATCATCCATCATTAATTAACTTAACCAGAGTAAACAAGTTGATCATGAAACGATTATAATTATTATTAGTTAGCTAACTTGACAGAATATTAATAATCATCATGATTAACTAATTGTCTATAAGAGAAACAATTTCCATATGATTGTGGCAACTTAATTATCGTTGAAATTTGACAAATCAACTAATTCTAATTAACTTTCACTCACTCTCTCTTTACAATTTATCCCAAAGTTCAGATTAATATTAATCATGATCATAATCAGCTTTCTTGCTCATTCACTAATTAGCTAATATACTATTAGAATCGGTTAATTGTGATGATATAGTTTTTGATTATGGTTTAAGGTGAAAAACAATTGCTCGTTTGAGTTGATTCCAATTCTCGAGAATCAAGATGATTAATGATTAAGGTTTTGAAAGATTGTCAAGAGATTTTTTCTCATCTTCTCTGTCTTCGATCTCTGTCTAAAATAATCTATCCCTTTATCCCTGTGGATATTATAATAATGATAAAACATGGCGACATGATGATGAATGATCAATAATATCCACTGAGAATTGAATTTGTTGGTTAAATTGAGAGATTGATGTTCACCATTAGGATTTAGTTTACTATTATTTTCATGATATGATTTGTATTCTTGTTCAGAGTTGTTGTTATTTTTTTTTCTGTCTCTCCATCAAACAATAATCAACAATCAACAATAAAGCTTAATTGTTGATGGCATTGGAATCATAATTCATGTTGATTCATTGTTCTAACTTGATAATCTCATCAATAAATCATAATCAACTTTTTTCCCCTTCTGGTTAATCAGCCATTCAATTGTTACGTATCAATTTTTCAATATTGATAGTTAATTGTTTCCCTTTCATTTGATTTTCAGGTAAAATTGTCACTGAATTTATCAATTGTCATGATACTGGAAACTATTTAAAATCATTAGTTGATTGTTCATCTAATTATAATGGTTTCACTTTGGTTGCTATTGATTTAAAATCTGATCCATCGGTGGCTTATGTTAACAATTATAATCAACCATCAGTTGTTAATCTTAATCCAGGTAAATTGTTGATACGATTTGGTTGACTTTATTTTGGTTGATTAAAGTTAATTGTTGAGCTATTGTTGATTCGTTTAAAAGGAATCCATGGATTTGGTAATGCTCGTAATCCATTGGAACCTTGGAGAAAAGTTAATTATGGTTTAGATAAATTTCGTGACATTGTAACGGAAATTAAATCAACTGATCGTAAACAAGAATTGATTGACAGATTGTTTCATATGGTTTCAGATGACACAAAGTAATTTAATCAAATTCAACCATTTATTTATAATTATGTAAACATAAATCACTATTTACTTAATTCACAACAATTAGATTACCCGATGATGAGAGATTAAGGAGACAAGCATATGATTGGCCTGATAAATACTTGAAACAATTAAACTCATTGTTTGTTGAGATTCCCAATAAGGAATATGGATCAAGGTAAATTGTTGATTGTCGACAATTAACTTTGGTTGATTAATCTTTTTCCGCTTTTATTTTTCATTGATTCCAAGAACCTGGTCAATTATTCTGGTTGATGGTCAAGGAAACGGAGATTTCATTGAGAGAACTCGAGTTCCACCAATACAATTCTCTGAGAATCAAATTAAATCCGATTGGAAAGAGACTCGATTGTCTTTTCAATTGTCGAGTTGATTTCATAAGTTCTTAGTTGATTGTTAATTTCGATCACAATTTATGATATCACGATTTTCGCTACACGTTTAGTGGCCTTTCTGTCGATGGTCAAGCTCATCGAAACTTTATTCAGAGATTAATCCATCAATTAAGTCATTTGGAATTCATTAAGATTCTGATTGGATCACTTTCTTCATGTTATCATGTTTTTATGAATAATTGAAGTGATTAAAGTGAAGAAATGATTTAGATTATTTCTAATTTGATTGCGGAAAGAAATATTTTTTTCTCGGAAGAAATGAAACAATTTTTTGTTTTAGTAAATTGTTGTTGATTAAATTGAATGTTGGTGTATAAAAGGTTGACAATTAACAGACAATCAAAATGAGCGACAATTGGTCAAGATTTAAATTAATTTTGTTGCTTTCAAAAGCATCGATGACAATGATTATGATAGTGATGATGATCAGAGTGATTTAAAATACATTGATGTAATTAATTTACGTCAAATATACTAGGCACTAATATTTCATCAATAGTTAATGATGGTAATTAAAAGGTAACATTTACAATCAATTGTTAGTATTTGGATGTAGCAATTAACAAACTAAGAGATAGAAAAAAACTTGATGAAATTGAAGCTCTTGGTTTTTTCTGTTCTTAGTTCAAGTTCGAGTTCGAGTTCGAGTTCTAGTGATTGAACCAAGAGAAAAAGAAAGAAAGAAAGAAGAGAGAGAGAGAGAGAGAGAGAGATTAATTCCAACACTAATTAGTGAAGGATTTTCATCATTAGCAGTTTTGAGTTGATTTGTTTTGTTTTTTGGCATCAAAATTAATGAATAGTTTTGGTTGAATTGTTGTTGTTGTTGATTGAAAATTTGCATAAGTGATTAAATCTTGAGTGTGTTGATTTGTGTAAATGTTGAGGTTGATTAAGTTTGAGTTAATTTTGATAGTTGATTAAATTTCACCGGAGGAACTGTTACAACTACTGTTTGAACTAATACTACTGACACTTATATTAAGCACATTGGAGATATTGGTTTGGGCAGTGTTGGAGTAAATGAATCTATTATTTTCACATGGACGATTATTATCACTTGTTGATGGTAAATGATGATTATCATCTTCATCATCATCGATACTACTACTATTGTCACTAACGTTGGAAAGACTATTTTCAAATGACTTGATTGATTCCATTGTTTGATTACATAAATTTGGATCAATTGGACTATTACTTAATTCTCCTTCCTCTGGATCACCTTCAACCGATTCATATGATTCAATTTGACCAGCATCCGTTTCCTCTTTCTCTTCAAGTTCTAAATCAACCTCTCCATCTTCTATTTCTTCTAATCCATCATCTAAAACTTTCTCTTCTCCTTCTCCTTCATCTCTTCCTCCTTCATCGCCATCAACTCCTTTCTCGTTTGTGCAAAGTATCAATCGAAGTGGCTCTTTGCTTTGATCTCGGTTTAAATTGCTTGCCCTGAGTTTCAACATCTCCTCTCGTAGTTTATTGAGTATAGCATAATTTGGACGATTAGCACATGCAGTGTTCTGAAGTTCGGTGATTTTCTGTTCTTCTTCCTGTAAAATGAAAAAAATACAATAATTAGCAAAGAGTTTGATATGATGTTGAACTTTTTCACAATCGATATTTTATCAATTCTAAGCTTAAAGAGTTATCGATCTCCTCTCTATGACTTGGCCACTTTCCATTGAGATTTAATCTCTTTCAGAATCGATTACCTTTTTCTCCTTTGGTGTTTTACAAGAACCTCGACCATAGAGTCGTAATAATGATCCCCATGAGTTAATTTGTGGATGAAGAAGTTGAAGAATCGCTTGAGCAGCTCTTTGTTTACCTTCCCTTTTATTACGACAAATAACCTGAAGATGAGTTAGAAAGAAAACAATTAAATCAAATTATCGATACCAACGATTTAACAAACAGAGTAAATTAAAAATCATACTCACAGTTGCACTATGTTTACCAACTTTCATGGTAAATTCATTCTTTTGGTGTTTTACTAAACGAACATCGGTTTTGATCTCTGTATCTCCCATACCGTAGTTTCTGAAATTTTGATGAACAATTCATTAATTTCGCTTTCTGATGAAAGAAATTATCATGATAAATGTTTTACCTTTTTAGACATTCAACCAGAATTTGATAAGGTGAATGCTGACCTGCTTTGGCACACATTTCACTTACTCGAGGATCTTCAACTTTGATATCATCGAAAAACTGATCAAGAAGAAGATAATTTAGTTAATTGTTACTAATCAAGAAGATAAAGGTAAGAAACACATTGAATTAAGTCAACGTACAGTTAAATCTTGCATCGATGTGTCCACTTTACCGTTACCGTCTTGAGTCATATCCCTTATATCAGGTATAAGTATTTCCAGTGTCGCACGAGCTGAAAAACAAACAAACAAACAAACGATTAATTATTAATAACTAACAATTAACTGATTTTCTATATAATTAGTTATTCAATTTACCTGCTTCAGATTTAGCTTGCTTTTTACTACTTCCATAGCCAACACCATATTCCATATCATTGATTAACACAGTTGCACTATAAGGCATGCTGGCATTTTCTGAAACAATTTAATTAGTTAATTGTGATACCAAACAGTTAGGAAATTGTTAAAAGTTAAAAAAGTTTACCTAATTCTTTAAAGACATATTTAGGTTGAACTCTTTCAGCGTGTTGAACAAATTCATGTAAAATGCAAACCGCTGATTTACCGGCAGGATTCATAACAAATTCTAGAGGAAAAAAAGTAAATAATAATTGTTGAGAACAATTAATCCGACTGATTAAGAATAAACCAATTATAATCAATAAATGTATTTCTCTTGGTGATACCTTTCCTGTAGGATCTACGAGCTGGATCACCGGATTCGGTGTGTTTAGGAAGTGGACAGGTAATTAATTTAGTTCCTTCAGGCTATTAGGAAAGAGAAGAGAAATGAATTGAATTAAAATCAATAATAATTATAGACAAATTGATTATCTAATTGGATTAACTAGATTTAATTGATTCCATACCAGAGAGGGTCTTTGTTGCATCTTTCTTAATTGCACATGTCTCCTACGATCGGCCCAAGTTCTGGTGATATATTGTGAAGAAAAATATATTCATGGTGATTAGTTTATGAATGAGAGGAGATGTAAAGAAAAGAGAATCAAATTAACTAATTACTCACTTAAATTTACGTATTGTAATTTCTTGAAATTCGAAAACTTTACCACAATATTCACGAATCGAAAGGTAATCTAAAGATTTCTCTTTTTTGGCTTCTTGGACACTCTCAACTTTGGCTAAGATTGGAAGCTGATTATTTTTATCAATCGATCCTCCATTTAGACAATTGCTTTCGGCTGATTGATTGGAAGAGAAAATCGTAGATAAGTAATTAATTAACAAGTTCTAGAGAGTAAGAGAAAGATAACTAACAAGGGATAGAGAGATTGTGTATTTACCTTGATTAGAACAATCGTTTTGAGAATTTATTACAATTTCTTCATCGGTTAGGGTAATATTATTTTCCTTCAATTCTTGAGATTTCTCTTTTTCAATTTCCTTTTTATAAGCAAGACATGGAATAGCTGAAATTGGAACTTCATGTTTCTATGTTGATAAAATTAATAGAAGAGAAAATAATATTAGAAAAACAATTAGAATGAAATTGTATCAAATGTTAACGGGGAAAAATAGGAATTAGGAGAAATGGTTTATCCTATGTAATCAGGATTGTAAAGATGAGGAGAACAGCTGATGATGCAAAAAGCGATCATAATCATTTGACTTTTAAGATTATCATTGTAACATAACAATTGGTTACAATTAGTAAATCATGATGATGTTACGGGATATCAATGGAGGAAATAGAATAGAGGACAAAATGGATACACACTCTTGCACTTCCTGGACCCAAGTAATAAGGTTTTGATAATGTGCAAACTCTTGACTGTTTATGGAGATAAATCGGCATTCCACTGAAATGAGTAACTTCAATCCATCCTTCTGGAAGCATCTCAAAGTAATCTTGTTCTCTTTCTAGAGAGAGAGAGAGATGAAAAAGAATATTTGAAAATTAGAATAGAATTTTTGACAAATTCTATTCTCTCTGAATGGTGAACTTACTCTTCAATACAATCTTCTTGCGCTCCTCGTGTGTTGGGTAGGAATGTTGAGAGGAAGCTTTTCCTTTTTCAAGACCTTCTCTTAGACCTTCTTCCAGCATATTATCAATATCATCCAATGGAATATCAGAATCAGAATCATACATAATCTCCTCATCACTTGATTCCTCTTTTCCATCAGCTTCTCCATTTAAATCACCACCACCACTCTCACCGTTTTCATTGTCTCTTCTTCGCCTTTTTTTACCTCTTCCATAACCAACTGGGCAGCCATTATTTTCTTGATAATTTTCACCACAATTAACTGGTCCATGGTTTCTACCCTCATTAAAATTACTTCGTCGTCGTTTATTTGGATAATCATCTTCATCATCCTCAAAGGAACTCATTTTCAGATTTTCTTTTACCAAACTCTCCAACCCTCTAAAAAACAATAATAACAACCAAAAGAAAAAGGTAAAAAAAAAACAAACAGTAGACAAAAAGATGAAGAGAAAAAAACTCTCGGTCAGGTAAATTTACACATGTGAGTAAATGGATTAGTAATTGATGATAGAAATTAAATTACAATTTCACATAAAATAAATCTAATTAAATTGATATTACAAAGGGAAACAATCACAAGGCAGAAAAACATAAAGACTTTAAAAACCAGAAAAAAACACCAACCGATTCACGATTTAGTTGGAAAAAAGAAAACCAGATGCCGCCACTTGTATTCGAAACCCGAAAATTAATTTTTTTGTCCAACAATTAAAACTTAATTGGATTGAAGAATAAATAAATTGCAATTTATTGAATGGACAAAATTGAAATTTAATTTTCTAAATTAGTATTAGGGTTTTTGAACGAATTTTGTTCAATGGGATTGGGATGAGAAGGAATTACAATGTGATTGTCTCTTTAATCGTCATCATCGTTGTCGTAAACGACAAATGGTCTCATTTGTTTCGTGATCATATTTGACCTTCTATTACCTTGAGGTTTAGCGATTGAGGTTAGTAAAGGTGGAGGGGTTGTGGTGGTGGTGGTGGTGGTGGGTGGAAGTTGTGGTTCGATTGGTGGTTTTCCTGAAATTGGAAGATTTTCAAAGGAAAATATTGGAAAATCATTTGGAGCATTTTTCCCAGAATCGGTTGAATATCCAATACCTGTTGGAATAATTGATGAAATTGATTCCAAGTTCCCTTGAGTGGGTAACTTGAACAAAGGTGATTCCAGAGTTTGATTGGGTCCACCCGATAGTTTCGATAACATTTTCTGTACAGTATCGATTTCCATTTTGTTTACATTTTCCATTGAACTGATACATTTAGTGACATCCATACGAATTTGAATCATGGTTCCTTTCAATGAACTTGTCAGAGAATTCATAATATCATTCAGTTCAATAGCTGAACATCCTCTTGGAAAGCAAAGAGCATAAGTCAAATCGAAAGTTCTAAGAGAAACAATTAGCAACAATTAGCAACAATTAGAAAGGTTAAATCTCGTACCTTAATTGACAATTTACCAAGTTAACCAAATTTCCACTCACCTTGGTTGCGATTTAATTGTTACATTGGTCACATGGTCAATCTGACAGAATTGACCATTAGTATTGTTGAGACATTGTTCAGGTCGAACAAGTTTAACAATCTTCTCATGATTCCCTGATTTATAATCTTCAAGAACGGCTGAACGATAGATTAAAAAGGAATCAGTTAATCATCGTAAACTTTTTTCTTCCAATATCAGAACTTACATGAAAATCTTTCAGGGGTTAACTGATTATCGGCCATGAATTGATTCCAAGATGAATTACATTGTGGACTCGAAATCGATCCAATATCAATTCTTTCAAGTAAACGTTTCAAACTTTTCTGACTACTTTTGATCATTAATCTCATGAAAAGTTCAATTTCCTTTGAATCTTCATCCGAACCTTGATTATCATCATCGTCAGAACATTTTACCAAATTATTGAAAAGAAAACAATTTACAAGTAGAAAAGTTAACATACATTTTGGATGAAACATTTTCTCAAATCAATAATTAACTTCAATTGATCAGTTGAAACTTTCAATGGAAAACTAATTAGTTAAATCTAATGAAAAAGTCAATTGTTATTTAGTTGAAAGATTCATCATTCTCTTGCATCATTTACAATGAAATGATCACGATTGAAGGTCATCTATTAATCAATTTCAATTGTTCTCAATTATTTCCTTGTTTTTTTTCAGGAATTAAATCAAAATTAATGTTCCAATAAAAATTAATATTAAATTTCAGAAGAAAAAAAGTTTAATTGTATTGATAAGATAGAGAACTAGATGGCGCAACTGGTTGTTGTGTATTCGAAATTTATTTTCCCAACAATTAAAACTAAATTAACTCGAAAGAAATTAACTGATTGATGGGATTTTCTTTGATTGTAATCGAAAATCATAAAGCTCGAAGTAATAGATTCGATCGAGTGATAATCTTTCTCATTCGATATGAGAGAATTGGAAATGTTCAAAAAGAGAAAAGTTTTTTCTTTTTTTGTTTATTATCAAAGTTTCCAAAGATAATTAAAAGGTTGATACATTAATTTGTATGAGTTGATGTTTTTAAGAAGGTAAGATGATGATGTAAGAAGAGTAATTAAAATTTAAGGTGATTGAGAAGGTGGATTGTGTGTGTGTGTGATGGTTGATGAGAAAAAAGGTAAGAAAGAGAAAGAGAAGGAGAACATTTCGAAAAAAAGAAAAGAAAATTTTAAGACGAAAATAGAATTTTGTTCTAATTCTTTTTTTTCTGTTCTAAATTATCTTAGAGATCTGCTTTGGTTGGAAAAGAGATCTTGGCATATTCGGTACCATGTAAGCTCGCTGGATGTTGTTGATTGTTATGATTATTGTGTTGATTATTTGGTAATTGATGTTGATTCTGTTGTTGGTGAGCTGCCATTGCTGCAACTGCCTGTTGATTGGCCATCATTACACCGGCCAAATTGCCCGCTGGTGTACCATTACCACGAAGACTAGTTCGTGATTGAATAACGGGCTTAGGTTTAGTTGTCGGAGGGATTGGACGTCCGCCTCCATTTTCAGCGTTATTAGTGAATTCAAGGTTTGCATAAACCATTTCATAGTTTTCTGGGTTACCCTTTTCTGAAGGAGGTTTAGTTTTAATTGGATCGGAATTATTGGTGTTTATTGATTGTGACAGTGCCTGTGAATCTTCACCCGATTCTTCATCACCGGCATCTTTAGGTTTACGCTGGCATTTCATCAACACCATAAGTAAAAAGCTTAACAAGATTGTCGCAAAAATGACCACCAAAACGGTACCAATAACAAAACCAAGCGAAAGCGGTGAGACAACTTTTAATCGAGCAATTCGAGTGGCCGTTCCATATTGATTTTTAACCACTAAGGTGTAATCACGTTCATCGTTAAGGTCAGTATCACGAATCTCTAATTGAGCCTCGTAACATTTAAATTGTTCGGACGGTGAATTTTTACTTTGAATGTTGTTCAAAGGTAAAATTCGATGACGAAGTAAACTGTTATTAGCTGGTACATTGTCGCTTTCAGGGTATGAAATTGCTTTAACATCTAATTGGGTTGACCCATAGTACCAGTGGACAGCGTTCGGCGCTGGGTCACAACAGAAATCAAGTGTTAAATGGCTCTTTTGACCTCGAGGACCTTCAACCAGCATTGGCTCCATATGAGGGAAAGCGGGTGCACCATAAATATCAAGCATCATTGGTGGACTTTTAATTACGTTGGTTACGTCGTTAATTATATTGGTCGCTTGGCAATAGTATTTACCTAATAATTAAATAGTGAAACAAATGGACAATTAATAAATAAAAAATACTAGTAAAAAAACTTGAATTAGTGAGATACACAAATCAAAGTTAATGACCATAAATACCAACTAACTGATAGTAATAAAAATTTAAAGTAATATAATAGCAATTAGATTAACTATGATAAGAAGTTGAAAACAACATGAAATAATTGATGATTATTAGACGATTAATTATAAATTAAGAGGATAAATGATGATATTAATACCTTCATGTGAATAAGTTGCATTTGCGATTAACAAGATTTGATTGTTATCTGAAGGCATATCGATACGATGATGTTGACTTGTTCGTGGGTCAATTTGGTACCAATGGACTTCGGGTTTAGGATTACCATCAAAGAAACAATATAATTTGATAGATTTACCAGTTTGAACTGATTGTTCAGTTGAATAATTAACTGAATGAGGTTGATCTGTTTTGATAGAGAAGAAAGAAAAAAAAAATAACAACAATTGATCATCCGTCATAGTCACAATTTGATATTGATGATGAAAATTTGTAACAATCAATTTTCAATCCAATTGATTTATCAACTTACATAGAACGTCAATTCGGACGGGAACTGGCCTGGCAACTCCCTTCTCATTTTGAGCGAAACATTCAAAAATAGCTCCGTTCATATCCCGTTTGGCCTCTCTGAACCAAAGGACAGCGGGATTTTCCGACAACACGGGTGCACCTACAGAGACAAAGAAAGAGAAAAATAATAACAATTAACCAATTTAACAATCGAAAAGATGTAAAATCAATCAAATTACTCGTTAGTTTTTGTGTAACAATTTAATGACCTTTCAACTCTCTAGGTTTTAAAATGGTTTCCTTGTAACAATTAGTATAACCATTAAGATTATGTGACCGAAACTGTTGATCAACTTACATAATAAACTAAAATCAGTTAACTAGTGTAATTTAACAATTTGAAACATTTATGATTAACTTTGCGTTCAGCTTAATATCGTTTTCTCAAGTAAACTGACCTCTCTCAAAGGTCCGATGGTCAAATTTGGATCACCAATTGATATAAACACATAAAAAAAAGTTAATTTATTATCATTATTATGATTAGTTAGTAAAAGAAACTAAAAAATTAGCAAAACAAGTTAATCATGTAGCTACTTGTATATTAAAGCTGCCGATAATTTTAATGGTCAGTGTTTGTCCAGTAAATTACTGTATTTTTAACTCTAATTGTTGCTAATTCTGATTAAATACTATTTGCGTTTTAGAAACTTGATTAGTTGTAAAATTTTGCGTTTTTTGCAGAAATTTTTATGACCATTATATCAATGCAATTGATGTTATTATGTCATTGATTACCAATCATCATGAAAGGCGTAATTGGTAAATTGTTGAAGGTTTAATGATATAAATTATTTTTTTTTCTCTTCTAATTATAACAATTAAACTGTAATTACCTCTTGCTTGGTCTTTCCAAAATACTGTTGCCGGTGGATTGGCATCAACTTTACAATCAATACGAATCTCGGATCCCTCTTTCACAGAGTAAACGGGTTTGGGTACCGATAGAATTGGTATATCTGATGGATTAAGATTACGATTAGATTAACACTTATCTAAGATAATTAATTTGAAAGTAAATCACTTACAAAGAACTTTAATTGTAACTGCATCATAGGTTGATCCAGTTTGGTGATTAGCTTGACAAGATAGAGTTTGATTATTGTGCTCTTGGGTGAATTGATATTTTAATTCTGACATCGTCAAGGTATCTTTCTTTCCGGTTGCCGTGCCGGGAACTGTAGTCCGAGAAGTGGCCTAAACATAATATACAAGGAGAGAGGGAGGGAGAGGGAGAGAGAGAAAAATTGTCATCCAAAAGGATATCAGGTTAATGTTACCATTGAATAGAAAGACATAGTTATTATTAATGCAATGGAAAAAAAGTTATCATGTTTGTTTTTTATTGTTGATATCAAGTGACCTGTCATTTGAAAGGTCCGATGATGGCCTACACTCTCACACATACATGATGATGATGTTGAAATGGTGATGAAAAAAAAGAGATACTTTTGAAAGTGAAAAGGAGGACAAGTAAGAGAAAAAAGAAAGAAAGAGATAACTCAATACAGGCAACAATTGTAATGGTCAAGCGTAATGACCTGGACAATGACATGGTTGGGTAAACTTTCAGGTTAAATTGTGCCCATCCAGGTAGACGTTTAGCAACCAATTCGTGTGCCAACGTTTAGAATGTTTGATTTTTCAATTCTTTTCTCTCTCTCTCTAACTTTTATCTTCCTTTTCTTTTAACATGATGTATAATCTTTATCCGCATCATCATCATCATCATCATAGCGTTTCAATAGATTAATGATTAAGCCCCTGAATAGGTAGGAAATGCTCATACAGGTAATGATTGAAGGGGGAAGGAAAATAATTACTTGTTATCATCCTGATGATGATGATGATAAAGAAAGAAAGAGGTGAAGAAGAGTGAAAATTGTTCAGTAGTAAGATAAACACGCCAATTTATCACCTTCTCAGTAAATCTACACACACTATCGATCGCTGTTGTTATTGACTGGAAAATCATCCAAGGATGACCTGGTCAAGAGCTTGAAAGAAAATCCATCAACTCAGTTTAACGAAAATTTAAATTCCATGTTCGTTACGCTTCATTACAAGCATCATCATCATCATCATAATCTCTCTCTCTCTCGCCTGTCTACTGAAAATCTTATTTTAACCATCACAGTGGACACACAACATCGTGAGGCTACTTAAGGTACAAGGTCATTCAACAGAAGTTATTTTTTGCAAACTGTCTTTTCTTTAAAACTCTATAATTGATTAGCTTCATATGTCATTCTCATTTACATTGGTTATCATTTGACAATCAATTGATTAACTGTTAAGTGATTTAATCTCTCTCTCTCTCTTTCTGATGCTTTAATCCAGCCCAAATAAACGGTAAAACAAAACAACAAAAAGTAATTCAAATTTGAGCAATTGTTTGATGATGAGGAAATCCATTGTTTCAATTACAATCAACTAATGGTCACTTACCTGGTCAGTTATGTTTTTATCATTGAGGAACCATTCAATTTTTGGTAAAGGGTTTCCATTGTAAACATTACAGGTAATCACTTCACTTGAATTTGCCGTAATGGGAATGGTTTGAGCATGTTTAGGCTACAATTAAGAAGGAAAGAAAAGAGAGGGAAAAAAGTGATTTATTGATTAGTTGTTAAAGATTAGAAATTAACAAATTGTGAATAAATATAAATCATTACAATTAAAAGAGACTAAAAATATCAAACTGAGAGAGAGAGAGAGAGAGAGAGAGAGAGAGAGAGAGAGAGAGAGAGAGAGAGAGAGAGAGAGAGAGAGAGAGAGAGAGATGATCAATTAATTGTAGCTTTAAGGCAGCAATTTGAGTATGAAAACGCAAGAAAAAAATCAAACTAATTGCAAATTCCAACTAAATACAATTTAACTGTAAAAATTAATCAACTTTTCAAAGTTGAACCAAAAATTCATGGTAATCTTAAAATGCTCAACGGTGACTCAGTGTGTTCTTGCATGATAATCATCATGATGATCATCATTATCCAATGTGAAGGGAAAACAGCAAAAACTTTGATATTTAAAGATGAGCTCGGAAAAAAAACTAACTAACTGATTGCTTTGCATATCATGTTGTTGTTGATTATTGTTCAGTGAAACAATTGGATTCATTGGATGACCTGATTAACTGATTGTTGTTGATAGGATGAGGTAAAAAAAAACAAATTTGCATTTATAGTTGGGTGACCCCTTTTAATTTTGTTGCATTTTTTCAGGCCAGGTAAGGGAATTGATGATAACCAACAAAATTTCATGAGACTTAAATGAAAACCGTTTAGTAACTTGTTGGACCAGTTGGGCTCTCTCTCTACATGGTGTTTGTATAAATTACATTTAAAAGGTCACCCCACCTCTCATTTTGTTGTTGTTTTTGTTCATCATGGTGATTGATTTAACTATTCAAATTGTATACTCATCATAAATGATTTGTTAATGATGATGATGATGGATATGTATACACATATAGTAGTAGTATAAATTTAAACGGGTAACAATTTAAATAGTAATTTGCGTTTTCTTTTTTCATGATTAACTGTCGTTGCAATTTTTAACGGTAACTTACCGATCTTTCAATATGTGGCCTATCAGGTCTTACTAGGACCGTTATTGTGATCGGCATGGATACAAGGCCTTCACCTACTCCCTCATAAGGTGGTGTCACTTGACATTGCCAGAGTCCTTCATGCTTTTCAAGTGATACTTTGTTTATTTTATAGCTACAATCACCTGTAGAGATAATAATAATAAAGATTAATTAAATTACAATCAATACGTTTGATTAATAATAAATTATGGAAATGAATGAGATGGAGGGAGGAAGGAAGATGAAAGGATAAAACGGAATTAATAGTAACAATGGAATCGAGTTGAGTTGTGTTGTAAAAATTGTGATGTAATTGTTGGTATTTTTTGCATTAATTCCGTTTCCCTTTCTCTTTACATTAATTCAGGAAATAATTCATGGAACAGTGAATAAAATGATTGGGAGGAGGGAGAGGTAAAAATCAACAAGTTTTCCAGGTGAAGCATCAGAAAAGAAACATCAAAGGTTTTATAAGTACCATTAGAAGGTCTATTTGTCCAAACGGCTCTAGTATTATGGTTCCAAACGCAAGCTCCTTGCAGGTTTCTCACTGTACAGGGTAATGTTGCGCTAGAACCTGGTTTTGAGGAAGGGAAAAAATCAACGGAATGAGATTAAATTGAATTGAAATAAAACACTTGACAGATGATGATGATGGTGACAATTGACGGATGACAATTGACTGTTGACAATTGGGGAACATGGTTCACAATTTTCAGCATCATCATTATTATTATGGTGCTATTACGGATGACAAAACATTATCTCATGAGGCTTTTTTTACTTCTTCATTCATATAAAAGCTCAGGTCAATCAGAGAACCATGAAATCTTTCATCTCATCACCAACTCAATCAAAAAAGGTAAGAGAGAGAGAGAGAGGGATAGAGGGAGAGATAGAGAGACACACACACTGATCAACAACAATTTAATTTCCTATTTAATCAAAGTTGAAGGTTTTGGATCAACAGATGAGAAGAGGAAGATAAAAGAGAGAAAAAGTAAGAGATTAACACTGAACATCCTGATTTCAAGTTTTTCAGATCAAGTGCATGATAATCATGGTGATGATGATCCATTCCCATCATGATTAGCAGAGAGAATTAGAAAAAAAAAACAAAAACAAATATTAACTTTTTTGAAAGAAAAACTTATTCCTATTTTTCATTCCTTGGACACACAATTAACTAAATTACAGAGTTAATTAGTAATGATATTATTATTATTATAATGATAATTTAAACTGGTAAACAGGGTTTCATGTGTTGAGACTGTTTAGTTGTTGATTGTAAATGAAAATCTAATTGTAAAGGGAACTCATTTCCAAGGCCTTAGTGATTATAATCACCATCATTATAATCACAATTAAAAAGTTAATCTTGAAATTTTCTTAACGTCTATCCGGCTATTTAATATCATTGAAATCACACAAAAGAGACCATAATTATTTACTAAATATACAAAGTTAATTTAATAACAATCATGTTAATGTTGGAGGTTTGAAGAAAAAAAATTGGTTGATTGTAACAATCAAGGAAATTGGATTGAGAGAAAAAAAGATTAATAATGATTGAAGGATGTCCATTGAATGGCGATTATGGGTCAAGTAAGAGAGTTAAATTAAATTGTGAGAAAGTTAAATCAAGATAATTAATATAAGAAAAAATTGTAACAATCAACGAAACAATTAAAAAGATTCTAACTCATGATATGAGTTAATATGGTGAAAGGGAAAGAAGAAAAAAAAACTTCATTGGATTAACAAGTGGATTAATCTAAATAAGGAAACAACAATTAATATCTAATTGTGAATAAACAAGTATCTTAATTGTGATCGATTGATTAATCACCTGAGATGACAAAATTAACAACAATTAACAATGACAATCTAAATGATTTGGAAAATGTTTGATCAAAAGTTTTTTTTTCTGCTTCCAATTGTTTTTCATTTTATCAATTGATTAATTCTGATTAAATAACAATTAATTTACCGTTAGTTTTGAATTGTTAGAAACTTTTAATCATGTCAAGATGATTAAATTTGTATTGTGTGTGAGAAAAGTATTGGTTAAACTTATTAATGAACAATTTCATTGATATCATTAACTTTAATTACTTGAAAATGGTCTTAATCAATTTTTCAAGATTCAATTGTTATCATCAAATTGATTATAACGATTGAAAATTGTTTAGCTATTTTTAAATTAGTCTGTAATTGTGATTAAACAGTAGTAGGCAATTGAGTTAACACTTATTTAAACACTCACTCAAATATATACAATCACAATTATCAAAAATTCAACAATCAATAAATGATGATAATCAACTAACTATTTATAGCAATTAAATTGTAAAAACAATCAACACTCAATGATAAAATGTTGATTTAAGGTATTGAAGGTAAGAGGTTAAAGTTTATATGCTTTGAATTTGAATTTTGTTTGTTTTTGCAAAGTAATTAGTTGATTGAAAAAGTTAATTGTTGTAACTTACCTTCGGCAATTGTTAAATTGTGGGTTGGTGTCTCCGAAAAGTATTGTGAAAAACCTGAAATAATTAAGAAATTAATTGTTAATCACAATAAAGAAAGCAAAAAATTAATCATGAGAAGATTAATCAAGTTTGAATTGAGAAGGGAAAAAAAGAACCAAATTAAGAGTTGATTAGAAAAGTTAATTCACTCAATAAGAAATATATTGTTGGTTGATTGTTTGTTTGTATCAATTTTTGATTATAAATGTATTTTTTGATTGCAACTAATTAATTAATTGTATTCCAAAAATAAATAACAATTGGAGTCCAACAGAAAAAAAATCAATAAGAATCAAAGAAGACAAAAAAATAAAGAAACATAATCCGAATTGGAGATTACAGGAACTGAATTAATTAATTGTTGATGGTGATACTTAACTGTCTGTAATGAAATAGTATTGAGATGAGGAAGATGATATTGATAGTAGGATGATTGTAACAATTAAACTAAAATTATTTAATTGTGATTTGTGATAATGATGATGATGGTAATGATGATTGAGTAAAGTTAATGTTGCCATTGAGATTTAAATTGAGAGGAAATCACAAAGTATATTTAAGGTTAATTAAAGATTATCATTAAAAAAACACTAATTAATTTTGCATAAAGATTAGACTATTGTTAATTACGAGGTTGATTAGGATGATGATTACGATGAAGATGAAGAAGATAGGAAGAGATGGGAAAAAGTGAGAGAGACAACATGAGAATAGAATTTTTTTCGTAAAGAAAAGCTTAATATCTAAAGGGAAGCCAATGTAATATCTCACAAATAACAATGATTATGATCAAGTGAATACATAGTAGCACTTAAGATGAAGATGAGGTAATCCGTGATGATGTGGATAAATGATTTAAGGTAAATATGATATTTGGAGAGAGAGAGAGAGAGAGTAAAAATCTTGATAGAATTGAACAATTTAAGAAATGGAAATGATCGTTTTTTTTGTTGCTTCTAAATGGCGAAGGAGAAAAAAAAAACAGAGAAAGTGAGAGCATTGAACGAAATTATGATGAAGATGATGAGGGTTCCATGGATACGAAAGAGAAGATGATGATAAAATAACAAACAGAGGGAGAAAGAATAGGGCGAGAGAGAGAGAGAGAGAATACAAGAAAAGGTGAGGGAGTTGAAAGTCGATTAGTAATAATCTAAGTTACCGAATAGAAATTATGTCTTTTTTTCGTACATTTTTTTCTTCATTTTCTCTATTCTCATCTTAATCATCCTCATCATCATCAATATCATCTTCATCTTCTCTGTGTCTGGGTGAGTCTTTCGTATCATTTTTCGCTCTCTCTCTCTCTCTCTCTGTCTATTTTTAGCTTTACGAGGTCTTGACTTTTTCGCTCTCTCTCCGAGTGATTTAAACAGAAACTTTTTCTCATGGTTGGTGCACTTTCTTACTTAAAATAAATGAGCTCACTACCGAGAAGGAGTGAATGATGATGGAAGATGGGGCGAGGGAAGATGATGATGAGGGCGAAAAACTATTTCCTCTCTCACTAATTCACTCATTTTCTTCCATAGGTGATTAACCAAATGTCCTAATTGTCCAGCGGAAAGATTTTCAATTTCTGGTTCAATGTTAAGCCAAAGGATGAAAATGAAACCATTAATTATGATTAACCAAATCACTATGCCCAATTGATTGAATATCATGATTATTGATTCATGATGATTACCATTATGGCGTTTAAATTGTTGACCTTGTAAGAAAATGGTTCATTTAAAAATAGTGATGATTAAACAGCAATCAAATTTAATCTCTGGTCTTTGAACTTGATCCAATTGTTTGTCTCTATTTTTAGATGTTATTTCCTTGTTGCCATTGACAATTTAAATATTGGCAGCGTGACAATTAAAATCGCATGTTATTAATTCAGTTGTTGAGTAACAATTAAGAAATGAAGATTAGATAATTGACTTAATCAATCATCTAATCAAATTGTATGAACGATTAGGATTAACTTTAAATCTTATAAATTGAAATTGTAATTAATACACTGATCAGAGTTCCGGTAGCTTGGATTACAATTTATCTTTCTGAGCATGAGAAAGTTAATTTAGTTCAAATTAAACCGTAATTTAATTAACTGTACACTTCAAGTTAATTGTAACTGATATAGTTTAAAGTGAATTTAAATTGATCAACAATTAACAGTTAATTTTCACAATTTTTGAATTATTCATATTAATGAACAATCAGATGACAAAACTTAATTGCTGTCGCTAATTTTGATGCTACATTTTTAATAATAATCAAGGACAGTTTAAATCATTAAGATGATTGTGATTCAAGAACAATTCAAGACAATCAAATGTATTACATGAAAAACAAAATTGTTATGATTAATTCAGTTGTGTGATCATATTATTGTGTTGAGAATCGTAAACAATTAACACAAATTTACTGTTACAACAACAATTAACATTATCAATCATTATTTCTCATCTCTCACAATCAATTTCAGGGTTAATAAAATAACGGTTTTTTTCATCATCAATGAGTTAATTCATTAAATCGTCTAACAATCAAGAAAATGGCGAAAAAAATAAATCAACAATAGTTGATTTTGATCAGAAAATTTTCACTATTTCGTTTTCCAGGTTAAACATCCTCCATTCTGTGAACAATGATTAACTAATTGTTCATAAATATAATGACAATTAAAATATTTGGGTAACACACAAATAACAATTAAAAGTAAATCTCAATGATTAAGCTTAATTGTAATACTAAATCAAATTAAATGATCATCTCATGAGGAGGAAAAAAGTTTTGACGTAAAATCGTGAAAGTTGATGAAAAAACTATTATGATTAACAATTGAATTTTGATTGTAATCAAATCAAGAAAATTTATATTAAAAAAAAACTTTAACAACAATTAGACTTAAAACATTGGATTAATGATGATTGGACGTGATTTAATTCAACTTGAAACAATCAAGAAAATCACAGAATGAATTGAATTATATGTCAATTAAAAGTGATTTGTAATAGTAAAACTAATTAGTTAATCAACAATGGATACGAGATGAAAGGTGGAAATGATTAGTGAAACATTTAAATTGTTACTTCTTGATTGTTGTGATTGCATGACCATGAAAAGCGTTATCATTATTAAACAACAAAACTTGATTAACTAAATTGTGCACAATCATAATCAAATTAACACTATTATGATACTAACGGTTCTCTACATTAATATTATCATTTTACAATTGGAAAAGTTAATCAACAATATTTAAAGTAAATGGGAATTAAATTGGGAACAATTTATCCAGACTAAGAGATCTCATCTAAATGGTTAATTTAATTGTAATAGAAAATAATTTAAATCGTATTCTTATTTTTAAACTTATAATATAAAACACAATCACGATTCAAATGACTTGTCAAACAATTTAAATTGTTGCTTCTTGATTAACAGGTAAAAGTGTTGTTGACACGTTTAAGATTAATCAAGTTTATTGTTAATCAATAGTAACAATTTAATTGATAAACAAGTTTGTTGCTTGATTATTTTAAATTGTTATTGATTAACCATGATAGGAAGTGAAACAATTAACCGTTAACCATAATTAACATTGGAAAGATTTAATTTTCTGTTGGAAAGTAAGTTTCTATTTCATCAGAGCATAAAAGGTAATTATGGTTAATCATAAATGATTAAAGTAATCATGATATACTGATGATGTTGATGATGATGATGATCATCATCATGATAATAATGATGGGAAAAAATGAGTAGATTCAATTGTATTTAATCATAATTAGTTAACACTAATAAACTGTAATCTGTCAATTGGTGAAATTGTTTAACATTTAATTTGATTCTGTTAGAAATTAATGTAATTATGATTTGAGAAAAAGGATTAAGATTAAGATTAAGATTGATACTTTTACTTTTTTTTCTGTGCACTGGTTAATCTACACAATATCCCATCAATTTAAATTATAAATTCAAGTGAATTAACTAGTCATCCTGATCACTGATTAACGAGAGTTAATATTAAATTGAACGAAATAGTAACAATTTAAATTGTAAAAGTATCAATTTAATGTTTGCATCTGAATTTAGGGCAGAGTTGAAGATTTTTTTCTTCTTCTTCTTCATTGTTGTGATTTTATTGTGGATTAACATGATGATAATAACAATCATTTTTTACCCAATTTTTCATCATCATTTGTATAAAAATATCATCATCTTAATCATTATCATCATCATCATCAATATCCAATCTGATTATCAAATCATCAGCTGAATATATTGATATATATATTAAATAATTTGGATTATTTTTACTCCATAAGATTGACACTGAGTGTATGTTATTATTATTGATGATGTTTTGTTTTCTATTGGTAAATCTTAACTGTTAACTAACTAACTGTTAATTGTGGTGATAATAAAAGGGATCCACTTGTTCAGGTAATATTCATGTTGTTGTTGTTGTTGTTTGGTAGCCATTTCTTGACCACAATTGGACTTGAAAAATTGAAAGAAAACATGATTTAGGTCCAACACACTATCAATTGTATAACAATTGAATCAGATTGTTAAACAACCAAATCAAGTGAAATGAATGGGTTGTAATAAATGTATAAGCGAAACGATATAAAGATGATGGCCAGTTAGATAGAGATGAGGATGATAAATAATAGATTTAAATATGAAAAAAAAATCAAGAAGAAGCCAAAGTTAACGTATAAACAGCAACATAAACAATGGTGGTAAATGATGATGATGATGAGGATAATATAAAGAAGAAGATGATAAAGATAATTGTTGATGTAAAAGAAGAACAGACAACTATCTATTACAATTCGAAAAATGATCAACTAATTAACACAATTGAAAAAATAGTAGAAGAGAAAAACAATATTAATCAACCAATCAATTGGCTGAGAAAATAGCGGGTAACATATAAGATGCTTTTGTTTTAGATAAATGGTAGACTCTTGGCCTACCAAAGTTAAGGAAGAAGGAAAGAAAAATGGAGAAAAATTTAATTATTGTCATTATAATTGGAGGATTAGAATAGAATTTGTTTTTTTTCTTTCTTCCTTTGAGGTGAGACTTTGCGACATAAATCACAAGATTATTTGGATATTGGAGACACAAGAATTGATGGTAAACATAAAATGATGAAGATATTAATCTCATGGTTAGGAATTGATAGACAGACAAACGAATGAAATAAACAAGCGAAAATCGTTATTGTTATTGACACGGATGAGAGAGGAAATTCTCGGTTTAGAATAACAGAAAAAAAGGAGAAAATAATTACACTGAAAATCACTCGGGTTTTTGGTTCTTTTTTTCCTTGAAAATGGAAGAAAATTGTGCAAGAGAATTTACTCTTTTTTTTTGTTCTATTCCATTTGGCGAAAAGAGAATAAATTTGACTATCAAAATGTGTTACAGGTTGAAAAAAGAGAAGAAATTGAGGAAAAACAAAGAGAAAAGAAAAGTAAAAAAGAAAAAGGTGAAGGTGTTATGAGTGAAAAGGTCAAAATTTTAGTTACTATGGAGAAGAAAAAGCGAATACAATTAGTCACGAAAAAATGGCGACGACGAAAAGAGAAAAGCGTTAGGCTTGAACAGTTTTGTTCTTTTCTCTAGTAAAGGTAGAATAGAATTTTCATTTTTTCTCTTTTACCAACAAAAGAATCTAACCTTTTTCTCTTTCTTATCAACACACACCTTTGACCTTTTCTTTTCTCACTTTCTTCCTTTTTTTTCTCTCTCTCTTCCTGTGGTAACACATTAACACGAAGAGAGAAACAAAAATTCTCACTTACCTAAGGTTGAAGGTGGATAAGAGATTAAGATTAAGAGTAAAAGATTACAAGGAATTGATAAGATGTTCATTATTTTCAGTATTCTGGTGTTGCTGGTGAAAGATGAAGATGAAGATAATTTAAAACATGATGGAATCATCGTTAGGATCGTTGAAGTTTTGTTGATTAATCAAAATTAAAACCAGAGATGGAACAAGTAACACATAGAAGAGATTAACGATTATCAAGGAATTAACAGATTATCCCAAAGCAGAAACATGAGACACGAAAAACGGATGGAGATACACACATACACTATAAGAGAATAGGCCAAATATCAAGTGACTTTTTTTTCTGGGTTAAGTCCGAAAGTAGAAAACAAGTGAACATACAAAAAGGTAAGAAAAAAATTTAACTTCTCTTTCTAATTGTTGATTAACGGTAATCATATAGATTATTGTCTCACCAGTGGATTAAACTTATGAGTGGAAAACTCATCACAATAGAAAAGGTTAATCATCGGATTTAATTGTTTTGATAAAAACTCTAAACCGTCAAGTTGGTTTTCCACTTTGCAAATGATCAACAATAATTGCTAACAGACGGAAAACTTTTCAAAAGAAGGAGGGATTAGAAAGAGAAAAAGAAAGAGAAGATGATAAAGGATGAAAAGAGAAAGAGAGAGAGAGAGAGAGAGACGAGACTCTCGTCGGTAACAAGGCGGAGGCCAAAATTTATTTAGCGTCTGGCGCAACATTTTGAAAAAGTAAACAGGTAACTTGGTTTGTTAACTGTTTACCCTGAGGGGTTTTTTTTGTTTACATTGTTTGTTTTGTTCATCAATTTGTTTTACATTTGTGATTTTTTTTTGTTTCTTACAAAAGTTTTGGTTCGAGTTGGCGCTTCTTTTTTGTTATTGTTAGTCTCTCGTTCCTTGGGTCTTCTTGTTTGTGAGTTTGAAGGTAAGAAAAGGGTTAAGGGTAAAGGGTAAAAGTTTGTTAGGTTATTTGGGCCGTTGTTTTTTGTTTGTTGGTGGAAATGTTGATAATTGGTAATGAAATCATTGTGGTTTGTGGTGGGAAGGAGGTGTTGATATTTATAAGGTTTAAGATGTTGTGAAATCAACGGAATCGGAAGTTGTTGATGATGGTGTACATGGATTTTCAATGGGAAGGGTTGTTTCAGATGTTGATGATGAGACGTGATTCGAAGCGGTTGGTTGTTGGTCTACATTAAGTGATACTTTGTCGAGAATATTGTTTAAAGTATTGTTTCCTAATGTTTCTTGGATTGAACTGAAAAGTAGGGCAACATCACAAACCGGATCGCAAGGGACTAAATTTGTATCACCAGAGGTTGTTTCAGGCATGTTAAAAAGTCGACGAATTTTGGTAAAATGGTCTACAAGAAAAGTGTCAAGAGCATCGATTCCTCGAGATTTTGTAAAATGTTTTGATAATTCGGCTTCTTTTGGTGAAACAATTTGATGGAAGGTTAAATGTCGGGCACCATCAACTTCGAGGTCTGAAACGAAAACACTATCAACGGGAGGGCAAATATTACATTGGAAAGGTTGATATCGCAGATGAGCATAAATGTGTCTTCTAATATCTTCATAGCTTAACTTTTGTGTATTCAAATTGAGCTGTTGTTGTGAGTGGAGAAACTTTTTACAACAAATTGGACAACAACACGCAAATTCAGGCTTGGCGATAATCTCATCTTGTGTAGTGAAAGAGTTAACAAAACTACTAATCCAAGCTTCGATAACTTCATCATGATTCCATTTATAGGGAAGAGAATCATGTTCAACATGATCAGCTCCATGTAATTGAAATGCTTTAGGTCCTGGGAAACATTTTTGGCACAATTGGCAAGTGATTGGACGATAATTCAAATGGATTGCGTAATGATCCCAAGCAACGAGCATGTTACTTTGCATATTATTACAAAAGAAACAAATTATCTTTGGAGTCTAAAGATTAGTAAAGAAAAAGAAAAAATTACAATTTAAAATTTTTGTTTCTGTTTACATTTTAACCTTTAACTTTTTCTTACCTGTTCTTGTTTTGAATAAGGTGTTGATACAACCTCTTCAAAGTAGGAATCTAAATCAATCACAGAATTATTGAAATCATCGTTTTTTCGTGAGCCATAAGAAAAAGGTTTACTATTGTTATTTTTACGAAATCCTTTGGAATCTTTTCGAGAATATTTTGGATCAGGATAATACATATCGTCTATTGTATAAGATTCAGATAATTTCTTTTTTTTACCAGTCGATTTTGGAGTTGTTTTCACTAATGACTTTGAGGTTTTACCTCTTTTACCGGTGGGAGAGTTAATTGATAAAGGAGATGATTGTTTAATAACAGGAGCAGAAGATGATGGAGATGGAGTTGAGGTTAGTTGACGTTTTGTCGTTGAACTTTTTGTAGTAGCGGCTGAGGGAATTGGTGAAATATCGCCTTCCTTTCTGGAATCAAAAGATTCTTGAATATATTTAACGTAACTGTTGATATATCTTTCAAGTTCTGGAATCATTCCGGAAGCTGGAAAGTGATCTTTTAAATCATTCTCACTGGGTTCGGTTAAATTGTGCTTATTCATCAGGTGTTGTCTTGCTTTACGATTAACAATGGACAGATCAAATCGAGTACCTTGTTCAAGGCAAAGTTTACATTGGAAAGGGTTATACTTTAAATGTTTATGGATGTGGTTTTTGTCTAAAACCGAGTACAATTTATGTTGAGGTTTGTTTTTTGTATTTTTCTCACTAATTTTGTAATCATATTGATTACAAACTGGACAATATTTGTGAAGAATTGCATTGGGCATCATTTCAGCTTGATTGGTTACACACTTTAATTGATAAATGATAAACTTATGGATCCATCTTTCCTTGTTAGGGGCAAAAGTACGACGATAACGGACACTTGTAAGAGTTGGATGACTTTTCAAATAATGTAAAAGCATATCTTTAGTGTTTAGAGTTACCTCTTCACATTCAACACACCGGTAAGGGAAATGTTTTGTTTGTCTATAATGACAATATAAGGCCAAAGTAACGTTAGTATATTCTTTTAAGCAGAAAAGGCAGAAAATTGGTAATGTTGATGAGCTTCGTTTCTTCATTTGAGCATATTTGATGATTAGTTTCTCTGGAATAGCACATTTATCAGAGTTTGGTACTTTTCTTTTGTATTTCGATTTATTTCAAAACTGTAAACCTCATCATCAGCATAATGGCCTAATTGAATACTAAGATTGTTTCCACCCGTATTGGTTGAATCATCTTCAACTGTTGTCGCATCTGAATCACATTCTACAGGTGAAGATGAGGCTGAATAATTATGATCAGTAGCAACTGTATTCAAACCATTCACCTGGGAAGATTCATCATTGGTGTACTTTTTAATATCCTCATCGGTCAATTTACGAATGGAAACAAAACACTCAATATGAAAACCTTCCAAGATTGGTTCGTCATCACTTGAGTCTTTCCTAGAATACATTGCATTTGGAATAAGAAAAGAACAAAATGTAAGAAAGACAAATAAGAAAATAAAATATTAGGTAAATACAAAAACAATAAGAACAATAAGAAGAAAAAATTCTAGAAGGAAACAAGACATGAAAATGGAAAGAAATTGGTTATAATATTCCGATTGTATAATAGAACAAAAAAAACCACTTGTTGCAAGATTAGAAAAGAAATTAGAATATTTTAGAGAAAGAAACTAAATTAGATCAACTATATACACACAAAGGACACTCTGGGTATAAGAAGCACATTTCCGGTCAAGGTAAGAGAAAGAGACTATTTTCAAAAAAAAAGAGAAAAATTTGAATAATAATCAAAGTAAACAGGTTAAACTTACCTTTCCAAAATTGAAGACATGATACTTGATGGTGAGAGAGAGAGAGAGAGAGAGAGAGAGGATAAAGGAAAAAACAAAAGAAGGCAAAAAAAAGAAAAGAAAGTCAGGCCAAACTTATGGTTCCAAGAATTGAGAATAGAAGAAAAGAGAAAATTGGAAATTGGAAATGTAAGTCCAACTTTTTCCAAAATGAATGGAAAAAGATAATCACCAATGACTGTTGATCATTCACAATTAGATGAGAGAGAGAGAAGATAAAATTATAAAAATAAAATAAAATCTAAATATTACTAAAAAAAAGGAAAAACAATTATTAAAATTAAAGAGAAAACTAATAACAAGAATATTCTTTAAAAAAAGAGATTCAACTTAATCCAAATGACTCACAAAGCGAATTGAACGAAGCGGTTTAATCATCTGGCAGAAGAATTTTGGTTTCCATGGAAACGACCAATAGATGGAGCCACTTTCAACTTCTTTAATTCTATCAACTGATTGTGACTCATAATCGTTCAACTTATTGGTCAATTTTTTAATCAACCAACAGATTAATCAACAATTAAGCTTTTTTCAAATTAAACTATTACAACTTTGTGATCATCTAATTGATAAGATTATTTGTTTTCCATTAATCAAGATGAGTTAAACTCTATAGACTCTCGTTGAAGGGGTTAACCTTTTCATTTAGATTTTTTTATGTTCATTTCCCAATTTTGGTTAAATTGTTTTCTTAGTTTTAATTATTGTTTTTGTCTTTTTTTTTATAACAACTAACAATTAATTAAGATTCCATTCCAAGTATTGTTATGAAACCAATGGAAAAACGAAAGAATAATAAAATGTGTAAGTTATAGAGAAAGGAATATGTTTGGTGAAAGAACTTAGATCTTCAAGTTGTTGACTTATTGATTAACAATTTACAACGATGAACAATTTAGTTATTAAAGGGTAATTCCGGTTCAATGGTTGAATCATCTAAACAATAATCATCTTCCTCTGGAAACATAACTGAATCAATTTTACCAAGAAGCCCATGAACAGTAACAACCGTGATTAAAGTTGATCTATGAATTTTCAATTGGCTGTTTTTCCCGTTCAACTTCATGAATTGATTAACTTGATCAATTTGTTCATCGCTGGTCAACTAATCATCATCGTCATCATCATTGATGTATAAACTTTTAGGTAAAAAGTGATTACATGTTGACTTTTGATCAATTAAAGATTATCATTGATCCCAGTTTGTTAATCTTTTCACGAGAAGACGATGATTGGTTAAAATTGTTTCATCATTTTGGTGATGATGATTAACCTTTAAGAGGAAATTGTATCAATTGTATGTAACAATCAGAACAAGATGATATCGATGATGATCAACAAGTTACTTTTGATTAGATTTGATTAGATGAACTTAATGAAGGTAAATCGGCGATGATCGTTAGATGTGAGGAAGATATAAAAATCATCTAACAATTAATTGATCAATTGTTTGAGAAATAATGGGTCACAATGATTTGAATATCACTTTAATTAGAGTTAATTGTTATCAGTGTAAATCATGGATCTGTCGATTATCACACTTTAACTTGGGATCATCTTCACTTTAGTTTGACAAGATTGTTTTTCTTTTGCTCTTTAACAAATGGTTAATCTAATCTCAAGTGTCCACCAATGATTAATATGATAGGTAATATGTGACATATGAATGTTGTTGTTGTTGTTGTTGTTTTCATGGAAACGAAAAGAGAGATGATGGGAGAGAAATATGTAGGCAGAAGACGAAAGAAAAATTAGTTTAAAAATTAAGCGAAGAAATCGACTAATGCCAACAATTAAGGTGAAGTTGATGTAAGAGATGATTCAATGGTTCCCTCTGATTTTGGTATTTTTTGAGAATTTTCTTCACAAGCAGAAGTATGAGCATCTTCTTCTGTCCATACAGATTCTTTCTTATCCTTTTTATTATCATTATCTCCTTCGAGAGTATTTGATTCTTCATGTTCAGAATCTAATCTTCGCTTTCGTGGTCTTGATTGCATCGGTTCAACGCCAAGTATCTTGTGTATTTGTCTAAATGCAATTAACCTCAATGCATGCTGTAAATGGAAACAAATATAATTGTCAATTAGTTAATGGAAATAAAGGTAAATAAACTTTGGTAACAAAAAAAAACAGAAAAAATAGAGTAAAACAGATCATGTCATACTTGTGCTGATGATGTAATATCTTCACGTTCTTGTCGAGTCAAATTAGCGAGAGCATCAGTTGGCTCTTTTTCACATGGATCCATTAAACCGGCCCCACCGGGTAATAGTAAACCAGAGGCGATGGCTTCCAAAACGTGTCTGAATGCTTCCCCTGGATTTAATTGTTCACCAGCACTTGAAATTACTCGTTCACAAAGTAATTCAACAGCCTGAAATTGATATAATCAAAGAGTTGGATTAGTTGATGAAATGAGTTATTAAGATAACAATAATTTACCCAAAGATCAAGTTTAGACCAGGTTGGTAATCTCCTACAAAGATCTCGAATCAATCGGATTATCATCGGACATGGATGAAGATTGGAAACTCTAGCCTGTGAAAAGGATAAATTAAAGAAAAGATTAAAGTTTGACATTTAAAGATTAATTTAAAGGGTCAATCAGATTTGAACTTCAGCTTGTTCATGATAAAATGATTGATTGTTTGCAAAAAGCAATTAAGCTAAGGGATTAATAAATAATTCTGATTAATCTGAGGCTGCTATGTTGTAATCTGGCCCCGGATTTGAAACTTTCCAGCCTCATGTAAATGTAAATATTACATTGAAAAGAAAAAGAGTAAAATTGAATAAAATATTTTTCTCAATTGTTTACATTTGTAAAATAAATAAAATAAAATAAATAAATAAAAAAAAAGTCATCTAAGAGCTAAGATGTTTTCTAACAAAGAGAAAAATGATAGAAAGTGACTGAGAAGTGAGAGTGAGAGCATATTTAGGTTAAAAGAATAACTAAAAGATGACTTTTCTCTGTAAATTAATTAATTATGATAATTGAGTGACTATCACAAGGCTGAAAAGTAATCAAAGTCAGTCCAAACCTGGTACCACTTTGCATGGCGAAGTGCAGCCAATGCATCAAGGCATTTTTGCCTGTCCAATATTTGCTTCGGTTCTTTAACCATCTCTAGACAACGGGAAAATGTGCACATGTTAAAGATACAAATTGTAATTAACTTTGATTGAATAAATTGCAAAAAAGATAATGAGAACTTAGACGAGACTTAATTAGATGATGTAATAAATGATAAAAGTGAGAGAAAAAAAAGAGCAAATATCAATCCTGTTCTGATTAGAGATGGCTAAATCGCTTTGGCTTCATTGAACATGTAGTTCAGGAGGAGGACAATAATCATCAAGTTGATTGGGAAAAAAAGAGCGAAAATATAATTATTTGTCCTCGACTCCCTTCCTACTCCAAAATAATACATTTTGTGTGAATTTTCCCCATAATCGGTGATGTCTTTTCAATCAATGCTTCATTTACAATCAAAGTTTACCAGCATCAACATTGTCCCCTCTTTACTCTTCTCAGCGGCCAACTCCATGATGATAGAGATACGAATCCGGTAAAAGTTATATCATATTAATAGAATTTGTTTTTGCAAAAAAAAAGTGATAACAATTACATTGATTGTTTATGTTTCTCTCTTTCCTGTTTCTGCTAATTGTTGTTTGATGGAAGAGATAAAGAGGGAGAGCATGTGATGTGAGAAAATGAGTATTATGTATTCTACCTGGAAAGAATTAGCTCAAAATGGATTAAAAGACTTGAGAGAAGGAGAAAGATTAGATGGGATTAGGATTAAAAAAGTGAGAAAAATTCATTGATTTTTTTTTGTTCAAAATCAATAAATATAAAAGTGTAAATGATTGCATTAATCGTCTCGACATAAGTCTCTCTGTAAACACAGTTATCTTCATACCCGCAGGAGCAATTACTTCCGGTGCACTAGACTCTCTTATAGATGGAGATGTGAAGTGAACATTAACAGTAATCGGAAGTTCTGATGTTGATGTGATCGAAATTTTTCCTTCACCGATTTTAACGTGTATCTCATACTTATCCGTTGGATTAACAAGCTGTTTTGAAATGGTAAAGGAAAATAAAATATTAAATTAATAGAAAATCATGGATAATCCAATTATCATTCTTACCTCGAGTTGTTTAGGTAAATGATTCATGACTCTCATTACCAACTGATTTGTTGGTTTATCTGAACATATGATAACTAAATCAACTTCTTTATCTCCGACTAAAAGTAGATTTTTAGCTAATGGGCCAACTCGCATCAGTCCTCTTAAAATACGATTAGAATTGTTCTCATCGTTTTTATCATTGGTTGTTTCACAGTTTGAACCATTCGTTGTTTTTTCCTCTTTGTTGGCATTTTCATTTGTACAGCTTTCTGTTTGTTTAGGGAGTTCTTCTTGATTTTCATCTTTAGTAGCTGTTGAATTATTGTTAATTGTTTCAGTAGTGGATTCAGATGGATTAGTTACCATTTGACCTTCGGTTACATTTGAAAATTCTTCTTTCAATTCTTTCTGAATTATTTCATTTATAGCATTTTGGTTATCTTCTTTTGATAGTTTGTCATATACTCCAGCCAAAGCTCTTTCGGTTACCATAACAACATGATGAATTTCGTCTAATTCATTTTCGGATGGACAAATTTCTGAATGTTTCTGAATCAAATGATTATCGTCCCATGAACCACCAGAATGTCCTCCACGTCCTCTAAATGGTAATGGACCCATCAAAAGACCACCAGGACCAGCAGGACCACCAAAACCTGATGGTGGCATCATATGAGGTGGAGGAGGTGGCGGTGGGGGCATATAACCATAGGCTATTCCACCCATTCCCATTCCTCGATTGGGTGGGGGATACCAATCATTCCAGTAATGATGGTCTCGTTGTTTGTTATGGAAAAATCTTTTATCTTTGGTTTCTTGAATTTTTCTTTGTTTCAAACTTGGTTTAATATCTACGACTAAATTGGGATCAACTTTCTTTTTATATTGCAATCGATGGCGTCTTCCCTTTAAGTGCATTTCCTTAGCATTTGGATCATTAAACCGACAATCACAAAGTTTACAATGAAAACTGACAGTTTTACTATCATCACTTCTGTGCTCTTCAATGTAATCCTGTCCTACTGGTTGTGAATCAGATTTTTCATAATCCATGAGATTAGGATCAGTTGTGATAACAAATGTTGAGTTAGGAGGACTGGGTGATGTAAATTGAGGTGCAACGGAAGATGATGAAGTATTTGGTACTATCGGTGTTGAAGGTGGTTGATAATTGCTAGATTCTTGAGGCATTGGATCTTCATTTAAAGGTTGGGATTCAGCTTCGGGTGTTGTATTGCTTAATGTTACACCTGGAGGTATAATTGGTGTATTTGTTGTATGAAGACGTCCACCACTAAGAAAATTGATTTTTGGAGTACCTAGAACTTTTATCTTGCCAGAATTAGTTGGTATTTGAGAATTGATAGCCTCTGATGATGATTTAGATTTTTGTGACATCACCACTGGGTCAGTTGAAGGAATTGGTTTACCTAATTTTGTGTGAAGTTTCAATACTTTCTGATGTTTAGAACCTCGTATGTGAGCCGCATATGCATCATTACCGGTACAGGTTACATCACATAATTCACAACGAAGAGAAACACCCACAGGTTGACCTCTTTTGTTTGGGGTTATTGCTGTTCCAGTTTTCATTTGCGCTTCTTTCTTTTTATGCTTTTGTCCATCTAAATGCTCTTTATATGTTTGAGGACCAGCACAACTAATCTTACAAACCTAAGACAGATTTAGAGGAAAAAAAACAGTCTTAATAACCTTGAATGTGAACGAACCAATCGAAATGACAAATGTAAAATTCTGACAATTTCTTGGCCGTTTGATAGAGAGAAAAAAAATGATTCTTACCTCACAGTAATGTAATTGTTGTACTTTTGGAGTCGTTTTCATCTTATTACCTTTGAGAGTTTTCTTAAAATTCCAGTTCCCTTGTTTACCTGAAGTATATGCGGCAGTCGAAGAGTTATCATGTTGAGCAACTGTAGCCTGTTGACTATAAAGAGCCGCTATCGAAAGAAATGATTGACAAATAAAAATTAATAAAACAAATGATCAATCAGATTTAGAACCAAAAAAAACTCGATCACTTACAAGCTGCATAATTTGTAACAACCGAATTGTATGTGTTGGTGTATGATGATGAATTTCCTGTGTATGGATACATGGTACTGGTGGGATTTGCAGCGGAATATTGATTAGCATCTGTGGGATAAGCAACAGCAGCAGGTGCCTGGAAAAAAGATCGAGAATGCTAAATGGGTAGAGAGAAAAAAAGATTCGATAAGATTAAAGGATAAGAATTGACAATAAATATTGAAAAAAGGGAAAGCCGGTAAAGGCAAGTGAATAAAAGAGAACAGAAGAAATCATGTAAGATTAAAGGTTATCAATACTGATGGCGAGAAAAAGAACATGACTTACACCAACTGATGGTCGAGCATAACCATAATTAGTGGCCATTGCCGCTCCGGTTGTGGCAAAATTTTGATCGTAAGTTGATGCTCTTGGAGCAGCAGAATAAGAAGATGCAACCGGACCATGTCCAGAGAAACCTCCTTGAGCCATATTGGGAGCACTTATATATCCAGAGCTGAGAACCACAAAGAGAGTAAATCACAATGATCCAACCAATAGAACAATTAAATTAGTTTGTCCATCAACATCAATTAATGTCCAATTAAAGAAGATATCGGATAAATGAATGAAAAATAATCAAAGAAAAAAAAAGAGAAATAGAAAATTAATAAGATAGGCAAAGAAAGGGGAGAAAAAGAAAAGACAGAAAAAGAGAAAGAGAAAAGAGAAGAAAAATTATCATAAATAGAATAGAAAAAAAAATTCAACTCAATAAATTTGATTGTCATTCGTCATGATACTTACCCATATGTGTTACCGCCATGGGTGAAACCGTAGTAATTGTTGGAAGTCATAATTAAATTAAATTAAAACAAATATCGGAAAGTTAATCAATCTAATTAAAAATTTATTCAACACTCAAGACAATTAACTACAAGAAGGGGAAAGAAGTTCAAACAACCGATGCCAAGCGAATTTTCTACTGCCATCTAGTGAGTAAAATGGAAAAGAATTTTTTTTCTAAATTTTTTCAAATTCTAAATTCTCTTAGTATCTTTTCACTTAATCACTGGTGAAGAAACAAAGGAAACAATTTTCTAATTCATTTTAATTATTTAATTTGGTTAATTAATCTAATTGTTTGTGAACCGATATTGTGGAAAAAGAAAATTGGTCAATTGTGTTAGTTAATTTGATTGAATTGTTTGAATTTTTATCTTTAAATTTTTTGTTGATTTTGGTGATTTTGTTGTTTATTGTTTATTTTATTTATTTTGGTGAATTTAATTGTTTCTGTTTATTGTGATTAGTTAATTTGCTTGTTGAGTGATGTTTTCTTTATTGTTAATTGTTTGTTCACTGTTTTTAATTCATTTTTTATTAATTGTCTGTGTTCTCGATAATCACAAGATGGCGTTGGTCAAATTGGTAAATTGATTCTTCTGAAAAGGTTAACCCTTCATGTATGAGTTAATTGTGATTCTAATTTTATAATCACCATAATCTTTAAATTTTCAATCTAATTAATCTTTTCGCAATTATTACAATCGTGTAAAGTGTTTATTCGTAAGATCAATTATCTTTATTGTTAATGTTAATATTCAACGTTGATGATTAACTGTTTTTCTCTTCCCAATTTTGTGTTTCTATTGTTTTTATTTTCGATTTGAATTTTTTTTTTCTTCATTTTCTTTTTGTTTCCAACAAAAGAAAACAACATTTTCTCATCATTCCAACATTATTCATCTTTATTTTATAATCATCATCATCATTTTCTCACCAGAAACATCAATATAATCAATGAATTTCCTGGTGTATATTTTAATAGGTTAACACCTAACATTTTATGCTAATAAGTTACCATATGTTACGATGTGTTTACATTGCATCTGAATCTTTTAATTGTCATAATAATTTCCCTTCACTAATATAAACCAATTGATTAGCTGTTTCAATCAAAAGGAATGGCGATTTCATTTATGAAATCATTATCTCTTCGTGGATCAAATCGAGATGGTTATATAAACACTTTCAACCAGAAACCCGATACTTGTAGCGATTCTGAGGATGAAGATAATTGCTCAGGTGATCCTAACAATAAGCCAATTTTATCAACAACAGGTAATGGTTATATTGGTCATAATGTATTCGAAACAACCAAACAAAGTTCATCATTGATTCCAAATTGTGGTGGTCCATTTTCATCATTAACTCCATCAATGTGGCCTCAAGATTTGCTTGTATCCATTTCTCAGCCTGATGATTCTCGACGGTCTAATCTTTGGTTCGATGATTATGGTTTTACTGTTAACAAATCGATTGAAGAAATTAATTCAATCAAATTGTCCCAATCAATATCATCTCAACAACAACAACAACCAGTATCATCATCTACAGATGATTCAGATGAGGGAACCGAAGAGGAAAAACTGAGAAACAAGTGGATCGCTTATCTTGAATTCACATATAACGAGGCCGTTTTACCGAAGATGATGTGGTCACAAGTCGAACCACAGATTCGACATACTCGAGTTCTAGATGAATTGGTTAAAGGAGGTTTACCAAGTTCCATGAGAGCTCAATTATGGTTACGATTTAGTAAAGGAATGGCCTTAAAGAATAACAGTAAATGGACTTACGCTCAAATGTGCGATCAATCAAATCACGTAGGTCACATTCCCGATAAGCAGATACTAAATGTATTACCAAATAATGCTTGTTTCATGGAGATAACTTCGGTTGGTATTGAACGACTTCGACGGATTCTCAGAGTAATTAAATGGCTTCATCGAAGTGGTTCCAATCCATTATCCACTTCCTGTGATTCCGTTAACATCCCGATAATTGCAGCCTACCTTTTACTTGTCTGTGATGAAGAGGATGCCTTTTGGTTAACATTATCATGTTTAAATGAACTTAAATCATTTGATCATCAACGTATTCTAATCAAATTAATTGTTAACAATTGTTCTTACCTTGATGATCTATTGAAAAAAGATGATCTCGATATTACCCTAATTACCTGTCATTGGTTTTCAAGTCTATTTTCAGGATATTTTCCGAAAACTTTTGTCCTCTTCCTTTTCTGGGATCTCTATTTCTATTATGGTTCAATTGTATTATTTCAATTAACTATTGGTTTATTATTGGAAACCAGACATTTATTAACTGATGGTTCTGATGCTGCTGTTATATTTAACAAATTATCCGATTTACCTTCAAACATTACCTGTCAGGAAAATTTAATCTCTTATTGGAAATCAGGAGCCCAATACGTTGATTATATTAAAAAAGACATGGCGAGTATTAATTTAATGAATTTAAATACTTCCGGTACTTCATTCATGACATTACCTTCATTTACCTCGGACCAATTTGATCAAGATATTAAATCAAAAAATATAAGACAAACATCAATTTTAATGGAGTTACATGAATCGATTGCTGCTCTTGGTAAACACTTTGAATCCTATGATCATAATTTTAAAGCAAATTTGGAACCTGATTACACGAAAATAGATAAAGATGATTATGATGATGAAGATTCATTTGATTGTTATAAGAAAAGTAAATCACCCTTAAGACGAGCTAAAGCATTGATTGATTTTCAACGACATGATTCAGATGAACTTGGATTTTCAAAGAATGACGTTATCACCATAATTAATGAACGAGATGAACATTGTTGGATTGGTGAATTAAATGGTCAACGGGGTTGGTTTCCGGCTAAATTTGTTGAACTATTGGACGAGAGACATGGTGAATACAGTATTGCGGGAGATGATCGAGTTGTGCCTTACATTAATGATCTTGTTCGAGGTCGATTTTGTTCAATATTTAAAACCATCTTATGTCATGGACTTAGACGAACTCTTTTCATCGCTGTTCATCCCTGGAACGTGATTGAGGCGATTGTCTCTTGCTGTATTGAAAGTGACTTTAATTCAGTCTATTCACGTTTAGTTCTTACTCGAACTTTTCGTCTAGATGAATTTGCTCGAGTTCTAAGTCCGTGTGAAATTTTATACCGAAGTGTGGCCCATATAAATCAAAATTTAGAATACGAACCGATGGATGTTAAATTACGTTCGTTGGTTTGTATCGCTTTAAATCAGAAAATTTTACATGAATGGTTTTCAATCATCTGTGGAACTCAACCTCATATATTAGCTAAATTTTACCACAATTGGAGTTTTGTTAACAGTCCAGCATGGAAAATAATTAGAGCTGAATTGCGACTTTTAATTCAATTCTCATTCAATATGAACATAAATGCTGAAGTTCAGGCCGATAATTCTGGACCAAAATCACCAGTATCCAAAGAAGGTGTTAAAGATATGCTAGTTAAACATCACTTATTCTCGTGGGACATTTGATTAAATAATCAACTGGATTAACAACTAGTCAACAAACAACTAATCATTTAAAATTAACTCGTTCTCACAAAAACAACAATCTAATTTGTTATCTCTTGTTAATCAAATACTTTTGATTAACTTTTCCCTTTTGTTAACCAACAGACACTGGAAACAATTAACGTTCTAAGTCTTTGGTATCTCGTTTTTTTTTGTGTTTTTATTTTAAACAAAAATTTTATCTTTTTCCATAATTTAATCGTACAATTAACTACAACTGAATCAATTACGAACGAAAAAAACTCATATTAATCATTCACATTCCAAGTCAAGTCATAAACAATCAATTGATTGAGAAATATTAACTCATCTATGATGACTCGTAACAGAAAATGTAAACAAAAAAACCGACCGATCAACCAAACAATTACAATTAAAAATTCTGATTCCAATCAATTAACAAAATCGCCGATTTAGTTCTGTTTTCGACCAAAAGATGGAGCCAGGAGGCGATTTCTTCGTTCAATGTAACCTGAATGGGAATTTGTTTCAGTTTCATTTTTGTTGAAATCTCTTCATGACAAGTTGATTAATCTAATTGAATTTGTGATCATTTGAATCATTAATCTAATTATCTGACGATTTAATTGTTGATTGTTTCAATTTATTGATTGTTTTATCTAATTCTCTGTGTTATCGGTAATCACAAGATGGCGTTGGTCAGATAAATCAATTGATTCAATTGGCTTCTCTTTCTTATAGAGGAAGATGAAAATAATCATTGTAACTGTTGTTTAGCTACTGTTTTTTCCAACAATTTGCTGTTAATTGTAATTAATTAGATTGTGTTTAAATTTAATTGTCACCGAACAACAACGACAACCTGATAATCTTGATATTCTAAATTGTCGATTTCTATTTTTTCTTTTGTCCAATATTTTCTCTCTTCTATTCTAATATTGGTCTTTTAATCGATGGTGTTTTCTTTTTTCCCCTTGGTCATTAACTGTTAATAATTTTTATTCTCTTCTCTTTTTCGAATCTTTTTTTTCTATTCCATTTGTATCTCTTTTTTCAGTGTTTTCTTTTTTTGTTCTTTCAATCTGTTCATCTTGTTATCTTGTTCCATTCTCTTCCTTTGACTATCAACCAAAATTAACTTTCGATTAGCCTAATTTATATATTTTTTTACTGATTTTCTTTTTCATAATATTATCTCTGTTAGTCAATCATCACGCCTCATATTTTTGTCTCTGTGTCTCACCCTCTTCTTTTATCTTTCTTTTTTTCATTCTCTTTCTTTTTCGGGTTTATTCATCTTCCCTAATCTTCATCTTTTCTCTTTCTCTTTCTCTCTTCTCTCTCCTTTTTACATTCTTTTTTTCTTTCTCTTCTGTATCAATCACTTTTCGTCATACCTATTATCCTCTTGATTTCTCTTCTTGCAATATTCTTGTTCTTCTTGTGGTCATCATCATCTTCCATCTTCACCTTTTCTCATTTTCACCATTTTCTTTTTACCAAAAAACTTGTCTTCAAATTATGTTGTCCCGTTAATGGTCAATCGAGGAAATGTCCCTCGTTTCGCCAGAATCTAGTCCTTCTTTACCTTCTAAACCAGTGGTCACACCTTTGCAATCAGCTAATTGTCAACTTAATCAAACTAACAATTGCATCAAGGTAAATATAATTATTGTTGCCAAAAATTTTGTTCCATTTGTTTGTTTGTCTTTTTTTTTCTCTTTTTTATTCCATTTTCCTTTTAACTTTCCCTTACAATTTCCTCTTATATCTTTGCTTTTCTCAGTTCTTCCTACAAAATCATCAAATGTCTTCGCCCCTTTTTCTCTATCAAAAAGGAAGAGGCTCCTCTTTAACTTCTTCAACTTCTTTTCTGTCTTTCTCTTTATTATTAAATCCACCCGTCTCATTTTTTTTTTCTTCTTCTATCATCATTAACATCTCTTTCTCTCTCACTTTCTCTAATTTTTTTTTTCTCATCCTATCTCATCTTTTCTCTTCATTTTTATAGCCCTCTGTGTCTTCTGCTTTCTCCATCGTTCCTTCATCATCCATCTCTCTATCATCATCTTTATCATTAACCAATCCAACAGAAGCTCAAACAACTACAGTGAACACTGAACGTCGTCATTCTGATGCAGGTTTCGTATTCTCCTCTCTAATTGGCAAAGACTCAACGGACTCAACTGAGTCACAATTCAAGTTAACAACTTCAAACACTATCACAAGTAATAGTGGTACTGGTGGTGGTGGAACTGGTGAAGGAAAAACTGTCAACGGAAATGAACTTAACTCAAATGAAATTACCCTTATCGATAGACTTACAAAGACAACATCTATCTGGTTTCTACCGGATACTGGTCGATCCTGTGTAACTAACCTTCTTGAAAGAAAAGAAAATGGATGTTTTATCGTTCGTAATTCAAGTAAATACAATTCAATGGCCTTATCGGTTAGATTACCTGAAGGAAAAGGACCTCATGTTGAACATTATCTCGTTGAAACTTCACCAAATGGTTTATTTCACCTTGAAGGATCTGAAAATTATTTTACCAGTATGACATCACTAATATCTCATTATAGCAATTGTTGTGATGAGTTACCTGTCCGATTAACTTTACCTAATAAGTTAATGAATGCAAATTTCGTTAAATTAACATCCTATTCACTTTTGGGCCAAGAATTTTGGCATACACTCAATCAAACACCTAAACGAGCTTTTGCCCCGATCATACGAAGCGCCAGTAATGCGTCAAGTACCAACAATAAGCATAAATTTACCAATAATAACAACAACAACAACAATTTAAGTTTAACACTTTCATTAAGTATTAAACAATTAGCCACTGATGCCACCGAAAAACCTGCAATTGAAGTATCCATTCAATCACCCGATCAAGGTTCTTACCGAAGTAACAAAAGTAATAATCTTTCAGGAAGAAGAAGACAAGTTCCCAATTTATCTTTAACCACCAATAACTTAAATCAACAACAAGCATATATTGTTAATGAATTAACATCTTCAGGATCATCAACCAACATAACTTGTTTACCTTCATCTTCATCTTCATCAACCTCTTCATGTTCACCTCCATCAACTTCACCTTCCAGAATTGATACCGATGAATTGATGATAGATTATAACAATGATCCTCTTGTGGATATGAAAAAAAGCTCAACTGTGCCAATCAATTTAGTCGAACAATGTGAAAGTTCAGTGAAAATCTCTGTGCCACCCAAACCTCCACCACGATCAAGTATCACTCCTTCCGGTGAGGGTAACATGCAAATCTCAATTGCACCTCCAGTTCCTTCACGAACTTGCAAACCCTCATCAAAGGCCAATTCGAAAAGTTTCTCATCATCAACCATCAATTCATTCATTAAAAGTATCTCCATAGAAGATATTTTTTCTAATAAAAATCAATCAAATGCCAGTGATGACGAGCTATTAATTGTAAAAGAAGAAGAAATTGATGACGAAGATGATGAAACAATAGATGATAACAATTATTCAAGTAACAACAACAACAACAACAATAGAAGTAAAAATAGAAATAATAATATTAACATGAGAAATCACACCAACAATTATAAAGATAACAATTTATCAATTAGTCAGAGAAACCCTGAAAATGGGAGTTCTCACAATATCTCTAGTCAAAGTGAAAACACCAAACCAAATGAGACAATGAATAATGAGAAATCACCACGAGGTATTGAAACATTAATTAAATACTATAATAGTAAAGTTGAAGATAAATACAGTGATTATGAAGATATTTGGAGTTTCACTCCAAAGCCATTTGAAGATCGAAACAAATTATCACAACAACAACATCAACAAGCCGAAAAAAAGGAAAAAGAATCTCCAAAAGTTACTAAATCATCTCAATCATCATCTGAAACTCACCAACAAATTAAAAAGCATAAACCATCAATAATTGCATCAAATTCGAGGATCAAATCAACACCATCATCATGTTCATCACATGGTTTTAAAAAATCAATTATTACATCTAATTCAAAATGTTGCTCTGCCAGTACTCAAACAGATCCAATGAAATCATCATCCTGTCATAATGATGATCAATTTAATGAAATAATTAATCGTTTCGAACATCATTCCCATTATGGTTCGGATTCTAATTTAACTCTTTCCTCGATAAGATCAACTCACAGTAAACATAATTTATCCTTGGAAAGTTTAATCTATCTTAATAAGGATGCTCTTTCAATTTATGGTGAGGCCAGTGATCTGGGCTTTCCCCTTAGTGGTGGTTCAAATGAAGTTAATCCACAATTGGAAGATGCTTGCACACAAATTGGTAATAGTAAAGCCAATAATTCATCATCATCAACATCTCAACAGAAGAGACCCCACCAATCGGGGGGAAATAAAGGAAGTGACCAATGGACAAAAGGCAAACTGGGAGGAACTCGTGGTAAAGATGGCGCTTGGTTGGTTGATTCATCATGGAAATGGCGTCGATCTAATAATTATCTTGATCAATCGGATACCATTAGTGTGACCTGTTCAAATGCTGATGATACCGATGATACAACTTTAACATTAAGATCTCCACTTCGACGAAATAAACGATCTAACAATTCTTCATCTGATGATAAGCGAACTCTTGACCAGGAGAGAGCTGATCTTATTCGTTATCGTCGATTTAGTGCTCGATATGTTCTTGAATCGGGCGTTGAAAGTGATCCAGAAACTGCCGATGAAGCGGGTACCAGTTTCGAGAAGAGTAATCGTAAAGGGGATGAGAGAAAATCTCGTACTGTTGAAGATTTAATTGCACTTGAAGCTCCCGAGTTGAAAGTACCTAAAATAGAGATTGACACAAATATTAATGTTAATCTTGATGACAGTTATGATAATGTGGTCACTTTACGTAAACATGATAGAGATGCGGCCACCCGAAAAGCAAACCGTGAAGATTCAAGTAAAACAAGTGGTGGTACCATGACCGATACTGAGACGGTTTTCAATGAACCTTGGGATAGTGAATATTGGCGGAAATTAATCAGTGTAACTCCAGGAAAATCAGAAATACAGACGAGTTTATCACCGGAAGAGGAAGATAATGAAGAAGATGAATCTGTTTCCATTTATGATGATCCCAATGGTGCCTCAAGTTCAGCTCTTGCGAGTAAATTTATTGGCTCATCATCATTATCTTTAATTACTGACGATAATGATAAGTCAACTTTACTTAATGAATCAAATAGTAATAAAAGTAAAGTGAAAAAAGAAACCTCATGTAAACAACGAATAGATAATTTAGTTGAACGATTATCTTCATTCAGTGGTAAATATAATAATGATAATGTGCTAAGTGGTAATAGTGTTAATCAACAACAACAACAACAACACCAACATCATCATTCATCATCAACAATATTGTCTCAAAATGAGTTGGGTCATCATCATCACTCATCGGAAAGAGAGTCAATTGACATAACTGAAATAACCTCATTCACCTCGGAAGCAGTTTCCGATCTTTTATCTTCCATTTCAATGCATGATGAAGCAATAATTACCATGGAATCAAATTCATCGACTCTTAAATCACAAACAGTAACCACCACAACCTCATCAACAAGCCACCGTAATGAGCGCATCTATTCAGCGGGTAAAAGTATCTGTGATTATATTTTTAAGCTCACTGAAGAGGGTGACAATACGTTTGCCAAATCGGTGTCTCATTTTATTGATTGTACAAAAGATTTAACTCAAGTCAACCCACACGTTGTAATGAGAAATATAAGACAATTTATGAATGGAATGAAAAATTATCTGGTTAAACATGGGGAAAAAAATTTCCTCGAAATGATCAGGGAAGAGCGAAATAAACTTAAAAGTGATGAATTTCTCAATATTGACGCAATAATTGAGGGAACTCTTCATAAGTTAATAATTAAACCGTTAAAATCTCATTTGGATGGACTTTTCGTTGAATATTATAAAACCAATGGATCACTTTCACTACTCTCTGAGAATATGAAAAATGCTCAGAAGAAAAGTCCCACCGAGATTGGTGTTCGTTCTGACCTTTATCTTCCCGATTCTAAATCAATGGCCATTATCCAGAGACAATTTAATTCAATGCAACGAGCTTATTCACCGCTTAAAAAGTTGGAACACTTGCTGGCAGCTATATCATCAATCTACAGTGGAGTTAAAATTAGCACTCAGCAAGCAGTAAACAACTCATCGGAATCCATGTCCAGTAGAGGAGGAGGTGGAGGCGGAAGTGGTGTTACTAATAACAATAGAAAAGCGGAGGGAAGCCATTTATCTATTGGAGCTGATGATTTTCTACCAATTTTCATCTATGTTTTAGTTCATTGTGGTTTTCTTTCAGCTGAAATAGAAGCTGAATTCATGTGGGGCCTTCTTCATCCTTCCCTCCTCTCAGGTGAAGGTGGTTACTATTTAACTACCCTCTCTTCATGTCTTCATGTGATTAAAAATATGTCAGAAACTGAGATGACATTAATTGATCAACAAAATTTATCTACAACAACCGATGAACACAATTTAACCGCATCAACAAGTTTATTATCATCTTCAATTGCATCCATTTCACCATCACCTCCAGCCACACCTAGTATTATGGGAATCGCTACAGGAACCTCAAGTTCATCAAGTCTGGTTACCTCTATGACTCCCTCCCGATTAGCCAGTGTCACTGATTTACAAGGTTACATGAAAATAATGATTCCAAATGAACTTTCCTGTTCAATTGTTACCAAAACACTGCCCGTAAGACCAAGTATGACAACTAAGGATGTTTGTAAAATGATTGCTCATAAATTCAATCAAACTAATTCAGAGGATTATGGACTATTCCAGATAACTGGTGATGGAAGTGAAACTCAATTAGAGCCAAATGATTTACCTCAAGCAATTAAATCAGAAACAATTAAATCTGGTAAATTGTCAACTTTTGCTTACAAGAGGATTGATGTTAAATTTATTTGGCCTAAAATGGATGATCAATGATTAATTACAAAACACACACAATTAATGAACCAATTAATCTTATCATTACAATCAAACATGATGATGATCATCTCTCAATTGCCAACAATTTAAATCATCTATATATCTTATCACACATAATATTATTAATTTTTTCTCAAGCCAATACTTATACATACACAGCGAAAAAGGCGGAAAATATATGGATAAAAAATTGGAAAAAAAATCTACAATTAAGTCAAATTATGTTCACTTTATATGAAACAATTTATAAATAATATACATATTTACATATTCATTTAATCAATGTAAACATCTCACACAATCGAGGAATTAACCTCATCCTTCCTAAAGACTCATTTTCTTACGAAATCTTGATAACTTTCTTTTTTCTCGAATATGGAAAATTAAGGCTCACTAATCAATATTTTTTTCATCTCAACAATTAATACAAAATAATCAAATCTAAAATTGTAATTCTAAGCTCTCTCTCTCTCCCTTTCCTCTTCTTAATTGTAAGATTATATTGTAAGACAATTCACTCGAATAGTTTAATTTTTAATCTTACCACAATTTCATAGAAACAATTAATGCACATAAAAATCTCATTATCGCTCATTAAATTTTTTTATTAAAATGACAATTAAAATATAATCAACCAATTCAATCAATCGAAATAAAAAAAAATTTCTAACCAATGTTTACTTATCATCTTGTTCGAGGCTCCGTTGATTATAATCACATTGAGAATACGTTCAGAAATGTGACCTACGTGATTACCACATATGTCGAATCTGTGGTTCGACTTGTGTCCACATCATCTTCGGTAAAATGGCCTCGTTATAAGTGAATTCAAAATGAACGATCAACTTATTTCTCAGTTTTTCCTCTTCGATTTCCTTATTTCAATCACTTGATTCAACAGTTTACTATTGTTATTACTTTTTCGAACCAGCAATTTTGGATTAATTGTTGTTCAACTTGTTGATTGTCGATTCATGATCATGTTTATCTCCATTTTCGAGCTAATTAAGTGTTAATCAACCATTGGAAAATGTTGATCTTTCTATTACTTTGACAAATCTTAAAGTTCTTTGGTTTAACAAAAATTGTATCTCTCGAGCAGAAGAACCTTCTCTTAATTACTTCAACGAACTGACCTTTTACCGATCTGCCCAATAACGAGCTTGTTACCCTCACATCAGCATTTTTTTTCACCACAATTAAAAGTTCACTCAATTAATTATTCATTCAAGAATTTATCGTTCGATGTTAGCGCCACCATACGGAATAGAAAATAACTTATTTTCGAAATGAAAATTTTTTCTATTAATGATGTTTACTAATTATCTTGTTCGTGGTTTCGTTGATTATCATTAAGTTTTCCACTTTTATGATTAATTGTGTATATTGTTTGTTTCTTTAATCGTCACCTAAACAATGGTTATCGATTGAATTACTTATCCAATAAATAATCTAATCCTTCTGATCTCAAATAACTGATACGTTTGATCAAATTACTAAAGGTAAACTCGTTTGTTTATCTCTGTGAATCAATTCAATCAAATTGGGAATTTTTTCCTCTAAATTGTTGCAACAATTAATCAAATTAATATTCTCTTCTAGTTGTTTCTTCCCTGGTGCTTTTATATTTGGCATAATTTCGTTGAGAACTCGGATCTTTAGGGTTCCTATGTGATAACCCTTTTTCCCTCTACATGGTTAATGATTAGCGATGAAATGTATTGACATTTTAATTGCCGTTCTTGTTATTTTTTCCTTCACCTCATTTACTGACCAGTCCAATGGTAATTACCTAGGCTGCAACCGTGGATCTAGTGACCAAGACTGTGGTTCGTAATCAGCACTTAATTGTCTGCATGAGACTTGATTCATTTTCCCATTTACCTTTTCAGTTGATCGTTTTTATTTTTGTTTATCATCTCATTTGTTATTTTTTATTTTCTCTCCTTTTTATTATTTTCTAATTTATTTTTCTTCAGATTCTATTTTTTCTATTCTCACCAATTAACCTACTTGATCTCTTGCTAATTGTTATTTCCACATGAAACCTAATATTTGGATCAGATCAACGGTCAGTTGATTCAATTTGCCGTTACGATGAATATTCTTGTACAGACAACAGTCAATGTATTCCCGTTGAATACCAATGTGATGCTCAACCCGATTGCAGGGATTTCTCCGATGAAATTGGATGTTGTAAGTATTTACCTCTCATTCTCATCCTGATCATCTAAATTAAATCTTACTGATAATCCTCTTAATTGTCTTTCTCAGCTGGACCGACAATCCTCAAGAATCCGCCCGAGAGTCACATCTCTGTTGAAGGTTCAAATGTAACAATAACATGCCGAGCATTTGGTAAACCATTACCTGTAATTACCTGGCTTTTCAATGGAAAAGCTATTGAGATAACCCCAAGAATTACCTGGACCAATCATGATGGTTTCGGGCTACTCACCATTAGGTCAGTTAATCTTGATGACCAAGGTTATTGGACTTGTGTTGCCAGTAACAGTAAAGGTACAATTAAAGGTAACAATGATTGTAGATTAACAATCAAGTGTAAGTTTCATTTTCAAATGTTTCAACCTTTCAATTTTTTTTTACATAAGAAAGTTACTTAACTATTCAACTAATTGTATCCATTTGATTTTGAATTTTTTTTCCGAAGCTCGATCCAGTTCATGTTATCCCCCATACTACAATGATCAAGCTAAATCACAATTTGATTGCCTTCGTTGTCATTGTTTTGGTATAACCGATACTTGTTATAGTAGTTCATTGAAAATTACTCAGGTTTGATTTGTTTCTCTCTCTCTCTCTCCAATCAATCATCAAACCTTATTGACTGATCAGTTTTTCTCAATTCAATTAGATACCATTGACAAGCGATGCAACAATTACAGTCCTAAGACAGGTAAACAATGATTCTTACATAAACATTGGTTACACTTATCCACCAAATCAACGAGCAATTAACTACAGTCCATCAACGAGAGAGTTTAAATTCACCAATGAAGCAATTGATGCTAATACACCTGATGATGCCTTCTTTTATTGGAGTTTACCTAAACCCTTTCTTGGTAATCAGGTAATTACAATTGTTTCTTTTTTGTTTGTTCTTAATTATGGACGAATAATCATTTCGAGCAATTAATTGATTGTATTCCCATTCCCTTCTTGTTTAGCTTAACTCTTATGGTGGTTTTTTAAGATTTATGTTCAGATATCGGTCACCATTTGCCCCTCATGATCCAGATCTATGGGATGTTATAATTTCTGGCCATGGGATAACTTTATATTACGATGTGATAGATGGACACAGTTCAATTGAAGATAATAAAGTTGAACTAAGATTTTGGGAAAATCTTTGGACCAAAGGTGAATCCAACCTGAGGAAACGTTGGTCGAAACGTCAATTGGCCAATCGAGCTGATATAATGCAAGTTCTGGCCAATATTGATTACATTTATATTCGTGCCAGTTACGATGAGGTTTTCCTTGAGTCCAGTATCCTTAATCTAAGAATGGAAACAAGTTCATATCGAAATTCATCTGATTCAGATGATGCATTTTTCGTTGAGAAATGTTCCTGTCCTGAAGGTTATCTAGGTAATTCTTGTGAGGTTAGTTGATAGTTGGTATAATTAACTATCTCATCGACAATTAAGATGATTATCTTTTCAATTTTTCGCTTTTTTATCTCAAATTGTTATGATTATTAGACTTGTGCTCCTGGTTTTATAAGACATCATGATGATCTTTGGCTTGGAAAATGTGTACGATTAAGTTTAGCCTGTTCTTGCCATGGACATACAGTTAAATGTGATGAATTGTCTGGTCGATGTATTGATTGTGAACATAATACCGAAGGTTTTAATTGTGAACGATGTGCTCGAGGCTATTACGGTAATTCAACTTTAGGCCATGTAAATGATTGTCAACCTTGCCCTTGTCCTTATATTAACCCTTCCTTTCAACTGGCCAGTTTGTGGACTGCAGGATTCCCACCTCAATGGTAAAATTGATTTAACTATCAACCAATAAGATTAATCAACTATCAACATTTTTAATTGTCATTCAAGGTTCTCACCTACATGCTACTTAGATACAGATAACGATGTAACTTGTAGCTCATGTCCACTTGGTTTTGAGGGTCGACGATGTGAGAAATGTGCCCCAGGCTACATTGGAGATCCGAATAGTTTAGGAGGAACGTGTAAACCATTAGGTTAGTTGATTGTCTAAATTGTTTGTCCACTAATTTACTGATTGTTTCAACTAATTTCAGGCTGTGGTTTAGGATTTTTTCCTTGTACCGACGGAAAGTGTATCAATGAAAGCTTACGTTGTGATGGTGTTCCTGATTGTTTGGATAATTCTGATGAAAATTATTGTGGTAATTTTGATTCTATTGATGATTAATCGATTATTGGAAATTTAATTTCTCCATTTTCTAATTAGTTTTTGTAGCCCCTAATTCACGGAGTAGACACAAAGTGTCAACAATGGCAACAACAATCAATGTTGACGGAACAATTGAAGAAATTGATGAAGAGGATGATTTAATTAACTATAACGATACACTAAATGAGATTAATATTCTAGTCGATTCAAATATCGATATTAATTGTCCAGGATTAGAAAATCATATCAATGTAACTTGGGCTTACGAGATGAATAATAAGGAAACCAATTTACCCGTCGGTGTTGATGTTGTTGAGAATCAGTTAAGGTTAGTTGGTTAATTGTTATTTAAATTATTTCTCGTAATGTTTAATTTTGTTGATTTTCAGGATAAGAGGGATTCAAGTAAATCATTCAGGTCGATATGTTTGCAAAGGTCACTCTCTTTTCGGTAATATGGATTCCAATTTCATCAGTCTCAATGTTAGAGGTAAATTATAGTTAACCGTAATGATTGAATTGTAATTGTGCTTTGAAATTTTGTTCATTCAATTATTCAGATTCTCCAGCAATTAAATTGAAAATTGTTGCAAATCAGAAAAACATTGACATTGGTGATTCGTTGCGACTTGATTGTCAATTGACTGGAGTTAAAGAGACGATTGTTGTTTGGTATCGTTTAGGTTTACCTTTACTCCCGTCACATGTTGAAGTAATTAAGGGACAATTAACTATCGAAAGTGTATCTCGAGACGACGGAGGAGTTTATCGATGTCAAGCTCACACTTTGGATGGAATAATTAATAGAGATTATTCATTATCTATTCATGGTTAGTATTCGAAAATTTCTTCAGTTTAGAGCGAAAATTGTATCATTTTTTTCATCTTTTTCGAAGCTGTTAAGCGTCGAGTTACCGCTGGTTCGAGTATCACTTTAAAATGTCCAAAAAAAGTTAAAGAAAATCAGCCGATCACATCAACCGTTTGGCTAAAACAAGGTTCAAGTCTTTCCAATTGGAGTACGATTGAAGGTTCAACGTTAAAGATTAAAAATGCTCAAGCAATTGACTCCGGACTGTATATATGTAAAGTGACCAGTGAATCGGTGACCACCGAGTGTCAAATAGCTCTTCATGTAATCGGTATTGTCGCTGGTTTTCCCGAAGAGGGTAAAGCTTACATTACCCTTCCACCGATTCCAGAGGCATATTCTGAATTTGATATTGAACTTACTCTTCGTCCTGACCAAGCTGATGATGGCCTTATTTTATTCAGTGGTCAGTTACCTGATAAAGGTGATTTCATATCACTTGGTTTACATGATTCGTATCTCAATTTTAAATTTGAACTTGGTTCTGGTGTAGTAACTATGAGATCACCTATTCCATTGTCAATTGGTTCTTGGCATGTGATTCACATTTATCGTTCTCGTCGTGATGCAACCCTAACAATCAATTCAACCATTGAAATTAAAGGTCATTCACGAGGTCGTTTCATTGGTCTTGACCTGAGAGAATCTCTTTACATTGGAGGAGTTCCTAATTTCTCTTTAATACCAACAATCGTTGACCACCGGAAAGGATTCATCGGTTGTATCTCATCTTTTAAAATTCGTAACGTTGAACAAAGTCTAATGACTCGACCAAATAATTTCCTCAAAGGAGTTAAACCTTGTGAAACTTGTTCTTCCTCTTTTTCATCAGTTTCTCCCTTATCATCCTCTTCATCTTCATCTTCATCTTCTCTATCCCATTGTCACAATGGTGGTCATTGTTTTGAATCTCATGATAGTCCAAGTTATCGTTGTATCTGTTCACCAGGATTCAAAGGTTCTCAGTGTTCCTGGATTGGTCAATCATGTTATTCCGGCTATTGTGGTCCTGGAATTTGTATTGACCATGTTAACTCAGGAGTGACCTGTCATTGTCCGATGGGCTTTGATGGTGATCATTGTGAACGATCAATCAAAATAAAACAGCCTTTGTTTACTGGACAATCGTTTGCCGCTTACTCGGTCCCCAATGGGTCAGTTGAAAAGTTCAAAATAAGCCTTAAAATAAAAGCCACTAGTCTAGAGGATTCTGTGATTGTCTACACTGGACAAGATGTCGCTGGTTCAGAGGATTTTATCGCCATCATCCTAAGGAAACAAGTGATTGAATTTATCTTTGACACCGGTTCAGGTCCAGCGTATATAAGGTCACCTAATTTGGTTCTAAATGATGTTTGGCTTAACATTCAAGCCGAACGAGAAGATAATGAAGGAACATTGATTGTCGGTGATTCTAAACCAATTAAAGGTCGATCTCCAGGTCAAACTAAAGGGATAAATACTCGTCTTCCCTTGTATGTTGGTGGAATTGATTTGAAAAAAGTTCGATACTCGAAACAAATCATGGAAAGATATCATGGATTCCATGGCTGTATTTCTCAGGTACAATTGATTGTTCACCTCAATTCTAAAGGGTCATTTTGGTTAATTTCTTACAGAGATTAAGTAAAAATTATTGTTGGCCATTTCATCAACAATAATTCAATTTGTATCTTAATTTATATTGAATCTCAGCTAAGATACTCTAATTGTAACCTCCTAATGGTCTGAAATTAACCAAACACTCATTATTGAACAGTTATTCACTTCAATAATCATCGATATTGTTTACATTCGGTTTCAAAAAACCAATTGTAAATATGTACTTTGGACTGTTAATTGGCTGATAAGTTGATTAATTAGCCGAAAATGAAAGCTCACTCTTAATCATTATAATCTGTCAACTTTCTGTCTTTCCTTTTTGAACAGTTAATTGTTAATGGTCAAGAGATTGATATGATTAATGAAACAATCATCGCATCACAAGTGAAAGATTGTGATTCTAATTATTCTCGTTCATTATTATCACCCTGTCACAATGGTGGTTCCTGTTTACAAGAAAATGGTACATCCAAGTGTATTTGTCCACCAGGATTTACAGGTAAATTGTTTCCATGGAGCAATTAACTTTTCAATTGATAGTTTTTGATATTTTAAATTATTTCTTTCTTTTTAGGAATTGATTGTGCCATTACCATGAGTTAAATTGTAGGAAATTCCCATCGGATGACAACCAAACAAAGAATCAAATGTTTTGATTAACAAACGAAATGAAACCAAAAAAAAAACACCAAACTTGATACAATATAATCACCATTTTTCTAATCACAATTAACATATTAATTGATTGATTCTCCACTGATTAATCTTCTGTCTTCTCAATAATCACTATTGTCTTTACACATTGACAATCAACTTTCACATGATTGATATATTATTAAATTGAGTTTGTATTAACCTGACGATGATCAGAAAATTGTTTCCAAAGGTAAATCCATGTGATAATTAGAAAAGGTCATAAGTAAACCAACCAAAGTTCAATCAAAAAGAGGTGAGAGCAAATAAGATTAAAGGTGAAAACACAAAGACAGAGAGAGAGAGAGAAAGCAAAATGTTGATCATCCATAGTTGATTAAAAAAGTAGAGAAATGAAAGACACCAATTAATTACCTCTGATTTGATGATTACAATAAAGACAATTTAAACCAGAAAACTGGTTTACTTTGAATGAAACTTGATTAGTAATGAGAAGAAGTAAATTAATTAACAAAGAGAAAGAGACAGAAAAAGATAAGAACGAGAAAGAGAAAAATGAAAACAGGAAAAAGAGAGAAAAAGAAAAAGAAACAAATGAAATGATAATCTTTTCTCTTTTTAATTACAGTGATCAAGAGTGAAAAGAATATAACAATTAATTTAGAATCTTAAAACTAATTAACTTAAGTGAAGTTAAAAATGAGCGAAATTAACAAAAATGGTTCAAAAAGAAAAGAGAATTTGAAAAATTCGATTGTCAAAAATTCAACCCAAACGCCATCTTTTCCTCGATCAGCTGTTCGCAAGTAAACTGGTTTTCTTTTCTCAAAAAGATCCAATCATCATTTTCTCTTGGTGAGTGTCGCTTTTAACCAGAACCCAAGGTATTATTTTGGTCTTTCCATTTTTCTTTTCTCTCATCTTCTTCTTTGTGCTTCTCTTGTTCTCTTCTTCGTTTTGGAACATTTTATGTATTCTTTTCTCTTAAACTCACCAGCCAATTGTTTATGGTAATTTTCAAATTCTCTTTATCACCAATAGTTCTCTTTCTAATCAGTTACCTGATTTTTTTTTCTCATTAGTTTGCTTTTTTCTTCTTCTTTTTCATAACTGTTTGTGTGTGTCTGTCTGTGTCTCTATCTTTCCCTTGTTCGCTTTTTCTCTCTTTCTCTTGAGTCTGTTTAAGTGAACATTTATTACGTTGTTTGTTTTTTTTTCTGTAGTCTTGTTTTCTTTTTATCACATCATGTATAATATATTTTGTATTCTGTGTGTACTATATCCGCCCTTGTTGTTGCAGAAAAATGGCTTCACTCATTGAGTGTGTGTTCTCAATTGTATATGAAATTTTTTCTCTTTTTCCTTTGCCTTCCAATTGCGAAGTAAAAGCTTTTCCTTTTTTTGCCTGTCGCTTTTTTCCTTTTTTTCTTCTCTTCAAGTTAATCAGTTTTATCTCCTTTAAATATAATAGTTATTGCCAATTCGACTGACTCTTGGTCTTGGCTTTTGGTCTTTCTGTTTTTCTTTCTCTATTCTGCTTTCTCTTTTTGCTTCTATTTCTCTTTCTATTTCTCTCTTCTTCTCTTTTGCTAATTCGTCTTTCTTATTCTTTTTTTTCTCTATTATTCTTTTCTTTCTTTCTTTCTCTCTTTTAGATTCTTCGCCTTTGAAATTGGCTTTCTTATCTTGGTTTTAAAAAGTCCAGTTCTCTCTTACTGTTGGGATTTTTTTTCTATTAACTTGTATTGGTCTTTGTTCCTCATTCTTGTGATCGTTGAGTCGGTTTTTTTTTTGGTGCGTTTATAATAAATACTCTATATTTGACTCGAATTCAGGCCTACCATGGCTGAAACTGGGAGAAAGAAACGTCTCCCTGAATTAGGACGTCGTGGGTTTTTATCTAAAGCCCGAGAAGCCAAGGAAGGGTCACCCTTAAAACAAAGCCCAGGAGGTAATTGATTTGATCCAGTGGTTGCATCATTTTTTTCTCCTTCCTTTTCCTCCTATTTCATTTTATTTTACTTACCCCTTTTTCCTTTTTTTTCCCTGTGTGATCACTTAGGCTCTCCTAAACGACCAAACTCCCCTGAACCAAATTGCTCAATTTGTTTAGGAGGTATTGAGGATCAGTCTTTTGCTAACAAATGTTTCCACAGTTTTTGTAAAACTTGTCTCTTTGAATGGTCTAAGGTCAAACCAGAATGTCCAGTTTGTCGGCAAGGTTTCGACTCAATTATCTTCAATGTAAAAGCCATGGATGATTATGAAGAGTATAACATACCTAGACCCATTTCTCCAAGATCATTGTGGTCAGTTGATGCATTTATTACAGATGGTCGATGGGCAGAATCCCGTGAAATAAGTAGTTTCAATATTCTTCGTCATCGTGTTATCCATCTTCAAGATATGTTTGAGCGAAGTCGTACCCGTGAGCAAACCAGCCGAGGTCCTAGAAGATTATCCTTAATTTACTCAAGTGATCTATTTAATAACACTAACAGTAGCACTGCTACCAATTCAATCAATGTCACTAACAATAGCAACACTGAAAGAACTCCTCCTCGGGCTCATGAATCATCAAGAAATTCTGCTTTTCCTTTTGATTTTACTTCTTACCTTAGGAGTTTGGATTCTGTTCACCGGCGACCTCCAACTGCTGGTACCTGTGACCATCGTCGTTATATTTATGATAATGATCTTTGGGTTCAACCAATTACTGGGCGTTTAGCTCGAGAATGTTCAGCAACATTTTATCGAAATAATCCAGCGGTAACTCATCGTTTACTTCCATTCCTTAATCGTGAACTGGTCGCCATTTTAAGAACTGACTCAGATTCTAGCCACGCAGCTGAAGCTCTTTACTCTCGTATCAAAAAGCCATCTTTGAACATGATATACCGAGTATTAGATTTCGTCAAGTGATTGAACCATTCACTCGAGACAGAACTCACCATTTTCTTCATGAATTATATTATTTTGCCAAATCTCCATATACAATTGAAGATTATAATGTCCACGCTATTTACGTGCCCAAATCTCACGTTAAACAGTTGAAACTTGAACAACCTCCTTTTCGTCCTTTACTAGTTTTTGGTCAACAGGAACCAGAAGCTGGTGATTCAACCGATGACTCTGTGATTGAAGTTGTTGACTCTGAACAAGAACAAAGTTCCAGAAGAGATAAAAATAGAATGCAATATTTAGCATCATCATCATCATCATCGTCATCATCAATAACAGTCGCAACCAATACCAATACAGCAAATCCATCAGTAACTCAAGCAACTAGTGAAACAACCAATCCAGGCTACGATGAAAAAGAGACCCGTAAAGCCAATAAACAAGTTCAAAAAGTTTCAAAAGAAATGGTCTCTCATGCGAATCAGGAGACACCATTAACCTCAAATTTATCTCAAAACATTAATGTGATTGAAGATTTTGACAATCCTCGACCAGGTCCAAGTGGTTTATGTAGAAATAATGATTTTAAAACTTCTAATCCAAAGTTAAAGGTAGACGATGATGGATCTGATACCGAGATTGATGTAGGTACCAATGAGAAACCTTTGGGTAAACAAAGGTACGATAGTGATTCATGTGATTCAGATGATTCGATAAAAGTAGTTGGTTTTAAGAAGCCAATTCGTGAAAGGACACCAGAGATTATCAATATATCAAGTTGCGGTGAATCAGCTGATGAAAAATATAAATCAGATAGTGATGATGACGATGAAGATGAAGGACCACTAAAAAAGAGATTAAAGATAATTAAGGTACTACCAATGATACGACCATTATCACATCGGTTAAAAATGGAAATGAGTAAAAGTCGAAATACAATTGGTGAAGATGACAAAATTACAGACAGTGAAGGATCAGAAAATGAGAAAGAAAAAGCTAATAAAAAGAAGCAAAAGAAAAGACGACGAACCAAATCAAGTCATTCGAAAAGGCGAAAAGATTCAAGTTGCTCTTCTCGTCCAGTCGATATTGAAGGTAACACAACGGTAACTGATTCGTCAAGTAGCAGTAGCGAAGATGAATCACCCGAATTTGGTCGAAGGGGACACGAATCATATAAATTTCTCCGACGAATACCAAGTGTAATTGTTAGACCTCCAACACTAAAACACATCAATAGTGCTAATCAATTACGTTTCGCTCAAACCAATAATCCAAATTGTTTCCATGTTAGTAGCAGTACCATTGCAAATTATCCACTCAACACCTTAAACATAGCCGGTAATTCAAATAACGGAAGTACCAATAACAACAATTCAACAACAACAACATCAACATCAACATCAACAACAACAACAACAACTGCTAATGGTGGAGTCATTGCAACACTTTGCTCATCAATTAAGAGGAAATTTGATGAATCTTCTGATCCCGAATCAAATGACGATGATGCTAATAACGAAGGATTTAAAGATTTACTAAAGGCCTTTGTTTGATTCTAATAAATTAGTCATATATGTATAATTGAGCAGCAATTAATTATTTTTTATTGACTTATAAATGAGAGAGTCAAACAAAACACCAACACAAACATCCTAATTCCTGTAATCCTAATTGTCTCGACAAAAATGATAAAACAAAAACACTATTCCGATGAAGCATATAAAGAAACAAACAATCAACACAATTAAATTAATTTACAAAGAGAGAGAGAGAGAGAGATTACAAAGTGATAAAGTTCATACATTCATCAAATTTCATCTTAATTGTATTTCTCTCTCTCTCACTCACTCGACATTTTTTGATCTTCTCATCAAGTTTTGTAAATTCATCGATTATGCATTTGTTTTAATTCACTGTATCATCTGGATGAAGAAAATTAAATCCAATTAACTGTAAACAATTTTCTTAATCCTATTTGGATAATTAACAAAAGAATAGCTGAAAATTAATTATGGTTATTATTTGGATGAATTTAATTGGTGAAAGAAAAATTTAATGAGCGTTTATGTTACAATTGTTTATCTTTAGGTTTTACTTGATTTATTTTCCAGTCATTTGAATTTCCAATTGATTGTGATCTCTTTTGTTTTTATTGATTCAATTTAATCAACAAGGAGATTTAAATTGTATGTATTGATGATGAAGCGATTGAGATTTTCAGTTTCTATTTGGATTTACAATAACTGGACGATGGATTTAGTGATGATCCGTGAAAAAGGAATGGTAAATTGGTTTAATTACTTACACATAGATCTGAATCATCTCAAAGATGTTCAATTGGTTTGCCTTTGGGTCAAAAATACCAACTGATTTGAATATAGTTTATATAAAGGCGATGGAAAAATTGACTTTCAACTTGTCGATGCATGTTGATTAGGTGGTGTATTTGTGTGTTTGTATATTTTGACCGGAATTAGCATAGTAAGTTAGATGTTTTTTACTTGATTCAGCTTGACATTTTAATTTAGATAATCCTCTGTACGACCAAACTTGAAGATTAAAGATCTATAAGAAAAAAGATGAATCAGTTAAAAGGGTAAGTAAATTGTGAAGAAAAAGGAGATTCGGTAAACAATTGGAGATTTTGACACTTACCCGGCAAATATCAGGACATTTTGAAGGAATAAACCGATACCAGGGTAGATTACACGCTTATTGGGGATTACATATGCAGCGAATAAGATCCATGTAGCAGCGATAATCGGAGTAAAACCAAGAACAAATCCGATAAACAGCCAGACTCGAGCAGCTCTTTGACCAAGGAATCCAGTGTTATATGTTTCTCCTCTAACTTGACCATTAGAAACAGCATTGATCCTGAAATCGTAATAAAACAAAATGCAATTAGATTGTAACATGAATAAGATAAGAAGAGATAATATTTAAGAAATTAGAAAGACTTACATGAATAGAGAAATAGTAGCAAATATACCACAAAGGTGATAAGCATTGTTAAAATCTTCTGAAGAAAAGTAAGAATTGATATCAATGATAATCCACCAGCCAGTGAAGAACTGAACAAAAAGAATTATTTAAAAAAGAGAATAGAACAAAAAGAAATTAGGATAACCATGACGACGAAGTTTAGTAAATAGACGAATAGAAAATAGTTGATTAACATAGAAAATCAATAGATAATTAGTAGTAAATTAAATTGTTACCAATACTCCAGCGACTATGGATGAAACCGCATTCCTTTTCTCACTAAGGTCCAACCATTCGGGTGTATTAATTTGAAAATTATCTAAACAACCAGACATTTTAGAGCACAATTTATATCGATCACTTGCCCAAGATTAGAGAGATCAGTTGATTATAATTTTAATCACTAAGAATAAATAAAAAATTCCCAATGAAAGATAATAAAAAAAATTCCACTTTCACCTGAAATTTTTTTCTAATCAATGAAATGAAAACAAACCCGAATAATAGAAACTTAAACTTCCACCAGATGGAGAAACTGTTGCGTAAAAAAGGAAAATCAATGAGTCATAACGCGGGAAGTTTAAATTTTTTCTTCAATTTTTCTACTTAACTAAACATTTCCATCGGAACTTGTAATTGACACGAAGGAGAGTAAATTGATTACGAATTAATTATTGAATAAATTTTTTTCTCTTTAAGAACATTTGATTTTTATTATTAAATAACATGCTTATTTTAAACCAAGTCGTTTGTTGTTTTTAGATAATAATAATAATACAAAAAAAACATTCAGATTGGTAATTGATGAGGTGATGATGATGATGATGTTGGGGTTGATTGGTTGACACGATCGTTAATTGTGACAGTTGATCAGGATAATACGATTGCTTGGATTGACGATGAGTAGAAAAGGAAAGTTATATGTTCAGAAAAAAAAGGAAAAGTTAATAAACAAAAAAATACGACGGCAACATTGGTGACGATGATAATGATGATGATGATGGTGACATTAGTGATGATAGAGGGAGAAGGAGAGACAGAGTGGGAAATAAGGAAGTGGAAATTGGAATTGGCTGGTGAGAGAGAGAGAGAGAGAGAGAGAGAGAGAGAGAGAAGTAAAAAAAGCGAGATCTTTGGCTTCATCCATGGTTAATAATGACGGAAACAGGACCCATGGTTGAATTAGTTTGCCAGGCACATAATTTGTCTTGAGTTTTCACCATGAAAAACATTGTGACGATTTGATTGAATTGATAAAGTAATTAAATTGATTTCCAATCAAAGAGAAATGAAGAAGATTGTCTTTTTTGTTGGAGGAGGAGGATGAGAAGGAGGAATTGATCATTTTGGTTTTGAGTTTTCAATCACAAAAAAAAAGAAAAGTAGAATTGATATTAGAGCGAAAGAGCTTCCGGTGTTTAGAAATTAGTTTACCAATTAAACTTATAAATATAATTAAGGTGAAGAGAAGAGCAGGAAAAAAAAGAAATTCATGGCGAACAATCAAAAATTGATCCTTTAAGTTACTGATAGAAAATGATTAAAGTTAATCAGTCGATTTGTGAAAAATAACATTATCAGTGACAAGAACATAATTTCAAGGTTAATCTTGTTTCTTAATCCTTCGGCTCCACTGAATATCGGACAATATGGACATTGATACGATCCACAAACATGACATATACTTAATCGGTAAAGGTCATAAGTACTGACCATCAGCTCTTCGTAACGTTCTGGATGAGAAAAAAGTAGAAGAAAAAAAGATTAACCAATTAACTGATATTCAAAATTACAAAGTCAAAGTAAATTGATAATCTGATGATTATGAACATGAAAAAAAGGTAATAAATTGATAATTAACAACAAATCAATAATTCTTGTAATAAATTGTTGATAAATAATCACAGGTAAAAAGGTGTAACCAATTAAAAGAACAGGTTTAGTTACGAGTTAGTTAAATTTACTATTTGAGTGATTAAATAAGTTTATCGTGTAAAAAAGGATTCCCTTGATTAACATAAGTCATAAATCATAATTGTAAGAAGATTATTAAACATTCACACAGTAATAATTGCCTCCTAATTGTTATTAATCATGATTAGGTGTTAAGGTAACATTATAACCTCAAAAGGGCGATGTCCAAACGCGAGCAAAAAAAAGGCTTGGTCAGTGTGGACAAATTCAAATGACCGTCGTGTCGGTGTTGATTGAGAGCTAGAAAAATCATCTCTCTCCCAATCAATTAGAAATTTTAATCATTGTTAAAGTAACAATTTAATTTACCTGGTGCATAGTAATCATATACTCTTGCAGGTATAAATCGGGACATGTTAGCAACTGGATACCAACGTTGAGCAGTGAAAGTAACACAGACTGGATTAGAGTCCAACTAGATTATGATAATAAATTGAAATGGAAAAATAAGTTTATATTAATTGATTGGTAAATTATTTGATTAATGATTGTTTTTGTTTTGAAAGGGAAAAGCCAAATCATATTAATCACTTACATAATCAAAGTAGAAAAGAGCCTTTCTCTCAGAGTATTTGGCTTCTTTTAAATTTCTCACTTTTCCTGATTTAACATAAGCATCAAGATCTTGCTGTTGAATCATGTAACCGGTGGGAATGGTCAAGTCTAGAACGGCCATTCCTGATGATGAACTTTCCTCAGATAATATCCACTGAGAACATGCTCGATAGGAGATGTGTGAATTGTTTCGTCCAAAGCTACGTAGTTTTACATCTAATTGAAAAGCTCTGATTGGAGGTGGAATTTGAAATTGTGGCCAATCAACATTATATTGAACGTCAAGTTGAATAATCGCTAAACCAGAGCCTGATGCTCGGATGATTACTGGACCATAAGCTCGAGGTATGTCAAATGATTGAAGTCGAGCAAGATTTTTACTATTAATCTCAATTCGTTCACTAAAATCGGGTGATGATGGAGCTTCAATGGTAACTTCAATATCGGTTATATCTCGAATTCTCGATTGAATTGAATATTCAACCAACGCTTGTAAAGCTATAATACTGTCCTGAGTTGAAGCCCATCCACCATTGTAAAGACGATTAGTGTTGAGCCATTCAACAATTTCTCGTTGAATGACAGCGGTTTTAATTATATGAGTTAATAAACCATAAGCTGTAGTCTCAATATTTAAGGAATCATATTCATGGGGAAGTCTGGGTAACAGGTAAGGTCGATTATTTTCAATCGTTGTTTTCGGTGCCGGTAAAGGATATTTACTCCAATATCTCATTCCACTGACTTCTCTCATTCGATTGTCAAGTTCATTGAATGCCGATTCAGCTTCAGGAGAGTTTACCAAGTTAAGAGCATAAGTAACAATGGACAGTTCATAAGGATCTTCGAGTGTTTTAACAACGGCAAGCATTTTCTCTAAATACTGAGTGGCCACATGTTTAGCATTCGATATAAGTGGACTAAGGTGACCACTTATACCTCGTAATTGAGCCAATGAGATAAGTACATGAGCAGTTAAAGATATGTTACGATAACGAATAGAATCCATGGGAATTTTGGACGAAGAATTCATCTTTCTGTCATAAGAGTGTAATGCCGTCTCATAAAAAGCACCTTCGGAGGTTTGATGGGTTAGAAGCCATTGGGTTGCTTTTTCGATTATTTTTCGATCAATGTACAAGTAACTCTCCCATTCTTGGAATGTAGCTTTGTGAAATATTCGTACACAGAAAGCGGTCAACCAAACGCTTGGTTTATCGTCAAAACGGAAAGCTCGAAATGAACCATCTTCATTTTGATAACTTAACTGCCGTTGATATTGAATGTTAAGGTAACGGAAAGCTTGCTTCTCAAGTTCGGTACTTTTTTGACCTGTTAACCGAAGGTAAAGTAAAGTGTACATGTTGGCCGCAAAGTTGTACATATTTTGCTCTGCACACCCATAAGGTTTACGAAGTAAATTTTCAGTGGTCAATGGCATTGAAGGGAAAACTGGTCCAACTACATCACCGACAATTGAAACTGTTGCTTTGGTTGATCCGTAAATATAACGACGATCATTTCTCAAGGGTATAATCGGAGTATCTGTTAAATTGGTATCAAGGTATTTAATTAATTGAGCTCCTTGAGAAAGATCCAAAACTGCAGCGGTGTGTAAATGCTGGGGGATTCCATCAGACTGTATAAGTAGAAAGAGAGAAAGTTAAATCAAGTTTAATCAGTGAAATGTTTTCACACGGATAATCAAAGGTATTTGAAGCTCCATAAAATGAACAATTAAAGTTAATCACTTACTTCAACTTTAATAACTTTTTGAACTGTCGATTTGGCAACTTGGGTTTTAGCGATTATGGTGACAGTGATATTACCTAATCGTTGAGAAACAATTGGAATGTAAACTGTGGTAGCTTTTTGAGGTCGAACCTAAATCAGGAAGAAGAGAGAAAATTAAAGTTCCAATTTCAGTATAAATCGATGAGTAGAAATAAGATTCTTACAAATACTAAATGCTGATGTTCCCCTGATGAGATTCTTGGTGCATATGAAGATACGAAACCAAAGGCTTCGACATGGACGAATTTATAATCTTTCGATTTACCAAGGATGACCAATACTTCAATCGGTGATTCCATGTAGTTGAAAATACTGACTCGAATACCGATTTGTTCACCAATGGTACAAAGAGAAGGCATCTCGACATTCATAAAAAATGGCCGAGTACTTGAATATTCAATTGTTTTCTGGTGAAGTCCGAATCCTTGTGAATTACTGATTCCAAAAGCAGTGACCAACCATTTAGCTGGTGTTTGAGGCACTGGAACATTGAAAGTATAATAACCATGAGATCCAATGTTAATATCCTTCCAAAGCCAAGAATTTTCATAAATTCTTAAAAGTCGATTATTTCTATTGATTCGGAACTGTGTTAATCCATAATGATCTTCAACTGGACCTAATTGTAATCAGAGTAATAACAAAATTATTATTATTAGTATCATTTTAATCATAATCAGTAAATTATTTCCGATTTTGTTTAATACAGGAAATTCAAATGTTCATATCGATTTGTTAGTTGATTGAATCAATATTTATTTCAGATCGATTTGAACTGAAATGATTAACTCACTACGGCAGTTAATAGTTATCCCTTTAATTAATCACAATTAAGGTAAGCATGTAAAGAGAGACAGATAAAAGAAAGGGAAAGAATTAAATATCAATTGGAAAGATGAGTATTAAATGTTACATGAGACGTTAGTTAATGACAATTAAAAGGTTAATTCATCATTAAGATGAGATAGATTTTTAAATGTAAATCAATATACATAAAATGATTAGTATAATTATAAAAGATCACAGTAAATGATAATAGTGTAAAGGTAATGATAATTAAAAATAGTTAGTAAGTAATATCATATGATCAGATTTAATGATAATATTCAAGTTATTATCAAGATATTAATATTATTGCAATTTAAACTTGACGTTTGTGTCTCTACAATTACAATCAGCAACAATTTACAACATCGTGATTGAAAGCCAATGATTGCTCATTTTCATAATAAAATCATGAATCAAGCATAATAATAAAATGTTGATAATCAATTCAAGTTAAATTATTTCATAACATAATTAAATATAATAGCGATAGAGCAGAGAGAGAGAGAGAGAGAGAGAGAGAGAGAGAGAGAGTAACAATTAACATCCAACGGTAAGTTCATAGCAAAGATGAAAATCAATGTAAACATAACAATGAATAAGATGTAGGCTTAAAAATAACTTGAAAGATGCTCATTAAAAGACAATGATAATGATGATGATGAGGAAGATAAAACAAAGATGAGGAAGAAAGATGATGAGGATGATGATGATGGAGGAGGAAAATTGAGACAGGGTGGGTTAGAAAGTTAGTCATTGATGCAAATCTAATGATACCTTTTTTTTGTTGATTATCTGATGGTTACAATGAACAATTAATATAACAATGACGATTAAACAACAATTAACACAAACAATAACATCCTCTGGATAGTAAAGATAATGTAAGTAAATTGTTGAATGAATCAACGAGGAAAAAAATCGACAGGTTTTGAATTGAATAGTTAATAAATTGCTACTAATAAGGCAACCGCAAGATTTAATCAAGATAATCAACTATCTCATTGCGATCAATGATTTTTGTGTTTTTTTTCTTGATTTATTTCTTCATGGGAAAAGATTAATTAAACGGAAAAATGAAAAGTTCAGAGATTGCATATGATAAACCCTAAAAGGTTATAAATCAACAATGTAAAAGATAATTGTGATATCGTTTTGTTATTATTTGATTGCTTTTCGACTCAAGATAAAGGCTTTCAATTGTTGGTTAGCATTTGTCGGTGGTCTAAACCATGAAAGTTCAATGTTGAAAAAGAAAAGCAAATCAGGTAACATGAAATTGAAATAGAATTAAACTTTTACGGACTTAATCAGCTTCTTATAATGAACGGATAGGAGAAAACATGAATAGTCTATCGTTTTATATTCTGTTGTTTTCCCTCTCCTTTTAGGAAGATATCTTTCTCTCTCTCTCACACAATCAGAGTATCACGAAATAATGTGTAAGAAAAGGAAGACAAGAGGAGAGAGAGAGAGAAGATAAAATGATGAGGATGAAAAAGAAGTAAAAACTAAAGATGGTAAAGTGAATAAAAAGAGAATATTCTTAATCGCAAATTAAAATTGTTCTTAAGTGTAAGTTGACCAGTGAAAGGAGATGATGATGATGATGATGATGATGATGGAGAAAAGGTAGAAAGAGAAAATAGTAAGATGTGTTAGAAAGCAGGTGAAAAGAAACAAGTTTCTTATGTATGAAGATGGCGATGATGAGGATGATGATGGCCGTTACTTTGGTAAGAGAGGCCAGCCCAGAATTCTTGATTGACCGAGAAATAGTTTATTACAAATAGGAAACATAATAATGTTGTATTACTGTTGAAAAGATGCTCTTACAGTGAATCAAATGCACGCACTTACAGTACAATTAGTGTATTATCATTAGAGGATAAGAAAAAAAAAGAGATGATTAAAATATAAACAATTTACAATCAACAGCCAAGTTGTTTGTATTTTGTTTGAAAAAAACAGATTGAAACAATTACCATCATTACCATGAATTGAATAATGATAACAATATGATCAGATTCAATTGGAAATTGATTTGACCTGATTTCAATCGAGTTGATTTATAAAACTGATTGTTTACAATCTTTAGTCTACATTTAACTAATTTGATTAATTACAATACAATTTAACTTGATTAACTGCAAAATCAATGATTGTTTGTTGTTTCTGTTTCTCTTGTTAATGGTTAGGTAACAATGTAACTAAATTGTTTGGAAAATTATTGTAACAATCAAATAATCAATTTAAATAATAATCATGGTAAGAAACAACAACAACAATTTAACTTTCAATCTGTCTATTAATTTGTTTAAAATTAAAAGGATAAATTGTATATTTTGGCTAACGAGTAATCGTTAACAATTACAATCGGTTTGCTGATTGTTATTTTAACCAATTTTCATGTGATTTATGAGGAAACATAAATTTCACCATTGAAATTTGTTTATATCCTATTATCATGGGAGATTTTGTTAGTGATTCCCTGTAAGATATGAGGTGGAGGAAGAGGCTAAGGGTGGGCAGGAAAAACATAAATAACATCATATGGAAGAAGTTGCTACTTTTTCATCTTACTGTTGATTACGAGCATTAAGATGATAGGTAAACATTTCTTGTAATAACAATAATTGAAGTAGCTTTTTAGTGACTGTCAAGATTGAGAATTGATGAAAAATTTATCCTCAACTTTCATCCTGACAGGGGGATGAGTTTTCTTGTAAATTGTTTTGATGAAAAGATTAAAAATTAAAGATAATCTTGTGATCTTTTTCACTCTATTCGGTTTAACTTCACGAATTCGTTTCATCTAATGATATTGACATTGAATTTGAATTTGCATTTGCATAGTTGAAAATGTAAATTGCATAGCAATTCATGTTAATTATTTTCTAAAGAGGAAGAGAAATTATTTAAAGAAAATATTAAATGAGTAGAGAGATGAGAGAGAGAGAGAGAGAGAGAGATAGAGAAAAAGATAAAAGAAAACTTTTTGGTATTTATAAGATTTACAGAGTGACAAAAGAAATTGGACTTTTCTCCATCCTCATCCTCTCATCTTCATCATGGGTGCTTAATATCCAACTCCTACTCTCCCATCTTTCTCTCTATTTTGTTTCTCTCTCACTCTCTGACAGTTTCTTGCTTCTTTCCATATAAGAATAAACTTTTAGAACAAATTGTTTTTACTTTTCAAAGAATCGAGAGTTGTTCAAAATCTAGTCAAGAGATACAATTGGAGTTTTATCAACCTACAGCGATAAGTTATAATGATGATAATGATAATGATGATGAAAATGAAGATGATGATGATGATCAAGCAAAGTGGTGGTTATTACGATGGAGAAGTTTTTTTCTGGTCAATTTAAGTTTGGGCGAGGAGATTGAATTAGATCAAGTTTAGATAGGAAAGGTTTACGGGCGTCAAGTTAATTGTTGATAATTTTAGAATAAGAATATATTTTTTTCGCTATCAATTGAAAGAGAAACATTCAGATGGGAGGAGAGATTTGCTTTCATTATCAATTTAAGTGGGAGCTTTGAGCAACTATGTAATTTGTAAGGTGTATGACAAAAGTATAAATTGATACCTGGTGATTGTGAAAATGAGATCATGAATAATGCACATCTCATTTAAAAATCAATTCCAACTTGGAATTAATAATAATTTTGCTTCGCTATTTATAAAAAACAGGTAAACTTTACCATTTGATTGGTTCAAGTTTAAGGTTAACTAATAATGGTTTTCAATGATTTGCAATTTATGGTGAAAAAATAACAACATTTGATAACTAGAATTTGTAAACAATTCGAAAACTCTTGCAAATGGAGGATTAAAAAGTAAAGAAACATTTTCATGATGATATTGAGTTTGATATGTGAAACATCATTGGCTTTTCTTTGAGATGATGATGATGACTTTGTTGATTTATGTGAGATAATAATCATTAGCAGTGTAAAAAAAAGATTTCGTATTAAGTGAGGAGGGTAAACCTAAAAACAGATGATCTTCAATGATGGTTTTCTTGAAATGATGATTACAAGCACTTGGAACGAGACTTTGGTTAGAGAGAGAGAGAGAGAGAGAGAGAGAGAGAGAGAGAGAGAGAGAGAGATGAGATGAGATAAACATGAAAGATTGTTGATTTGCATGATTGAGCTAACAGATTGAAAATTGAACTTAAGATCAAAGCAAAAATAAAAAAGATCAAGATGAAGATGCAAAGAAGGAGCAAAACTAATTCAAGAAAGAGATAATAGTAAATATGAAAAGTACGACTACAAAAATCTAGCAAACACACAAATACAGATGATGATGATGATGATGATAAGTTACTCAAAGGAAGTATGCATTTGTTTGTGTGGGAGTTATTAGTATAATTATTGTAATGGAGAGAGAGAGAGAGAGAGAGTCAATGTTAATGTGACTTCGTTCATAAATGATAACAATGTGAATCTATCTCATTAAATCGTATTCAATTCTCGTCTATGAATAAGTTTTAAGGAGATAATGACATGTACACATTACATGCAAGAAAAAAATGATGAAAGAAGATGCTAACATTGAAAGTAATTGGTCAATTGAAGGAAACAGATTTAGTTGATGTTTGAAAGACAAATGATAATAGAAGAAATAAAAATATTAATGTTTGATGGAGCATAATAATAATCATTAAATGATTTGGTTTGTATGTGAAAAAAAGTAAGGTAAGGTAACCTTGCTATTGCTTAATCAGCTTTTTGATGACAGATTATGATGATGATGATGATGATGGTGATGGTGACAGAGAAAAAAGAAGAGAGAAGAGGAGGAGGATGAAAGGTGAAAACTTTATCCGGTCATCTTTTCTATGTATACAATATGTCAAATAGTTTTCGATGATGTTTTCATAGCTATTAATATTTTACTCTAGTCATTGACAAAATTGAATCAACCAATAAGCTTAAGAACACGATAAACCACAAATAATATATCACAACAATAGATTGTTATTAGATAACAACAAAGGTTTGTTTTCTTCCGTTACGCTCTGATACAATTGACTTTTCCCATTGTCTATGGGTAACAATTAGATTAAATTAACGTTTTCCTCCAAAAAGATTAGAAAATCAGCTTTAAGCCATAATAGTAACACGGAGGAAATCATCATCATCATCATTATCATTGAGACTTAGTGATTAGTAATACAAGTGACCATAGAAATAGAAACAAAAAAGTGAATAAAAAACTTAACGATATCGATACTTTTATAGTAACTTAGACTATAAATCAATAAGTGTTAAAAGTGATAAGTATTTACGATAGTTACTAATTGATATTAATTGTTGCATAGATTTTTATGATTAATGATAATCAACATGGTATTTAGGTTGAAACTTACATCCATTTTCATCTGTTCCGTCGAAACATTTATTGGATCCATCACATTTATGAGAATCACGGTAACATCCCTCACCGCTGAGGCATTGATACTCTCCAGGACCACAGGTTTCCGGTCGTTTGGTTATATTTGCATCAGTGAACACAATTAATCCCGCATACTAAAGGTCAAAAATATGAGGTCGATGTTGATATGTGTAAGTATTTAAGGAAGTGGAACAAAGTTGAAAGATGCTGAAAGTATTGGAAAGGTTAAATTCTTACCTCGAAAGTTCTGTTTGAATCAATTCCAATGGTCGGTGATGGAAAATGAATAAATTTATCAACTGATCCTTCACGAGAAACCCAAACATGGGTCAAACTGCTATTTGTTTGATGGTCAAAGGTTGACATTTTTCGCAACACATCCGCGTGATTAATTTGATTACCAGCGTCAAGAGTGTTGACATCTTTGTCTGTAGCAGCGATTCCAACATAAGTTCCGGGTTGACCATAGACTACAACTTCCACCGTATCACCGGATTTATCTTTCTGATTGTTTAAACTTATGGTGAAATTATTTCTTGATATTCCGTTGACAGAGAAAGTTAAAGCATCAGAAATTACTTCACCTCCTCGGGCAATATTGTAAATAACGATGGTCGATGATGGAGCCATTTCAGGGGATAAGGTCACTGAGAATGTTTTAATATTTGTTGGCATTTCTTCACGTCCAGTGGTTAATATTATTCCTTTGGACACAATAGCATAAGAGAAACGGTCAACAAAATAATTTGATCTCACATGGAAAATAATATATTCTCCCACTTTAGGTTCTGAAGTGCTGGTTGAAACTTGAACTAGACGATTGGTTGGTGCGTATGATGAATAAAAATCAAGTGATGCACGAGCTGAATCTTTATTATCTGAGTCCATATAAAAAGCTTCAATTCGACATCGATGAATTGTCTCCAGGCTACGTGAACCTTTCAATTCAAGTTTAGGATCAAATGAGATCTCCCATATACCTCGATATTGGGTTGACATTGAATAGGTTCGAGTTGTTGTATAGAAAAGACTTTGTTGATTAAAAAATTTAATTGTCACGTTAATTTTTTCCTGAATCTCTCGAGATTCTAGTAATGGTGAACCGTCTTGGTAAGAGACGGCAAGATAAGTTTTAACCGGCATTTGAGGCTTGAAAACTTGGGGACTTGATCCTAAAAATGAGAGTTTAATTTTTGATCCAAATATGTATGCTCTTGAATACCCTCGGTGGATTAGATTAAGGAAATATTCACCCACAGAAGCATGAACAGTTACTTTGGCACCGTCAAGAGAGTTACCACCAATCATTTGTGATAATTGGGACATTTTAAATCGAAACTCGTGGTAACCCTCGAACTGTTTGGTGAATATGGAAGATAAAGAAAAGATTTACAGAAAAAAAACGTCAGATGTGCTTAAAACGACAGTGATGATAAGAGGGAGAGAGGATGAGTAAAGTCAAATTTGAGAGAGAGAGAGAGAGAGAGAGATAGTGAGAGAGAAGATAAATATTGTTATGGAGCAGGACCATTAGGCGTGAGTGGAGAGTGAGAAAAGGAAAACGATCATTGATGGATAAGCGTTCAGGAAAAAGGCGTAGGGAAAATATCAGGATGATAACAAAGAGATGTGAAGAGAGAGCTAAAAAGTAAGAGATGATGGAAGATAAAAGAGAGAGAGATGTCTAATACCGCGAAAAATAGTGAGAGCTTTGAATTTTATTGAAAGCTAGTGGAGTGAAAGATTGAGAAAGCAAATGAGTAAAGTGAAACGGAAGATGAGAAGAGAAATTGTAAGAGAGAGAGAGAGAGAGAGAGAGAGAGAGAGAGAGAGAGAGAGAGAGAGAGAGATTACCAATGGAGGGAAAAGAGAGTAATCATTTTTTATTTAACTTACATATTTAATTGACTCCTCGATTCCAGGAAGCTTGGGTCCTGATCCTGGACCTCGAGATTGATCAACAGTTACCAGGATTGTTAAATTACCCGTTACCGGTACACCGCTTGTGAAACTAGAACACAAGATTAAGATGAAAGAGAAATCGAAGCAAAAAAAAATATTTTAGATCAAAATGAAACTTATATCAAACAAAATATAACAGTTGTAAAATAACAATGAAAAACAACAATAAAACACAATAATTGATATTGTAAAGGTAGTGATGGGTGGCGATCATTAATGAATTATTATCATAAAGGTCAGTTACGTAGTCAAATTTGAAACTTACTTTGCCATAACCGATCCATAAATGTACTCATCGGTGCTCAGGAAAAACGCAGGCATCGATACGTTCACCTCGAAACGTGTCTGATCTGAAATGGTACAAAAAGACACAAAGAGAGATTAAGACAAAAGATTTTCATTAACAATTAAAACTTCCATTGAGGACAATTATTAAATTCTAATTGTATTATTAACCATTGAAAAATCACCATTATCATTGATCATAATGGTGATACTGTATTTGTGTTTAAATGTGACATTTTTTTGAAAATTATCCTTTAGAGTGTATAGTTAATTAAAAATTTTAATCCTTAACAATTTGTAATTAAAATATTAATAACTTTTTAGGCTTCGAAATTTTAATAAACAATTGATGATCACTCAGAGAAAATGATTAAATGAATTAATTTGGTGAAAAAAATGGATCCTGAGTAAACAATGTAATTGGAATTCAATTGTATTAATAGACTAATTGTTGGGAATAGAGGTTAAAGTAATTAAAAGAAAATATTGGAATGATATTTGTATTTAATCTTAATCATCAACTAAATTTGTTTTGATTTAATCAATCAAGAGGAAAGGTAACTAGTTAACTGTTAAATTGTTTTAGATTTTGTTGAAATATTTTGGAAACAATTAGTTGATCAAGTAGAAACTACAAATAGTTTACAATTAATAGATTGTTTCTCTTCAAATTTTTGGCAACTGTAAATGATTTAATTTCATCGTTGATTGATTTTCAATATCATTGGGGTTGTTTTTATCATTATCTTTACGATAATCATGGTCTATGTTGTGTACCTTATATACAACTATTGACAAAAAGTTCTCTGTTGGAATTAACAATTGATCAGTGAGGATAATCGTTATCATCAGGCGAACATAATCTCAAATGTTATAATAAAGTAACAGTTGAATGAGGTAAAGTTTTCCATATGTAAGGATTAGTGAGAAAATTATATGATAGTTTTGTCACATAATAATAAAGTGTAAAGGTAATTAAAACTATGCTAATATGAAAGTGGAGGTGGTAGAAAAAGATAAATGATAGAAGATGATTAGAGGGCGAAAAAAATTGATTTATGAAGCGTGAGGTAAAAATATTTGTAAAATAGTGTAAATATTAGATGAAAACTTAGATTAGGTGAAGATTGACTTTAATCATTAATTTGAAGGATTAGCAAGAGATAATAATTTGTTTTTCTAAGGAGGACACTTTCATGTCGAAACAAATTATCAAAGATTTGTTGTTGTTCTCCCTCAACAGTTGACAAGCTGAGAATGAGAAAGATAATGACAGTTAAAGGAAGAGAGAGAGAGAGAGAGAGAGAGAGAGAGAGAGAGAGAGAGAGAGATCAAACTTGGGGGTGGTGAAATTTGTAAGAAAACGAGGAGGTGAAGTATATGAATATGAAGATGTGAGTCAATTCATCGTGAATGAATTTAAATGAATCCATAGGAAAAACATGGAGAAAAAAGAAGCCAGGTAAAAGTTGAATAAGCCATTCGAAGGGAAGAAATGTCTCTGTTGATTGTTCCTTTAAAACTTTGTATCTTCTCACTTTTTTTTTCTATTCTCTAATGAAGCTTTTTTACCTATTAGATGGTGGAAAAGTTTACTTACAATATTCTTCGACAAGAAATTGCTTCGTCTCTTCTTGTCCCTGTGCAACAACCTTTATAGACCAGTTACCATAGATCGGTTGCATTGACAACGGATGCTCTAGACTAACAGCTCCTAGAGAAAGTATTGATAACAAGGGAAGAGAGAGAAAAAAAAAGAATTTGAGTAAAAAAAAAGAAACAAAAATATTGATTCATCAAGAGAATAACAAAAGGGAGCTGTAACTTATTATTCCAGGTAAATGATGAGAGGGAGAGAGGAATGAGGATATTGGAAAAAGAGTAGAATAGAAATTTACAAACCTTGGTTACTTTGCCGTGAAAGCCATCGTTTGACAATATTTCCATTTGGATCTATCATGTAAACATCAACGGCATCGGAAAAGGTTTTCAAATCGGTTGTGATTGGTACAAAACGGAACTTAACAGTTTGACCTTGCATGTAAATGGGCTTGTCAGTTGTTATAAAAATAGTCATAGATCGCTGATAGAAGGTTAGATTTCTTTCCTCCAGGAAAGCTGTTCCCTCCAAAACACCTTTGATATTACCCTCAACACGAAGCTTAAACTGTCCATCAGAATTTATTTTCACTGGAATACGAAGTAATAATTCCTCTGGTATACCCGATGAACAATCATCCTGAGTGGAGTCTAATTCAACCCCATCCTTAAGAATTGAAGCTCGTACAGTGACAAGTGAATTGGTTGTTTCATAAACAGTGGCGATCACTTTGTAAACTTGGCCTGGTCTTATTATGCTTGAAGCTAAAACAAAATAAGTTCTGTTGGACAAAACAGAAGGGGAAAAAGGAGAGAGAGAGAAAAAAAAGAAAAGAGAACAAAATTAACAAAGAGAATATTATAAGAAGCGAAAAGTTTACACACAAGACACCATAAAGAAGAAGAAAAGAGAGAGGAAGAAAGAAAGAGAATAAGGAAGATAATATGAAAAAGAAAGAGTAAAAAGTAAGGGTAAGTATGATGACAGTGGGTAAAAAAAAGGTAAGATGAAAGAGAGAAAAAACCAGAGAAAGAAAAAAAATGAGAGAGAGAGAAACACTTACGTTGGACCAGGTTCAGTTGATTCAACAGGTAATCCATTGGTAAACACCACAATCAGTGTAATCCAGACAAAATTAACGAATAAATTCATAACCACATGAATAAATTGTTTCAACTTTAAAAATTAGAAGCGAAAATTAAACAAAATTAAGAGATAACATAATAAATCAAGTTAACTGAAGGAAAAGTTTCTCCACTTTGACTTGATCCTCTTTCTCTGTTCGTCTCTACCTGAATGTCCCCACCTTTGGATCTTTCATCTTATATAAATTTCTACTCTCCAGTCGCCATCTGGTGGAATAGAATAACAAAATTTTCAATTTTTATTCTTTTCTCGCAATTTTTGTTTACATTTTCAGTTTCTCTTCATCTCTTGTTACCTGTTAATTGTTTTCTTTGGTTTCGAATTTTACTTTTTTTCTTCTCTTTTAATCATGTCTTATATGATAGGTCATCTTCACAATGGCTGGCAGGTCGACCAAGCGATTCTAAGTGAGGAAGATCGAGTTGTAGTAATTAGATTTGGTCATGATTGGGATCCCACTTGTATGAAAATGGATGAGGTTCTTTATAGTATCGCTGAAAAGGTAAGTTTCATTTTAATTGATTCGATTGGTTTTTGTTTTGTTTTGATTGTCTTTGTAATTTTTGTATTGTGGTTTTTGTTTTCTTTTTTTCTTATTAGTGTAAAAATTTTGCTGTCATCTATTTGGTTGATATTACTGAGGTTCCTGATTTTAATAAAATGTACGAATTGTATGATCCATGTACGGTTATGTTTTTCTTCCGAAATAAACATATCATGATCGATTTGGGTACTGGTAACAATAATAAAATCAATTGGGCTTTAGAGGATAAACAAGAGATGGTTGATATTATTGAAACAGTTTACCGAGGTGCTCGAAAAGGCCGAGGTCTGGTTGTCTCACCGAAAGATTATTCAACCAAATATCGTTATTGATTTTGCTTCTTGGTGTTCATCCGATTTTCATTTTTGGGTCACATCTTTTACTCTCTCCATCATCACATACACATTCTTACTCCATCGTATTGTATTAATAATGAACATACTATATGTCATCATATAATGACAATTATCAGAAGCAGTTATGGATTATTTCAAAATTCTGATTCGATTCAAACTGGAGATGAATATACGACAACATTCAGAAAGATTTATCATTTCAACTTGAACAATGGAAGCGTTTTGATTGATTGTTTAATTTCTCTCTAATGTAAAATATCTGTAATTCACATGGATCACATGGAGAAATAATTAAAACTGAAATAACTTTATTCCTTATCAAGTTATCTCATATGAAACTGGAGGTTCTATTGGAATGTTTTTGATCGAGATTTTCTTTTGGAGTGACAATTTAAAAAAGAAAATTAAAATTATCTGGTTAATATGGTGATCATCTATTAGCTGGTTAATTTGTGATATTAGTGATTTGTAATTTGATTTTGATTTTTCTTCTTCCTCTTCGGTGATTGTTTTTTTCTTCTAGGATTTTGATTTGACTTCATGATGTCGTTTATTGAGAGACCATTGATTGTTTAACTGATTCTGGAACCAATGAGACCAATTTAGCATTTGCTTCAGGTGAATGAGCAGCTAGAATACCACCAGTGTTTGGAAAAGGAATATCTTTGAAATATTTGTTATTCTTTCCATTGATATCGGTAAATTTACCACCTAAAGCATGAAGAATCGCCTCAGGGGCACAGGTATCCCACTTTTTACACCCTTTACTTGGATAAACATAAGCATGAACTTTACCCTCAATGACAAGTAAAACTTTATTTCCAGCACCACCAATGCTTAATTCAGTTGTTGGTTTCATAGCGTTAAGTGTATCATCAACCAATTTGGTTCGATGTGATCGAGTTGTGGCAATAATCAACTGATCAACTGGAGGTTCTTTCTTTTCAATTCCAAAAGCACCAAGGCCAACAACACCCCACATGGTTCGTCCAACTTTCTCCAGATCTGTTTCAATATTATACCGATAATAGGGTTGATGAATTACCCCTGAAACCGCCTTTCCATCAACAGCAATTCCAATCAAAATGGTTACCTGGTCAAGTAAACCTTGAGTAAATTCAGCAGTTCCATCAAGAGGATCAACCCAAACAACTATATCTTCATCTTTAACATTAACCAAATCACTTGGACACGAATGTTTAAGAACATTTTCATCCAAATTGGAGCAAATTAATTCCTCATCCGAAGTACTTGGTTCAAGATCCTAATCCAAACACAAATTAAAACAAAAGAAAATGGAGAGAAAAAAAAAATTCTATAAAAATGTTGATCCAAACAAAAGTAACAACATGATTGACACAATTTTCTCACTTCTTCAGCAATTATGGTTATCTTGGGAAAAGAACGAGATAATGAGGCCACAATACACCGTTGGACCATTCGATCAGCTTCCGTTTGGAAATCATTAACACCCTGAATGTGAACAATTGAAAAGAAAAGGAAAAAAAAATCAACAAATTCTCAAATGGAAAATTAATCAACACTTACCTTATCAACAATTCCTAAATTACCTCGATTCATGATTCCTTTCACAATTCCTCCAGCCTTATTAGCTACTGTTACCGAAGCTGAAACTAATCTCATCAAGGTTGGAATTGACATGATTGAAACAATTAACAAGACTTTTAATTAGTAAACGTTGGACAAAAGTGATCAACTTGACAAAGATGAGAAATTGTTGAACAGATGATTTGGTGAAAAGGGAAAGAGTCACTTTCTATTTGGAATAATTGATTCTATGAAGACATACAATTCTATTCGACAATCAACTTGATTAGAATTATTATTTCACTTGATTGGCTTCTAAATGATTCAATTTAATTCCACCCAATATCTACTAACAACTATTTAAATCTAAATAATTAATATTTCAAATTCTTTTTGAATTTGGCGCAAAATTGGAATCAGATGTTGAGATAAACTTTTTTTTTCAATTTGTTTTTCAAATGATTTTAATTAGAACAAAGTTTTTAATTGAATAGCATAAATTGTTGTTAATCCATTGGATCAAAAGATAAGCTTGTAAATTAGTAAACCAGCCATTAGAATTAGGATTATTTCTAATATCCTTTCCAGTTTAATTGTCCTTGTTGGTAAAGAAAAACGAAAACATAATTAGTTAATTACCATAATTTCTGAATTATTGATTAACTTAATTACCTTTCCATTCGTTTTCTAGCTTCATCTAAATTGTAGTTACCATTACTCGAGGTAAATTGTCTTAGACCAATGATCACAGTTCCAATGTAATCAGACCAATCAATTGATTTAACATCAAAATTGAACAACTATTCCGGAAAAAGTAAAAAGTAATTAGTTAAATGAACTAGAAAGTAATCAAAATAGTAATTAGTGAATTCGATTACTTTTTGATCAACTTTATTTAGAGAATTGAACAGTTCAACCATAGTCGTTGTATCGAAGGTCCAATCGCGAGTATTGAAAAATTCAAAGGGTTCCAACATCGAATTGATTTTCTTACAAGTTTTAACCATTCTAATTGAAGAATTGATTAAATTAGAATAGAAATCAAGACTTGGAAGTAATTTACTATTCTTACTTTGGTTTTTTGCCGATCAGAGTGAAAATTATGTCCAAAATTAACGAGGGAATATATTGATCAACAATTACAATTGAATTATTGATCCATTGATTTGTGGTTAAATGAAGAGATGGACTTCTAATTGCTGTCGAGTCGGGATAATCTCTGATTGATTTGACAAATCTATCGAATGCCTCACCAGCCGTACACGGATTCTGTTGACCTGATGTACAATTAAAGACCATCGGTGGTCGTTTATTACAATAGTGATGTTGGTCACTATTGATTTGATCACAATTATCTGAAAGATGCCAAACAATTGCAAGAATCATATTCACAACCATATCAACTGGAATCATATCAACGGCTTTAGTTGAATCGGCGATCATCACTCTGGTCACTCCGACACTTATGGTCTGTGATATACCGACCACATTATTAAGATTATCAGCCCAACCTTGACCGGGTTCACGATGAGACGGAGTCACGATTGAAGGTCTTATTATAGCGATCGGTAGATTGTCTGATTCCGAGGCAATTAAGGTCTCAGCTAACGCTTTGGTCAGCGTATAAGTATTTGGCCTTTTGTCCAGTAATTTTGGTAAAATATCATTGATCATATCATCGGACATCCAATTGGTACAATCAATCAATTGTTGGGGATCAATTTTTTGTGGATAAATTTTGTTTTCAATTGTTTCCAAATCACAATTACTATAACTTGTTGATACATGAACGAAAGCCTAATCAATGGATTAATCAACAATAACAATAACAATTAACACTGAAGAGACTAAAAATCTTCAACACTTTCATTACCTTTAATTTAGTTAATGAATGAGCCAATTTAATCATTCGTCGTGTCCCAACTAAATTTATATTAACCGCTTGTCTAATTTAAGTGTTAATTAATTAGTCTAATTGTCTTGATCATTACCAATTCTCAATTAGCTCACCTTAATTTCTCGTTGAATTTAACTGTTGCCGCTGAATGAATTATAACTGATACATTTTCCTGAAGCAATTTAAGTTGATCATCACTAATTCCCAGTCCATCAATTGATATATCACCAGAAATTGATTTAACTTTATTCAAACGATCACAATCAGTTGATCTAATCTCATCGAAACACTGGATTAAAACAATTAATGATCAGTAACAATTAATCAGCTTATCGTATCCAAATTAAATTAACCTTTCGATTACCTTATTTTCCAGAATTTTGGTCAATCGTTGTTCACAATTAAGTCCTCGTTTGTCTCGTACTAGTATAAAGATTTCACCGATTTCCGGACAAATTGTCAACAATTTATACACCAAAGCCTAAAGAAATTAAATTTAATCGTCACAAGAAATTAAAATTGATGACACAATTAAAAAGACGACAATTTACCTTGCCGATGAAACCAGAAGCTCCAGTGATTAAAATACTGCGACCGGTGAAAAAGTTAACAATGTTTGATTGATTGGGATTCATTTTAGCATCACAATTAAATCAAAATTAAAGTTAATTGTAAGAATTGACCCGTTCAAATATTATATAAAATTGAATCAGGCAATGATCAAATGTTTACAATTCAGTTAATTGTGTTGATCATCATCATTTTATGTTATTTCAAATTGATTAATTTTTCCTCATTATTTGATTAATACAAAAAAACGTCACAATTATCAATTTACAACTAAATTAAACTGACAAATTTAGTGTTACCTTGAGGCTTAACTGTTAATCGCTTTGTAGCTTAAGTAAGTTAATCAAACTGTTAATTATTCACATTCAGTTTAATTAATCTTTTAACAATTTAAATGCTAAATTAGTTTAAATTAGTTAAAGGTTAAAATTAACGCGCGAGAAATTGATTCAATTTGAACGATCAGACATTAATTTGATTAAAGAAAAATTTATTCAACTAATTATTTATTCATTTGGATTATAAATTAATAAAATTATCGTAAATCAACAGTTAGCGAAATGATTTAATCTTTTAACTGTCAACGATTAACTGATTGTCCATGGATAATGCGATTGATCTGTGATAGATTAGGAAGCAATTTAGCATCACAATTAAATCAAAAGTAAAGTGAACTGTAAGAAATAACAACACTTTTAATTGTGATCATCATGATTTTGTTATTATTATGATTAAAATTGATTAATTTTCCTCATTATCTTATTACAACAATGATGACGTCGCAATTATCAAATTTTGTAAATCTAAACAATTATAGTAAATTATACAATAATAACTGACAAAGGAATCGGTAATTAACTTAGTCCCAATTAACGGAGAGGTCAGAAATCATCTAAAATGGTCTGATTAGTGATGAATTAAAAATGGATCAAGATCTTAATCAATTGATCAATTACTAAAATTGATTTACATAAATCACAATCAACTATTTACAATCAAAGTTAACCATAAACGATTAGCTGATTTACAATCAATCATTTGGTTGACCTGTCAAATTGTCAGAGTTAATTATTATTTTGGAACCAAAAATTGATCAATATTACTCAAAAATTTTCCAACAATTAGTTGCCAATTACACTTTAATTGTAGCATTTATGAGTCTTATTGATTAACTTCAACACTGTGTTCATGATGGTTAATTTTACTATGATAAAAACACAATTGAGATTAATTAATTTCCATCAAATTTTCACAATTTTCTGCCTCATTGGTTGTCTAAATCAATTGCGACAAGTTGTGACTATTCATTTAAACTACGAACACATTACTCGCATCTACATGGAGATTCCGAGAGAGTCCATCTTACCCGATTTAGTTTTATGCTTCGAAGTGGCTTATTTACTTAATTGGAGCAAATTAGTGACCCATCAACCCGAACTGGTCAAATTCATCGGTGCCAATGAAACCAAACAATGGTACCGAATGTTGGAAGAAGATATTCTCACCGTTAACGATAAAATATTATCTCGTTTACGAATCGATCAAATTACCGACCTGACTTACGAATCCAATCAAATGTTTGACCAGATCCATGTTCGAGAAAAGTCAAGTAAAGGCATTTACGATCTGTGTCGTGTTCGTCGATTCTTTTCTAGTAACCATTTGTGTCTCACTTTTCAGTGTAATCGTAAAAAGAAAGTTCGATTAGTTTACAATGCGAAGTATCAAAAGTTTCGAGAAAACTTGTTCAACCTCGAACTGAATCAGGTCATTTTCGCTAATATACCTCGAGTTTACGCTACTCTTGTAATGATTAATAAACTTCCTTGGGATATTCGTACTACTTGGATCAGCATGTCATTCGGTAAAAATTCACCATCATATCAATTGGACTTCACGATTCTGACGACGTTATCGCTTCCCGCTCCGTTCAAGTCAAATTGTATCGATTATGGTAAATTCGGATTCGTATCAAGGGCTCAAGCAATTCAAAGTTGTCTCAATCATGAATCAATTCAGATCTTGGGTTGTCCTTTCCATTCAAACAACGTCGAAATTGATTTGGACATGATGTCAGGGTATTCGATGTACCGAGCAAATCAGTACAATCAGTCTTATGTGAAACTTGTTGATCGAATGGTGTCTGAATGTCATTCTAAGTATGTACCAATAGATTGTAAGAAAACGCGAATTTTGACCTCAATCCAACCCGAGAAAAGATTTTCTAGAAACCATTCCACTATAAGAGTTAGTGAAAACAAAGGTCCCAATGTTGAGGTCATCTTAGAACCGGCCAGTACTCTTATCGAGCTTTTTATATCCATAAACAGCATCGTTTCTACTTGGTTCGGATTCTCACTTGCGGCTCGAACTCAGGGTATTATGAACACCTCGAAATCGTTCATTAATAAAAGATTCTTCAATTTGACTCCAAAGAGTAAATTTAAAGTTCTATTGACCGAAAAGTCGAAAAAATTTCACTCTAAAGATCAATTGATTTTCGTATTGACCGATCACTCGAAGCGACCTTACATTTTAGCCTATCAAGGTGAACATACTAATCAGTTAATTGTTCCCAAATTCATTTACACCTCACCTAAACATGTACCAAGTAAAATGCCCAATTAAAAGGCTCTAATTGTAATTGTTATCATCAGTGAATAATAAACATCATGAAAAATATTGATACAATGTATCAATTCAATTGATTGAGTTATTCACATTCGTTAATTGTTATCGTTAAGTAACTAGATTAACTATTATTACAATCGAGTCACTAATCACTATTCAAGTTAGCAATTAATAATCACCAATGGTTTCACTTAATCACACAACCGATTCAATGTCAGTGAAATAATAACAATTAGTTGATTGTTGAATAGGGTGTCTCATTATCATCAAGAAAATGAGGATTAGATTTAATTGTAATCCAATAATCATTGATTAACAACAAGTATTTTTTAATTATTTTTTCTTGTCTATAATAATTAAAATACAAAAAGTAATGATGATAACTTTTACCATGATATTAATTTGATTGCATGATGATAATGATTATATTGAAATGATTGAGTGATTAGATTTGATGGAATCATTTTTTTTTGCCTCTTAATTTTGTCAATTCTGTTGCTTAATTGTTGCTTAATTGTTGAGATTATAATATTTTGTGTAACGAGAGAGTTTGAACAATCCTTGGATCGCTTTTAGATCCTTCAAGAAATTCATCTAAAGATAAACGATTATCTTTATTCTGTATGATCAGAAAAAGAGATTAAAAAGAAAAATATTAATGACAATTAAACATGAGAAACGATTAAATTATAATTAGAGTTAATCATCTATTCCAATAAATGATTAGGTAATTAACAATTAAGGAGAAATGATCAACACTTACCCTATCAAGTTCATGGAAAATTTGATCAACTCTCTCCTTTGGATCGATGTGTTCAAGTGAAGTATCACCGATCATAATTAACATGGAATCTAAAATACTGGACATTTCCTCCCGAGTAATATAACCATCAGAATCGAGATCATATAATTTAAAAGCCCCTGAAAAGTAATCAGTAAATAGTAACAATTAGAATGAAAATCAGTTAAGAAAAGAAAAAACAAGTTCGAAAGAAAAAAAGTTCTTACATAAAAGTTTCTCTTCCATTGTTCCTCTGGATGTTATCGAAAGCGCTCGAATGAACTCTTCGAATTCAATTGTTCCATCCTGATTTTCGATCATCAATTAGATTAATTAATTAGCTAATTGTTAATCAAACTTACATGATTCTCATCGAAAACATGGAAAAGTAATCGAGCAAATCGAGTTGGATCACCATTGGGGAAAAACCTTTCGTATATTTTTGCAAAAGCCTGAAGATGAAAAAAAAATTGGAACAATTTGTTAACTGTTTACGAAATTAAATAGTAAATATGTAATTAAATTACCTTTTCTGTTAATTTACCATCAGGGCAATCTTGTTGGAAGCCTTTATACCTTTAATTTATTGATTAATTAATCGATCAACATTGTCACCAAGGTTGATTGTTGTTCAAACAATTAAAACACATAAAAAGAAGTTGAGAAAAAAAAATTATTAGTGTTAATTGTGATGAAAATTGATTGATAATATCAAACAATTAACATAATAATAGGAGAATAAAAAACTTAAATCAATCAATTTAAAGGTGAATCAATTTAATAAACATGTTAAAATGTTTAATTGTTGTTACCATAATCAAGGATATTTAAAGGAAACGTTAATTGTTACTGATTGTTATCAGAATAACAATTCGGTTATATTATAATATCACTCTAATCACAATTTAACGTTAATTAATGAATGAATCTTTCAGAAAGATAATATTAATTGTCTAACAATTAACTTAACTATTTCACCGACTAATCAACTAAAACAGATAAGATTCATATTCGGTGTTCAATTTGATTCCTTAATTGTGTGTTTACAATCAGTTAATTGTTTTCTCACAGCTGATAATTTATCGTTTCTATTTTGTCATTTGCTATTCACCTCATTATTATTACAGTTAACTGGACAATCAATAACTGGACATGATAAAAAAAAAGATATACCCAACTAGTTATAGAGATACAGTTAATTGTTTTTACCTTTTAAAGTAACAATTGATTTGATTGTTGATCTATTTTTGGATTAACTTTCACACAAATATATCAACTGGAACAGTTTGATATTAGTTTTATTCACTGTCAACATAAATTAATCATCACTAAGGCCCTGAGACATTAAACAAGAATCAACTGTCATCATTAATAAATTGTTGTGATCAGTTCAATTGACCTTAACTACAATACATGAAAACAGGTACAATGATTTGTAAATTGTTATGGTGGACAATCAATCGTGATCAATGAATTAAATTAAACTTACCATTGTTTTACCTCCTTCTCGGTAACTATTGTGAAAGAAAATCATTGACAATTAGTAAATCATATAAAGTTAATTTACTTTGCAAAGCTTTTAAATTAGTCTAAAAAATTGGTGATTAGATTCAATTGATTTCTTGGCAATTAGATTAACTCAATTAATATACAATTGAATTTACTATTTTCCCCTTCATTTGTGGTGTTAAAAATTCACATGGGAAATTAAACTATCATTATAATCAGTTGATAATTTAATCATTAACTGATTGGATGTTTTTTTCCTTCAACAATCAATGAATAATAATTAACATGAATAAGTAAAGTTAATCATCATCATCATTACTACAATTAAACTTTAACCAAAGTGATTCTTATGATAGAGACGATTAACAATTGATTAGCACATTCTCAATAATCAACTAGAATTAAGATTGATAAAGTTAATCAATAAGAAACTATTAACCATCATTGAACAATTAGATTAATTTAATGAAAGAGTTTAATTGAAAATGACAATCTAAAAGCCAATGACATTGGCAAGTCTAATTGTGTATCCATGATGAAACTGATTAGTTGATGTGTCGCTTTTAATTGAATCAACAATCATCGGATTATAATCAGTTAATTGCTACTGATTAGTGTTAATTTTCAAGGTTAATTTGATTATACTTACAATAAGTTTGTTCCGCAAGTTTGGTAATCATTTGTTTCTCTGTTTTTTTACTACAATGATTTCCCATTACCATAGAGAGAAATCAAATTGTTGATGGCGAGAAAATTGTAAACAATCAACTGATTGTTGACCGATAATCGTAGGGTAACTGTAATTGTTATAAATTGGATGAAAGAGTGACACAATTAACAGATTGATAATAAGATGATGATGATGTTTGTTGTTGCAATTTAATTCTAATCATGTTAACTATCAATAAGAAAATCAAATTTTCCATGTTGATATTGTTGCTGTTTTTGAACGTTCTGTTGATTGTCCCATGGAAAAAAACTATTCCATTAATTTATCTGGATCATGGAAGATGATAGGATGATAGAAAGATGAAAAGAAAGAGATGGAAGATAAATAATGAGTGAAGATATTGATTGGTGACCAGAAAAAGTAGAAGACAATTCCAGGTAAACTGTTTTCCTCGACTTCTAAATTGTCTCCTGCGCAATTAAATTCGTAATCATAACAATTGTGAACAATTGGTAGGATATAATGTAGAAAATGTTATTTCAAAATAAAGTGGAATCATCAGCTTAATGAACAACAATTAAGAAGGAAAATTTTCCCTGTTAATCCATTTTTCTGATAATCTGATCTCATTGAGATTATATGGAAATGTTTTATCATTTAGATTTTCTCGCAAATTTTCAGACTAATTTCCAATGTTTATCATTGATTGTCCATCTAATTACTTGACCACAAGTAGATTGTATTTGCCTCATCATTATGATAATCAATCAATCAATATCTGGAACAATCAATAATCAACAATTCTCAAGATTTAACATAACATCAATGAGATTATTTAGTTGACAATTAACCAATGGATAGAATTGATTTAATCACCATTTCAAAGCAAAACAATTATCAAGATGACAAGTAAACACAATTTTCTAGATCAACAACAATTTAAACCAATTTAATTTAATTTAAATCAACAACAATTAGATTTGAAATGAGATGATTAACCAAAAACAGGAAAAAAAAATGAATTGAAAGGTTGACACTTGATTAAGATGATGAATTTGTATTGTTTTTATTGAATTGAATTTAAAATCTATGGTAAAGTTGATTAAAAATTAAACTAATTAATTGGGACTAATGATTTAATTACAAACATGTAGAAAAGTGGATTAAGGGATTAAGAAAAATGCACAATTAGGATCACAGATTAAGATATGAAGAGTTGATCATCTGTTGATGTTGTTGTTAAAAAGTAAATTGATAATAAATTATGAAGGAAAAATGGAAACACTGATCAAGTTAATTGTTGGTAAGGCTTTCGAATTGATTAATTGGGACAAACACAATCAATTACTTCATTATTAAGTTTCACTGATTCTTTACCATCACAGTAATTAAGGCACAATTGATAAAAGTAAGATGATGAATTGTTAATTGTGATCGATGAACCATCTTTACCATCAATTACAATTTCGATCACTTCTTTGGTTCCTGTTGGTTGGATTATCGTTACTAAATCACTTTGATTAGTTGATTGTTGATCAACTGGTTTGTAATCAGAATGAACACTGACATAGGTGAAAAAGACTTAATTGTTAATCGAGTTACGGAAAAAAAATTGAAGAAAATGGTAAAAGAAGAATCAAATTAATCTCAGTTAATAATTACAATTAGTTAATTACAATAGTTACCAAATGATCCGTATAATAGTGTGACAATTAAAGAGACAACGACCATAATCCGAGCCTCCATTTTAGTGATTTAATTGTTGGAAATTAACTGAATTTGTATAATCAATGGAAAGGAAAAATTAAAGTTTAATTGTTACAATAACAAACTAATTGGGTTTACCTTTTAATTGTTGATTGTTGATCTGTTTATGATGATGATTGTCTTATGTTGTCTAGAGAGAGAGAGAGGAGCAATTATCTAATTGTGGTAACTAATCAATTGAGATAAAACCATAAATGATAAGATAATTAAGTTAACATTGTTAACCAATTAGAGAGCTCATCTTATTTAATAAATTGTTCAGTTTCAAATAGTAATCATTATAATTAACCAAATGATGTGATTAATACAAAATGAAGGTAAATTTAATATTAGTGATGATTTGATTGGGTTTTTTTTGATTCTGTTTTTAATTGTGTTACTTTGATTGTGATTGTCAACAAAAACAATGGATGAGGGCAAAAAGTAACCAGTAATTAATTGATTAATTGTTAATTCTATCCTTTGACAACATCATTTGATCCATTGTCATAATCATCGTCGTTATTGTCGATTGGTGATTCTAAATCATTTTCTTGGTGTTTTCCATTAGATTTGATTGTTGTTGTTGTTGATGATGATGATGATGATGAGGATGAGGATGAGGATGAGGATGTTGTTGTTGGTTTGTTTAAATTGTTAATCTCTTTGTTATCATCATGAGCATCTTCTTGATCGTCAGTATTAGTTGATGAAAGTTTCACTTCATCTCCTCCACTACCATGATCTTTATTGTTATCATGATTATCACCATGTTTATCCTCATCACCATGATGATGATGATCTTCATCATCATCGTCCTCATCATCTACATTACTAGGCTCAGGCCAAGTTTCTTCCCAGTAAAATTTTTCCTCTCCATGATCATCATCATGATGATGATCTGCTGGATGATCGGTTGTTGATTCATGATGGTCATCATGATGATGATCGTGATGATGGTCATCAGAGGCCACTTCTTGTTCATACCAAGTAAGAAGCGCTTTAGCCAAAGTAGCTGATCGATTGTCTGTTTGATCACTAATTTTAGGCCAATTAACGAATAACAAATAAACACCAATACTAATCATGATTAGTAGAATAAAGAAAACAACCATAGCTAAACGAGAAGATGTATTCGAATGATGATCATCATGATGATGATGGATTGTAGTTGATGAAGATAATCCATCGTTGGGCTTAGTTGATGAGAAAACCATTGGGCTTGAAGGTTTATCGTCGTCGTCGTCGATTAACTTATCACTAACAGTCGATGATTTTGATACGAAATTTTGTCCAATTTTCCTTTCTCGTTGTTCACCAAATCTCATACCAATATCTTCATGTATATAAAATAACTCAAACTCTCAAACAAGAGAAACAATTTAAAGATGATTGTGATCAATCAAAAGACAATGTCTATTAATCAACACAAGAAGAAAAAAACAACAGGTAACTAATCAAGGTGACACAGGTGATTAAAAGCTATTAGTTAATCAACTAATACAACAGGTAAAAGATCAAAGGACCAATATAATGATTGACTTATTAAACTATGAAAGAGATTGGAAGAAATGTTAACAATTAAGAATTAATTGAACTGAATTTAAATTGCATAGACAAGATGAGAAGATGACAAAGAGGAAAAGACAAAAGGATGAGATGAAACAAAGTGAACCCAAGAAGATAAACCCGTTGATGATGATGACGATTAATACGAAGATAGAGTTGATTAAATTAACTCAGAATTTTCATCTTCCTTCTTGGCTCTGGAATAATTTCCTCTTCTCTCTCTCTCTCTCTCTCTTGGCAGAGTCAAAGATATTATTAGATCTGCAATTTAGGTAATAGAGATGAAGGAAGAAAATACTTACGACATAATTGAAGAGAATCTGGAAAAGATATTGAACAACATGACGAGGAAGAAGAAGAGTGAATATGATGACGATGATTGAGTTATGGTGACAAAACGACAAATCTACTAAACATATCGAAGGAGAAAGAGAAAAGAATATAAAAATTCCTATTAGAATAAACAATAAACTTTGATATAAAAGTTTCCACGTTGAAATTACCTGGAGACTTTTGTTTCTATTCAATTCTATTTCCTCAGGTGACATTGAATTCTAATGGAAGATCATTTTGGTTTCGTTAGAGGTTCAATTTAATTTCTAGTGTGTTCATCTCGTTGATTGTTTATCCATTGATTCACCTTAGTAAACAATCAGCCAGCAATTAACAGCGGAAAAACAAATTCTCTTGACGATTTTTTTTCCGCTCAACTTTTTTGTCTCTGCTTTTCCTCTTTCTGGTTTTCTCATTCGTTGATCATTTCGATTTCCTCTGGTGTGTAGTTAACCTAATTTCCATTTGCAATTGAAAATTCATCAATCAGTTTGATTTAATTGTTCCTTGATTGTCATCCCTTTCATTTCCATTGGTTTCTCTTTTCTAATTGTACAACGAAAAACATAACGGTAACTTTATCATCTCGAACATGTTTGGCAACCAAACCAACAATTAACATCCAAATTAAACATCAACAACATTCAAAAAATCACAACAATTATCAACATTTTCATCTTCTCACTGATTCTTCAAAATTTCATGTAAATATCATGGGGAAAAAAAAGAGATGAGGAAGTTCAGTCGAAATTCAGAATCAACTGGTTGGTAACAAGAGAGAGAGAGAGAAAAAAATTACCAACATTTAGAAATTAACTGATAACTGTAAATCTAATTAACTCAATGATCCACAAACAGTTACCCTTTGATTACCTTTTAGAGGGAAAATCAAACCTACAGAAAGATAATCAAATCGATGTCACTGTCAACCAATTACGACGATAGACAATTAGGATTTGATTTCGATTCAATTGTTTACAATTAACTAATTTCATCCATTGAATCAGCTTAATTTCCTCTTGTTCTTATTAATATATTAGAGTGGAAAATGATTTCCATATAATGAATAATACAGAAACACTTTTTGCTTCTTCACGATTTCTCTCATTGATTGTTAACCATTAGATTAAATATGAAAAAAAAAGATGATAAAGTCTCCAATTGAGAGAGAGTTTAATTCTTCTCGTTAACTGGAACAATTAAAAATCCTTAGGTGGTGATCTGAACACTGATGGTGTGAAATCCATGCCCTGAGAGACCAAAATATCCAACTAACATTTTCTCCTCTTCCACTTTTTGTTTCATGTTTGTAATTCACTTTTAGCACAATTAACTTATTTTCCTTCATTCATTGTGATTCTGAGTGAGTTTATGATTAACAATTAAGGAATAGAAGGAAGAAAAAAAAACTAACAACTGATGAGAAGAGTAAACAAAGAAACGCAATTTAAGTGTATTGTTTTTCCATTCTAATGTAACATATGAAGAGAAAAAAAAAACAAATTCGATCACTTAAAGAGGTTGTAATTCTTTAAATGGATTCTGATTGTTGTTGATTAAATTAGAGTTTATGTTGTGAATGATTTTCGTTTTTTGTTAAAAAAGAAGAGACTATTTATTAAATAAATTAATAAGTTCAAATTAAGTCGATTGTGTGTTGATGATTAACCATCTTCTGTCTTGTTGTTTGTTGTTGATTTTTTTTTTTAGTTGATGGCTTAGGCTTTTTGTTGTTGTTGTTGTTGTTGATGTTTTCAAGGCGAGAGGATCATCTTATTATTGTAGATAATCATTGGATTATCATTGACAATATATAAGATCATTGTTACATTAATTTTGTTGATTTTGTAACCAATTAGAGCATCTTAATATTAAATTACATTATTTAAACAGAATAAAGCAAATTTATAATATCAATCAATAAGCGTGATAATTATTGATGTGTGTATGTTGTGGTGTGTGTGTGTGTGTGTGTTTATGTGTGTGGAGGGAAGAAGTAAAGGCGCTTAATTAATGATTAACAAAGGACAGAGACAAAGTGAGAGTGAGAGAGAGATAGGAGAGAGAGAGAGAGAAGAGAGAGAGAGAGAGAGATAGAGTGTTTTTTTGTCTTTTTCTTTTTGCAAAATTTGGAGTAAGAAGAGAGATTAGGCAAAGAAGGCGAAAGAAATTAAGGAATTAAGATAAAAGTCACTATTCTTTAACAATATCAGAACTGTCATTGTCATCGTAATCATCATCATCATCATCATCTTCATTGGAGTCATTGTTTTTGTTATCATTGTTTCCATCATGTTGATCATCATTCTCACCATCTTCTTCTTTATCATTATCACCATTTCCATCATTATTATCTCTGTAATTAACATTTTCAACTCGAGATTCCAATTCTGTTGAATGTTTCATATTTCCAGATGATTTTATAGTCTCTTTAAATTCTTGTTGTAATAAATGTCTCGGTGTTGATGATGATAAATTATCTTTCTTATGGTTAATCCTTTTTATCTTATTTGATTTAGAGGTTTTCAATGTTAACGCTTCTCTCATTGTATCCTGAATTACTCGTATTAATGAGGTAACTGTTGTTTCATGGTGAGTTGAATCACTGATTAAATGCCAACCATTTGGATCGTTAACACGAAGTATCTCATGGATCAATTGTATTCTCTCTCGTAGTATTTCATTCAACTTTTTATCCAATTGATTTAACGTTCCTCTGGAGTGACAATTCTTAACGCCTCTTCAACTCTTTCATGGGTATTAATTTGCACTGCGGACGGAGGAATGAGAAGAAGATCATCTTCGGTTACATAGGTTATGGTTCCTTCATTTTTAGTATTAGCTGTTGGTGTTGTTGTTGTTGTTGTTGTTGTCGGTGTTACTGCCGATCCAGTGGTGGTTCGCCTGGTCTCTTTATCTCGCGATTTTATCTCCTCACTGCCCATCAGATCCTCGGTTGTTGGTGTTACGGTTGATATTGTTTTCCTTCTTTCCTTATTAACTAAATCTTTAACACCGCCGCCAACACCACCGTTACTAGAATTTTTATTCTCATAATCATCATCATCTCGACTGGTATTTAATTTAAGATCAATCAGTTTGGAAAAAGATTGAGTATGATTGGGATGTTTACGTCCGGTTGCTGAAATTTCTTGTATCTTTTGTGTCCAAAGATCTTTCTCCGTGGCGGTGGCAGCGTGAAATTCATAAAAAGCTGATTCAATTTCATCATTTGATAATAGATAGAAAGCTGTCTTATCGGTGGCCACATCACGAGTAATTAAACTGGAAACATTTAAAATTGGTGGTTTAGGATGATTTTTGAGTATAAATCGATCTCCATCTCGGTTCAATATAATCATTACATCGGAACATAATACAACTAGGACATCGGTACACTTTTGTTTGGTCGGTCTCCATGTTAGGAATCCTTCGTGGACTAAAATTTTACCAGTTAGGTCAATATTTAGATTATCTTGTTTAACAATCTTTTTCTGTATATTCTTTAAGCGTAATTTATTCTCGGCACAGCGTTTCTTTTCATTGATAACATGTAATAAATCCTTTGTTCGTTGGAGAGCCTTTTCAACCAGGTCAAATTCTTCGGTTTCCTTTTCCGTTGCTTTGAGTAAATTGTCCAACAGAAGAGGATATTTGGTTACCCTTTGGAAACAGAATGCTAACAAAGCTTTGAGATCAAGACGTTTACACCTTTCATGAGATTCAGCTTCACTCAGGAAAAGGGCAAACTTTGAATCTTTTTTCATCTTATTCAATAATTCAAGACCAGCCGTTTGGGATGCACAAAATGTTGATGCAGCATTTTGTAAAGCATCACCTAAAGTACCTTCAAATATATTGACCAACATTTGACCAACCAATAGATCGGACATCTCGGTGTATCTTTGAGGAAATTGTAATTGGGTTTTAATACTCTCTTCATAATCCTTTCTCTTGGCTCTAAATTGTTTAACCATGGCTTTATGTATCTTTAATAGATCATCATGGGTAGAAAATATTTGCTGAATTTGCTCCGCTGTTAATAATTGTTCAGTTTTTATCGGCTTATAGAAGATATCATGTAAAACCTCAAGGTATTCAACGTGAGTCTCTTCCGTGTTAAATAGTTCATTGATTATTTCCATACGTTTAGAACCAGTGAATAGACGTTGAGTTCTTGGTGGTAATGGGGGAGGCACACAGGTTGGCGAATTAAGAGTAAAGCTTGTAATCGGCGGAGCTGGCGGTGGTGGATGGCTTGGTGCTTGGAAGCAATAATCTTCATCATCATTGGAGAGATGAAATTTTTCACTATTGGACAGATTAGAAGACACTGAAGATGATGAGGGTAAAGCTGGATCACTTATTTTACGATAATTGCGCTTTGCTTCAGCAGCTTTCAATGATTCAGATCTATTGATTTGATTTAAACTGCTATTGGAAGACTCAGAGGGATGAGGCGGTGGTGAAATTGAGGGAGTAGTTGGACAAGAGTTTGGTAAAACATCATCCGACATGGCCAAGGTTAAGGCAACATAACTTTGACACTGTTGGATCATCTTGACAACCGCAAGATGATTATGTTTTAATACACAGGTTCCATTGACTTTAATAATAACTTGACCCGAGCGAACACCAGCTTTCCATGCGGCTCCATCCGGTTTAACTGATTCTACCTTGACCGGATTATCGCCTGAAACACGTAAACCAAAGCCTTTCTCATCTCGACGAATGATGACACATTTTTGCGTCATAATAAATCAAAAAGAGAAGAAGAAGAAAAAAAAATAAACAAACACAAAATCAAATAGAAAAAAAAACAAAAAGATCGATTCAAAGAGAGAAATTGGATTGTGTCTCTCAAAGGAGAGAGAGAGAGAGAGAGAAAGAGAGAAAGACAGATATAAAGAGAGAGAGAGAGAGAGAGAGTGTGTATGTGTATATGTATGTGAGTTAGAGAGAAAGAGAGATGTAGACAAACAAATAGACCCTTATGTTAGAGTATACAGGGTGGAAAATATTTTTTTTGTTTTATCTTGTGAATTGAAGGTTGGCCTTTAGGTTGCGCTATAATGTAGACAACAGATTAACACCCTTGAAATGCGCATTGAAAGAAGATACTGTTTCCTCTGGTAAGGAAACTTTTTCTCTTTCACCCTGTAGATATATTGGTGAAGGATAAACACTGGTGTAGTTGATACAAATGGTGGTAAAGGGTAATGATGAGGTTGATGATGATGTAAGAAAAGTGTATGTTGTTATATGTCCACCTAAACACACAGACAAACATACAAAATATTCAACAGGTAGAAAACTACTACACACACTCGATAATAGAAAAGTATATTAGAGGATAAATAATAATAATATTAAATATTTGATGATGATGAAGATGAAGATGGGGAGTGAGGGGGTGGAAAATAACAGAAAGAGAAAGACACAGAGAGCGAGAGAGAGAGAGAGAGAAAGAGAGGAAAAAAAGAAAGAGAAAAAAAGAAAGAGATGAAAAGATGAAGAAAGAAAATGAAAAGACAGAGAAAGAGAGAGAGAGAGAGTTAAGAAACAAGGTAAGTAACTAGGTGTGTGTCATCAGCGTATTATGAAAAAGAGTATAAAATAATCAATTGAATGTTTTAAGAAAAAAAAATGTATAAAAAACAGAGAGAGAAAGAAAGATGAATAGAAACTCTGTCAGGATTAAGAAATTTTTTCTTCTTAAACCCAAAAGCTTTCATAGATATCGGATTATCCGATTCGGATATAAACTCAATGGAAACTCAATCAAGATTTTCACTAATCTTGTTTATATCCAATTCGAGAATAGAAAAACTTTAATTAGCAAGTAGATCAAATATCGATACCATATGTTTTTCCGTAGAAAAAGGTTACAACTTGATATCTTTTCTTTGGTATCTTTAAGAATTCGAGTATCGGTGCGAATGGATAACCGAACTTTTGGTTGACCGCGTTTTTTGAAATTTGGGTAACCATGGTAACTGTTTGAAAGTTTTTTTTCCATCGGTCACATTTTTTGTCTCTCCAATTCTTTCAAAAATTCTGTGAAAAATAAACCAAGTTAATAATTAAAATTGTGTTAATCAATTAATTTACAAGATTAGGGTTAATTTGATGCCAAAATTGTAATAGAAAAGTAAATAATTCAAAATAATAAATGAACTACAAAATAACAGGAAACAGGATATAAAATTAATCGAAACTTTTTTTTCTTCTTTTAGAATTTATTGATATTTTGAACTTTCTTTTAGATTTTTAATTTAATTTAGAGGAAGAGAGAGAGAGAAAAAATAGAAATGATTGGACTTCTAATCGGTTTCGAATGTGAAAAATGTAAAAGAATAAGATTGAACTTGTTGGAGAGATTTTATTAGTTTCGAAAAGTTTTGAAAACTTTTTTTTCTCTTCCAAATCGAACCAATCAAGTTGATTAAGTTATGAATTATGGTGAAAATTAAAAATTATCTCTTGTAGTTATAATTTTTGTAGTTGCTCGTTACTTTCGTCTTTTCTTTTGATAAAGTTGGGCTACTTTGAGTTGTATCGTTTTGAAGGAAAGATGATTCCATTTTCGGGTTTAAGTATTTTGATAAACATATTGACGGAGGTGGACTTTTGAACTGTATTGATTTACTTTCATCGAGAAATGGAATCGGTGAGCTCAAGAGAAAATCTGTCTTAACACTTTTCATGGAAATTGGTTTGGTAGATTTAGAGGCTAACTTGGATATCGAATAGGGTTTAACCTTAACAAAAGGAGCGAATCGACTGAGTCCACCACTTAAACTTTCCTTCTTAGAACTTTTTCTACTTCGTTTTCGAGAAGCGAGACATCCGATGACCGAAACAGAGCCAAAGATCAGAATAATCCATAAGATCGTGGGGAATTTATCGTCCGATGAATCGGATGTCTGAGGTTCTATGGTAGATGAGTCGATCGTTTTATTTTCCGTTTTCAGAAGCGATGTAAATGCGATAAACTCAGTTTTCTCATAATTAGATAAGTTGGAAGTTCGATAAACACTTAATCGTAATCTGTATTCTCCATCTTCGACTTGATCACATTGAACGAAAATCATCACATCAACAACTTGGATAACTTGACATTCTTGCAAAGTCATTTCTCCATTTACAAGATTAATTGTAAGTGGAAATTGTGACAACATTGATTCATGATAACCAGTTAAATTTAAATCGATATTGAATTTTGATGTGATTGGAAAATAAATCGTTTCAATTGTATTGAATTGAAAACAAGGATTGACATTCATCGTTTCGGTTACCACAATTGAATCGTCTCTGCAATAAAAGAATACAATTATATTAGTTATTCATCGAGTGTAGCAATTAACTAACCAAGAATCACCTTATTGGTTGTATACTTTCATCAGCTGAACAGGTAGCGGGCTGATCGTTCGTACCTTGTGTCCATTGGCAAAATCCTTGATTTATATTATCATCAGAAACTTTGGTGGTTATACAATCGAGACAAGAATTTGATATAAATGGACAATTTAATATATCGAGTGTTTCGTTGTATTGATATTGATTTAGCGGAATCAAAACACTTGATTCATGAATTTGATCATAAAAATCAACACCAGTTGAATATCTACTAATCAAAACAATTAATGAAAACAGTTGAAAAATCATCTTCAATTGTTCACAAGATCCTTTGATCATTTTAAACTCTAATTTCTTGCATAAACAATCAAAGGATAATATTTAATTATCAATGGGATACAATCAATCAAATCAATCACAATCACAGAAGTTAATTTGTTTGATTCTCTTTTTGATTAAATCAAATTGTTTCCCATCCAATTAAACTTTCTCTCTAATTTTGACAGTTTCCTTTATTTATCCTTCAATCAATGGATTAGTTGATTAACCGAAACATTTGATCATAGATTTTGCTATATCAGATTATCTTAGGGAAAGGTTAATCATTTCGAATGAGAAACAATCGAGATTTTTATTAGTGTCTAAGTATCGAGATTTGTACATTTGAAATTAAAAATTTTTCTCCATTACAACCTAATCATCATCACCTTCGTCAAATTAGAGTGACAAATAATCAATAACGAGTATTGATTTCTAAGATAAATCAATTGATCTATTACAGATTATCAATTTATATGAAACGATAATTTTGGCGACAACGGAGCTCGGACTTTATTGGAAATACTTCTAATAGGTATTCGTTGTGTCGGTGGCATGGAATTGGTAATTGGTCCCGTCTTCGCCGCCCTCGTATGGGCTAATCTGATCAAATGCTCTTTTGATGTTTTTCCTAAACTTGGCTTGAGGTTTTTACTCAGATACTTTTTAAGCTTCTTTTTAGGTTTAACGGATATTAGTTTATCGATCAATTTTCGTTTCGACTTTTTCGTTACAATTAAGAATAATATTACCACAATCAACGTGAAAATAACAATTATCGGAAATATATAAAGTGAAGAATCGGTTATCGTCAAATCTTCCGTCAAGAGAATCGGACTTACCATTATCGAACTTGCTTGTACAATATTTGTGGTTGTATTAATAATTCTGTCAACGATTATCACAAGTCGATAAATTCCGTAATTAACTTGAGTACAGTTGATTGATACAATTGAATTGAATATTCTATTCATAAAACATTCATTTGTAAGGTTGGTATTAATAGTTGCGATCAGAAAAAAACGTAATGGGAATTTATCACCTAGAGATTCATGATAACCCTCAAGGTGAATAGCAATACTAAAAGCTAATTGTTCAGCTGAAAAAGATGTTTTAATTATCGGTAAACTGAAACATGGATTGTAATTCATGCCAGAAAATTGTGGTGGTAAACTGAAAATGGGATAAAATGAAATGAATTGAAAATCAATATGATAATTAAATCAAGGAAAGTGCTAGAAAACTTTACCTAATCGATGAAATTGGAGGTGATGGATCTGATATATTTCCAATTGTACATTTCGATATTCCGATTCTCTCAGGATTCCAGTGGCAAAAGAGTTCACCTTCATCGTTAAAGAACTTGCTAGTTACACAATCGAGGCAAGAATTGTACAGAAATGGACACAGAATAAGTGATTCATTTTGATGAAATTGATCGATAGTAATAAGCACTCGAGGCATTGGAATATCATAGTAATAGATTTTCGTACGATTATCGGGAATATGGGAAACTGGAATATCCTCTCAATTGGATGAGTAATTGATTGATATTGTTCGTTAAGAAAATGAATTGAATATCGATATTGAGAATAGTTATCTTCACTAGAAAGAACAAGAAAAACGTAACCAGGAAGGGAAGTTAATGCAAGTGGGACAAAATCAACGATTCGATCCCAAGGACCGTGAAGAAATCGACCAATTGTTACACCTTCGGGTTCCCAAATTTTCCAGACCAACTGTGTACCTGGCACTCGAGGTGGACCTCTGCTTTTCAGGCAACCCCTTGTATCCAGTGTCATACGAGCGGTTGGCCATAAATAATACGTCTCATTACAAGTTGTCAAATCAATTTCATCGAAATATCTCAATAATCTTTCAAAAGAAAATATTAAAATTCTATCAACAACACTACGATAACTGATTATAAGTAATTTAGAAAATGCTGAATTCCCACGCTTCTCTATCAGATTAGAAGTAACAAATCGAACGATCTGAATATTACCCAAATTCTCATGAAATTTTATTGAGTAAAGTTCTTTGTAAGTGTATCTCAACCAATTCTCACGAAAGGGAATAGCTAATGTTATTGTTAGTTCTGAAAATGAGTAAACTCTAACTCTATCTTGGACAGTTTGAGATCCAAACCAATAAGTTTTATTATCGTACATGAATCCATGCATGAATTGAATCTCATTTAAGGATGTATCGAATAGATTAACACTGATCCAATCATAATGTTCTCTACCATTAATCTCAGATTGTTCAACGAAAAGCCGAAATCTAGAAACATCAATGGGCCGAATATTATCAATAAATGATATTCTATTCGCACTATTCGAGCTGGTGGGAATCCAACGGAGCAATTTTCTGTGATCCACACGCTCTCTGTCATTGAAAACAATAAATCCAGATCTATTTGGAACTGCAGTTGTACCATCGATGTCATAATCGATATAATCAATGTTCGTTGTATATAATTTGCATTGATTAGGGGATTTGAAAATAGTATAAGATTTTAAGTAGCCATTTATTGGTAATTGGAATCCAGTAACCGTAGGCCTTGTGCTGACGTTTCCGCGTCTGGTCATAACGAACTTGTGATTTGGATGATGAATGAAATCAGGTAATACAATTCGATTTCTTATTGTTCGATTGGCACAATAAATTGGAATCCAAACATTAGATTCATGAATTTCCAGGTAACAATTTACAATGGTAACTAGAAATGTCCAAATAACGAGAAAATATTTAGAAGACATTTACATTTAATTTTCATCTAGTAATTTAAAGATTGTCACAAATTTGGTAAAGGATTCGTTCAGTTTAATGGGATATTGTTAATTGTTAGTTGGAAAAATACTGATTGTCATTGAAGATAATAAACTATCATCATCAATCAGATTAATTATTATTACATGTAAGTTATTGATACGAATTGTCCAAGTTTATTTATGAAAAAGTTTTCAATGATTAGCATCATGTTAATGGTGAAACTTTGGTTTCATTTGATTGAATTTACCATCTTCGGTTAGTGGTTTTTTCGCACCTCAAATGAGTTTATATTAGAGTAAGTTAAACCAAATTGGAACAAATTAAGAAAATTAGAGTTTATTATCATAGTAGTTAATGAGAAATGATCATGAATCAACTTGGTGATTTTTTTCATTCATGTGAATTTCTTTTGAACTTGGCGCCAAAAAATCATATGATCAATTGAAATTGTAAGTGAATGAAATTTGATTTAATTTAATGATTACAAATTAAAGTTTAACATTTTCTTTTTGTGCTCATTGTGAATTTAATGACCATCATGATCAGTTTGGTTTCGCTACACCAATTTACACTCATTTCACTTCAACCTGTGTCCACTCTTGTCAAACTCTTCTTGTCTCGACTGTACAACAACCAAATACTTTGATGATGGTGAGAATGAAAGATTTTGCCAATGGACACAAAGTGAAGAAAGTCAACTTTGTACTTGTTCATCAAATTCAAGTGCAATTCCTAAAAAGTAAATATAACATTTGATTGATTCATTCATTTCGATCGCCACAGATTAATTATTGACCTTTTTTCGTCCTTTCCCATCTCAGTGTAAATGGTACAAGAGAAAACTCGTGTATTGGTATCACTAATATAGTCGCATGTCAATCACCGTCGAACGGTTTTGATGATATTCCTTGTGGATTTGATTGTTCAAATTGTCCAAAAGATGATGTTACAATTAAATTGGATCGTAAAGGTCGGGCTAATGTGTCGTAATGATGTAAGTCGCAAGTTTTTACGACTCACTCGGCTCTAATCAACTGAGTCGAAGTCGGTGCTTTATCGATTCACTTGTCACTTAAACTTAAGAAATTAATTGAATTCAAACAGAAAAGTTTAGTACAAGCCTTGTAAAAAGATTTCTCCTTGAAAACTGAATTTTCACCTTTCTCTGTGGCTAATTGAAACATTTTATACTAAATTCAAAACCAGAAAATCTATCAGTTGGTACAATTCGTTTTTGAATGGACGATATGACTCGAAATTCAAGTTAATTTTTCATTTAAATCGACTCAAAGTCGACCGTTTTATTTTCCATTTTCAGAAGCGATGTAAATGCGATAAACTCAGTTTTCTCATAATTAGATATGTTCGAAGTTCGATAAACACTAAATCGTAATCTGTATTCTCCATTAACAACTTGATCACAATGAACGAAAATCATCACATCAACAACTTATATAACTTGACATTCTTGCAAAGTCATTTCTCCATTTACAAGGTTAATTGTAAGTGGAAATTGTGACAACATTGATTCATGATAACCAGTTAAATTTAAATCGATATTGAATTTTGATGTGATTGGAAAATAAATCGTTTCAATTGTATTGAATTGAAAACAAGGATTGACATTCATCGTTTCGGTTACCACAATTGAATCGTCTCTGCAATAAAGTAAACAAGATTAGCTGATCATTTATAAGTCTACCTTTTTTTTAATAAACAATAAAAGGATAATATTTAAAAACGGGATACAAACAATCAACTGCAAACTAAAACTATCTACTGATTAAACTCTTAATGAAAATTGATTGTACTACAATTTGTCAAGCAATAATTTATAAAATAAGTGTTAACAATTAAGCTGTTTGTTTGTATTCACTGTATCCTAAGTTTAATTAATTATCATCCCGATTAATTGATTTATAAAATTTGCTTTTCACTTGGAATCAATTGATTTCAGTTAATCGTCAAGAAAATGTTGCCTCAATTATTTTTCGCGATTGTGTTAATTTCTCAACTTTCATCTAATGTAAACTGTTACCTTCAAATTCATGAGTCAAGTGTTTGGATTCCATATTCTGATGATAATATTTCTCAGCCTATTTTCATGTGGCATATGAATCGGGGTTTCCTACCGACACAATATTCATCTCTACAATTGAATACTGATCCAACCAATTTTGCTAATCCTAATTTCTTTCACACTCTTAAGAAAGCCTATTCGTTATATTTAAATCCACAAAGTACTGATATTTGTATTTTATTACCTGTCAACAATTCTATATTCGTACACTTTGAATTGAACGAAACTATGGCCACTCAGTACAATTCAACTGATAGCCGTAGGTCAATTAATCGTTCTCGAGCTGTTCTGTATGAACTGCCGGATGAAACAACTGTTGAATTCCCTGGAATTGATGTTAGAGCGGAAAATATTTCTCAATTGATTTTGGCCACTCTTCGATATAATGGTATACCCATTGAGGTCCAAGCCCGTACTGTCGATCGCAATTTCGATAGTATTACCACGTTTAGCGCTTTCAATCATATGAATAAAGCTTATAGTGTCGGACGTCGTATTCATCGCGATGGCAATGTTGTCGTTTTCGTTTCTCGAACAAGAGTAGATACTCAAATACGGTACATTGATTTGGGTTTCCACCAATTTCGACAAGTTTTTGGTGATATATCTACAGTTCAGTTTGTCGCTTCCGATTACATCCTTCAGCATGGTGATTTTTCGGTTGCACAGTTACTCTTTATAAGTTATCAAAACAGATCCGATGAAATTGTAGCATTTCGCTTTTCAGAAATAATGACGTACTTTGATCATTTGAACAGTAGCAGTTGTGGATTCAATCCTGATATATGGTCAATTGTTAACCTCACTAGAAGTCCTGAATGTTACGAATCTCAGACCAGAGTTTTGACTAATAGCCCGACAAGAATTGCAAATTTCACGATATTTCCTCACCTCGAACCCGCGAGCCAATATTTAATGTCAATCCGCCCAATGAATAGTTATATGAGAATCAATTTGGATAGAGATGGTTGGGATAAAATTGTCGATTTTGTCGCACTTGCAATGACAGCGATGCCTGGTTATCTTCTTTTGGTTCTTACAGCGGATCGTCAATACACACGATATCGATTTTCAATTCATTACGTTGATTCTAATACTTTTCGGGTAACTAATCATCCAGATGAGGTGATAATTCCATACAGTGGACGTCATAATGATGTTAAAATCTATTATCACGATAATCCAATCCCTCAAGTACTCATTACGATGGGTCGATTTCAATATCATTCAAACATTAACCTGTGTCCACTCTTGTCAAACTCTTCTTGTCTCGACTGTACAACAACCAAATACTTTGATGATGGTGAGAATGAAAGATTTTGCCAATGGACACAAAGTGAAGAAAGTCAACTTGGTACTTGTTCATCAAATTCAAGTGAAATTCCTGAAAAGTAAATATGACATTTGATTTATTTCATCGCCTATGATTAATTATTGTTTTTTTTTGTTCTCTTCCATCTCAGTGTAAATGATAAAAGAGAAAACACGTGTATTCGTATCACAGATTTATCCGTAAATCGATCATCGTCGAACAGTTTTGACCTGGATATTAGTGTAGAGGGTTATGGTGAATCTTTGGCATCGACATTTCCCCTTTTAATCGATTTTGTTGGAGTGCAAGATGCGCCAGAATGTCAATTTGTTCGATTCGAAAACTCAACAGCCTCTTTCAAATGTGATAAAATTCCGGAAGGAGAGTTCAACATCAAAATTTCGGTTTCTCGTATTGTTTCATCGAGAAACGAGATCTTGAGCTGGCATTTAGCAACTGAACCATTTTATATACAAGGTTCTTCTAAATTACCGTTGATCATAGCTTCGATTTTTGTGTTGACAATAATCGGTGTAATTGGAATTTACATTTTTCAAAACAGATTCAGAAAAGAAGGAAAAGTTACACGATTCGGTTCGGGTATCAAACTTGTTGGTCAAGGTAAAGCTCAGTTAAAATCTGGTTCAGTGTTATCAATCTCCTCGAAAGATATTCTAGCTGTTAAATCAAAGAAATCTCAAATCGGCTCATCTAAGGCCAAATCGATCTTAGAACTGAGAAAAGGTAGTGGATTAGGCAAGAGTAAAGCCAGTTCGAAAACTTCATTGTCTATGAAATCGAGCCAAAGCAAATCGAAATTGTCTCAACTTAAACGTAGCTCAAGCGTTGGACCAGTCGATTCAAAGAAATCCCAAGTTTCCTTAGCTCGTGCCAATTCTGTCTCAAAGGTCAAATCAAAATCCAGCTCCAAATTATTAATAAAACCTTCCAAAGTACCTGGAAAAGTTCTTGGTAAAAGTCCAACGAAAACCTCGAAAAGTCCATTGATGAAAAATATCGCACCGACTCTGGGGAAACTTAAATCTAAAGTATCATCATCATCATCTTTATTATCTTCATCGTCTCCAGTGAGCTCAACATCGATAGTTGGATCAACATTATCGCAACAATCAATTGCTCCAAGTCCAAAGAAAACCAATCCACCAAAAGAAACAAAAAAATGATTCATGAAAATTTCCAATTTATCTTCGGTCTTCTTTGTTATCTTTAAGAATTCGTGTATCGGTGCGAATGGATAATCGAGCTTTCGGTTGACCGCGTTTTTTGAAATTTCACTAACCATGGTAACCGTTTGAAATTTTTCTTCCTTTTTCGTTAAATTAATTGAAACTTTTTTTTCTTTTAGAATTTAGTTTTCAATTTTGTCTGTTTTGATTATTAATTTAATTTAGAGGGAGAGAGATAATTGGCTTGTAATCGGTTTCGAATGTGAAAATGTGAAAGAATAAGATTGAACTTGTTGTAAAGATTTTATCAGTTTCGAAAAGTTTTGGAAACTTTTTTTTCGCTTCCAAATCGAACCAATCAAGTTGATTAAGTTATGAATTATGGTGAAAATTAAGAATTATCTCTTGTGGTTATAATTTTTGTAGTTGCTCGTTACTTTCGTCTTTCTTTTGATGAAATTGGGCTACTTTGTATCGTTTTGAAAGAAGGATGATTCCATTTAAATTCCATTTTCCAGAATAATCCATAAGATCGTTGAGAATTCATCGTTCGATGAATCGGATGTTTGAGGTTCTATGGTAGGTGATTCGCCCGTTTTATTTTCCGTTTTCATAAGCGGTGTAAACGCGATAAACGGCGCCGTTTCTCATAATTCGATAAGCTCGAAGTTCGATAAACACTTAATCGTAAACTGTATTCTCCATCTTCGACTTGATTACATTGAACGAAAATCATCACATCAACAACTTGGATAACTTGACATTCTTGCAAAGTCATTTCTCCATTTACAAGGTTAATTGTAAGTGGAAATTGTGACAACATTGATTCATGATAACCAGTTAAATTTAAATCGATATTGAATTTTGATGTGATTGGAAAATAAATCGTTTCAATTGTATGGAATTGAAAACAAGGATTGACATTCATCGTTTCGGTTACCACAATTGAATCGTCTCTGCAATAAAAGAATACAATTATATTAGTTATTCATCGAGTGTAGCAATTAACTAACCAAGAATCACCTTATTGGTTGTATACTTTCATCAGCTGAACAGGTAGCGGGCTGATCGTTTGTACCTTGTGTCCATTGGCAAAATCTTTGATTTATATTATCATCAGAAACTTTCACCAAGTCCAACTCTCGATGGATCTGAATTCATTTCTCTCGATGAAAACTGAGTTACAATCAATCTGAAAATGATTTTTCAATAGTAAACAAGATTAGTTGATCATTTATATGTCTACTTTTTTTTAAATAAACAATCAAAGGATAATATTTAAAAACGGGATACAAACAATCAACTGCAAACTAACCAAAACTATCTACTGATTAAACTCTTAATGAAAATTGATTGTACTATAATTTTACTACAATTAAGCTATTTGTTTGCATTCACTGTATCCTGAGTTTAATTAATTATCATCCAGATTATTTGATTTTCACTTGAAATCAATTGATTTCTGTTAATCGGCTCGAAAATGTTGCCTCAATTATTTTTCGCGATTGTGTTAATTTCTCAACTTTCATCTAATGTAAACTGTTACCTTCAAATTCATGAGTCAAGTGTTTGGATTCCATATTCTGATGATAATATTTCTCAGCCTATTTTCATGTGGCATATCAATCGGGGTTTTCTACCGACACAATTTTCATCTCTACAATTGAATACTGATCCAACCAATTTTGATAATCCTAATTTCTTTCACACTCTTAAGAAAGCCTATTCGTTATATTTAAATTCAGAAAGTACTGATACTTGCATTTTATTACCTGTCAATAATTCAATATTCGTAAACTTTAGTTTCAACGAAACTATGGCCACTCAGAACAGTTCAATTCGGAACCTTGATTCAAATAATGGTTCCCGAGCTGTTCTGTATGAAATGATGCGTGGTACAATTGTTCAATTCCCTGGAATTGGTGTTAGAGTTGAAAGTGGTTCTGAATTGATTTTGGTCACTTTTCATGTTTCAGGTTTACCCGTTGAGGTCAAAGGACATATAAATAACACCAATTTCGAAAATATTACCACGCTTAGCGCTTTCAATCATATGAATAAAGCTTATAGTGTCGGACGTCGTACGCATCGCGATGGCAATGTTGTCGTTTTCGTTTCTCGAACAGTAGTAAGTGATCAAGTACGATACATGGAATTGGGTTCGCACCAATTTCGAGAAGTTTTTGGTGATATATCTACAGTTCAGTTTGTCGCTTCCGATTACATCCTTCAGCGTGGTGATTTTTCGGTTGCACAGTTACTCTTTATAAGTTATCAAAACAGCTCCGATGAAATTGTAGCATTTCGCTTTTCAGAAATAATGGCCAACTTTGATGAATTCAACTTAAGATTGTGTGCTTACGATTTTACAATGTGGTCAAGAGGTATCGTCACTGATAATCCTAGATGTATCGAATCTCTGCTCAGTATCAGGCTTGATTTCCCGATAACAATTGCAAATTTATCGATACTCCCTCACCGCAATGTCTCGAGCCAATATGGACTGAAACTCTGGCCAATAAATAATTATATAAGAATCAATTTGGATAGAGATGGTTGGGATAAAATTGTCGATTTTGTCGCACTTGCAATGACAGCGATGCCTGGTTATCTTCTTTTGGTTCTTACAGCGGATCGTCAATACACACGATATCGATTTTCAATTCATTACGTTGATTCTAATACTTTCCGGGTAACTAATCATCCAGATGAGGTGATAATTCCATACAATGGACGTCATAATGATGTTAAAATCTATTATCACGATAATCCAATCCCTCAAGTACTTATTACGATGGGTCGATTTCAATATCATTCAAATATTAATCTGTGTCCACTCTTGTCAAACTCTTCTTGTCTCGACTGTACAACTACCAAATACTTTGATGATGGTGAGAATGAAAGATTTTGCCAATGGACACAAAGTGAAGAAAGTCAACTTGGTACTTGTTCATCAAATTCAAGTGCAATTCCTGAAAAGTAAATATAACATTTGATTGATTCATTTCAGCGCCACCAATTAATTATTGACTTTTTTTGTTCTCTTCCATCTCAGTGTAAATGGTACAAGAGAAAACTCGTGTGTTCGTGTCACAGATTTATACGCAACTAGGTCATTGTCGAACGGGTTTGACATGGATATTAGTGTAGAGGGTTATGGTGAATCTTCGGCATTGGCCTTTCCCTTTTTAATCGATTTCGTTGGAACGCAAGATGTACCAGAATGTCAATTTGTTCGATTCAAAGACTCAACAGTCTCATTCAAATGTGATCAAATTCCTAAAAGAGAGAACGAAACGGCAGGAGAAGTCAAGATCGAAATTTCAGTTTCTCGTATTGTCTCATCGAGAAACGAGATCTTGAGCTGGCATTTAGCAACTGAACCATTTTATATACGAAGTTCTTCTAAATTACCGTTGATTATAGCTTCGATTTTTGTGTTGACAATAATTGGTGTAATTGGATTTTACATTTTTCAAAACAGATTCAGAAAAGGAGGAAAAGTTACACGATTTGGTTCGGGTATCAAACTTGTTGGTCAACGTAAAGCTCAGTTAAAATCTGGTTCCGTGTTATCAATCTCTTCGAAAGATATTCTAGCTGTTAAATCAAAGAAATCTCAAATCGGCTCATCTAAGACCAAATCGATCTTAGAACTGAGAAAAGGTAGTGGATTAGGCAAGAGTAAAGCCAGTTCGAAAACTTCATTGTCTATGAAATCGAGCCAAAGCAAATCGAAATTGTCTCAACTCAAACGTAGCTCAAGCGTTGGACCAGTCGATTCAAAGAAATCCCAAGTTTCCTTAGCTCGTGCCAATTCTGTCTCAAAGGTCAAATCAAAATCCAGCTCCAAATTATTAATAAAACCTTCTATAGCTCCTAAAGGTAAATCTCCTTCCAAAGTACCTGGAAAAGTTCTTGGTAAAAGTCCAACGAAAACCTCGAAAAGTCCATTGATGAAAAATATCGCACCGACTCTGGGGAAACTTAAATCTAAAGTATCATCATCATCATCTTTATTATCTTCATCGTCTCAGTGAGCTCAACATCGATAGTTGGATCAACATTATCGCAACAATCGATTGTTCCAAAAAAAACCAATCCACCAAAAGAAACAAAAAAATGATTCATTAAAATTTCCAATTTATCTTCGTCTTCTTTGTTATCTTTAAGAATTCGAGTATCGGTGCGAATGGATAACCGAGATTTTGGTTGGCCGCGTTTTTAGAAATTTCACTAATCATGGTAACCGTTTGGAACTTTTCTTCCTTTTTCGTTAAATTAATTGAAACTTTTTTTTCTTCTTTTAGAATTTAGTTTTCAATTTTGTTTGTTTTGATTATTACAGTCAATCTCTTTTGCTTGAGACTCTCTAAGCAAATTTTGAGACGGAAAAGCAAATGAATGAGACATTTTTTTTACCGCCTACGCTAAGTCGTAAACTTTTTTATGGCCTTTGCAAAATTTGAGACAGTTAACCTAAATGAGCGGGACGGTTAAGCGCTTGAATGAGACACTTGTTGATAATTTTTCTCTGTGTTTATGTATAATAAATGAGATTTGCTTTATTCAAAATGGTGAAAATAAATGTTGATGTGAAAAAGTTGATCGTTTCTACTAGTGAACAAGGTAAAAGTTCAATTGAAGTAAGTGAATTATTTGGTGTTAATCCTAGTACAATTCGTACAATTGTTCAAGTGTTTGATGGCCTGAAATTAGCTTCCGATGTTATCGATGAAAACGATTGCAAAAACTATTACTAAAATATGCAAAAGTATATTTCTAAATGTTTAGAAGAGAAAGAAATTGAAAACTAATTCATTTGCTAAAATGTCTCACTCATTTACTTGTCTGTCTCATTCATTTCTTTTGTTTGTCTCAAATTTGTTTTAGAGAGAGAGAGAGACATAATTGGCTTGTAATCGGTTTCGAATGTGAAAAATGTGAAAGAATATTGAAGATTGAACTTGTAGAAAGATTTTATCAGTTTCGAAAAGTTTTGGAAACTTTAAATTGATCAGTTGAATTTGTTTATTTGAATGTGAATTGGACAAATTGATTTCAATAGAAAAGAAGAATGTAAGTCAATTATATACAATATATAATCATGAATTCATTAGCTTATTAATGCTTTTATTTCTTAGGAATATCCTGACGCTTTTTTAAGCGAAGGTGATGATGTTGAGGACTCACCTGAGGTTTACAGGTGAGTTTAAAAGCTAAATTTATATAATATATAAATAGCGAAATAATATTTTTTGTCTCATTCATTGTTTTTTCTTCAAACAGCGAACAAATAATGGATATAAATTCTAATCTTTATTGTGATGAATGTGACAATTCTTCTTCGGATGCAAAGTTCAGAATTCAAAATTTAGAATTTATATGTGAAAACTGTGCAGTTAATTCACAAAAATATTCTAAATGTGTTCAATATCCTGATGTCACTATCTTTAATTCGAAAAAGTGTTTTCTTTTCAAAATTTGCGGAAAATTTTCTCGATGCGATGTTCCAAACAATTATCTTTTGTGACGATTGGCACATGCGAATTTGTCTAATGGACGAACGGCAAAATTATTTGTGTAAACCTTTGCCATTTTTTGTTAAAAGTTCGAATTCTTGTTCAAATTGTAACAATATTCTTGCCGAATATGGTATGACGCAAATACCGACACTTTGTCATCGTTGTTACAAGACACGGTTGAATCCGAGTTCAATCCATTTGAGTGCAGATTTTGAGCCATTCGTTATTCGAATTCGTCGAATTGTCAAAGAAATTATAAATTCATCTTGCATTCAGATGGCTAAATTCACCAATATCGTAGAGCAGTTGAATTCTGCTATAAAATGCAATTATATTTTTTCTGATACCAAAATTTTGAATCATCATTGGATGACACAAAAATTCAACAATCGATCAACAATGGCAAAATTTATTCCCTTAAAAAATTGGTTAAATTTTTCAATTCAAGTTCTTTGCTGATTCGTTTTTTGGAAAATGGTTACATTGATCTCGAGGGTTTATCACTCCTGTTAGATGTCATTACATTTTATTTATCCATTATCAAAATCAAATTTTCGACATTCGATTTAAAATTCAAGCAATTGAATCGAAAGAATTAGTTTGTTCACAACCAATTCATGCATACACAAGTGAAATGCAATCGGTAAGTTGCCATTCGATTAGGAAATTGAAAATTTATAAACTACTTTACTACATAATATTATAATCAACTGAGCATAAGCTCTGTATTAAGCTATTTTTTAACTGTAAATAATTTTTATGCTTATCACTAGGACCAAAACGACCGTATGTAAAATTATACCATCTTCTAGCACTACCTTGTAAATAAGTGGGAAGAATTCTAAACATATCTAATCGGGTCCATCTTGATGATTCAGCTAAAAACTCGAATCTAAAAATACAGTTGATAATGTCTTCTCCGTCATCTCCATTAAATGAAGTAATATTTATTGATAAAATTTTTGGATTAACAGAGGAGACATTAATCTGACTGATTAAAGGTTCTAAGTTCATGATTATGTTAAATATTTAGATTGGTGAGAAAAGAGAACCAGAGATTCTTCACTAAATCATATGGTTAATAAATTAAATGAAAAGCTTATCAGAGTTTCTTCACTGAAACATTTGATTGAAAATAGAACGTAAACCAGAGCCTCTTCACTGCGTCATGTGGTTTTCAAGAAGTAATAATGTTTTGGATAAAAGTTTTTTTACTGTTAAGTTGAATTTTATTAGAAATGAATAGTGAAAGAAAAAACCCAGAAATTCACGAGTCCAATGTATTATTACTTCTTAAAGATCGTCGGGCTATGTAATTAAGAAAATTTCCAAGGGATGGAACCATCAACAACCCTTCCTCATCGTGGGCTCCATTGTAACAGGTTCGATTTGAAGATGAACAATTTAGTGAACAATTTAACTTGTATTTAAACTTTGAACAAAACTTTTATTATTGGTTATCTTTTACATAACTTTTAATCGTAGATTATATCTTAATTGTACAATTGGGAAGAAAGAAAGAGAGAGAAAGAGAGAGAGAAAGTCAACTTCTTCACTGAAGTTGTTCTTCTTCTGGTCAAGGATTGGTACTTAATGATATTTTTTCATTTTCATCAATTTAATTTTAATTGTTCCCTCAGAAAAAAACCCAAAGTTCCGGTAATAAACAATAATTTTTATTACAACTATTATATTTTTTTGCAGATTGATTTTGATCAATATGAATTACATTATTAATTATATGAAACGCAACCATTCAAAAGAACGAAACAATCGGTAAGTAAAGTTAGAATTGTAATATAAATTCAATTGAATTAACAAAGTTTCATTTAGAATTCATAGTAAATAATTAATTTATCGATCTTCATTCTATTAATAGTTTTGGCCTCCAGGAAACATTAAAGCTTTTCATAGCCAACCTCCTGTTCAAGCTACGTTAGTGCATTTTTGTGATCCATTTTGGATGTTTTTCGATATTCCTGGATTGGAAGAAAATCGCAATAAAATATTGGATAAGATTAAAGATCTTAGAACATTCAACTCTATCAATCCTGATCGTTTAACTAACGTTAACTAATTACCTCTTATTAAATATCAAATTTAAATCGTTTCCAAACTTTTGAGCCAATGAAAAACAACAACAATTAACTAATTACTGAATTAAGCTTCAACATCAAGAGATGAACACATTGATTTGTTTGTAAACAATAAACCCCCTGAGACCTAATTGTTGCCTTGGTTTGATTTTGTTACCTTTAATTGTAACTAAGTTACATCAAATTATTAACCGTTTTCGAACTTTTGCGCTTGACTGTAATTTTTGTAGTTGTAAACGAATTGAACTTTACTAATAGAAAGTGGCCCCGTTTCTTTGAGTTCGTGACCCGAAAGTATAAGTTTCTCCACCGTGTGAACCCATGAATGCCACTCATCAAGCTAAACGATTCGTAATTCAGAAGAATACACTCTAGATTGATGATTGATCTATTAATGATGCTCAATCTATGCTCAATTGATGGTCGTCGCCATGAATTCAAATCCTGCTTGTCGATTCAAAATTATTCTCATATGAAATGTCACCGTTGTAAAACCTTAACTTCGCAATGGAAGCCACTGAACTCGACCTCTTCCAATACCATCGTTGAAAGCGTTTCTTTCCGTCTTTACAACTAACGATTTGCTAACAGTAGTAAAGGTAAACTAAAGGCACATTAGGGCGGGACCTAATATTTTTTCGTCGGAATGGAATAAAAAGGGGTGGGGAAGATTAAGTTGGAGAATTCAAATATTTTGAAACGAAAATTGGCGCGAAAAGTGTATTAACTTAAGGATGGCTAACAATACATGATGAAATGTTTGAACATAATGAATACTACAATAAATGAAGATTTCATCATCATGATTTGAAGGACTACCTATAGAATGAAGTACCAAAGGTCACACTCAGATAAGTCTCTTATTCTTCAATCCTCTTAAGTCGTTTACTTCTGAAATGACTTGGGGATACACCAAATGATAGTTAATGAAACAGATAAGTTTTAACCTCTAGCGTAGCATCGGGGTGATGATATTCCCTCCCGTAATAACCTTAAGGACAATAGAAAAAAAGGTTTATGAGGCTCCATCTCATACAATCGAATCAGTATAAATAAAGAGCGATTGTCAATGTTAAAGTCATTCCTCCTCAGTCAGTCTTCAAGTTGACATCTCCTTTATTCTCAAAGTACTACTACTTCAACTTCAACAAGTCAACATGTCTTTTAGAACTGTTACCGCCAATATTCGTGTTCTTTTGCAAACCTACGGACCAATGATGGGAGGTCAAGAGGAAATGGATGCTCTAGTGGACTATGTCGTGAGTCTAGGTGAATTCGATTTGACTCAACCACCTTAAAACCCATCTTATAGTGTCGCCTATGAGTATGCTTCGGAATTCCGTGGGATTCCGGCCGAAATATTTGAAAGGGAAGGTTGGCCTGCTAGTTGGTTAGCTGCACGGTGGCCTGGCTAAGTTCCAAGTGAATCTACACCGATAGAAGGAGGTCCAACACCACATGACTGGCTTTATGAGTACGACTCGTTCGGTGATGAGATACCAGCTGAATATTTTGAGAGAGTAGGTTGGTCAGAGGAATTGATTAGGTACCGAAGACCAAATTATCATTGTTCATTTAACAACAACACCAACAACTACAATTACTACTCTCTCTCTCTCTTTGTGACCATCACCATCAACAACAGTTTAATCAACATCATCTCCACCACCAATACAACCATCTTCATCAACACAAATGATGCCAGTCGGTGAAGTGCTCGACCTCCTCTACCTCTTCAGATGTGAGCTAGAGGACAATAGAGAAAGAGGTGACTTTATTGTCGACCTCTGGCGATGTTATCAGGGGGTTAAAGATCGATATCGATCACCCCAACCATCACGGTCTCCATCGCCTTCACGGTTACAATCACCATCGCCATTTGTTTCTCTTGACACTCTCGCTCTCATTGTTGGTCCATCGTCATCATTATCATTATCACCACCATCGACACCAACAAGACCAATCCAATCCTCGACGCCATTACCATCACGTCTCCCTCTTATTCCCCAATTACTCCTCCTCCGATGATCCCTCTTTTAACGTTTGTTTGGGATAGAAAAGGGTGAGACGAAGCGATTACTTGATTCAGATTTTCATTTTGATCAATAGGAAAAAAGTTATTTAATTTAATAAGATTTTCTATTTTTTTCATTTTGAGGAAAGATTTACAAGTTTTTTGGCGGGAAAATTCATTTACCAACAGATGGTTACTATTATTCCCCCTTTTTCAAACAAAGAGAAAAAAATATTAGGCCCCGCCCTAATGTGCCTTTAGTTTACCTTTACTACTGCTAACATTAAATTCCGATATTTGCATATTATTATCGTCAGAATACAAACGATTGAGATAAAAGTCCACATAAATTGGATACGATTTTCTAAACTCGTGTCTTAATCCACCAAGTCCAACTCTCAATGGATCTGAATTCATTTCTCTCGATGAGTCAGAACTAAACGAAAATTCATATAAAACATGAAAAGAGGTTGACTGATATTGGAATAAAAAATTGAAATCCAAACACTCGCTTCATGAATTTGAACATAACAATCAACATCAATTGAATATTTACTGTTCGCAATCAATAAAAACTGCTGAAAAATCATTTTCAATAGTAAACAAGATTAGTTGATCATTTATAAGTCTACTTTTTTTAAATAAACAATCAAAGGATAATATTTAAAAACGGGATACAATTAATCAACTACAAACTAACCAAATCTATCTGGTTAAACTCTTAATGAAAATTGATTGTACTACAATTTTACTACAATTAAGCTGTTTGTTTGCATTCACTGTATCCTAAGTTTAATCAATTATCATCCCGATTATTTTATTTATAAAATTTGATTTTCACTTGAAATCAATTGATTTCAGTTAATTGGCACGAAAATGTTGCCTCAACTATTTTTCGCGCTTGTGTTAATTTCTCAACTTTCATCTAATGTAAACTGTTACCTTCAAATTCATGAGTCAAGTGTTTGGATTCCATATTCTGATGATAATATTTCTCAGCCTATTTTCATGTGGCATATGAATCGGGGTTTTCTACCGACACAATATTCATCTCTACAATTGAATACTGATCCAACCAATGTTAATAATCCTAATTTCTATCAGACTCTTAAGAAAGCCTATTCGTTATATGTAAATTCAGAAAGTACTGATATTTGTATTTTATTACCTGTCAACAATTCTATATTCGTACACTTTGAATTGAACGAAACTATGGCCACTCAGTACAATTCAACTACGAGCCGTTGGTCAACTAATCGTTCTCGAGCTGTTCTGTATGAACTGACGAATGATACAACTGTTGAATTCCCTGGAATTGGTGTTAGAGCGGAAAATATTTCTGAATTGATTTTGGTCACTTTTCGTGTTTCAGATTGGCTCGCTGAGGTCAAAGGGCATAGAGTTGCCTCCAATTTCGATAGTATTACCACGCATTGCGCTTTCAATCATATGAATAAAGCTTATAGTGTCGGACGTCGTACGCATCGCGATGGCAATGTCGTCGTTTTCGTTTCTCGAACAGTAGTAGATGATCAAGTACGATACATGGAATTGGGTTCGCACCAATTTCGAGAAGTTTTTGGTGATATGTCTATGGTTCAGTTTGTCGCTTCCGATTACATCCTTCAGCATGGTAATTTCTCGGTTGCTCAGTTACTCTTTGTAAGTTATCAAAACGACTCCGATGAAATTGTAGCATTTCAATTTTCAGAAATAATGGCCAACTTTGATGAATTTGACAGAGGATTGTGTTCTTTTGATTTTACAATATGGTCAAGAGGTATCGTCACTGATAATCCTACATGTTTACGGTCTCTGATCATGAGTAGGTCTAATCGCGGGGATAGAATCGCAAATTTCACTATACTTCCTAACCAAGATAACGATAGCGAATATGTACTGAAACTCTGGCCAATGAATAATTATATGAGAATCAATTTGGATAGAGATGGTTGGGGTAAAATTGTCGATTTTGTCGCACTTGCAATGACAGCGATGCCTGGTTATCTTCTTTTGGTTCTTACAGCGAATCACCAATACACACGATATCGATTTTCAATTCATTACGTTGACTCTGATACTTTCCGGGTAACTAATCATCCAGATGAGGTAATAATTCCATACAATAGACGTGCTGATCATGTTAAAATCTATTATCACGATAATCCAGTCCCTCAAGTACTCATTACGATCGATCAATTTCATTATCATACAAACATTAACCTGTGTCCACTCTTGTCAAACTCTTCTTGTCTCGACTGTACAACAACCAAATACTTTGATGATGGTGAGAATGAAAGATTTTGCCAATGGACACAAAGTGAAGAAAGTCAACTTGGTACTTGTTCGTCAGGTTCAAGTTTAATTCCTAAAAAGTAAATATAACATTTGATTGATTCATTTCGATCCCCACAGATTAATTATTGACCTTTTTTCGTCCTTCCCCATCTCAGTGTAAATGGCACAAGAGAAAACTCGTGTGTTCGTGTCACAGATTTATACGCAACTAGGTCATTGTCGAACGGGTTTGACATGGATATTAGTGTAGAGGGTTATGGTGAATCTTCGGCATTGGCCTTTCCCTTTTTAATCGATTTTGTTGGAACGCAAGATGTGCCAGAATGTCAATTTGTTCGATTCGAAGACTCAACAGTCTCATTCAAATGTGATAAAATTCCTAAAAGAGAGAACGAAACGGAAGGAGAAGTCAAGCTCGAAATTTCGGTTTCTCGTATTGTCTCATCGAGAAACGAGATCTTGAGCTGGCATTTAGCAACTGAACCATTTTATATACGAAGTTCTTCTAAATTACCGTTGATTATAGCTTCGATTTTTGTGTTGACAATAATCGGTGTAATTGGAATTTACATTTTTCAAAACAGATTCAGAAAAGGAGGAAAAGTTACACGATTCGGTTCGGGTATCAAACTTGTTGGTCAAGGTAAAGCTCAGTTAAAATCTGGTTCAGTGTTATCAATCTCTTCGAAAGATATTTTAGCTGTTAAATCAAAGAAATCTCAAATCGGCTCATCTAAGGCCAAATCGATCTTAGAACTGAGAAAAGGTAGTGGATTAGGTAAGAGTAAAGCCAGTTCGAAAACTTCATTGTCTATGAAATCGAGCCAAAGCAAATCGAAATTGTCTCAACTTAAACGTAGCTCAAGCGTTGGACCAGTCGATTCAAAGAAATCCCAAGTTTCCTTAGCTCGTGCCAATTCTGTCTCAAAGGTCAAATCAAAATCCAGCTCCAAGTTAAAATCTTCTATCGCTCCTAAAGGTAAATCTCCTTCCAAAGTACCTGGAAAAGTTCTTGGTAAAAGTCCAACGAAAACCTCGAAAAGTGCATTGATGAAAAATATCGCACCGACTCTGGGGCAACTTAAATCTAAAGTATCATCATCATCATCTTCATCAATACCAGTGAGCTCGACATCGATAGTTGGATCAACATTATCGCAACAATCAATTGCTCCAAAGAAAACCAATTCACCAAAAGAAACAAAAAAATGATTCATGAAAAATTTCATGGAAACGTATCAACATTTTCACTTCCTTTCATTCAGAACTTTTCTCAAATCGACCTATCCATTTAATCTTAATCAATCAATGTTTTGATTAAAATTGCAACTAGAATATAAAATTTACTCATGTACAATCAACTGAACAACTCATTGAATTTTCAGAAAATCACAATCAGCATAATGATGATAACCAATCAGTTAAAATCATAACTTTTGTATCAATAATATAATCAATTTGTTACAATTTAAGTTAATCAGAATATCATATATAATGTTTACCGTTTTTTACGTTAATTTTATTGCAAATTCCGATTAAATCTAATATTATATTAGAAGAAAAATTTAACCTTTAATCTTAAAAAAATCTCTTTTGCAATTTACTTTTTAGTCTTTTTAGTCTTTTTCTTAATACCTTTGGATTCTAAAACTGACCCAGTGGTGGATTTAGACTTGAATTGGTGTAAAAATGGAGATTTAACCTTAGAAACATTTTTACTGCGATCTGATTTAAGGACTTTCTTAGATTTAGTCTTGGGAGTTTTCGAGTTGCTAATTGCTTTCAGAGCTAATAAAGATTCCGGTGCAGATTTGATTCTGAGATTGGAATCAGTTTTCAGTTTTGATTTGAAGACTTTGATGTTTCTGGGATTATGATTAGCATCTTGTGATTTCTTTGATTTTTTTTGCATCAAAAAATAGCCAGAGAGAGACATTGAAACAATGATAATGATAATGATTAGAACTGCATAGATTGACGATTTTGATGATTCAGATAAATCATTGGACTCCGTTGAAGTTATACTAGATTCTGATGTGGGCGGTTGCGTATCAGGAGGATTGGTTGTAGATTCAGTTGTTAGCTCGGTTGTTGGGTCAGTTGTTGGTTCAGTTGTTGGCTCAGTTGTTGGGTCAGTTATTATATCCGTTGGTTGTGGGGTGATTATCGGAGTCGTGGTGGTTATTAGTTCGGTAGTTGTAGTAGGCTCTGTTAAAGTACTGTTTTCTGTTGAAAGAAGATGTGTACGTGCTGTGAATCGATTGGTGTTTTCATAATTAGATGTTCTTGACTCGATAGATATTTGTTAGTAGTGCATAATCTCCATATATTACTTGAGAGCATTGTATCATGAAAATTGAACCATTTTGTTCTGCTGCACGACATTCTTGTAAAGTTGTCGTAGCAGTGGCAAGATAAACGCGAAAAGAAAATTGTGCAGATATTGTTTCATGATAACCATTTAAATCTGAATAGATGATGAAGGTATATGTTAACGGTAGATAGACTGTTGTTACTCTTTCGAATCTAAAACATGAATTGTTGTACGTTGTCGAAAATGAATCAGTTCTGAAAAAAGAATTGCAATTTTATCAGCTAAAAGTTAATAAATCAGTTGTTAGCTGAATACTCACCTTATTGGTTCTGTGCTTGTATCAAGTGAACAGGTACCTGAATGAGTATCTGTGCCATGTGACCAACTACAGAATCTGTATGATGTACGATTGACAAACACTTTGGTGGTTATACAATCGAGACAAGAATTTGATAGAAATGGACATAAATCGAGTGGTTCGTTGTAGTGATATTGATTTAGCGTGATCAGTACTTGAGGGTATGGGTGATCATAGTAATAGATTTTCGTTTGATTATTTGGACGAGCAGAGAGACTGAATATTCGTTCATTTGGATGATTAGTTATCATATAATTAGAGTCAATTGAATGAATTGAATATCGATATGAAGTATAACCAGTATTAGATGAGAGAACCAGAAGAACGTAGCCCAAAGTCGCCTTTAAGGCCAACGGAACGAAATCAACGATTCGATTGAAATTGAAATTCGCCGCGAGAATATTAAAAGTACGATAACTTCCAAGTTCCCATTCTCTCAGAAAAAACGAATACTCTGTGTGAGAGTAACGCACGCAAGTACTCGCACGATCCAAGTGAAGGTTCGTCCAAAAACTCGAACCGAATATACAGTTAAATCTTTCTCTGAATGCTGGAATCACTTCTGACAATGGAAATACAGCTAATCTATCTGATACATTTCGATAGGTCATGAAGAGTAACTGAGAAAACGAGAGATAATTCATTCGGAAAGCTAAATCAGAGTAAACGAATTGAACTTTACTAATATTACCAAAAATATTGATAAAATTGGTCGAATATTGTTCGTAGTAAACTATTTCATTAGTGGTAGAAGTTTGAGCGATATAATAAAAAGTGGCCCCGTTTCTTTGAGTTCGTGACCCGAAAGTATAAACTTCGTTCTCATGTTTAAACCCATGAAGAACAGTCATCGATCTGAACGATTCGTCAATAGAACCGATTCTAACAAAGGTAATTGATCTATCGAAATTAAACACCATGAGCTGAAATTCTGTTGGTCGATTCACATATCTCTGGAAAAATGTCACCATTGCAAAGTTCTGACTTGTCAGGGGAATCCAACGAATTCGACGTCTTTCTATTACATCTCTGATAACTCGGTCGGTTTTTAGCGCAAAATAATCCCTGACCAGAACCAGAAATTCCGCTGTCAGCATATTATCTTGAGAATACAAAAGATTCGTCGAATGGTTCGCATAAACCGAATACGATTTCGTCAGATTGAGTATCATTCCTCCAGGTCCAACTCTCGATGGATCTGAATTCAGCTCTCTCGAGAACCCAGTCTGAAGGAATCCATAATCCGTATGGAACATGAAAAGAGGTTGACTGATATTGGAATATAAAAGCGGAATCCAGACACTTGATGGATGAATTTGAACATAACAATCAACACCAATTGAATAATTACTAATCAAAACAATCAACGAAAACAGTTGAAAAATCATCTTCAATTGTTCAAATGATCATTTGATCATTTAAAACTCTAATTTTTTTTGCATAAACAATCAAAGGATAATATTTAATTATCGATGGGATACAATTAATCAACTACAAACTAACCAAAACTATCTATCAATTAATGGAAATTGATTGTACAGAGGTGATTTCACTTACAATTTTCAGATATGTAGGTAAGCAAGTATTGAACTCGTGTCATCTTAGATTAGAGTTCACGATAATTTATGAAATAACTTATTTCGAGTAAGTGTTAACAATTAAGCTGTTTGCATCCACTGTATCTCGAGTTTAATCAATTATCATCTTGGTTATTTGATTTATCAAATTTGATTTTCACTTGAAGCCAATTGATTTCTGTTAATTAGCAAGAAAATGTTGCCTCAATTATTTTTCGCGATTGTGTTAATTTCTCAACTTTCATCTAATGTAAACTGTTTCAGTTTCTCGTAGTGCCTCATCGAGAAACGAGATCTTGAGATGGCATTGATTAACTGAACCATTACGGTTACGATGAAATTGGGTTATTCAAGAATCTCAATGGAATTATAAAGCGAAATCCAAACACTTGATTCTTGAATTTGAACATAACAATCAACACCAATTGAATAATTAGTAATTATTAATTACTACAGATCAATAATTATCTCTGTTAAATCATCTCTGTCTCTTCTAAATTGCCATCTACTGGATTACACGGTAGAGTAGTTTAACAAAATTGGAACAAATTAAGGAAATTAGAGTTTATAATCATAGTAGTTAATGAGAAATAATCATGAATCAACTTGGTGATTTTTTTTCATTCATGTGAATTTCTTTTGAATTTGGCGCCAAAAAACCATATGGTCAATGCTTTTGGATTTTGTTTCCAAAACCAAATTGAAATTGTTGGTTTTAAATCTCTCATGTAATTAGAGTTAATTTAATGATTATAAATTAAAGTTTAACATTTTCTTTTGTGCTCATTGTGAATTTATGACCATCATGATCAGTTTCGATCGTAAAGAGGTTGACATGATGCCAAAGGCTGGAAAACGCGATCATTTTATCTGAAAACAAGAACCGGAACCATAGTGAAAATTGTCAGAGAATCTTATCTCCGTAATGATATTCCTTGTGGATTTGATTGTTCAAATTGTCCAAAAGATGATGTTACAATTAAATTGGATTGTAAAGGTCGGGCTAATGTGTCTAAATTGATTCCAAATGGTCACCTGTTAATCCCTGATTTCCATGTGTTGAACAATCAATTAGATGTACTTGGTAGCAGTTCATTTGGTGAAAATATTGTCATTTTTAAAACGGATTTTAATGAGATCCGGTCAAGCAATTTATCACTTTTCAAACGATTAGTTGATGTTAGAGAGATGAAAAATTTTTACCTCTTTGAAAATCAATTCAATGAAAATACTTTCAGGGAAAGAACACCCAAAGAATCAAGAGATGAATATATTTACCGATTAACAATAATCGCTGTTAAATGGTATGAGAATCATGTTGGAAAAAAGTGTAAACCAATTTTAATTGTTAACGATGAGAAAACCAAATCAAAAGCAATCGCCGATGGAGTTACTTGTTATACTATTGGAGAGTATGTTGAAAGTTTACATGATAATGTTGAACTTTTGGATAAAATTGTAAGATTGGACGATGAACCGATGGAAACTGATCAACAATCAATTGGATCAACGAAAAAATCAAAATTCTTGTATACAGAACATGTTCCGTTAACATTAATCCAGAAAGGAATCAAAGATGGAAAATACTATCAATGTAAATTCAACACTAATCGTGACAATTATCTGGAAGGATCAGCTCATATTACTCTGAATGGTGAATCTGTAGAGTTTTAATTAGTGGCCGTGAGAATATAAATCGAGCTGTTAATGATGATATTGTCGCAATTGAATTGGCACCCAAAGAGGAATGGAAAAGTAAATCAGATTTCGTGTTAACAGCTGATCTATTAACTGAAGACAAAGATGAAAATGAACCTGAAACCGGTAAATTGGAAGCAACGGAAAATGAGACTGATCAAAGTGCTGATGGACTTTTAAAAAGGCCAACGGGTAAAGTGGTCGGAATCATTAAACGCAATTGGCGGCAATATTGTGGCATAATTAGGGAGAGAGATGCTGTTATTATGAAAAACACTTTGCTAACTAGTCACTTTTTTGTACCAATCGATAGACGTATACCAATGATTAGAATTGAAACTCGTCAATATGATACATTGAAAAGTCAGCGAATTGTTGTCGCAATTGATAACTGGCCAAGAGATTCCAAATTTCCCAGAGGTCATTATGTGCGAGCTTTAGGTCCAATTGGAGATAAAGAGACGGAAAACGAGATTCTCCTATTAGAACATGATATTCCTCATTTATCATTTTCCAAAGCGGTCATGAAATGTTTACCTAATCCAGATGAATGGTCAATTTCACCGGAAGAAATTAGCAAACGGCAAGACTTTAGATCCAAACCAATCTGTTCCGTTGATCCACCGGGATGTACCGATATTGACGATGCCTTACATTGTATTGATTTGGGTGAAAATTTGTTCGAAGTTGGTGTTCACATTGCCGATGTTTCTTCATTTGTACTTCCCAACACAGCTTTGGACATTGAAGCGGCCAATCGAGGGACAACCGTTTATCTAGTTGACAATAGGATAGACATGATACCCACCGTGTTGAGTTCAAACTTGTGCTCATTAATGGAGGCTCGAGATCGTTTAACTTTCAGTATTATTTGGAAGATGAATAGTAAAACCGCTCAAGTAGTTGATACACAATTCTGTAAATCAATTATAAAATCTCGTGCTGCATTGACCTACGCTGAAGCTCAGCTTCGAATTGATTCCAAAAATATGACCGATGAAGTGACTAAAGGATTGAGAAGATTAAATAATTTGGCAAAAAAACTCAAGCAAAAACGTCTCGATAATGGAGCGTTGGTTTTAGCTTCTATGGGTGAGGTTAAATTTATCGACGTGGACTCGGAAACGGCGGATAATGTTACCAAAATTGAATCGAAACAACTTCAAGATACTAATTCAATGGTGGAAGAGTTCATGTTGTTGGCCAACATTTCGGTGGCCGAGAAACTTTACCAAGAAGTACCACAATTGGCGCTACTTCGTCACCATCCCAAACCAAGTCCAGCCAATTTTGATGAGCTTGTTCAAGCAGCTAAATCACACGGATTCGAGATGGACGTTAAAGACGGCAAATCCCTATCGAAGTCACTCTCACTTGCCAAAGATCCTAAAAATTCATTTCTTAATTTAATGATCAGAATGATTACCACTCGATGTATGACCCAAGCCCAATACTTTTGTTCTGGTAAAATGGCCGATCCAGAAAATAATTTCATCCATTTTGGTTTAGCTACACCAATTTACACTCATTTCACTTCACCCATTCGTCGATATGCTGACCTGATTGTACATAGACTGTTAAGCCATGTCATTGGTGACACTAATTTAGATCCAGTACTGACCAATTCCAATAAGATTGAAAGTCTTTGTGAAAACATCAACTACCGACATCATCAAGCCCAATTAGCAAGTCGAGCGTCAATCAAGTTACACACTTTAATTCACATTCGAAGTGCGAAAAAGCCACTAACCGAAGATGGTTACATATTATTTGTTCGTAAAAATGCCTTACAAATTTTAGTCCCTCGATTAGCATTCGAAGCAACTTATTTCTTTGATAATCTAACCGATTGGGAATACGATGGAATGACCTGTAGTGTAAAGTTCGCAAAGGACAACATAACATTGAAACAATTTGATCCGGTTAAAATTAAACTCTCACTAATTGACAAAAGTAACGAGTTTCGTAAAGGAGTTGAAGTGATTCATGTCCAACTGATTCAACCATTGATTCAGTTAAATGAAACTCAAGTTTCACCATCAACATGATGCTAATCATTGGAAACTTTTTCATAAATAAACTTGGACAATTTGTATCAATAACTTACATGTAATAATAATTTACTTGATTGATGATGATAGTTTATTATCTTCAATGACAATCAGTATTTTTCCAACTAACAATTAACAATATCCCATTAAACTGAACGAATCCTTTACCAAATTTGTGACAGTTTTTCAATCACTTGATGAAAATTAAATGTCTTCTAAATATTTTCTCGTTATTTGGACATTTCTAGTTACCATTGTAAATTGTTACCTGGAAATTAATGAATCTGATGGGTTGATTCCACTTGATTACGCCAATTTATCAACAAGACAACGATTTGTATCACCTAAATTCGTAAGGACCAGTAACGTAAACACCGACACGCGCTCAGCGGGAATTGGACTTGAAAACCCTAGAAGACCTTTTTTTAAACAACATAATAGCAACGACACACAAGACGGAACTACTCAATTTCCTGAGAATATAACGGAATCCCTGAAGTACCTAAGCTTTCTGGACGATTCATATTATTGGTAGTTTGGATTCCAATTGGTATAACAATCGTTATAAATGTTTGTTTTGGATGTTTTATTTCAACTAAAATCAGAAATTCAAATCACCCTTTGATTGGACGATCCAGACCTTTAAAATAATGTAAAAAGTGGATTCTCTGAATTGTCATAGAAAAACATCCTGATATTCATATAAGTCTATCACTTTCAAATAAGTCGATAATAATAAAAATATTGAATCGTTTGCTTGAAATCGTCTCAAGCTTTGTTTTGAGCTTCTATCAGTGAGGTTTAAGGATTTTCGTTTGTGGCACTAGGACTTGATATCGACAATTTTTTGTAATTGGATGGACGATTTAACTAATGAACTGATATTTATATTCGACGAAAGAGAAAACTCGGATTCTATCGTGTATCGTGAATATCGAAATGAATTTTTAGTCAAACAAATTTTCACTTGAATCGATTTATTTTTTGTTCTTGTTTGTTTTTTTGTCACTTTCCTTTTTCTTTTTCAAAGATATTAACCAGGGATAAGATTCGATGTTGCGAGAAGAATTTGACTTTTGTATTGTTTTAGAATTTATGTGCCGGTTACTTTTCGAGGTTTCTGATTTGATTCTAGAATAAGATCTAAACAGTGATCGAGAATTAAAAAATCGGCCCACAGTGAATAGATTTTTTGATCCTCTAGAATTTTTCCCACCAAGTAAACAACCAATGAGAAAAATGGGGATACAGATCGAAAATGATAGAGCTAAAAACACTAGAATTTCATAAAAGTTTGGTAAAGTCTTTTTTTCTGTTCTGAGAAGAGGAGTAAATGTGATGAATGGATTAGTCTCCTCATATCTTGAAGAAAACGATGCTCGATTAACTGATATTCTTAATCTAAATTCACCATAAGACACTTGATCACATTGAATTGAAATCATTGAATGAACAGTTCCAGTAATTTGACATTCATGTAAAATTGTTCCATTGACAAAATGAACAACAAGTGGAAACTGTGTAGCGATTAATTCATAATAACCAATTACATTTAAATCAGCGGTAAAATTTGATGAAATTGAAGAATAGGAAGTTTTGATTATATCGAATCTAAAACATGGATTGTTGTTCGTTGTCGAAAATGAATCAGTTCTGAAAAAAAGAATTGCAATTTTATCAGCTAAAAGTTAATAAATCAGTTGTTAGCTGAATACTCACCTTATTGGTTCTGTGCTTCTATCAAGTGAACAGGTACCTGAATGAGTATCTGTGCCATGTGACCAACTACAGTATCTGTATGATGTACGATCGACAAACACTTTGGTGGTTATACAATCGAGACAAGAATTTGATAGAAATGGACATAAATCGAGTGGTTCGTTGTAGTGATATTGATTTAGCGTGATCAGTACTTGAGGGTATGGGATATCATAGTAATAGATTTTCGTTTGGTCATCGAAACCAGTAGAATAATTGAAGATTATCTCATGTGGATGTTTAGTCAATCGATAGTTTGAATCAATGAAATGAATTGAATATCGATGAACACCATAATTTTCATCAGTTGAGAGAATCAGAAGAATATAACCAGGAATAGATTTCGCTGCAAGAGGAACGAAATCAGTAATTATATCATAATCGAATGAGAAAATATGAAAAATATAATTCGAAAAGTCAATTTCTCTGAAAAAATAGTCCCCGAGCTCGCTAGATGAGTAAACACAATTCGATCGATTATTCTGATATGACATTGTCCAGAAAAACTCTGTATAAGTACAATCGATGGTGTTAATTGTTCCAAAAATTTCGCTGATTTGTCCAAATGGAACTACCAAGATTCGATTCGAACCATTTCGATAACTTATGAAAAGTTGTTCTGAAGATAATTGAGATCGTATTACATTTTGATGGATGTATTCAGAAGAAGCGAATCGAACTTGATCAAGATAACCAAAATTTTTTCGAAAATCGGTGAAATAAATTTCGCTGTAAGTTTCATTCCTTAGTAAAAGTATCCGAGCAATGTAATTGTAAATTGTTCCGTCCGTTGAAACACGGGAGCCGACAGAATAAGCCAAATTTCGATGGACAAATTGATGAGTAACACTGATTAAGTTTAAGGACTGATCGATATTGAAAATTGAGGTACAGGACAAAGTTTGTGTTAACGTACAAAATATTCGCAAAAATATCCTCGCTCTTACGAAATAATTCTTGCGAAACGAGATATAAGTAGAATTACTGAAAACAACATAACGAGTTCTATAGAATTCCAATCTTTCGGCTTGCAGATCACCACTGACCGCCTCAGCAACAGGTCCGTCCACTCGAAAATGTGATAAGTCCCTATTATCCTCTGAGTATAAGAGACAGTGAGAGTTATTAGTTAGCGAATATGCTGCAGTAAAATTGTATCTTAATCCATCAGGACCCAGTTGACTCGGAACTTTGTTCAATTCTATGTAGGAATAATAAGTTCGAATAAATGAAAAATTCGTATGGAACATGAAAAGAGGTTGAGTAATATTGGAATTGAAAATGGGAATCCAAACATTTGATTCGTGAATTTCTAGATAACAATCAACAACACGAGTTGAAAACTTCGAAATGAACATAATGAGCAAAAAGTAATTCGAAAACATTTTAACCTTGGAAAGAAAAAACTGCTTTTAATTGTCAACAATTGGAAAGAATTATATTCGATAAATGCTTCGGGATACAGTTAATGGAAAATTAGAAAAGATTAATTGTTATAGAAGAGATTTAATAAAATTTTAAAAGATTTAAATCTATTGATCCCTTGATTGTGAATCGATTACTTGGACTTATTTTTATTCTTAATCACTAGACCTTTGGCATCTAATTCGGACCCGATAGTCGATTTAGACCTTAATTGGTTAGATAAGGAAGAGGTAGATTTAACTGTTGGAACTTTTTTATCATCGTTCGATTTAATATCTTTGAGATACTTTGGGTTTGACTTTTTCTCAGAATTTGAACCCACAGATTTTAGAGCCAATAAAGATTTCGAAGCGGATTTAATTCTGAGATTGGAATCAGATTTCGGTAGTGATTTGATTCTAAAGTTTGAATCAGATTTTGGTAGTGATTTGATTCCGAGATTGGAATCCGATTTTGGTAATGATTTGAATTCTCCTGGAACTATTTGAATATTCTTGGAACGATTATCATCATCATGAGATTTCTTCTTTAACATGATAAAATATCCCAAGATGAAAATTAGAATAAAAATAATGAAAACTAAATACATCGACGATCTTGATGATTCAGATGATTCAGGAGATTCCGTTGAAGTTATATTAAATTCTGGCTGAGTAACATCGGGAGTAGATTCACCTGTAGGATCAATGATAATTTCCGTTGGTTGTGGACTGGTTATCGGAGTGGTTGATGGCGTGGCTGTTGGTGCGGTTGTTGGTGTGGTTATCGGCGTGGTTATTGGTTCGGTAGTGCCAGGCTCTGTTATGCTTCTGTTTTCTGTTTCGATAAAATGTGATATTGTGTACAAGTAATGTTTGTATTCATAATTTGATGAAGTTGATGCTCGATAAACATAAAATCGTAGTCTATACTCTCCATGTTGAACGTTATAGCATCTTATTGAGACCTTTGAACCAACAATTCGTACTATATCACATGGACGAATTATATTAAATTCGTTGAAAATTTGAACTGAAATAGGAAACGTAGTTATCATCGATTCATGATAACCAATTATATCTAATTCGATAGAAAAGATCAATATAAACGGTGAATAAACTGTTGTTACATCTCTGAATGTAAAACAATAGTGTACGTTTGGCGACCTATCTGCATCGTTTCTGCAATAAGAATCACAATTTGATTAGTTTACATCAAATCGATCGATTAGCTGAATACTAACCCTGTTGGTTCTATGGTTCTATCAGCTTGACAGGAACCGACATGACCTTCGACTCCTTCTTCCCAACTGCAAAATCTGTATGTTGTATTATCGTCAAAGAATTTGGTCATCATACAAGCAAGACAAGAACTCGATAGAAATGGACATAGAACAAGCGGTTCATTGTAGTGATATTGATTAATCGTAATGAGAACTTGAGGATAAGGTTTATCATAATAATAGATTTTCGTTCGGTCATCGGGACGAGCGGAATAGACGAATCTTTGAAGAGGCGCTTGGTTGGACAACTGATTATTTGAATCGAGAAATTGAATTGAATACTGATAAAAATCGTAATTTTCATTAGATGAGAGAATCAGGAGAAGATAACCAGGAATCAATTTCATTGCAAGAGGAACAAAATCAACAATTCTATTGTGGGTGAATGAGAAAATGTGAGAATTGAAGTTGGAAAAGTCAATTTGTTTAAAGAAAAAATCATTTCTGGCAAGAACGGAATAAACACAATTCGATCGATTATTCTGACGTGACATTGTCCATAAGAACTCTGTATTAGTACAAACGCGGGTGTTAACTGTTCCAAAAGCTGCACTGATTTGGCCAAATGGAACTACCAAGATTCGATCTGAACCATTTCGATAACTTATGAAAAGTTGTTCTGAAGATAATTGAGATCGTATTACATTTCGATGGATGTATTCAGAAGAAGCGAATCGAACTTGATCAGGATAACCAAAATTGTTTCGAAAATTGGTGAAATAAATTTCGCTGTAAGATTCATTCCTTAGTAAAAGTACCCGAGCAATGTAATCGTAAGTTGTTCCGTCCGTCGAAACACGGGAGCCGAAAGAATAAGCCAAATTTCGATGGACGAATTGATGAGTAACACTGATTGAGCTGAAGGATTGATCGATATTCTCAAATTGGACGAATCGTAACTCTTGTGGCTCAAGTAAATAAACCATTCGAAACGATTTTGTTTCATTTAAAACTATTTGTTTGAAGAATGAGATGTGAAAATTTTGTCCATGTTTGATCCATCGAGTTCTGTTAATCGCTTGAGCATAGATCGAGGGCTTAGTTCTTAGTTCCAAAACAACAAAGTTCATACTTCGAAAGGCTGCTACTTGGTCGTTATTATCTGAATATAAACGATAATAATTCGATACATTACCTAGTGGATATGCTTTGGTGAAGTTGTAGGTCAATCCACCAGTTCTAAGGTTCGATGGATTTCTGTTCAATTCCGTCAATGAATATTGACTTGAAAGGAAGTTAAAATCCTGAATGTAAAAGAAAAGCGGTTCACTGATATTTGAGTTGAAAATTGGAATCCAAACATTAGATTCATGAATTTCCAGGTAACAATTCACAACGGGAACTAGAAATGTCCAAAAAACGAGAAAATAATTAGAAGACATTTTCACTTAATCTTGAAAAGATCAAGAGATTTTAAGATTGTTAGAAATTATCAAGGATTCGGTTAGTTTAATGGGATACAGTTAATTGTTAGCAAAGATAATAAGCTATCAAGTAAATTAACGGAAAGTTTTTCTCATCAATTCAAATTACTTTGATTGAGATAAACAAATATTCATTTTTTGTAATCAACAGATTGTTCACTTTACTCTGAGCATTCATGATGAATTTAAGAATTGGTAGAAACAGAAATTCACATTTCAAAGGTCAACATAATTATCGTAAAAATTAATCCATTTACGATTAATCCAAGAATCGAATTACTTTTCATATCATTTATACAAATTGTCCAAGTTTATTTGTGAAAAAAGTTTCCAATGATTAGCATCATGTTGATGGTGAAACTTGAGTTTCATTTAACTGAATCAATGGTTGAATCAGTTGGACATGAATCACTTCAACTCCTTTACGAAACTCGTTACTTTTGTCAATTAGTGAGAGTTTAATTTTAACCGGATCAAATTGTCTCAATGTTATGTTACGAACTTTACACTTTCAGGTCATTCCATATTCCGTATTCCGTTTTTTAAATTCACAGGTAAAGTTAATCAAATTAGAATTTATCAGGAGCGAAAAAAATGAAACTTTCTTCGTTTAGTTCCTTCGAAAATGAGTATTGATTTTCGAACACTAGATGGTATTAGTCGAGATGGAAAAATAGAAAAAGTAAAACTGATTCAGCGTCGAAAAGCAATTCGAGGAAATAAAAACTAAATCGAACAGTAGAAACTTTTTCTTCTCAGTTAAACTAAAAGTCCTCAATCAGAGGCTAATGTACAACCAGTGGATTAACAATGAATACCAAATGTGGATTAAAGTGGAAAAAAAGTGAATTGTGACAAAACAAAACCCTAAAGGATTATAAATAAATTAGCCAATTAACTAGTTAATCCAAACGTAATCAATTTTTTTTTCTTCTTCTTATTACAAATCAAATGAAAATTATCAACATTTGATACGAAAACATGAAACATTATCTCTTAATCGTTAAGGATAAAGATTAAGATAATTGTGATGTTGATGTTTCCTTTTACTTTTTTTTTTGATTACCAATTAAAACAGAAAAGCATGAGAATTAAATTAAATGGGTAAAAATTGGAAAAGTTAATCAGTGTAAATGTTTTATACGATTAAACATCTTCATCTGATTTATGAGAGATGATGATGAAAAAGGATCTCGTTGAATCTAAAATTGACTATCATGTTATTATCCTGAACAAATTACGAGCCAGTTTGGTGTCTATTTTAGACACTTATCATCATCATCATCATCATCATCTTCATCTTCATCTTTTCCATCTTCCTCTGTTTCTACTTTCTCCTCATCATCTTCATCATCATTCACTGAAATAGTAACAGAAACATCTCATTTCGCCTTTAACACATTTCTAACCAGTGAAACAACAACATCACCACTCTAACAATCAACATATCATTTACTAAATCAGTTAATTGTTTCCATTCAAATGTGAATTTTTAAATTAAAACCCTTTTCACTTTGACCCATTTCATTGGCCAGTATTTAAAACCAACCATGGACCATAATTATCCCCCAGTTACACCGATAACACCAATCGGATTAACAGCAACAGCGGCAACAACAACAACAGCAACAACAACAACCGGTAGTGTACCAACCGGAGTGAGTGTTGTCGGTGGTGGTGTGGGTGTAACACCAGTAACAATACCAGGAGCTGGTCCACCGCCGACAACAATTGCAGCCGCAACAACAGCAACAACAGCAACAACTAGTTCCCGAAAACCCGCTCGAAAAGTACCAAAATTACCAGAAAAAGCACCTCGATCACTTTACCTATTCACCTTAGACAATTGCCTACGTAAATTTTGTATCTCAGTGGTTGAATGGAAACCCTTTGAATGGTTAATTTTAATCACTATTTGTTTAAATTGTGTCGCTTTAGGAGCACAAACACCATTTCCAGCCCATGATACAAATTCAACTAATCAATTACTCGAGAAGATTGAATATTTTTTCCTTGCCCTTTTCACCGTTGAATGTGTACTAAAAATAATCGCCTTTGGATTTTTCTTCCACCCCGAAGCTTATTTAAGATCTTATTGGAATTTATTGGATTTTATAATCGTTGTTATCGGTATAATGAATTGTATTGTTTCCTTCATTCTGCCAACATTCAATGTTAAAGCCTTACGAGCCTTTAGAGTACTAAGGCCACTTCGATTGGTCTCAGGGGTTCCTAGTAAGTAAACACAATCAACTCAAATTACAACTTTAAATTAACCCTTTTGGAAACATTTCCTCATCTTTTTCCAATGAGATTAACCCTCAGGTAGATTTTTGGATTATCCTGTTAACTCAGTTGACTTTTCAAGTATTTTACACCATCGGTTTGAGGAAATCATCAGGATATTTCCATGATAATGATGATTAGGAAGAAGATGAGAGAGAAAATTTCTCCCTGATTAACTTTATCTTCATACTTATCATCATTATTATCCGTTATTTGGATGATGATGATTATATTTCTTAACCTTTTTTCATTGTTAACAGATAAACTTGCGTGACTTATCAACGTAAATGTTGAAACCTTTTCTTTTGCTGTTCAGCTGAGACATGGAATGATAGTTATCATGATGATGATGATGATGAAGAAGATGATGATGATAGTAAAGATAAACATTGAAGAAAAGGATGAGAGGAAAAAACCGACAGTTACATAGACAGAGAGATGAGAAAAAGAGGAAGCTAATACAAGGAAAATGAAAGATACAATAGATTATTCATTTATCATCATTATTGTCATCATCTTTTACCTCTTCCCCTTCGACCTTATCATCATTACCACCCCATCATCATCATCATCATCATCATCAACAACTTAATTATTCAATCAACTTTGTTGTGAGATGTTGATGATCATTGATCGTCATTGAAAAAAAAGGGGAAAACAAACTAATCAATTGTCACTATTTCAACAATTAGATTATTGGAACAATTTAGATTACAATTAATTCTTATTTCTCTCTCACAATTTAATCCACAGGTCTTCAGGTTGTGCTTAATTCAATCATCAAAGCGATGTTACCGTTATTTCATATTGCACTTCTTGTGATCTTCGTAATTGTCATCTATGCAATTATTGGCCTCGAAATGTTCAACGGAGTCTTACATAAGACCTGCTTCGATAATATAACAGGTAAATTGTTTTAAATTGAAGTCAATTTAATTGTTTGCGGGAAGACAAAAAAAAATCAAAACAATCTAATCTAAAAGCGATACGTTAACAATTAGTGGACAATAGTTTGTCAAACAATATATAATATATTGTTAATTCTGGTCACAGATTAACAGTTAACCAAAGTAATCAGTTGACCGAATTGAATTAATCAGTGTTTGAATGTTGATTAAACAGTTAATATCATGGGAATTAACCAGTTCTTTTTTTTTCCTCAACAATCAACAAAAGTAAATTACAAACAATTAACCATTGAAAAAGTAAATATATAATTTATCATGATATTATTATTATTATTATTAATACAATAATAATCTGTATATGTTTATATTATATTAACAGTTCCTATGGAAACTAAATTGTTCAATAATAATATTATGATTATCAGCTAATTATGTTAATGACAATTTCTTAATTCTTACCTAGCATGTTAATATATTTATAAATATACTTATTTACACGTGACTAGATTAAATTGTATTGATAGTTGATGGTGATTAAGTAAGATTATCATGATCGCCACTGAATCATTTCCAATAATTCATGACAATTTAGAGAGAGAGAGAGAGAGAGAGAGATTAAGAAATGGATTGGAATCAATTGAAATTATTATTACATTTGTATTAGATTTCCAATCGTTTAAGATACGATTGGTTTTGTTGATCGATTTTAATTATAATGATTAAGTTGATTTTTTTTTCCTTCTTCCATTGGTTGTTGATGTTTTTGCCATCATTAGATGATGATGAGGATGATGATAATTATTTAAAGTAAAATAGACAGAGAGGGAAGACAGAAATAGACAGAGGATTTGATATTTTCTTTTTTACTTTAAATTGTAGTTAGTAAATATTATCCAATATTAAATTTAGGTTATTGGATTGGATCCAAGAGTGAAAAATAAATAAATGTTCATTTGCTTGAGCTTAATTTTCTTGATTAACTTGCGATAATTATTATCGATTATAATATTGATAATCACCTGAGCAATTTAGTTAATTAGACGATTTGATTGGTTTGCTTTTCTCTTTCTCTCTCTCTCTCTCTCTGATAATTTAGAAAACTTAATCATTATTGAAAATAATCAATTTCGTATTCGTATTCGTATTGTTATCGTTATTTTTTTTTTCATGGAAACTGAAACTTTGATTGTCTTTCAGGTGAGATGATGGAGGAACCCACGCCCTGCGGGGAAGAGGCCTGGAACTGTGATGACGAGGATCTGGAGGGACATTATGTTTGTCGGGCTTATTGGGCTGGACCCAATTTTGGAATAACCAATTTCGACAATTTCGGACTTGCCATGTTAACGGTTTTCCAATGTATCACCAATGAAGGTTGGACTCAGGTCATGTATTGGGTAAGATAATAAATCTAACCATTAATTGGAAATGATTTGGTCATCTAATTGGTCAGTTTAAGTCGTGAGGTTGATTGTTGATTGTCAACTCAATAAAAGTTTTTACATAAATTTGTAAATGTTAACAATTTGCTTAGGTTAATCAACGATGTAATTATATTATGTTTTGTTGATTTGATTAACATGAAAAGATTATGTTTTTCTTTGATTTAATTGGTTCTGTAAGTTAATTGTCTTTTGTACAATTGAATTAATTGTTATTGCTTACATTTTCTAGTTGGTAGTAGATTGTTAAATTAATTACTATGATTAATCATCAACTTTAAGATGATTTAGTTTTGGATGTTAATTAATTTTTCATAGTATTTACTTATTTGTGTGAACTCAACATGAAAATACAACCAGCAATTAGTAAATGATGATGATATTGTTTACTTTTAATTGAGTTAATTCTTAGTCTTTATTTTCATTATTACAACGAACAATTTAATCAAAAATTAATCTGATTAACTGATTATCATCAAAATTGATTGTCAATTGTAATGAGAGTTAAATGAAAAAAAAAATTAATCAATATCTAAACTGTGACATCTAAATTGTCGTGATTAATTTAATTTGATACAATTAACACTTAGCCAAATCAAATGAAATCAATGTAATTAAATATCAAATTGACGTGTAAACAGTTAATTGTTCAAGACAGTCCTACAATTTTGGTCTAATTAATTAGTTACTTGATTTAATAGATGAAAAAAGTTAAACTCAGTAAAATTAGTAAATTGTTGAAAAACAAGAGATTGACACTTACAAATTGTTGTCTTCCAATTGCAATGTGAAAACAAAAACCAAAGAGAAACAATTAAATGTTGATCTAAATTGTCAAACTGATTAATTGATTGTGTCTTTTGATTTAGATGAACGATTCAATTGGTAATACATTTCCTTGGATGTATTTTATCAGTCTCGTTATTCTGGGCTCATTTTTTGTCATGAATCTTGTCCTTGGTGTTCTCAGTGGGTAAGAAGAAATTAATTCAATTGGAATACAAATTAATTGTGACAATTAGTGTGTCTATTTCCCGTAATTCTTGTTGATAATTTCCAATTATGTTGAAATTGCAGAGAATTTTCAAAAGAAAGAGAAAAGGCCAAAGCTCGAGGAGATTTTCATAAACTTCGAGAGAAACAGCAAATCGAAGAGGATCTTCGAGGTTACCTTGACTGGATTACCCAAGCAGAGGACATGGAGCCCGATGAGAAAGAAAAGAAAGACAGATTAGGTCCAGTCCAAGAGATGGACGATAAAACTAATCTGGACAATGATGAAATTCAACCAAAAGTGCCTTCGTTTCTTGAAACTGCCAAGTAAATACCTTTAATCCAATGCATAATTTACCATGAATTGAACCACCATTTATCCCACTCTTGATCTCTCTCTCACACTTACCCTGTAATCATTGTATTATTGATAATAATAATACTTAGCACTCTCTCTCTCCAATGAGCAAGAAGTGACATTTATTAGCCAACTTAATCATCTGTTCAAATCCATTCAATTATATCATGAACCATAATCTTTTCAACCTTTTCCTCTCTTCAGTTAACTTATCAACCTTTTCCTCCATCCTCATCCTCATCATCATCATCATCATCCTTCATTCATACAATTGAAAGTTATGTATCTTCATTGAGTCTCCCTGGGTATTCATATTCTATCCATTTTCCTTCATGAATCATTTTTTTTCTTTCTATTTCCAATGAAACTTCATAAAGAATCTGAATCTTTATCTCTCATTCATTTCATGTTACATTCAGATGTTCAGTGGGTAAGATGATGTGGTTGACAATATTAGACAACAACAACAACAACATGATATTGTTCAATGTTATTCAAGCAAATCAATATAACTTTTATATATATCGTTGATTCATATATTCAGTTAGTTTATAATTGTGATAACTTTAACTCTACCATCATCATGAATTTCATTTTCTACTTGTAATTCAGATAAATCTGTTTCTCTTCTCATGCTGGTGAAATGTTCAGTCAAATGAAAAGCATGAGAAATGAATTTAGATGATATGTTTCTCTTTCCCTCTTCTCTTTTTTTTCTCTATGTAATAATAATCATTGGAATAACAATAATAATAACATGGGAAGTAGTAGAAAAGTTCATGTAGGTTATCATTATCATGGAGGAGAAAAGTTTATCAAGAAAACCTTAGAGGAAGAGGAGAATATCCTCTTCACAAGTAGATCAAAATTCTGAAAGAAAATGAATGTAAATAATAACCCATCAGAAATTTTCGATTACCATCTAAGATGAACAAGGAAAAAGGGGAGAAGGTGAAACCACCCTGGTCAGAGAGAGAGAGAAAGAGAGAGAGAGAGAGAATTTTTTTATTCCAATAGATTATATTGTTGTATTTTCGAAAAGGTTTTTGATCTTTGAAGAGCAGAATATATGAAATTCTGGTGAACTGAAGATGGAAATTCTGAAAGATTGAGCTACAGAATAGTTTGTGAATAGTTATGATAAATGGAAATGAATTATTGTCAAAAATTCTGAGAAACAGTTGATTGTAATAAGAGAGAGAAAGTGAAAAGTTAACTAATGTTTTCTAAAGGCATTTATCAGAAATGATAGAATTGTTTTCCTCCCTTGGAATTGAATCATTTCTCATGAAAATGAACATGATTTATGTCTCAATTTACACAGATAATATCATATTAGAAAAATTTTCCTTTTGTTTTATTCTAATATTTGAAATTGATAACATTTTTCTATTCTATTTTCTTGATAAAAACAACAGAGAGCGTTTCGATGTACTCAATCGTCGGTGCCGTCGAAGTTGCCGAAAAATTTGTAAATCGAAAGCACTTTATTGGACTATTATCGTTCTCGTCTTTCTTAATACCTGCACCTTGGCCTCTGAACATCATCGTCAACCTCCAGCACTTGAACGATTCCAAGGTAAACATGATAAATATTATTCTCGATTAAATCCTTACTCCCATTTCCACAATTGATACAAAATTAACTTTTCAAAGTGAAAATGAATTAATCATTCAAGTTTCGAATTGATTGTTGATTTGATTGATACCATTTCCTTTCACGTTGATCGGTTGATAATCATGTTATTATTTCCAATTGAGATACTTAATGATTATCAGATGATGATTAGAATCAAATATTATATCGTTAATACGAAACTGATCAGTTGCGATTTTGATTTTCGTTTGAAACGATTTTTTTTCCAATGTGAAATCGATTGAATAACATTCTCAGTTCTAATATATTGTTTTTATTATGATTGTTATTATAATCATGATGATGACTATTATTGTTATGGGTGAACATTTATTTCATGAGGATGGATGATAAGAAAATAATAAGTTGAACAAGTAAACTTGACTGAACATGATTGTCATTTAAAGTGTTAGTTGAATGATGGTTGGTAAGAGGAGGAGGATGGAAGTGGGTGGGTTGGGTGGTGGGTTGAGAGAGAGAGAGAGAAGAGAAAAAAGTTAAAGATTCAATTGATATTTTATCCTGAAACATGAACATTGAATGAAAACATTGAGCGTATGCTGGCTTTTACCAGGAGGAAGAATAGAGAAATGGAGAGAGTTGAAATTGTGAGAAGAAAAAAAAAGTTCTAAGGAAAAAACTCGAAATCCATCAGGGTTTCCATTGGTTAAAGTTATTCAATGTTCCAATGGAAACGATAACATGGAAGAAGAGACTCAAACTGTTAGATAAATTGTCGATTGCCTTAAAAAACGATGATGACGAGACGATGGAGATGATGATAGTAAGAGAGTGAGAGAGAAAGAGGGAGAGTGATAGGTATGGATGATAAAATGGACCATGAATCTTGTATTTCCTTCTGGATAGAGAAAAATGTTCTGATTGATTATATGCAATGAACAAGTTGTAATGATTTCGAAGGCGTAACTTTGAAAGTTCTGATAGTTTGGAGTCACTTAAAATGAGTATGATGGTTGGTGTTGTTGAAAGAGTGACTTAGAGAGAGAGAGAAAGAGAAGATAACAAATGATGAGGATGAAAAAGTATTGAGAATAAAATAAAAATCTATGTGATATTTTCTTCTTCATTTTTCTTCTGGGTTAACTTGATCTTCTCTTTATCCATATTATGCTCCATTGGATTTTAGCTCTACTAGTTTACTATTAATATTTTTGCTTGGAACAGTTTTTTTATCATCTCATTTGATCATCAATCTGATACGTAAAATGATTAAGATTTCATCATGATCACAGAAAAGAGGCTTTCAGATTTAATACTTACTAGTACATGACTTTTACTCATATCAAATGAGAGAGAGAGAAATGAGTGAGAATGGTGAATGAATATAATTCATGCTGATTTGGTCATTCACTTAACCCTCCCACCTCATCTTACCATTTATTAAGATGCTTGTTAACCTGATTCAGGGAAGAGATGAAATGAAATGATGCAAATATTGCAGGAAATGAAATCTTATCAAGCAAGAGAGAGAGAGAGAGAGAGAGTTAAAGTGAGAAGGTATTACGAAAGATGAAGATAACAATTCAATTTGTGATGATGAAACATTAAATTGCCGAACAATAATAGTAACGATAACCGATACTTCCTAAATCCTTCAACTTCCGAGAACAATGAGAAAGCAAATAGAAAAAGATGAATGAAAAAAAAACGAATTAGAGTAAAACGAGTTGGAAAAAAATCTCGAAAAAGTTGTTGATGTTTTTTTTCTTCTATTTCCAATAGAACAGGTCATTCGAAGTTTCGAAACTAACTGACGAACTTTTCTTCTTCTTTTCTCCTTCTCTTCTTCCAGATAATGCTAATATATTTTTTGTGATACTTTTTACCCTTGAGATGTTTCTCAAGATGTACAGTCTTGGATTGCAAGGTTATTTTGTATCTCTTTTTAATCGTTTTGATTGTTTCGTTGTAATCGGATCAATTTCGGAAATTGTATTGACCAAAAATCAATGGATGGAACCGTTAGGAGTCTCCGTGCTTCGGTGTGTCCGTTTACTGCGTATATTTAAAGTGACCAAGTGAGTAAAATTGACCCTTGGCCCTTTAAAGGTCAGGTCGAAATGAACCACCACAATCGATTGATTAATCTAATTAACTCGATGTGTTGTTTGTCTATCCTTTTATTGTTGTTTGGGAAAAAGTAAACAAAAGTTGAGAAACTAAATTAGCTGAATAAATTATCCAATCATGGAACATGATTAACAGGGAATTAGGTAATTGACGATTAAATTGCTGTTTAGTTTAAGTTAATTAGATGTTCATCTTAATCATTGTTGATATTCAAAGTGACTTTTGTGTTCAATTTGAAAATTTGAAGAAAAATTTTCCATCAACTTCTTGTTGATATTAATTGAAAGATATTCATTTGAATTATTATCATCATGTGTTTATCTTCATTAATGTCATGATAATTATCATGTGAATACCCCTCATGTTTTCATGAATTCATTTCAGTTGGAATTTTTTTTTCCTTCTTTTTTACTCCTTTGAAAACTTTTCCATGTCTTTGGCTTTTCCCTGAAACTTTTACAATTATCATGATGATAACTTATAATTTAGATTCTGATTATTTCAACATTGAACTTTTTTTTTCAATTCCATGGTGAAGGAAGTTCAATATAACTGATATTATTTTCTATCTTGACTCGGAATTCTCACCATTATTATCATGGAATTGGTTCAATATGAGGTTATTGTTGTTTTCCATGTAATCTTTTCTATCAATAGATTGTAATACAATATCATGAAACGAAAATTAAATTGTAACAATTTGATTTACATGAAATGATTAAATCACTTGGAAATTCATTGGGTGTTAATGATTTGATTTGACTGAGTAACAACAAAAAATTTCACTACTCACCAAGTGATTAGTAAATTACAGTTTAAAACTTTCCAATGAGATTACATTTAAATTGATTTGATTGCTGTTCACAATTTCCAACTGGATTAACAATCTGATTTCACCCACAATCAGCTTGTCTAATCAACAGTTAAATTGGATTATCATAAGATTAACATGATAATAATAATAATCCTGATTAAAAATTGATTGTAATGAATCAAATGAAAAGCTTACAAGATTTAAATGATTACTCTTGGGTTATAATTGGTTTAATTATTGATTAATTGTAATCACCATTAGGATTAAATTGTCTAAATTTGTCAACATTGTTAAAGTAAATTGTTGTTGTATTTACAAACTGTTCCCTTAATCGCAATAATAATATTCAAATGTAAAATTAGTTATTCAAATGATTTAACTGAATTTGTCTCATGCTAATAAGTAACCATAACAATTATGAAGGAAACTTTCATGATAAAAAGTTGAAGAGAAAAATATTATCTCAGAATCATCATGAATTGGGTGAGTAAGGGAAATTGTTAAAGTATCTTCAATGGAAATGATGATGAAGATGAAGATGAAGATGAAGACGATGATAAAGGAAGAAGAGGAAATCTTGAGAAGTTTTTTCTTCTTTTATATATTTTTTTTTCTTCTTCAACTTCCCTTTGGAACTTATTAATGTTTTCTCATAAGAATCATCATGATAAGTAAACTAATGTATCTCCTAATGAACTTGTGATATTGAGGGTGGTAAACAGGGTGAATGGAAGGTGATGAAATGATGTGGATGATGAAGATGATGAAGATGATGTACTGGTGGTAGAAGAGCAAAAAAAAAGTGATGAGGATGAAAAGAAAATGTAAATTCAACTTGAGTTGACACTTTTTCACCCTAATCATTTTCCCCTCTTGTTTTATTATCATCATTATGGTGATGATTATCATGATCCATATAAACTTGATTAGAATTGAAACTTTTAATTTAACTTTGATAGTTGAAAGGGTGAAACTTTTTTCACATCAAAATTGGTATCATTTTAATCACTAGGATTCTTGAAACATCATGTTGATGGTGATCATCATTGAATTACCACGCCCTTGATACTCTTAGCTTCCTCTTTTCTTTATCTTCCTCATCATCATCATCTTACTTTTCCATTAAAAAGAAACCATTATCAACACAAAAGCTTTTCATGTTTACTATCATCATGAAAAACATTGATATTAACCAGAGATTAACCTTCATCCTTTTGGTTCCTCTTCATCTTCCTCATCCCCATCACCCTCATCATCTTCATCTCTTCCTAACCATTAATCCTTTTTTTATCATTCGAAGGCATTAATATGAGTCTCTCTCTCTCTCTCTCTCTCTCTCTCTCTCTCTCTCTCTCTCTCTCTGTCTCCCTTGGTTAAATCTCTTCCTACACTTAATTAACCTTTTTTTTCTTGATCACTATTAACCTTAATCTTAATTGACTTGATCTCATGCTGATGATTCGTTTGGCTCATTAATTCATTTATCATCATCATCTTTGTGACAATTTAGCTTAAATCAAACGGATGATAAGGATTAACGATCAGATTTATGGTGAATACATTGTTATGCAAGAAAGTTAATTGTGATTAGTTTGATTTTTCATTTTGCTCATTTCTGCAACAATTTAAACACAAGCTAATTGTTGTACCTGCCATTTAAAAGCTTTAATCAACGTTTCCATTACCATGGTAACAATTAAAATTAAAAACTTTTTTTTTCGCTTCTTAATCTGAGTTGACAATTTAACGAAACGATAATTGTTTTCTTTATACTGTACTTTAAATGGTTACAATTACGATAATCAGTTGATTGTCATTTGAATTACTTTAGTCATTTATTTATATGTCATTGTTAATGATGATGATCAAAGAGATGAGGAAATAATGATGATTTACCTTAGAGTAAATTGTTTCATCTTCCCAACTAATTAACTGATAATTAGATTGAATAAATTGTGACTTTTGTTAAGATTAGACACAAAAAAAATGTCTCACTCAAAGTAATCAGTCAGATATGATCACAATTAAGTTAATTAATTGAAAATAATGTTTCATAATTAGATGAGGAAAACAATTGAACCATGTAACATGTTTAATCAATGTCAATTATTATGATATAAATCATATCTTGATAGTGATACTAATTTCCAATTGTATAATCAGGCAAATTAGTGAGCAATTAACATTTTAACTTTGAAATATATTGATTAATTTAACAGAAATAGACTTTAATTGTTGTATATTACTAGTAGCTTAAGGTTATCATTTGACAGATCAACCACTTAAATATTGTATCAAAAGTTTTATAATTAACCATTTGAAAGCTCAACCCTTTTGACAATCAGTAAATTAGGTTAGCAATTTAAATGCTAATTATCATGGTGATATTGTTTCAAGATGATCATGATTCCAATTCAATTGGGAATCAATATTTTATCAACAATTTAATCTGAGAGAGAGAGAGAGAGAGAGAGAGATTTGTCTCTCATGAATTTCAACTCGATTCTCTGGCTCAGTTACCATGAAACAGAACAATGATAACAGGGTGAACAATTTAAAGTAAAGTGATCAATCAATTGATTGAATATTCTGAAAATTTTGTATCGTTTATTGCTGAATCTGTAATAATAACTGAAATTAATATACAACAATCAGTAACATGATAACATCAGGGTGGGTTTTAGATGAGTTCAGGGAGTGGGGAGTATAATGATAGTTTGAAAAAAAAGGTAAAAATATCCATTGAAATGGCTGAACTAAGCTTTATCTCTGGTTATCTTTTCCTTTTCATGTTTTCAGGTTAAATTTCAAATGAAATTTCAAATTACATGGTAAACTCAGAGTTGTAGGTTACAGAATTGAGAAGAAAATAAAATCAATATTAAAACAACAGTAAACAATTGTAACGATTAACTTTTTATTTCAGATTGAATGTATATATAAAAAGTTCTGGAATATTATAATTCATTGATGATGAATAATGAATTGATTCATGATGAGAAAGTGATATTTAAATTTGATCATCATGATTGAGTTGCAATTTTCATGGTGATCAAAAAGTTTTGTTTCTCTTGCCTCTTTCTTCATATCATTTGTTAACATATTATCATCATAAATATCAACTGAATAATATGATAAACCATCAACACCATGATGATGATGATGATGATGATGATTATACTTATCATCATCTCTTAAACTATTCATATTCCAACTCTCATCCACTCCCAACGTCACCAACATCATTATAATTGATATAATACTATTTTATCATCATTTGGTCAACCTTTATGTGTATGAAAACTTGGACAATATATTTATTATTATGATAACTTGTCAAATCATCATCATTGACCAAGTAATTTGTTGATAGTGAAAAGGATGAATACTGACCAATGGTCAACATTATTTATCATTACCGATTCAATACAATATCTATAATAATAATAGTACATTTATTCATAGTTATTTATACTTTCTCTTTCTCCATCTAAAATTATAACGGTAATCATGAGAGAGAGAGAGAGAGAGAGAGAGAGAGAGAGATGTTTTTTCTTCTCTTTCTTTATCATCTTTATCATCTTCATCATCATTTGTCTCTTTCTTTTTCCTTTTCTTTTCATCTTAATCATTTTCGTTTACCTCATCTCTCCTTATATTGTCATTTATTGTTGACACTTTTACCTAATATATTATCAATTGATTGTCACAATGATTTGTTTAATTATTAGTTTCATTTTCACCAGTTGAGTGTAATTATCAAATTACCAGTTAATCAAATTGTTTCATCTCTTGATAAATTGTTAAAAATTTACTATTAGTACAAGTTAATTTTATTCATTGAGTTAAGACAATTGTGGGTTTTAGTTTGTTGTTGTTAAATTGTCACTTAGTTGGTTGACAATTAAATCATATTAACGTAGGAAATATTTAATTCGTTGACAATTAAAATCAAATTGTCATTAAAATTGTTTTTTCCCCAACAGAACTGAACAAAAATTTCAATTGAAATTAATTGTTACAATTTGATTGCTTGAAAAAAAAAAATTCATTTGAAAAAGTCTCAAATTATCATATAAATTGTTTTAAATAAACATTATCATTTAAATTGTAATAACAATTAATTAAATCATCAAATTTCACGAATCTGTTATTCATTCATAAATTTTTCCTCTCATATTACAAATTCAGTTTCATGGTAACATTAATTATGGTTAATTATTGTTTTAATACAATTTGAACCGATAATTACATTATGGTTGGAACTTTTGTTTTGTTTTTCAATTCATATTCCAACCAATTAATTAGATGGAATAAAGTTAATTACTATTAATTAATTAATTACAGGTATTGGACTTCACTTCGTAATCTCGTCGCTTCCCTGATTAACTCAATGAGAGCCATTGCCAGTCTATTGTTATTATTGTTCCTGTTTATTGTTATCTTTTCCCTGCTTGGGATGCAAGTTTTTGGTGGTAAATTTAATTACTCTGATCAACCAAAGGCTCGAGCCAATTTTGATTCATTCTGGCAGGCGATGTTAACGGTTTTCCAGGTAATAACAATAACAGCAACAACTGACCAATGGTCATCTCATAAGATTTTGATTCAATTTCCATTGTTATAACTTTGATATTGTATATTCAGATTCTCACTGGTGAAGACTGGAATGTTGTTATGTACAGTGGTATTCAAGCCTATGGTGGGGTGGAAACTGTTGGTATCCTTGCCTGTGTATATTTTTTGATACTTTTTGTAACCGGAAACTGTAAGTATTATTATATATGAATTTCAACTCGGCGTGGGAGTGGAAACTTTGTTTCAATTCATTTCCGATTCCTTGATGTGTTATTTCAAAGATGAGTTGATTATCATGATGGTGATATTATCAAAATCTAGTATTAGATATTAACAATAGTGTAAGAATAATCTATGGATAGTGTTTTATAGTTTACTCAGGGAGGAAGAAGAAAAAAGTTCATCATCATACTGAGAATGATTATCAATGTAAATATTCAAATTCGATATTTAGATAGAGAGAGAGAGAGAGAGAAAAAATGTAGAGTAAAAGTTGAGAGGAAAAAAAAAGTTCGAAATTCATTTAGTTTTTCTGAGAATTAGAAGTTTCCAAAAGACAAACTTATCATGAATTAGTTTTATTAGCATAATATTAATTTACATGAATAAAACTGTTCAACAATCATTTCAACTGTGTTGAAATTAACTTACTGTAAATACAATTTAATTTGATTGTTGGAGATGAAAAAAAAACTCACAATCAATTATCCATGAAAATGATCATTAATAATCATTGATTCTTGAAATTCAGCTCTTTATACCTACATGATATTCATCATGGTAACTGTAAAGTTCATTACACTTGAGTTTTTTTTCACCGAGAGAAAAGTTTCCTCTCTCTGCCTTTCTCTTTCTTTTTTTCCTCTCAGGGTGATTATTGAATTATATGTTCAAATGGAATTGGAATTTTCTGTTTTCTGTTTTTCTGTTTTCGATTTTCACTTCTAAGGATATTTTCTAATCATTAGCCCACTGGTGGTTCTTTTATTGTTATATTATTGTTTTTCTCATTGTGTAGATATATTGTTGAACGTTTTCTTGGCCATTGCCGTCGATAACTTGGCCGATGCTGAAAGTTTGACCACAATCGAGAAAGAAGAAGAAGCTGAACCTGAAGAGGAAGCGGAAGAAGAGAAACCAATTGATGAGAATGGTGATGAAGAGGGTTTAGATTTACCTTCTAGTTTATCAAGAGGCGGAAGTGAAACAGGGTCAAGACGGAAGAGGAAAAAATCATTCTACAAGAATACCGGAAGTGCCGATGGTCTAAGTGACCTTGAAGTTGGAGGAGTTGATGGAGATACAATAAAAGGAGATGGATCAATGACCATTCTAAATAGACCAAGACACAAACCCGATCCGGTAAATAATAATGACAATAATTCAACAATTAAAAATTAAACATTTCGTTGAACATTTTAATCAATTGAGAGTAAATTAATTAATTACAATCTTGTTTCTCTCAGGATCAAATCTTTGTTAAAGTTGATGCTGATGATGAGGATAATCATGATAAAGAGGGTGGGGACAGTAATGATAAAGGTGAGAATTTGAAATTGAGCTAATTAAATGAAATATGATTGATTGTTTACCTTTGCTATTGATGACAGAAAATATTGATAATCTTGACAATGGGAATAATATTAATGGCGATGGTGATATTGAAGGCGGTGGGGGCGATGGTGATGATGATGGAGATGGAGATGAGGAGGAGGAGGAAGAAGATGCTGGTGAAGGTGGGACAGCTCGACGTATATCCGATCCAGCAGAGACCATGAAAGTGAAACCCATTCCTAATTATTCATCATTTTTTATCTTTGGCCCTAAAAATAGGTGAGCAACACTTAGAGATTATTAATCACAATTAATTACGAATAGAAAATAATATTTCACCAAAGTTGGAAAAATGAGTTCTCTCTCAATCAATACAATTAAACTCATAGATTTTCACACTGATCAACAATCAATAATATTAATTATCTACAATCAATTCAATCTAATTTAATAAATTTTCTCACCTTTAATCATCGTCCAGTCCGATCAGTTTAATCATCCAATTGACAATCAATCATAACTATTAACCAAATCAAATGAATCTCATCAAATCAATCATACAGATTAAAAATGCTTTTCCATTGATATCAATACTTAATTACAATTAAGTTGACGATAATTAAACTCAATCCTATTGATCACAATTTACATTTAATGGTTTTGATATTTACGATGAAACTTTTCATCGGATTGAGATTCGAGTTGATTTTTGTCAAGCCAAAGTTTTCATTAAACTTTTTATTATCAATTTTAATTGTTGATTATCAAGTTAATTGTTGATTTTTAATTGTTTTCTCATCCAAACAGTATCAGATTATTTTGTTATAAAGTAATTAAACATAGTCTATTTGGTAACTTTATTTTGGTTTGTATTATGATCTCTTCAGCCATGTTAGCGGTTGAAGATCCACTGGAAGGTAATCGTGATCGGAAAAAGGTAATTAAGTTAAATTGTCACAATTAATTTCCATTGAATGAGATAATTATCACTCCCAAGTGATAAATCATCATAGTATTAATAATTTGAATGAAAAACAAATGAATTAATTCAAAATGATCTAATTTTTTTTTTCTTTCTCAATTGTGATCATGATAAAGATTCTGGAAACTTTTGATGCGATATTTACAATTGTCTTTACAATTGAAATCTTATTAAAGGTAAACAATAAAATTTATGGTTTGTTTTCCTGTTTAATTGTTCCACTAATTGTTATACCTCTTCAACTAATTACAATTAATAGACAACAGTCTATGGTGTGGCTCTTCATAAAGGCTCATTTTGTCGAGAGCCTTTTAATATATTGGATGTTCTTGTTGTCGCCTGTTCATTGTTGTCATTTCTTCCAGAGTAAGTTAATTGTTGTTGGAAAAATTAGTAAATTGTTTGGATAAATTTCTCTCTCTCTCTCTCGTAATTAATTGTAAACATTTCTCCATAATACTAAACAGGAGCGACGAGTTGAGTGCCGTTAAAATTTTACGAGTTCTAAGAGTCTTAAGGCCACTTCGAGCCATCAACAGAGCAAAAGGTTTAAAGGTAACTATTGACAATTTAATTTTCTTCAAACAATTAGATTAATTGTTCAGAAATTTATGTCTAAATGTTTACAGTGAAATAATTGAGAGTCACTATTAACTGATAATTGAATAGTTTATCTTAACAATTATCTTTTGTTTTGTTGTTCTGTCAATTTAATTATTTCCGTTTGACTTTGTTATTATTTTGGATTCACAAATAAATCATTAATTGTTGCTCAGGAAACTTAATTGTTGTCGTTGATGATGATGATCGTCATCTAATGATTGATTCAATTGTGTTATCATGAAAGAGAAATGATAATAATGATGATGATGATGATATTAATGTTTCTACTTTTCTATCAATGTTAATTAATCATTTTCTTACCATTATAATGATCATCAAATTGTTATCATTTTAACTTCGTAACTTATTGTCATCAAAATGAATCATCTTCTTCATCATCCTCATCTTTTTCATCCTCATCTTCATCTTCATTTGTCTTCTTAATCTGTTCCATCTCACTCTTCACCATTTATCATTCAATTTATCCTCAGTCCATTGAACTTTCATCTGCATCTTTAGATTTCACATCCTCATCCTCATCCTTATCCTCCCACACTCACACCATCATCAACATCATCATCATCATCATCTTCATTTTCATCTTCATCAATTATATTTGTTTCCTATTGTTATTTAATTTTGATGATGAAGAGAAAAACAAAATTCGAGACTCTGATAAAAAGTGAATTCCCAATTTTCACCTCAATGAACTTCTTGAAACTATTTTATCACAATTGAAATGATAATTATCATCAAGTGAATATAATAAAAAAAAACTATTTCAAATTCAGTTCAATTTAACAATAGGAAAAACATTTCATGATCAGCATCATGATGTGATAATCATAATGCTGATTAAATCATCATTCGGGATGAGACTCAGGAAATATGAGATTTCATGGTAACTCAATTAAAACTTATCATGAAAGTAAAATAAGATTCGAGATTATTTCGGATAATATAAAGGTTAGAATATTTTAATTGTGATAGTTTAAATTATCAATATTGTTTAATTTGATTAGGATTTTCACAGATTCAATTTGATATTTTAAAGTTCAACTTATTGAATTAATTTAATGAAAATATTATTAAATATTATTATTGTTGATTCCAGATCAATATAATCAAGGTATTATTGCAATTAACAAATAAGTTGTATCATCAAAAGTTAATCATGATTGGATTTGCTGTTAAAAAAATCAAATCTGATTACAATTCAAATCACAATCAACTCAATGAACATGACAAAACAATCAAAAGAGATTAGGTAAAAAAACAAATTCCAATGATAACAATCATCATCTAATTGTCCTTGGTTGTTGTTAAATTGTTATCACGATCTTGTTAACAATTAGTTAATTGTTGAGGAAAAAAAAAACTAAACTGAAACTCAATCAGTGAAACTTTTCATTTACCCCAAAGCTTCAGGACCCTTGGTGATAAGTTCAATAAATGATGATGAAAACACTTCGATGTCTCAACAGTTACATGAATTGATGATCAATAAGTGACCATAACAAACAACCTGAACTCCCTGAATGATGATAATAATATTATGATAACTGACCAGTTGATAAAAAAGAGGAGAAATGGGAAAATTCTGACCCAAGACCAGGGGAAAAAAGTATTAAGATGAACCTTTAACATGGCAAAGCTTTTAACCAGAACTCTTAGTAACTTAATGGATCCTTTTTTCATCTCCATTCGGGATGATGATGAAATTATCTCTTCCCTGAGTTTTTTTTTCGTCTCCTTTTTAGTATTTCACCTCATCCTATTTTTTCATCATCGAATAAAAAAAGAAACTGTTCTATTCTGATAAGTTATCGATATCGAAAATCATCCGTAACTGTAAGAGAATCAATGATCAGAGGAAAAGAAAGTTCCGATTCCATGTTCCTAATGAATTCGTGTTGATGATTGATTTTATAAAAATTTTCTGTTGCTTTTGGTTTTGGATTTTGAATCATTCTCGGAATCAGTTTTACTCTGATCATGATTAATTCAGAGCTCATTTCAATTTTTGGTGTAAAAATTTTCTATTTGAAATGATATTTCTCTTAATGATATTTAGACGAAATGGTGAGAAAATAGTAAAAAAAAATTCTGAATGCAAAATTTTTTGTTCTTTTTTCAGCCAATTCCATGGTAATTTACCCTTTTCATTTGTTTTACTCCCAGAGAGAGAGAGAGAGAGAGAGAGATTTTGTTTTCTTTTTTCCTTTTCCATGATGATGAAACTGACATTCTTTCCTCTTCTCATCCATTCACATAACTATGAAACTCTTCAACACTCATCCGGAATCTTGAGATAAATTCTGAATTGAATTGTATAAATAGTTTCATCATGAACCAAATGACGGGACCCAGTGTGAGATTGCATGATAAATTCATGATTTGAATTTTCAAATAGAATCGTAACAATTCACCACCACGATCATCATCATCATCATCACCCACCACTACCACAAAGGAGCCTCTCCCTCCTCCATCACCATTACCCTTTACTTGTAATCATCAGAATCAAAGTTATCATGAGAAATAATTTTCCAAAACATTTAGATAATCAAGTGAATATAAGAAAAAAAAAATGTAAATTCTGAAACATTTTCAACTGAATTTCTCATTAATCATAAACCATAATCATGATATTATTGATTAAGAATCTTCAACTGATCACTTGTGACTCATTTACGATACATAACTTGATTCCATATTTGAATTCTCAATGGTTTAATCCATGATGATCATTACGATTTAAAAAGTTCTGATAATAATAATTTTCAGGGAGGAAAAAAATAGAAAATGTCAGAATCAAATGAGATAACTTGTTTCTCTAAAATATTCTGATAAATTATTTCCCCTGATTGTTGACAATTTAAAAGGTTTCAAATGTTGTCTACCTCGATCATTGAGCAATTTAATAAATACAAACAATCAAATCGTGATTATCATTAACAATCAGTTTCATGGTTCAACTAGTTCCAGTATCTATTGTTACTGAACTGATCCAATTTCAGATTCATTCACCATAATGACTCAGGTCAATTACCTGAGCATTGATTATGGTGGTGTAAAACTTTACTTTCTCTGGCAATTTATTAATTAGTTTTAATCAACATCATTTAACCAACAATTTGGTTAATTAAATTGAAGGAAACACACAAACAGAGAGAGAGAGAGAATTTAGAAATGTAAACATATTAAGGAACACATATAACATGATAAGTTCAGGGGACTTGACATGTATTCGGAATTGATTGGTAACCATGAACATGGAGGTTGGGGAAAATGAACCGCAGAGAAATGAAGAAGAAGAAAAAAATGAAAGTGAAAGTTAAATTGTCAACAATTAGAGTTCACTCATGTTGACAATTTACTTGATCAACACTTTTTTTTATCATTCTCTGTCCTTCCCTCCAATCAGTTACTTGACACTTTGACTTTTTATGAGATAAATGATGAGAAAAGTTGATTCCAATTCTGAAGAGATTGGGAAGAATAGGAAAGAGACAGAAAAGAAAGAAAAAGTTTTATATCATCATCGAGTTGAGAATTTATCTGCAAGTATTTTCATTGGATTCCCTTGGATTCTGTGGTTTTCTTTATCATGGTAATGTTATATAAATATTAGATCATCGTCTTGATCATGATCTTCATCATGATGATGATACTTAATTCATATGAAACAAAAAAAGATTTGGAAAGTATCACAGCTTCAGAAAGGAAAGAAATGAAATCACAACTTTTTTCCCCTCGAATTCACAATGATAACAAAAAATAATAATACTAAAGTATATAAGTATCATAATATTGACAGAATTTCTTTGTCAGAATTTTCGGTTTCCATGGTAACCAGCATGTAATTCTTATCATGAATCTCAACCCTCTCAATTATGGTTACCATATATCAATAAATATTATAATAATCAGTAACATCATCAAGTTAATCATTTTGATTCCAGTGATTTTTTTTTCATATCTCATATCATGAGTTACCTTTCAGATTATATTGGTTATATTTATTTCATCCCCTGATTGTCATGAAATAAATTATTGTGACGGTTTGAAATGATCACAACTACTGATCGATAGATTTGATTACTGTGATAACCATTATTAGGATTGATTAGTGACAATCATCACAGTTAATCATATTGTTGTTGTTTTCATTATCTATCTGATTGTCAATCTGATTCACATTTTGATTGGGATTATGATTAAGATGATGATGATTGTCTTATCATTATCTAATAATATGTAATTAATATGTAATAGTTATCATGATAATTTCAACTTTTACTGTTAATCATAATGATTAAAGTTGATCATGAGAGAATCAATATAATCTTGTCACAATTATCTAGGCCTTGAATTGATGATGAATACTTGATATTATTATTTCATGATGATCATGTTAATCAACAAGATGATAATTATGATTAAATCAACAATAGAATACAAATTTACAATTGATTCAATTTTGTAAGAAACACTCAATCAATTAAACAATTGTTACAATTTGAGACTTGGCCATCAATCTCAACTTCAAGAGGGTTTGATTGTTTGGGACAAAATTGTAACAATTAACAATTGTAAGGATTGTTAACCTTAATTGTGATCACCGTTCACCAATAAATTGCTGTGGGATCAGGATAATCAAATTAATGACAGAATAAATTTTTCCAAGTGAAGTTTTTTTTTCAATTTTCTCATCGATATTAGTTTTTTTCTTATTACATTATATACTCGAATATCGATTAATTGATTTTGAAGATAAAGATGAAGATAAGAAGGATAAAAAGATGAGGAAAAAGATGAGAAAATAAATTGTGAAGATGTTAATACAATAATAATAACATCGGAATAAATTGTTATGTTTATCGATAATCAATTTAATGATAAACTCTTGAAATTGAATAGCAACTTTAAGCCCATGAAAATGATTAGATTGACAATTAACCGGTAACAATTTGATCAACAGATAAACAATTATTATTATCTTGCCTGAGTGAACATTCAATGAGATGTTTAATTAGTGAGTTAATTTTGCAACAATTAATCAATTATGATCGATATCTGATCATCAGAGGAAACAATAATCAATTAGAATCAACTAGAATTTTTTTATCTCTCAAAGTTATCGTTGAAATTATTTCATGGTGACGATGGTCAATCAATCTTACCTTTAAAAGATGATGATGATGATGATGATGATGATGACCAACAAGAGGATCAACTGACCGGTCAATAAGATGATGTCAAGTTAACGGTAAATTCAATGTTAACCTTTACCTCCATTGGCTCCCATCAATTTCAATTGGCGATTTCATCATCTTCCTTATCATCATTTTTATCATCATCTTCATCCATTGATTGATTTTGAGGTTTTCATCATCACTATTGATTAGTTATCATCACAATCAAAGGGATTTAATATAAAGAAAAAGTTTTCCTCATCCAATCAATTGATTAAAGATTAATCAATTTATCATTTTTTTTCTGCCACTAATCAAATGTAAATCATTTAATTAACCTGATCAAACCAATATCCTTTTAATGAACATGAATGTATATTGTTAATCTAATTGAATCATCTCTTGATTTGATTAGCTTTTACTTACCAGTTATTAATTGTCTCTCTCTTGCTTGTCAATGGCAATGGTTAATTACATTTGAAACAATCTATTGATTGTTGTAACATTTTCATTGATATTATTTTCAATTATTGGATATTTTTGACATTGAATTATAATTGCATTTAGATCAATTTGTTACATTGACATTAATCGTGTTTACTTTCAATTTAATCACCCAACTAATTAACAATTAAATTTTCTCTCTCCCAATTGATTAGCACGTTGTTCAATGTGTAATTGTTGCAATTAAGACCATTGGTAATATTATGTTGGTCACTTTTTTGCTCAACTTTATGTTTGCTGTTATTGGAGTTCAATTGTTCAAGGTAAGGAAATTTGTATAACTGGATTAAATTAAATTACAATTGATTTTAACACTACTACCACTAGATGAGTTTACTTTATTTGCTAATACATTTACAGTTAGACAATCAAACTAATTGCTAAATCAAATCACGTCACAACTAACAAAAGTATTAACAATTTACCGTTAACTTTGTTGTTGTTGTTTTCTCAGTCCACAAATACAAATGTAATTAAATTAAATCGTAACAATTAATAACCTCAAGGGAGGAAAATTTTTTACTTTCTCCATTCGTTATATGAATTACGTTTTATCATCAACAATTAACTTAAATTGTTTCACTTTGATAGTAATAACCAAATTGTGATAAATTGTTACTCACAATTAGTTGATTAATCTATTTAATGGTAAACAATTTAACTGGTCGAGCTGTTTAATCATTATTGATGTTAATGTCCATTTGCGTGTTACTTTTTTTTATTTCATAGCAATTAACTTTGACACTTATCATGATTAGTATGAATAACTATCACAATTAATGGTGATATTAATGTTATTAGTTAATTATTAACATTTATGAGACACGAAAAATTTAATTCATTTGGTTAGTTGATTGTATTAATACTAACTCATAATTCAATAAACTTTCAATTGGTTTTGATTTAATTGTAATGGAAAGTTACTATTATTCTGGTTTTATATTGTTCCGACTGGAACAGTTAATTGTTCCCTTGATTGTTGACAATTTAACTCGTTAATTTGTGGATTTGTTTTCATCAATTTTGTTTTCTTTCAGGGAAAATTTTACCGATGTACCGATGAATCAAAAGAGACACCCGAAGATTGTCAGTAAGTTTAATTGGTTAACCTTAATTGTTATCGAATTTTTTTTTTCGCTTCTTCCATTAATTGTTACTTTAATTTCCTTAATTGTCAAGGGGTTTCTTCATTGATTTTGAAGATGGTGACATTAATCGGCCCATAATTAAGGAACGGACTTGGGACAATAATGTCTTCAATTTTGACGACGTAGCGAAAGCCATGTTAACCTTATTCACTGTATCAACTTTTGAAGGTTGGCCAACGTAAGTAACAATTAACTTTACAATTAAGGTTAATCAGTGTAAATTGATAATCTACGTTTAAATTGAACTAAATTGGAACCGTTAATTGCTTACAATTATGACAATAACAATTACGAAAGTCGAAACTTTTTTTTTCGTACTTTCAATCTGATGGATATTTTTTTTCAATTAATCAATGATTTTCAATCTAATTAAATTGTTGTCTGATAATTGTTGTTACAAGTCGTTTACTATCATCATTATGATTTAGAAAAGGTAATAATTTATTGAATAAATTATTAGAATGATAAAAATAAGATAATTTTGAACTTTTCTTTGAACTTTTTTTCCATCATGTTGATTCATTTTCATGAAAAAAAAGTTAAATAATCTAATGGAAAAATTGATTTCTCCAGAAAATAATAGTTAATTGTATCTCTCTTTTAATATCCATCAACTGGATCAATTGATTGTTACAACAATTTAATTTTTCACACACTAACATCATCAACTATCAATCTAATATTAGTATTGATTTGGTTAATTGTTTAATTTAAACGATCCAAAAGTAACAATTTAATGAAGCCACTTGGAAAATGTTAATCGAGAAACTTTTTCAATTTGGTTTCTATATTTAAGTTAACAATTTGATAACTTGGACAATTAACTGATCTTTTAATTGTGTAATTAAAAGTAAAAAGAGTTTTTTGTTTACAATATTCGAGAATATTGAGAATAAATTGTTATAATAAACAATCGATTAATATTGATTTTCCTTTCAATTTTGTTCCATCGAAAAACTTTTCACCTTTTAGGCTACTTGAGGTTTCGATGGATTCTCGAGCGGAAGATCTTGGCCCAACGATGAACTATCGTCCGGTTGTGTCCATTTTTTACATAATCTATATCATTGTGATCGCTTTTTTCATGGTAAACATTTTCGTTGGTTTCGTTATCGTTACCTTTCAAAATGAAGGTGAACAAGAGTATAAGAACTGTGAACTCGACAAGAATCAACGTAATTGTATTGAATTTGCGCTAAAGGCCAGGCCAGTTCGTCGGTATATTCCCAAGCAACGGATCCAGTATAAAGTTTGGTGGTTTGTCACCTCAACATATTTCGAGTATTTTATTTTCATCTTAATCTTGGCCAATACAACGACTCTCGCCATCAAGTTCAATGGTCAATCGCAAACGTACACCGAAGTACTCGAAAAGTTGAACCTTGTTTTCTCCGTTATTTTTGCGATAGAATTCATTTTAAAGTTATACGCTTTTCGATTTAAAAACTATTTCTCCGACTTTTGGAATATTTTGGATTGTATTTTGGTTCTTGGGTCATTTGTCCATATCGGCCACGATGTGATCGTTAAAAAGGCCTCGAATTTGACCAAAGAAGGTGCTGGAGGTTCTAAACCATTTAACATGAACTTTTTCCGTCTTTTTCGAGTTATGAGGTTGGTTAAGCTTCTTGCTCGAGGTGAAGGTATTCGAACTCTTCTTTGGACATTTGTAAAGTCTTTTCAAGCGCTTCCCTATGTCGCTCTGCTCATTTTACTACTTTTCTTCATCTATGCGATCGTGGGTATGCAAACCTTTGGTAAGATTGCACTTGACTCGAACACGGCCATTGATAGGAACAATAATTTCCAATCGTTTTTCCAGGCCATTATTGTTTTGTTCCGTTCGGCAACCGGTGAATCCTGGCAAGAGATTATGATGGCCTGTACCGATCAACCAGAGACCAAATGTGATCCCGCTGCTCGGTCAAAGGAGAAATGTGGGTCACCTTTGGCCTACCCTTACTTTATCTCTTTCTACATATTATGTTCATTTTTAATTATTAACCTTTTCGTTGCCGTTATCATGGATAATTTTGATTATCTAACCAGAGATTGGTCAATCTTGGGTGCTCACCATTTAGATGAATTTGTCCGTTTATGGTCAGAATATGATCCCGATGCAAAGGGACGAATCAAGCATCTTGATGTGGTCACTTTACTAAGGAAAATATCTCCACCCCTTGGATTTGGTAAACTGTGTCCACATCGAATCGCTTGTAAGAAACTCGTCTCAATGAATATGCCTCTTAACTCGGATGGTACCGTTATGTTCAATGCGACCTTATTTGCTTTGGTTCGAACCAATTTAAGAATCAAAACTGATGGAAACATTGACGAAGCCAACGAAGAGCTTAGAGCTATTATCAGGAAAATTTGGAAACGAACCTCACCCAAACTCTTGGATCAAGTTGTCCCACCGGCGGCTGATGATGAGGTAACGGTGGGTAAATTTTATGCCACCTTCTTGATCCAAGATTATTTCCGACGGTTCAAGAAACGTAAAGAGGAAAGAGATAAACATGGTAATAAGGATGATGAAAATACGGTTGCCCTTCAGGCTGGACTACGGCGATTACACGAGTTTGGACCGGAAATACGAAGAGCAATTTCCGGGTCATTGGATGAAGATCATTTCGTGGACAGTCAGGAAGCGGAGCCCATGCATCGACGGAATCATTCACTTTTCGGTAACGTTTGGTCAACTGTTAGAGGTAAACGGATACCAATGGGACCACCATTATCTCAGGGTAACTATTAATATCTTATCAATCCCTTTAAACTGACCATCAGCTGACCGATACTTTAACACTTTGATACCTTTCATAATCCACCAACATTAGACCTCGAAACTTTTGTTCAAATCAACATTTGAATTCCAAAACCAAAGTTTTGTTAATCATTTAATTGTCATTCTCAGTGATTAATTAATCCAATTAGACTGATAATAATCAGTGTTGATGATGATTAATCAATCTCATTGATAATTGTAATTGTTTTTTATCCTCTTGTTAATGATTTCAATTAGCTTTTAAATGGGAATTTTTTTCCCTGAACAAAATCCAATGTTAATCATCATTAGTTAGATTATGTTGTGTATGATTAATATTAATTGTTACCTTGTCGCTAATTAGATTAACATTGACATTAGATTTTTTTTCACTTATTTTGATAATCTATTAATTGAAACAATTGGTCATCAATTTAACCAATAAATTGACCTAATTACAGTATATTTACACTTTAATTATTATTGTTAATTGTTTACCTTAATTGCAGGGTAATAATAATGAAAACAATTTTCAAAGTGAATCAATTTTATTGTCTTGATCATCAAATCCAATCAAATAACATTTGGAAATTGTCATTGATTGTTATTGGTCTCTAGGGAAGTTTAAAGGTTAAGATGACAATTAAATTGAATTAACAATTTGTTTCCATTCACAATTGATTACAATGATAATACAATAACAATCAAATCTATTAATAGCTGATGAACTTTACCTAATTTCCAATGGTCAATGTCCAGTTTGATTATGATTATTGGCCAATTTTGAATTTACTTTTTTCCCTCCTCACAATTGTCACGATAAAAGTTACAACAATCAAGTGATCAATTATTGTATCAATTAACAGCATGATGATTATCAAATTGACAACGATTAAGATTCAATAGTCAACATTGGACAATATTGATGATGAATTTCATGAAACTGTGAATATGAAACGACGTCAATGGGATGGAAATTTAATCAGAATTATTATTATCATCATGATGATGATGAGGAAAGAAAATGAGATAAACAAAAAAAGGTAAACGAAAAGTTCTTGGAGATTGAATTTCACCTCAGGCAATTCGAGACTTATCATGATTATGATAAGAATCTGATTGAACTTCCATGTCGATCATATTGATAGAAGAGTAGAAATAATTTCCTGGTAAAAAAAATGGCGAAAATTATTGAACTTGAATAGCATAAGAATAACGGTAAAAGTAGATTAACTTTGGACCAAGACAAATGTCCAGTATCTTTTTTCCTCGGTGTATCTCATGGAGATGATTATGAATTCAGGAAGTGAAACTATTCCAAGAGAAAAGAAAATTGGAATTTTGTTCTATTATTGTGTCATTTTTTTGTTCTTTTTAATTTTTTCTTCTTCCTTCTAAAAGTTACTTCCTGATCTCATTGATGATAATGAGAAACTTTCATCAGGTAAACAAAGAGTAACAACAAATAACATTATTATTACAACTCTATCATCTCTATCATGTTTATATTACATCTAATCACATCTTAGCATCATTTCCTTTTCCGTTTTCTCAATTATTCTCTATGATTATCATTTTGATCAGAAATCATTTTCCATCTCAAATGTAAGTTAATCTTAAAGAGAGACAGAGATGAACTTAAATTATAACCACAATCAAGTAACAGTTAATCACATCTCGTATTATATATTAAGTATCAGTCAGTAATTTGATTCTTTTACACTAATCTTCATCTTCATCTTCATCTTCCTCATCACCACATCCCCACATCTCATCTTGATTCCCTTGAATATTTCTTGATAACATTATCAAACATGGTAAAAGTTCAGGCAGGGATAAAATCAGTAAATTAGATTAGCTACTTGAATACATGATAGGAAATTCATTGGAGCTCGTGTAATATCATGTCCATCATCATTATCCTCATCCTCATCCTCGTCTTCATCTTCATCTTCATCTTCATCTTCATCTTTATCTTCATCTTTATCTTTATCCTCATCTTCATATTTTACTTGATAACTTTTGCTATCATTTTATCAATATCTCAACTCTTTTCATCATTAATAATATTATCATCACTGATATTGATTATGATTGAATATGATTGATCATTTTTATCATTAACCAACTTGATTGTTGTTTAATTTTTTTTCAACTCAATTCAATTAATAAGTTTAATATTTACAAAATCAAATTGATTGTAATAATAGTTTTACCTGTTTAATATGTCACGTTATTGATTTGTGATCTAAATAAATCATGTTCAAGTCTCTTGATTATCAAGAAAATCACCTTAAAGGTAAATTGTGTTAGAGAAACAGTTTTACCGTTACATTAATAGGGATTAACTGTCAACAATTGTTGACTGTTGAAAAAGTGAACACTGGCAATTTGAATCAATTGTTGATTGTTAACTAGATTTGACAGTTGATCCATAATCAAAACAAGAAAATCAAATTCATTTCTCATCGCCCATGGATATTATTAGTAATTTATTATTCATTTGACTTGAATTAGTTGATTCACTTTGAATGAATAAGAAGGAAAAAAACAGTTACTTTTCAGTGGACTTTTATTTCCTTCTCTTTTCCAATGGTCATTTTCATCCCATGGTCATTTTTTCTTCATCATATTAACATCTCGCTCTAACACTTACTCTCTCTCTATCACCAATTCTCAAATGAATGGTCAACACAAAAAGCTGATGTCCAGAGAAATTGTTACTCTCATTGTCCGAGAATTTGTAGTAACTTTCAGAACAAAATGTTCAACTGTTTCTATTATTGTTGTTGATTCTCAGCTCATAGTTTCATGTACATACGATTTTCGTGGTTCCTTATATTTGGTTTCTTATTTCTCTCTCTCTCTCTCTCTCTCTCTCGTCTCCTTCTCTTCCTATGATCATCCTTTCATTCAGGGAATCATTTCAGAATGAAGGAACTTGGTATCATGGCAAATCCTGGACAAGAAGATCCATTCGGGAGGTAAGAATTCAATATTGTTGATGTTGATTTAATCTGATTGTGAATGAGAAAAGATTATCATTAATTCAGTTCTAAGTAATAATAAACTACTGAACAATCAAAAGTGATTCCATGAGAAAACGATCAAACTTGATTATAATGGATTTCTCTTGATTGTTACTATTTCTTTTTACTCTACATAGTTACTGTTGGTTAAATCACGATTAACTTTATGATAATCATAATAATCTAATATATGTCTTAATATTATTAACTGATTATTGAGGTTAATTTGATCACTTTAATCATTAGTAATCAATTAAGATAATCAATTACTCTTTGGTCAATTTCTTTAATAATTCATCTAATTGTTTCCAATCTAATTTGATAGTTGAAATTGTTACTCTTTACTTTTCCATTGATCATTTAAGTTAATCATTAGCAATTTACTTTAATTTTGATTAAAATTTTTTTCACTCTACGTGTAGAAATTTTAATTTTAATCATTAATCATATTATACACGATGATGGTGATGATGATTAGTGATTTAATAGTCAACAATTTGATCAGATTAGTTGATGATTTGGTTTCAACTGTATATTAAATATCAAAATAATCAATTGAATTGTGAATAATTAACTTACCCATTTGTTGCTCTTGAAAAAATGATTAGATTAACTGTTGAGAATGTCAATCCAATTGTGATGGAATCATTGATTAAATCAGCAATCAGTTGATTCTTTTGTTAATAATTTTCTTTTTAATCCAAAACAATTAACATAACAAAAATGAATTAACATCGAATCCCTTTAATTTATTTTCTCTCTCATCCTGATTATATTAACTCGCATCCTTTTGTATTACTTAATCATCTTCATTATCATCCTTTTATCTTCTGGTTAAATCATAAGCTATTGTCATCATCATAATCGACAATTTCATCATCATCATCATCATCATTATCATCATAATCATCCCCATCATCCGTATCCTTTATATACATTAACTAACAATGAGTGTCCAGGGTTACCAATGATGCACGAAATTGGGTCAACATTATGTCCACCCCAACATCAACATCATCATCCACCACCACCACCACCCACATCATCATCATCATCATCATCTTATTGTTATCGAGATAATATTTTTCAAGTATGTCCAGTCTGTGGTATTAACAATGACCAATTGCATGTTGACCAACAACAGCAACAGTTGATTGCAAATGAATATTCAACTAACACTGATGATGTTGCTGATGATGATCAGATATCAGTCTTATCATCAACATCACTACCTCCTCCCCCACCACCACCTCCACCTCCACCTTCATCATCATCAATACAACCAATGATGCTGATTGACCCTCGATGTCCATGTACAGTTGACCAATCAACTACTGATACTAATTCATCATCAACAGTTGATTTTAATCATCGATCTCAAAGATTATCTTTCCAACGACCTGCCATTGCTGTTGTAAGGTTGGTTAATTAACAATCTCTATTTTCTTAATCATTACCCCGTTAATTGTTATGGTTTCAATCATCAAATGATAATCAAAAATACAATCTATTGATTGTTACTCTAAATTGTTGTTCTTGCTTCATTCAATTGATCATCAAAATAATAAAGACGATGATGATGATGATGATGATTATTATTATTATTATATCTTCAACTCCCTTGATAATTACCTAATTGTTTGTGTATTTATATGATTAACCGTATCAAATAATGTTAATCGAGTTGATTGTCAGGGAATCGATTTAATTGTTCATGTCATTATCAGATGATTTCAATCAACTGAATGATTTTGATGGAGAAAAACAAAATAATCATTCTCAGTGGATTAAAAATCTTAACTGTTTTGTAATAAGCTAATTGACAGTTAATCATTAATCAGAATCAACTAGTTGAACAGAAAATTAGACAACCAATTTAATTTGACACCAGAACAACAACAATTTAGGTAACAATCAACTTGTAAACATGAGAATATGATTAGAACTCGGATTAAGAAATTACCTTGATTATCGTTACCTAATCAATTTGGAAAACAATCAATTTTCACCTAATCCCTTTTCACTTTGATTTACTAATTTAGTTTGATTGTTTTCAACTTCCAATTGATTGCGTTTTGATTGTGACTTTTTTGATCATTTTGATGATTGAAATGAAAATCTAACTGATTAACTGATTTGTTACCATTTTAGTTTACTAATCATTTTGTTGTTTTCTAATATTTTCTAAAACTAATTGTTGGACTAATTTAGTGTTTCCATTGATGAAGATGAAATTAACCGACCTCAACCTCCCACTCCACCTCCTCGTAAACATATCATTAAATCATCGTCTTTCCGTCGGCATCTTCCCTGTTTATCGAAACAGGAAAGTTCAGAATCAAATTCTCCTTCACTTTTGGCCTTATCTCGACTTTATATTGGTTCAAATAGTTTAACAAATTTAACCTTAGATTATAATCTAACCACAAGTGACCTACCCACCGATAAACCGCCGACACCACCAACTCGATCTTCGATTGGCCTTGGTTCGTTTTTATCTAGTAGACACTTTTCTCATCATTCCATTGACCCAAGAGATTTGAATTCTTGTTCGGGAATCTCTTCGATTAGTAATAAAATTAGTTCAGGTCATGGGTCAAATTCTGCTCCAACCTCAGCTCGTCCTCGTTCTGGGGGAAGTAGAGGAGATGATGAATCTTTTTGTGATAAGTCACCTCGTCATTCTCATTCTCATCGACGTCGAGCCATGTCTAATGTTGCCGCTTCTCTTAGGTTTGTCCCCGTTCCAGCAATGGCCGTGGCTGGTTTTCTTCCGGAAGCATCGGTCTTTGGATCAAGAGGAAGTCCACTGAGAGCCTCTTATCATGGTAAAGCTTCAGAAAAACAATATATTCCCGTTCCTGGTAATATGAATGATAAAAGATCCATGGAGGTTGTCGGCTCAGCCGAATCGCTGGTCGGTCGGGTTCTTCAGGAACAAGGATTGGGCAAATTCTGTGACCCTGGTTTCTTACGTGCTACTCAACGGGAAATCGCTGAAGCTTTTAACATGACACCCGAAGAATTGGATCGAGCCGCTCATCGAATTCTGGAAGCTGAACGTAAATCATCACCGCCGCCCTCAGGTCAACAATCTACCTCAGCTGCTGTCACTCCCAATGGGACGACTCCCGTTCATCATTCAAGTCTAAATCTGACCCGAGGGGGAGGACGAAACTCAACTAGACAAACAACAACGGGAACATCAAACCCGCCGAGTCCACAAAAATCACCCTCGAGTCCAAGTGATGGTGAAGACGAAGATAAATATAAAGATACTAAATTGTAAATGAAAATTAAGAAAATTAAATTTTATTGTTAAATTTTCAAAGAAAAAAATTATCATCGATTAATAATTTATTCAATCAAAGAGGTAACAATGTTAATTAATTTACTCTCATCCCCTTGATTGTCCTACTAATTGATGATTAAATTTCACAAATTGATTAAATTTAATTGTATTGTTGTAAAACTGGTTGATCATCACCTTTTTTTTCAATTTACTTTAATCTAATACTATTGTTGATCAACAATTTGTTTCTAACTTTTTACAATTAAACCATTGTTACTTACATTAACAATTAGAATCTTAAATTCATTTAATAGTTCAATTGTTAACCAATCATTTAATTTGTTTGTTTGTAAGTGATCAGGTTAATTAAAGGAAAACCCTATTGATCAGCAAAATTTTCAATTTCACTTTAAATTCAGTTAGTATTAAATTGTTTCATCTTAATTAACTTTTGACTTAATCATGTCAAATACCAATGTCCCCGAAGAGGGTAACCCTCCTGAAGGTGAAGCCTCACAGGTAAGTGATTTATCTTGATTAATAATCAAGATAATCAAATCAAATTAGAAGAATAATCATTAATTGTTCAACTAATTATGAAAATTAAATTTCTTTTCACGTTTTTGTTTTCTTTTAAAGGCTGAAGTTCCTGGTTCACAAACTAATGTTACCGGTTCAACCGCTGAAGGTGAAGCTTTTAGTGAAGCTGGTGGTGGTGAGGTGGCTCGTTCTCCATCGGCTGGTGCTGGTTCAAAGACTGAGGCTCAAGCTCCAGGTTCAGTTCCAGGTTCTACTCCGGGTTCTTCTCCGGGTTCGAGTGCCGGTAAAAGTAAGTCAAAATCGAAAGGTTCAACTACTGAACATGCAAGTTCAGCTGGTAAGAAACGATCTCGATCATCTTCACGGAAACGAGGTGATCTTGATCTTCCCGAGGCTAAAATTGGATTCATTGGTGCGGGTAAAATCACTGAGGCCATTGTTGAAGGTTTAATTGATTTCGGTCAAATTCAGGCCAATCAGATTCATGTTGCTTCTCCTTCGGGTAAAAATATGGACCATTTTAAAAACAAAGGAATCAAAACTTGTAAACGAACATTGGAAATATTTTCCCGTTTCGATTGTGATATTGTTTTCCTTTGTTTCCATGGTGCGGTAATCAAAGAGTGTTACAAAGGTTCACCTGATCGTCCTCGAGCCTTTTGTACCAATTATATTCCCTACATGAAGCATCCTCTTTATATACTTTCATTGGTCTCCCATTGTTCCAGTGATGAAATTCAAAGAACCATGTTGAATCCTGATCATCCTGATAAGTATAAAATTGAATTCCATCGGATTATGATTAACGCTGGTTGTGCTTATGGTCTTGGTGTTTGTGCCATTGACTGTGATCCCGATTCGAAACATCTCTCAGCTCCATTAAGAACCTTACTCTCTCGTATTGCCAAGTTAGAATTTGTCCCAAAAGATCAGATTGATGCTGCTTGTGCCACCGGTGGTTATGGTTTAGCTTTCGCTTATTATTTCATCTCCGCCATGGCTGATGGAGCCTTTAAGGTTGGTCTTAGTCGAGATATGGCTATTCGTTTTGCCGCTAAAACTTCACAATGTGGAGCTCAAACTCTTCTTGAATCGGGTGTCCATCCAGATCAACTTCGTGATTCCGTTATTGCTCCTGGTGGGGCGGCCATTGAGGGTATCCATTCATTGGAAAAAACTGATTTCTCCTTTGCGGTAACATCCGCCATCGAAGCAGCTTATCAAAAGGAAAAAGATTTAGCTGATGCTAATTGAATAATCCAAATCCAAAGACAATTAACCAATTCGATTCATTTATCTTCCTCTTCTTGATCCTCCTTCTTTCCTTTCAACAATTTATATCCAAATGATTTACAGTTAATCCAAGAAAAAAAATCCAGTTGATCCAAATTTTGATTATCTCCTTGAAATTTTGTTTTCCTTTTATGTTGATCCTTTTTCCTTTCATTTCTGATTATTATTATTATTATCACTTTTACAATGTTGTTGTTGTTTTGATCATTTTTCTCTATCGATTAATATTCCAATTAATTCATGTAACCCGTTAACTAATTTTAAATTTTGTTAAAATAAAAAATTTGTTCAACCTCTCAATAGATTTCGAGTTGTTTTGGTTTTTTTTTCATTCTGATTTTTACAATATAATTTGTATCAATCAATGGCTAAGAAAAATCTCTTAACTTATGAAATAGTTTGGTTTTATCTACAATCTATTATTACCTTAAGACTATTCAACTAAATTAAATATCAATTTTTTGAGGATAACGTTTCAACATAACATTAACTTGATGAGAAGTTAATTTGGTTTGTCCGGGTATTGGTTCCATGTGATCTTTGATAAGTTGTTTTGCTTGGAAATCCTCCTGAAATGATGAGAAAGAAAATTCCGATAGTTAGATGAGTGAAATGAATTTTTGGAAAAAGAAAAAGAATCAAATAAAAATCACAACTACTTACAACAAATTTACCATAGCACTTTTGGAAAGCATCTAATTCCTTTGGACATTCTTTCTCATTTAAATCGTTAAGCTTCATACAAGCGAAAAGGTTCAACATTTCTTTAATACAAACAACGTCTATGGAAAAAGAAAACGAAAAAGAATAAAATTGAGAGAGAAAAGAAAAGAACAATTATCAGAACAATTAGGTAAACTCTCATTAGAATCAAGAAATACAGAGAATACATACCTTCTTTTTGTCCTTTTCTAGGGATTACACTGTTTCTACATCTGAGTGGTGTCCGTTCATGGGGATTCGCTTCAATTTTGGCAGGATCGAAAGGTCGGCGGCCATTTTTCCATCTAAGATTTTTTCCCCAACGAGGTCTTAGATAATATAAAGATTCTGTTAAATGAACCATGATTATCAGCGATTAATCAACGATGAGGTGGTTACAAGAGTTTCTTCAAGATAAGGTTAATACTAAAGTTTTATGCAAGATAATTAAAAAATCTTAAATTACTAAATTGACTAATTAATGAGTGGAACAAAAAAAATACAATTTAAATGTAAAGAAAATGTGAAAACAATAACATATGATTCACTTTGAGTTCCAACATTTAACTCCATCTATCGAATTTTTTTTTCTCTCATTTTCGATTTTTAAAATTCTCTCAGATTTTGACTCAAGAGTTAATTGTTGATCAAGTTGAGAAACGAATTTAATTTTAAAATAAGTTAATTGTGATCAATTTAATTGTGAATAAAAGGAAGGAAAGAAAATAGAAAATTATCAAGGTAATGAGGTTTTGCCTTTACAATGTTTGCAGAGATTTGTGTTCACTGATGGACTTATAATTGGAAAATTTTTTAAATTCTGAAATTTAGTTAACTTGTTTGTCATTTAATTTAATTTTCCGTTTAATTGTTACTTTTACTGTTATAATATAAGAGACCAGAGATTCGATATTCTCTATTATTAATAAATATGAATCTCGATTTGAATTTGATGAGGAAGTTGACAAGTTTAACTTGGTTTTAAGTGAAACTGATTAACTTTTTCTAATCATTATAATCAAATGATCTTTGTCAATTGAGGTCGCAATTTCTGAATTGCTCAATGTTTTTTTCTGTTTTGATTAGTAAATTGTTACAATGTAAAAATAATATCAGAAAATATCACTTTCTCTTTTGCGTCTCTTGTTGATTATTAATAAAATCTTGGAAATGGAAGACGTTCTGTTGAGACCAATTAATCGGTCGGTGACCATTTGATCTCAAACTGCTCGATTACATGAAATGTATAAACTGATAGAGGTGAATTCGATTGATTAGGTCCACACTCTTACAAACGACTAATCCGTGGATAAGCAATAAAGATCCTTTTCGGCAAAGTAACAAGTCGAATGGAAACTCTTCATAATCCGTTTCAGGGAAATCCAATGAAACTTTGATCCCCGAATCGTCTTCGGTTCTCATGAATCTACGAGTGACATTTTCTTTGTGAGACTTTGGAATGAACCATAAACACCCGTTTTCGAGAGTAACATCTTCTAATGCGAATCAAAATCCAGTCAATTTAATCTCTGGTTCAGTGAATAGAAACTCGACATCTTTCTGAGCTGTAACTTCACTTCCAACTTCCGGATTCTTAAATACAAGATGGAAATAAATCTCAATACTTATCCGATTAATATAATCCTAATTTTGTTTCAACAATAAGAGTAAACCACAGTTAAATTATCCAATTGATAAAATGAACAGTTAATTGTTTTTAATAATTTCGTCTCTCGAACAAAATGTTTCATTTAATTTCTGCAGAAAGATTATCTTCAATTTGTATATTTCTCTCATCGATAGTTGGTGCTAATTGTCATCTTCTAATCCACGAATCAAATGTTTGGATTCCAATTTTCAACGACAATTTAACATTTCCTTATTTCTTTTTCACTGGTGACAAATTTTACACAACTGATTATTCGAGTCAAGCTCTTAACACGGACCCTAACGCCGTTGGTGAACAAAGTAGCGCGACTCATTTTACTCCAGCTTATTCTCGCAGACCCAATTACGACTACTTCTTGCACAGGAAGGGCGGCGATATCGATTTCGCACATTATAACTATCCTGAAAATGGTTTTCAACTAATAGCCGGACCTTTTTTTTACGGATACCTTAATACTCATCGCTGGCTTTCAATTAATGATTCCTTTTATGAAATCGCAATAATGTCAGGCGCCAATATAATGAATTCTACAGCGAGTATATTTACATTAATGCTATCTTATGGAGATTACAGTATTTATACGCAAGTATATATTCATCATGTCTATGAATCCACAGTTCGATCGTTTGAAATTCTTCAAGTATTCAAGTTTCGGGGAAAGATTTACTCGTTCGGCCTTCTTATAATTGACCTCCTAAGGCCAGTTTACTTCATCTCTCAGCTTTCAAACTTAGCAACCAACAGTACGGGTAACGGACTACTTGGATATTTCTACACCGAGCTTCATTCGATTTCATTTCATGAACGTTATGGTTCAGTTGACAAAGTTCGATTTGTTGATTCTTTTTCTATCATGAGCGACGGATCTTCATTCTCTTTGATTACGTTCTCTTATAATCGAAATGAAAGAGATCATATTGTAGTGATTCCATTTAATCTGATGCTGGATAACTTTGCAAGGCCAATTAACAGTTGCCAAAGTACGAGAACTTTTTGGAAAGTTGATTTATTCAATGAATCTGGTCCAGAGTGTAACGCTTATCGCCAAACTGTCCATTTTCAGGTAAGGTCAATACGTAGAGACTTTAGTGGTTATTATCTTACAAATATTCTAACTGGAAACTGGACTCGAATAATCGATTTTATTCCATTGGCTCTCGATGCGACTCCAGGTTATGTTTTCCTCGTTCTTTCCTCTGACAGTAATTTTACCAGATATCGATATTCAATGCACTTTGTCAATGCAACTTATTCTGTCTTTCCCCACCCGAACGAAACTACTTTCACTCATCCTAATATCGGTAATGCAAATCGAATAATTTCACAAATTTATTACTATGGTTTTACTCATCCACGAGTCATAATTACACTTAATCAGTATTCTTACACTGATTCAATTGTTTTGTGTCCATTTCTAAACAATTCATGTATTGATTGTTTTACAACCAAAGTTTTTAATCCGAATGGTAATTTTCTTCGATATTGTCAATGGAGACGAGGAAGTTCATTATCATTGGGTGAATGCTCAATCGGTGATACAAATTCTTCTACTTCAAGGTAAGAATTTAAATAGTTTATTTATATATTTCTTATTTTTTGTTTAATTCTACTTTATTATCATCTTGACAGAGAAACTACACTTACGAATCAAACAGTAAATCCATGTTTCAGTCCAACTAATATCCAAATAGACTACACTCCTGATGAACTGACATTTGATTTAAGCTTCGAACTCCTTGGTTTCCATTCAAGATATGCAAATATTTTCCCCTTGAACTTCACTTTAGTCAACATTACAACACTTTCATTCATAGAAAACTGTACTGTTGTGAGGTATAAAGAGTCAAAGATTTATCTCAACTGTAATCGGGTGAATTCTGGTCAATATCAATTATCGATTCTTATGCTCAGACGACGAGGTCCATTTGGAACAGGAGACATTGATAACTTGATCACTTATAGTGATCCTTTTACCATCGATTCACCCTCATCTCTTTATATCCTGTTGATAATATTACGAGTTTTCTCCTTTACTATCTCAGTGATCGTTCTCATTGTATTTCATTATTTTTTATTTTTTTCGTTGTATTTTAAAACCAAAACCTCCGTCATATCAAAACATAACAAAACAACGAGAAAAGAGTCTTTTGAAAAAAAAGTCTAAAAGTCGGAAGATTTGTTTTGAATTATAAATACAAAAACTCGAAAGAAACACAGTTATTAAATTATCTTAAAGGAAGGTCTCCCATTTTTTTGATAATAGAGTTTGACATAGGCTATTCAAAAATATCATCGGTTTTTATTTCTGAACCCAAAAACGGCAGATATTTATGTCCAAAGGGCGCAACTTCGCTATATTGTAGTGACCTGGGGATTTTCAGATCACTACGATATTTGAGATTTAACTAGACCTTTATAAGGCCTATCGATCGTTATACTCTTTGTTAGTTTGTGAACAATAGTTTCGGTTCTATTTTGGTTCGAAAAAAATCAAGCAACTAAAGCTTTCAGGTTGAGCTCAACTACGGCTTTTATCGACAGCAATTACTAATGACAACGGAATTATACCTTCATAACTTATTATGAACTCTTAGTAATTGTCTTTTGCGAGAATAACTTAAGATGACAGGTTCAGTTGCTTGATTTGACTCTAAACTTTATTTAAAAGACTTTTCAAAGTTTATTTACTATTAAAAACATATGATATATTAATAATCAAAAATAATATATCCTGATTGCCCGATATTCATTTCACTTGTTTTACTAAGTTTTTCAACTTTTCTTTGACATTTAACATATTCACACAAATCGCTTTAAAATCATTATTCAGGGAAAATGAGAATTCCAATCTCATTTTTTTGTGTTTTTTAATCATACGTAATCTATTGAAATCCAAAGTATTTTCACCATCGGTTCAGCTTCTCCTCCTGAATCTTCTTATAGCCTGTTGATAGTATTACTATTAATAGATATCGCTTTATTATCTCTATCATTGCGCACTTTGTTTTTTATACTCGTCGTACTGTGGTCAGAAAAGTTCTGGTCACAATGGACAAGATAAAAAATCTTGGTAAGATGAGCGTAAATGGTTGGAGGCAAAGGTTAAAAGCTATCCAACACACTTATCCCTGTGTTTAAATTAGGTTAGGTCTTCATTAAAGGGTCAAAATCGACAGAGGAAGGCCTGGATGGCCTGGGACAATCTAACAATTGCATAATAAATGAACCATGATCATCAGCGATTAATCAACGATGAGGTGGTTACAAGAGTTTCTTCAAGATAAGGTTAATACTAACCTGATCGAGATGAATTCGATTGATTAGGTCCATACTCTTACGAACGACTAATCCGTGGATAAGCAATAAAGATCCTTTCGGCACAGTAACAGGTCGAAATGAAGACTCGTCATACTTCGTTTCAGGGAAATCCAATGAAACTTTGATCCCCGAATCGTCTTCGGTTCTCATTAATCTACGAGTGACATTTTCTTTGTGAGACTTTGGAATGAACCGTAAGCACCCGTTTTCGAGAGTAACATCTTCTAATGCGAATCAAAATCCAGTCAATTTAATCTCTGGTTCAGTGAATAGAAACTCGACATCTTTGTGAGCTGTAACTTCACTTCCAACTTCCGGATTCTTAAATACAAGATGAAAATAAATCTCAATACTTATCCGATTAATATTAATATAATCCTAATTTAGTTTCAACAATAAAAGTAAACCACAGTTAAATTATCCAATTGATAAAATGAACAGTTAAAAGTTTGTAATTTCGTCTCTCGAACAAAATGTTTCATTTAATTTCTTTAGAAAGACTATCTTCAATTTGTATATTTCTCTCATCGATAGTTGGTGTTAATTGTCATCTTCTTATCCACGAATCAAATGTTTGGATTCCAATTTTCAACTACAGTTTACTAGAACCTTATTTTTTCTTCGCCGATAACAAATTTTACACAACTGATTATTCGAGTCAAGCTCTTAACACGGACCCTAACGCTGTTGGTGAACAAAGTAGCGCGACTCGTTTTAATCCAGCTTATTCCCGTAGACCCAATTACAACTACTTCTTGCACTTGAAGGGTACCCAGATCTTTTTCGCACATTATAACTATACTGAAAATGGTTTTCAACTAATAGCTGGACCTATTTATCGTGATAGCGCTGATACACATCGTTGGCTTTCCATTAATGGTTCAAATTATGAAATTGCAATGACTTCAGAATTCCATATAACGAATGTTTCAGCAGCTATGTTTGGATTCATGCTATCTTATGTCGATTACAACATTTCTAAGCATGAATATATTCATCATGTCTATGAAACCACAGTTCGATCGTTTAAAATTCTTCAAGTATTCAAGTTTCGGGGAAAGATTTACTCGTTCGGTCTTCTTACAATTGACCTCCTAAGTCCAGTTTACTTCATCTCTCAGCTTTCAAACTTAGCAATCAACAGTGAGGGTAACGGACTACTTGGATATTTCTACACCGAACTTCATTCGATTTCATTTCATGATCGTTATGGTTCAGTTGACAAAGTTCGATTTGTTGATTCTTTTTCTATCATGAGCGACGGATCTTCATTCTCTTTGATTGCGTTCTCTTATAATCGTAATGAAAGAGATCATATTGCAGTGATTCCATTTAATCCGATGCTGGATAACTTTGCAAGGCCAATTAACAGCTGCCAAAATACGAGTACTTTTTGGAAAGTTGATTTATTCAATGAATCTGGTCCAGAGTGTAACTCTTATCGCCAATCTGTCCGTCTTCAGGTAATGTCAATACGTAGAGACTTTAGTGGTTATTATCTTACAGATATTCTAACTGGAAACTGGACTCGAATAATCGATTTTATTCCATTGGCTCTCGATGCGACTCCAGGTTATGTTTTCCTCGTTCTTTCCTCTGACAGTAATTTTACCAGATATCGATATTCAATTCACTTTGTCAGTGTAACTTATTCTGTCTTTCCCCACCCGAACGAAACTACTTTCACTCATCCAAATATCGGTAATGCAGATCGAATAATTTCACAAATTTATTACTATGGTTTTACTCACCCACGAGTCATAATTCTACTTAATGAGTATTCTTACACTGAGTCAATTGTTTTGTGTCCATTTCTAAACAATTCATGTATTGATTGTTTTACAACGAAAGTTTTTAATCCGAATGGTAATTTTCTTCGATATTGTCAATGGAGACGAGGAAGTTCATTATCATTGGGTGAATGCTCAATCGGTGATACAAATTCTGCTAATTTAAGGTAAGAATTTAAATAGTTTATTTATATATTTCTTATTTTTTGTTTAATTCTACTTTATTATCATCTTGACAGAGAAACTACACTTACGAATCAAACAGTAAATCCATGTTTTAGTCCAACTAATATCCAAATAGACTACACTCCTGATGAACCGACATTTGATTTGAACTTCGATCTCCTTGGTTTCCATTCAAGATATGCAAATATTTTCCCCTTGAACTTCACTTTAGTCAACATTACAACACTTTCATTCATAGAAAATTGTACTGTTGTGAGTTATAATCAGTCCAAGATTTATCTCAACTGTAATCGGGTGAATTCTGGTCAATATCAATTATCGATTCTTATGCTTAGACGACGAGGTCCATTTGAAACAAGAGACATTGATAACCTGATCACTTATAGTGATCCTTTCACCATCGGTTCACCCTCATTTCTTTATATCCTGTCGATAATATTACGAGTTTTCTCCTTTATTATCTCAGTGATCGCTCTCATTGTATTTCATTATTTTTTATTTTTTTCGTTGTATTTTAAGACCAAAACCTCCGTCATATCAAAACATAACAAAACAACGAGAAAAGAGTCTTTTGAAAAAAGGGTCAAAATCGACAGAGGAAGGCCTGGATGGCCTGGGGCAATCTAACTGGCGCACAATCAACCCAGAATTCAGCTTGATTTTGACATTTTAAACACTTGGACTTTGGACACCAACGATAAGTGTATTATCAGGCTCTGGACAATCGCTGGTTCCACAAATTAAATACTTTTCAATAGACTTTTGATTCGGATCATTGAATGTTACCCGTTTAAAAATTGGATTGAAATGATGAAGAGTAAGACCTAATTTGTGCAAATATTGACCTCGAGGAACAATTAGATTGCCATCAGAATAAAGGGCCTTCTCTTCAAAGAAAAAAGAAATTCTATCTCCTGAATTGAGAAAATAGTCATTTCCTTGTTGCCCTTTGCCGTTTTGAATACAGTTCGATTATCATCGAGATCAAAAGTTTCCACGATATTTTGGTCTCTTTCAAAATGGAATCGACATCATTTGAATCAAGGAAATTAGGGACCACAGCATATCCATTGGTCCAATAATCTTTACTAAAATTCTCATAAGAGTCCATTTTACAAACAATTGACAGAGAAAAACAATTAGGGTGGATAATTAAATTATTGTCAAGAGAAAGATGAGAAATCAATTTGTACCGTTATGTTTGGACTGAAAGCAAATTAACATCACTTGATTGTTGGTCTTCATACATGATTAGGCCACTTCTTGTGGTGCCTTAGAGCGGTCATGCTAATCAACCACTTGAGGTACTAATAAGTACATTATACATAGAAATTAACAAATTCATGTACACCATTCAATGTTTTCTTGGCTTCTTCGTATTTTTTTAAGTTTAAAGTTGAAAGTTAATAAAATCACAAGACATAAAATTAGAAATGCAGTTGATAAAATACAAGTATCATCATTTGGTTTGTTGTTTGTCATTTTTCTTAACGTTTCTTGCAACACGTTCGTTCTCTCTCCTTAGAAGATCAATAAATTTCACACTTTTAAAGTTAAACTCAATGAAATTCAGTAAAATTCAGCAATTGAAATTTACAGAAAAAAGATAAACATCAAAAGTGAGCAAAAATAAACAAAAAATCTACAAAACGCTAGATGGCGATAGTGAAATTTATCTAAATGAGAACAAAAATTTCCTTAACTGAGTATTAGAATTGTTTTTCGGCTCAAAATTAAGCTGATTTTTTTTGTTCGGCTTAAGATGTACGAATAGGCTCAAGCTTTTTTTTTGAATGATTGAATTGTTTACCTTTAATTTAATTTTCGCTTATTAATTGGATATTTTTTTGGTTTTCTTCTAATTAGATTTTATTGTTTAACGAGATAGTTAAAGTTAACGATGAATCGACGAGGAGGTTTCAACTCTTTCCAGTTTCGGTCAACATTTCATTCATCTTGTTCGGATTCTGGTTCTTCTCATCGTCCAACCTCATCTTCATCATCAACTGATTATTCACAAGTTTGTCCACCTTCAAATATTAATAAACCAACAGGTTATAGTTTAGATGATGAAAGAGGAGATCCTAAATCATATGGTAAAGAAAAAAGGAAACAAACTCGCATGTTTGAAGAGGATGAAGAAAGTTATTGGGATCAAGATGATGATGACAATGGTAAACAAGAAATCAGTGATTGTGATGGTGATTCAAGAAAATATGATGAAGATAATAAAAAACGTGACAATGAGGATGATGAAGATGAAGAAGAGGATCCATTAGATGCTTTCATGGCCGGTATTGAGAAGCAAGTTAATGTTGATTCCAAAAAGAAGGAGGAAAAATCAAATGTCAGGTTAGACATTGAAGAGGAAGATGTCCAAGAATCTTATTACCGATACATGGAGGAAAATCCTCGCGCTGGATTGGATGTTAACTTTGATGATGATGACGATGAAATTGTGGAATATGATGAACAAGGAAATCCAATTGTCAATAGACAAAAGTTACGATATATTGATCCATTACCAGCATGTGAACACAGTAAAATCAACTATAAACCATTTGAGAGAAATTTTTACCATGAACATGATGAAATTCAAGCTTTAGATGAAGAGAAGACTAAACAATTACGAACAACCCTTGGTATCACCGTTAGTGGTGCCAATGCTCCTAAACCTTGTATCTCTTTTGCTCACTTTGGTTTTGACGAGCAATTAACTAAAGCGGTAATTAAGGCGGGTTATCATCAACCTACTCCCATTCAGTGTCAAGCAATTCCAATCGCTTTATCAGGTCGAGATGTACTTGGAGTTGCTAAAACTGGAAGCGGTAAAACTGCTGCTTATTTATGGCCAATGCTTGTTCACATTATGGATCAACGGGAATTAAGACCAGGCGAAGGTCCAATTGGCCTAATTTTAGCACCAACACGAGAATTATCACAACAAATTCACACGGAGGCCAAAAAGTTTGCCAAAGTTTATGGTTTAAGGGTCGCATGTTGCTTTGGTGGTGGATCAAAGTGGGAACAATCAAATGAACTATCAGCCGGAGCAGAAATTGTTGTCGCAACACCGGTAAGTAATTAGATGCAAAGAAAAAGTGAATCTTCATTTTTTTTTGTTTGGGTAAAATTTTCATTCAATTTTTCAATTGTTTTTAGGGTCGTATGATTGACATGGTTAAATGTAAGGCCACTAATTTGGAAAGAGTAACAATGTTGGTTCTCGATGAAGCTGATAGGATGTTCGATATGGGATTTGGTATTCAAATTCGTTCCCTTTGTGATCATACTCGACACGATCGTCAAACTTTACTTTTCTCCGCTACTTTTAAGAGGAAAGTTGAACGATTAGCTCGACATGCACTTACCGATCCAATTAAAGTGGTCCAAGGTGAACTTGGAGTTGCCAATGAAGATGTAACTCAATCCGTTTTAGTAATGACGGAAGGACCAAGTAAATGGCTTTGGTTAACTGATAATCTAGTGAAATTTACCTCATCAGGATCCGTTTTGATCTTTGTCACCAAGAAAACAAATTCCGAAGAACTTGCCGCCAATCTGAAAGAGAGAGGCTTCGATCTTGTTCTCATTCATGGTGATATGCACCAAACCGATCGAAACAAGGCAATTAGTACTTTTAAGAAGCAAGAAGTTAACATTATGGTGGCAACCGATGTAGCCGCTCGTGGATTGGACATTTCACATGTTCGAACTGTGATAAATTATGATGTTGCCAGAGACATTGATACACACACTCATCGTATCGGTAGAACGGGTCGAGCGGGAGATAAAACTGGAATCGCATATACATTGATCACCGAGAAAGATAAAGATTTTGCTGGACCTTTGGTTCGTAATTTAGAAGGAGCCAATCAATTTGTACCCAAAGAGCTAATGGATTTGGCGATGCAATCAAATTGGTTTGCTAAATCACGATTCAAACAAGGGAAAGGGAAACGAGTTGATTACAATAATTCATTTCAACAACGATCAAGACCCGGATTAGGATCAGATAAACACTCACTTCCTTCATCTTCCATTGGTGAAAAAAGTTCAACCTCATCATCATCATCATCATTTGGTTATAATGAGAAATTAGTTTCATCATCAACAAATAAATTTGATCAATCAAGTAGTAATCGTGTTTCCGCAATTAAGGCAGCATTTAAAACTCAATTTCAATCTAATTTTAAATCTTCCAGTGATTCATTATCATCTGCAACATCAACTGTAAATTCAAGTGATAAATCATCAACTAACCAATTGTATGATTCAACTGATCTTCAGCCTAGGAAAAAGTCGTTGGCAATGATTTAAAAATCCAATTAAATTTAGTAAATTAACCAATAAGATGGACTAATCAATTTTAGTTTAAATCTGCGGTTATCCAAATCTAAACCTACTCAAGTTAATCAGTTAATTGTGACAATTGTAAACAATTATATTCTGTACGATGTTAACCTAATCTCTAATTAATCATTTGCAAATCTTTTGTTTCATTGTAAATTAATTCCCATTCATCATCATCATCAAACAATAATCAAAAACAAATATTGATCACAACAAAATAATCAAACCATTTCAACTTTTCATTAATCACATTACCAACTAAAGTAATTTTCTAATTGTTAACAATTACATAACCCTCAAGTCACAATGTAAGAAGGGGTTTTAATTGTTGAGAATCAAAAAATTGCAAGGAAAAAAAAATAGACTCATAATTTGAAAACAATTAACTGATCAGTTAAAGATTATCCAAAGTTTAATTGATTTTGATGATCAATAATGATCAGTATAAAATGATGAGTGGAAACAATTTCAATTAATCAACCGTTAATTGTTTATTAATTTTAAGTGACCTTCTCAAAATTTGAGTGTAATTAGTCAAACAATTAATTTTCATTCTCTTCATGGACACAATCAGTTAATCATTTGTTTTCTTTTGTCATTTAAACTAAAAGGTAAGGAAAATTAATTGATGATCTTCGTTAATTAATATGGTTGTCACTTATAAAGACAATGAATTATTGGTCAATTTACTTTGTTTTGATTTTTTTTCTTCTCTTTTTTTTTGTTATGACAAAAACGTATCTCTTTTTTTTTATCCGAATTAAAACCAAAACGCTTTCGTCTGTCTCTCTTGCGCCTTCGAATCCAATTATCGATTCAATAATTTTGACAGTTAATCACTTGACGATTGATCCTTTTTATATTTAGTTGAATTATTGTTATTATTTTTTTTTTGATTTTTTCTTTTGGTCGATTACTTTTTGTGTTTTGTGTTTTGCTTTTTGCTTTTTTCTTTCTCTAATCTGATGGACGTCGCTCAGCAAATTTTTTGGTATAATCATCAGCATTCTTCATGAATTTCTTCCGATCTTTACTGTATTCTTCTGCTAAATCACCTCTCAATGGATGTTCAGGTTCAGGATCGTTGACTAGTGCAACCAAAGATTGAATAACCTGATCCGTTTTGGTCGCTGGTTTCCAATTTTCTGCACTTATTATGGGTAAACAAATTTGTCCTTTCTCATCGATATTTGGATGGTATATTTTCGTACGAAAGGTGATCTTGGGAGGTTTAAAGGGATATTCAGGTGGAAAGTTAATCTCAATTCGGAAGGCACCCTTATTGTAAGGTACATTGTCTGGTACAATGAGCCCTTGCCAGGTCAGCATGTTGTGTTCATCCACTTGAATGTCTCGAAATGATTTCATACCAGATTTCCTGATATCTTGTAATTCCTTTTGAAGTCTCCTGGTTGCAGCCATTAGAGAAGAGAAGATTTCAATTTATTTTCCAAAAATCACAAATAGGTAATTTCACTATTTTAAAACAATCAAATTTGTTCACTTTTCAAGAGAAGAAAAAAAAATAAACAAAAAATTTGGTAAGGCTCAAGATCTGATTAAGATTCAGATACTATCGAATATCGATTGGTATCGAGTCCCAAATTCTCAAACTTGATTAGAGTTAATTTGGAATTAAATTGATCGCAATTAATGAATTGCAGGTGAAATGGGAATTTAAATTTGAAATGGTTAACTGTTGGACGGAATAAATTGATGTTAAGTTGATTAAGAATTGGAAATTGTTGGGGAAGAAAAAAAGTTCTCATTGAGATTCGAACTCATTTTCATTTCGATCAACGATCCAAACGTCAAAATCTTTTGGGTTTTGATGATTAATTGTTTCGCTTTAGTTTTCATTGTTTCTTCTTCTCTGCTTTGTCGACTTTTCAACTTCGAGGTGGTGGTGAATGTTCAAAGTTTCATAGACGAATTGTCCTTTTTTTTTCCTTCGAGTTTATGTCAATTCAATTGAAGAAAAAGTAAATTGAGTTCGAACAACTAACTCCATCTATCGAATTTTTTTTCTCTCATTTTCGATTGTTTTGATTTTTAAAATTCTCTCAGATTTTGACTCACCTTTTTTCTCATCTCTTTCATTTTTCTCTCTCTCTCTCATATTTATCATCCATCATCAGAATTATTATTAGTTTCCAATAACTGATCATCTTCTTCTCTATTCTATGAGTATTGTTTTCTAAAAGTAAACAGTGTTAATTGTGATTGGAAAACATTAATAATTGTTGTTCCCTTTCTCTCTCATTTTCCTCTCCAGCTTTTTATCTTCATTCTCTCATTCTCTTTCTCTCTCACTTACTCTTTCTTTTTTTCTTTCTTTGTTCGTTTTTACTCTTTCTTTCAGTTTCATTTTCTCTTATTCAAACATTACGAGTCTTTCTTTTTAATTCTTTCTTCGTTTGTTTCTCTCATTTTTTTTCGCTTGTTTGTTGTTATTCTACTTCTTTTTTTTCTTCTCTGTGTCGAAAACAAAAATATTGTCTTTCTTTTATTTTCTATTCTTCTGTGATTATATCAGATCTCTCTCTCTCTCTCTCAATATTCTAAGGAGAATGAGTAATTTCTTTAGTCGAGCTGTGAATTCTCTTTCTAATAAATTGGACAGAATATCATCCAAGGTTGTGTCCACTACCTCACCAAGTACTCAGGATAAATATGATGGTTCCAATAAAGATGATGATCATGGTAACCTGCCAACTTCATTCTCTACCAAATTATTATTACTCTTGGCACCATTTGAGGAATATTTCGTCTCCATTCAGAGCATTTTAATATGGGAGAGACCTTACGTGTCAGCTGTATTCTTAATTGCCATCAATTGTCTTTACTGGTGAGTCTTTTTTTTCTTCCACAAAGAGAACAAAATTAAAAACAACCAATAACTGTTTTCCTTTGTTCGAATATCTACCTTTCTTTTTCTCTTTCTCTTCCACATTTCTCTTTCTCCTTCTCTCTCTCTCTCTCTCTCTTTCTCTTATTTACCTTTTCTATCTCTTTAATTACCTTGCATACGCTTGTTGATTGCGATTGGACATGAGATCCAAAAAAGAGCTTAATTTAACCTTCTAATTTTTAATCTTAATCTCCTCCTCTTACCCTTCCATTTAAATGTTTATCTCATTTCCCTTTAAACATAAACTTACGTCATAGTCATATGAATATAATCATCATCATCATCATCATCATATCAGCCTTAAGATTTGTTTCTTTTTGTATATTCTTTTGTTAATCTTATTATCATTTTTTCACTTATAATTTTGTCATTCATTTGATTTTTATTTCTTTCATGGAACAGGTTAATCGTCTCATGGACTCGTAGATTTTTTTCCATTGTTTCCTTAGTGTGTCTTGTTACCTCAATTTATCAATGTTGGTCCTTCTATGTTTGGCCTGAGATTCGAGCTCGACCACCCGAACCCGATGAAGGCTGGGTACCTGTTCATCCTACAGTTTTAAGTGCCCCCGAGTTAACCCATTACATTAATGAGATAATAACAATTAGCGGTGCAATGGTCGACTGGTTCTGGCAATTGCGTAAAAACCAACCTGGTCTATTCTGTTCAATGGTTACCGTTTTTTTAACAATAACGGCGATTATTGGTAGTTTAGTGCCTGGTGTTGTTATTTTATATATCATCTTAATGACCGTTGCTATTGGACCAGGAGTATTTCTCTATGTTGTTCCTGAATCATGGTATCAAACAGTTCGAAACTTTTTTGGAAACTCAATGTCTTCCACACCATCATCATCATTATCACCTTCAAACTCTAAAGCAACCTTAACATGTACACCAGAAATTCATGATATTGAACATTTAAACATTTCAAGTTCACACGAAAAGGAGCAAGGACGAAAATTAAGTGAAGCATTTACAAAATGTGATCAACTTGAAGAATCATTTGAAATGGATAAAGATGAATCATCTCTTCAACTTTTATCCGATTCAAAATTAGATGGAACTCTTGATTTTGAATTAGCAGATCGTCCAAGTCGAGAATCATCTTCACCTTCCAGTAGTAATAACAGTAGTCTTCAGTTAGTGCCTTCAATGCAATTCGGTGAAACTGGAGCTGAAACTGGCGATGAATTGGAAGATTATGAAATAATCTCCGATTCTGATTTACCCAATGATACAGCATCTAATCAAATCTATTCAGGACTTTCAAAAGTTTTATTTCAAAAATCCAAAGGATCAGCACAAATAACCCAATCAGCAAAACCACAACAACAACAACAACAACAACATCTGATACAACAACTTCCTCAGTGTCATCAACAAGTACAACAACACCTACTAAAGATATGCTCGAGTCGGATCTTTAATTTGTTGAGTCGTAATTAATTCTTGTTAAAATATAAACAACAAAAAAACATTACAAACAAAAAAATCAGCCAAATTAAGTGTTTAATCAAAACCGAAAGCCAAACACAAGGGAAAAGAAAGTAAAAACTGTTCGAGAGTAGCAACCAACATGAAGGGAGTTACAAGGACAAACAGAACGAGTAATAATCAACAACAAATGAGTAATTTTCATGTTTCAAGAACTTTTTTTTACGCATTAACTCGTTCTCTTTGGTGTGTTTGCTCTCTCACTCTCTCTATCTCTCTTCAACTCACTCGAAGATATTTTGTCGTGTATCTATGTATTTATGTGTATCTGTGTAATCAAAGTTGAGGGAAGAAAAAAAAATTAACCATATACAACTAATTGTAAACAAAGATATCACCTAATTCATGTTGAAGTTGGCTGATTCTTTCAATTTCGTTGTTGTGATTTGTACAAAGAAAAAACCATCAGGATGAAAGCTCATAAAATCTGAATGAACAATTATTAATGGAAAACAGGGAAAATAATCAACAATCATCGTATTTCTCAAATCATCAAAATAGAAAATCAGATAATTAATTGATCATCACAACTTTACGATTATAATGACATTAACTCTACACACACACACACACACAAAAACACAATCAAAGCCGATAAATAATATGTTAATCTAATCAGAGATTCATTTTAGATAATTAACACGAAACTAATTACAAAATCTTTCTGATTGTATCTCAAACGAAAATTTTAATTGTAACTATTATCTCATCCTTTTTTCCTTTGTTTTTTTCTTTCTTCCTTCTAATTACTTTTAATTGTGATTATAAGCACAATTAATCGTCTCTATGTTCATATTTCTGTATAAAAAGAAATTGGTAATTCCGATTAAACATTTCAAATGAAAATGATTTAATTGTTTTCACTTGAAAAAAAGCTAATTGTTAACATTTAGCCTCAAATTGAACTTATAATTAAGCTGATCAATTATCATGTTTCTAATGATCACAAATCATAATTAGTGTCAACCTATTTCAAAGAGTGTTAATCACCAGGAATTAATTAGATAACTGGTAATACGATACAGTTAATTGCTCTAGATTAACAATATGATTATCTTTTAGTTTAAGTATTCAATTAACCGATATTGGAGTTAAATTATCAAATGAAATTGATAATTTTAACAAATTTGGTCCAATCAGGTTCATTTTGTTTGTTGATTTAGTTAATTTCTGTTGAGTTTAAGTGAAACAATTATGAACAACAAAGCAAAATTGTCAATTTAATCAGCAAACCAAAATTAATTTGTGATAATTTGCTGGGCAATTATAAAATTATTGATTTAAATCCAATTCCAATGATGTAATTAAAAGGAGTTATAATTGTGATGATGAAATGATGAAATTATGTTTGATTTGTTGCCAAAGCTTTTAGATTGATCAAAATCAAAGTTATCAGAGGAATCATTGGTTAATTGTCACAAGTTAATTGTAGAATTTAGTTGAGTCCAATAGAAAAATTTGTTACAATTAATTGTTGGGTAAAAATTGATGATTAAAAATCAACAGTCTTCCTTTCGGGTTAATCGATAGCAAAAGAATCGACTTTGATTAGAAAGGTTTGTTTCGTTGATTAAAATTAAATCACGATCCAATGTTACATCGTAATCGTTTGTTTCCTCGAGTTTAAATTGAAGTTTAAATTTTTTTAATTGTTTACCGGTTAAATTGTCGAATAGACAAACAACAGGTTGGTCAAGTTTCGCTGATATATCGACACCCATTAAGCAGTAAATGTCCGTCTCCGTGTCTTCAATATTACCATAGATACTTTTGTACATGATGTCGTTTTTTGTGGCCTTTTTACGAGTTGAGAGTCGCTTTTGAGCATCTTCGAGATATGCTGGTGGAGTAATTGAAAGCACAAATTGTTTGGAAAGTTTATGATTAATTATTCTAAAAAAGGTTAGCGTGTGACAATCGAGTGCCAATACACGATCATCCATCGCGTCATAATGGAAGAATAACTTTTGTCCATCTTCGATAAAATGATCGAACATGATTGTTCCACCTTCGATTGGTATTTCATCTGATAATGATTCAACTATGTAAGTATCTCGAGATCCTGGTGGTGAATAGATTATGTGATAAGGCCAAGATCCGTATTCAAATAGTTCGAGGGAAGATTTTACCGTTAACATTGGAGGTGGAATTTCCTTAACTACAACATTAACCGGTAATCCATGATTTCCTCGGCCAACAATTCTACCGCCTTGAGCACATTCAGAGCAATTATCGGAACCTCCAGGGCAAACTTGATCAATATCAGTTTTCCAAAGGTAATTATCATCATGAAAAACATGATCACGACTGTAGATTTGCAACAGTTTATCAGGGAATGGACATTTCTCCCTCATCGTTAACAGTCCGTCGGACAATAATGGACTTTTCTGACCAACGAAAACCTATGAAAAATGAACAATGATCAGATCAATATCTCTACAAATCAAGTCAATCAACGGCAACGCGACATTTTAAACGTCTTACATTTGAATCGATTTTGATACAGGCGATAAATTTAAGCGGCATTATGCCCATGATGACGATGTAACTGTAAATTTCGTTGGAATTTTTATATTTGATCTCTTTCGATCCGATGGCGATTGTATTTGGACAAGTTTCCCATTGGATGTAAGTAAATTTACACCTTTCGAGAGATCCAAGGAAAATGGAATCAAATAGTTGACCAGTGTCGAAATCAAGGTGCAACAATCGATTGTGATCAGTGACAACAAACAGCGAAGGTCGAAATTTGTGTCGAGGAGTAAGTACACTGTGAAACTGTGTCAATGGAAAATCAATTACAGATTAAGATGATTGACAATTATGATCCGATTTAAAACTTACGAGAGGAGATTTGAATGTTAACATTTTCGCTTCGTTGAGTCTTGTTTGTTTGAGATATTTTTCAATGGAATATAATTTCTTCCTGAAATCGGCTCGATCATCGTAAATACTGTAAACATCACGGGCTGATGATAGAAAAATTTTGTCCCCTTGTTGAATTATTCGGCCACGTTGAGCATAACGATACGCTTCTTTGAAATAAAAATCATCGGACCCAATTAAACGGCCTACAAATGACAAATTGTATCTGATTATATTCTTGACACATCCTGTCTCACAACGACGAACCAATTGACAAGAATTGGGTGGGTTAACCATTCGGACAATTGGTTCTTTCACCTAAAACAAATTGAGACAAAAAGAAAGAGAAAATTAATCAACACCATTAAAAGAAATGGGAAACTATTCAATTCATGTAACCACAAATTCTGATTCCAATTGAATTTATTTTCATTCTACTTACTGAATTTTGATACATCGCCCAGTTGATTTAGACAAATTGTCACATTAATCCTGTGAGTTAATTCTGACCGAATGTCAATCGCCAATGGTCACTAAATTTAAAACAAACTGAAATTTAAATTCGTTGAAAATTTGTAAACAAAATTCGTTGGAAAACTTATTCAAAGAATCACTGGAATTAAGATTATGATCTCGAAGAATTGGAAACAATTAACTTGATTCTATATCTTAATCTTTAATCACTAATTTAAAGTTAAAATCAACAAAGTGTTATAATTAAATCGTTACAATTAGTTAACTGATTAATTTTCAATTCTCATGTCTGGTTACCATTGGTGATTTTGATTCTTTCTCGATAAATAGACTCGATTGTCTATTCTCACGATTTTTTTTTCTTTTCTCATTCAAATGATATTTAAATCCAGTTGAAAATTAAGTTAATCATTTCGTCCAATGAAATTAATTTAACAATTAAAGTGAAAGATTCAACCATCCAACCAAAACTGGTTGATAAAATTAGTTAATCATTAAGAGATTTTGAAAAAATTTAATCGCAACTTCAACTTGATTTCAATTTAATTTTCACTAAATTGTATTGAAATTAATTTTAACAATCAACTTAATTATAAGATGATTTTGTTAACCATTAACTGTAGTTGATTGTTGAAAGTTATCATATCAATAGTTTATCATAAGTAACAACTACAATTAATTGATCAGTTAAATCGTAACAATTCAACCAATTGATTAGTTTTTTTTTCTTAATGTTTCAAGTTAATTGTTGATAATAAATACTGATTGTTTTAAATTGATTGGTTCATATTGATACTTAAAAAGTGATTGATTATCAAGTATCTCCATCAAATGATTAACCAAACAATTTAAATTGATTGTCCATCAGAGGGCGACCAGTTAATCAGTTGACGATCAATATAAATTGAAAAGTGGAAACAATTAAACAATTCTAATTGTTGATTAATTATTCAAGTGACCTTCTCATAATTTGAGTGTAATTATTTAAACAATTAACTAATTTTCATCTTCATTTCGGACACAATCAGTTAATCATTTCTGTTTAAACTAAAAAGGTAAGCAAATCAAATTGTGATGATCAACAATGATCATTATTAGTTAATTTACTTAATTGTTTTGATTTTTTTTTCTCTCTAATTATTTAGTTAATCAAAATGGTTGGTGGTGACAAGGAAAATTTAAAACCAAATGTTAACAATAAATGTACACAAAAGGGTAATAAGAAAAATCGTAAACGTAAATCAACCGGAAAAGGAAAAGATAAAGTTGATGATGAACAACCTTCAACCTCTTCCGGTTCAAGGGTAACAATCAAATCATCGAGACTAAGTGACAATTTACTTGAACAATTTCGACAATTAAATACTGTCAAAGAACCATTGGAATCATGTAGTAGTAGTAATGCCGTTAAATGTTCAAACTCGACGAAGAAGAAGGAATCAAAATCGGGCGATGCCGAAGCATTTGAATTGGAAGAGGAGGAAGATAAGGACAAGAAGAAGTCACATCGAAACAAGGCCAGAGCGGAAGACGCTTTCGCGGAATTGGAAAATTTAACTGGTATCAGTTTGAACAATCTTCCCTCTGCCCTTTGTTTAAGGCCAAAATTTGAAAGTGGCCGAGGCGGTGAAAGGATCGCTCTTTTAACCAACTTTTTCCGTCTCAAGTTGAAAGGAAATATGGTCCATCAATATGATGTCGCGTTCTTACAGCCCGATGCTGAATCAGCGGCCGTCGAGAAGGAACAGGAAGTTGGCCGAGTTTTCCGTCGAATAACCAAAAGGATGAATCAAACTCTTCTCAAGAATTTCGTTGAAACAACGGGCAGTGACCTGTTCAAAGGGACGAGTTACGCTTTTGACAATGATCGTATTCTTATTACCAATCGGCCTCTTGCCGCGATCCCAAGAGATGGACTGATATTTAGGTTCTTTGTTACTGAGAATGGTAATGGGGAAATTCCCAGGCAAATGTATCTGATTAGGATTAAGCCCACAGTCCGTCTTTCTCTTGCCTTCGAATCGGTGATCGGTTCTAATCAAGATGTGGTCAGTGATCGAGCGGTTTTACAAGTGATCGACATTATCTGTAAGACTCACGCCTTCCAGAATTACATAATTTATGGTTCGAAAATTTTCTTCCCGTCAATTGAACGGCGACGAATCCCGATGGATCTGAGACATTCATCATCTCCATTTGAATTGGCCTTTGGTTATCATCAGTCGACGCAATTCTGTCAGGGTGGACCCATGCAGAATATTGACCGAGCTTCGGCTGTACTTTATCGAGAAGGACCTTTAATCGATCGATTCATCGATTTGATTGGAAAAAATTTTCTTTATTCTGACAGAATTGAACCAAATGACTTTGAATCTCTTAAAGATTTATACTTTCTCCGATTCTATACCAATTATCGTGGTTTCACTAAATGCCACACAATCAGATCGATAACCCAAACACCAAGTACCGAAACTTTTTTCCGTGATAAAGATGGAACAACAAATTGTGTCGCCGATTATTTTCTCAATCATTATTCAATAGAATTGCAATATCCAAACTTACCTTGTGTCGAATACAGTGCCAATAGATTTATACCTATTGAACTTTGTTTCGTTGCCCCCGATCAACGGAATCAACGGAAATTACGAGATGAATTGATCAGAATTGTGAGTACACATTCGACCTCTCAAAAGCCCTACCAAAGAGTTGAAGGAACAGTTCAATCGGCCCATGCGATTTCTAGTCAAAAAGTTTTAGATCAATTTGGAATTCAATTGGTTCCATCGCCGGTTATTGTTCAAAGTCGACTCCTCATGTCACCTAAATTAAAGTACAACAATGTTGCCGATTTTGTCCCACGAGTACCTGGAGATTGGAACATGTCGGATAAGAGATTCATCGAACCTGTCGCTCTATCTCGATGGGCCTTATTCGCCTATCAAACGCGAAAGATAAGCGACAATGCGGCCATTGAGTTCGTCCGTCGTATCAGACGAACCGGTGAAATGCTCGGAATGAACATTGAGAATCCCATTAATCCATTTCGATATGTAGCTCGAGATAAATTACTCGAGTGGTTACAATTATGTTCAACCAAAAATCTCCAGCTAATTGTTGTCTTCATGCCGGAAAGTGTTGATTATTATACTGCAATTAAATCAATCGGTGATCTACAGATCGGTGTTCCAACTCAGGTTATCGTCGATAGGCACTATGATAATCGAGCGGACAGAGCGGACTGTAGACAGAAACTTTATGATCCAACTTTCCTTTGTAATCTATTGATGAAAATGAACATGAAAATTGGAGGAAAAAATTTACAATTATGGGAAAACAATCGATGTTCAATTCTAAGTGATAAAACGATGGTGATTGGAATTGATGTTAATCATCCTTCTCCCGGTGAAAATTCACCTTCGATTGCGGCGGTTGTTGGTTCGATCGATTCTGGTTTCTCTCATTATCGAACTGAGATCAAAATCAATCGATCACGAGAGGAATTGGTTCGAGTTGATGAAATGATCCCACCGATTTTACAAGCATTCAAAATATCGAGAAGTTGTTACCCTGAACATATTATCGTCTATCGAGACGGTGTTTCCGAAGGTCAATTTGCTTACGTTTTGAGTAGTGAAATATTCCCACTTCGTAAGGAGCTCGAAAAACTTGGTCCAAGACCACCGAAATTGACCTACATCGTAGTTCAAAAGAGGCACAATGGTCGATTCTTTCCAAGAGATCGGAGTAAAGCAACAAAATCGGGCAATTTACTACCCGGTTCTGTTATCGACAGTGAGATTTGTCACTATAAATGGTTCGACTTTTATCTTTGCAGCCAAAATTCATTTCTGGTAAGTTTTTGAACTCACGAACTTTTTTTATCGAAGTTGCAAAAATAATTTCACTTTTTGTTCATTTTTCTTTCAGGGAACTGCTCGTCCTGGAAAATATACTGTCCTCTGGAATTCGAGCCCTGCCCTTGCCGATGACCTGCAAATGGCCACTTATTACCTTTGCTACTTGTTCGCTCGAGCAACAAAATCGATCGCCGATCCAGCCCCAGCCCGTTATGCCCATCACGCTGCCGCTCGAGGGAAAGTTTACCTTAAAGAGATTCTCAGAAAAGATCCCCAACTATTTAACTCTAACAGTGTTCATCAAATTGAATTGACTCTAAATCGAGCTCTAAGTGTTGTTAATACCTTAAAAAATACTTTATACTTCATCTAAATTCTGTTAATCATTTCACAATTTAATTCTTTTAATCAAACTAATTGTTGAATTTTCATCTCTCTTTTAACCAAAGGAAAAAAGTTTCATTGACAAATCAATAAAAACTCTTGTTGATATTAACAGAAATCTGATCATTTCACTAATTTGATTCATACTCCTAAATGTTAATTGCGGGACAAAAGTTCAAACTTTTTGTAATTAAAACCGTTAATCTGATCACCAGAAGTAAAAACTAATCAACATTCAAAAGTTTGATCGGTAACATGAAACAATAACAATCGAACATCTTTTTCTTAAACAAATCCATCTATTGGATCAAAGGGCAACAATCTGTATCCTTCTGATTGCTCTTCTAAATGTGGATTCTGTAGATAAAGGGTTTCTTTTAATTGGTGAGAATTTTTAATTGTTTGAATTTAAAATCCTTGAGAATTAATCACCAATCACTCAACTTGAATTCAAAAAGAAAAAGAACAACAAGTAGCGACATCTATCGGTTAACAGAATTATTCTATTCTAAACCCGAATAGTATTTAAAGGAAAGGTAAATGTTCAACTTGGATTAGTATTTGTTAGAGTTCATTAACTACGTCTGATTAAAATTGTGACTATAATTTTGGAGAGTTTATAGTAAATTTTTACTTTTATTTCATCATCTTTTTTATTCCAAGTTGATTGGGTAAGTAAATTTCTCCTTTTTGTTTTCTTCCTGAGCCTTTTTCTTTGTTCAACATTTCCACTGTGATGGAAAATTGATTTTTAGGTTTTTTTTTGTATTTTGACCTTTTTATCTATATTTTTATCTTTATTCTTATCTTATCTTTTAGTTTACCATCATGACTGATGTTAATGAAAATCCAAATCCTGATGAAAAAGGTAAAAATTCACCGAAAGGTGCTAAGAAACCTCGTAAACGGAATCGTAAACCTAAAGGTGAGAGTGATAGTAATCATCATCATCAACAACAACAACAACAACCATCAACATCTACCACTGGACCACCAGCAAAGATTGAAGGTGACCCTTCAAAATCAAGTGGCGATTTCATTGGGAAATTGCAACAGTTAAACATTGGCTCTGAGACTACTCCAAAATCAGTGGAACCAATGTTACCATCTAATAGAAATGATACCCAACCGCTTCAATCTGCAAATCGACCGGACATCAAATCGTCGGGTAACAGCAATGTTAATCCACAGCAAGGTAATGCTAAGAATAAGAAGAACCCTCGTAGCCCCAAGTTCAAAGGTATCAAAGTGGATGATCAACAACCTTCAACCTCATCTGCACAACCGATGCCAATTAAATCGTTCAAACCATCGGGAGCTGGACAGGTAAAACAGTCGAAGGCTGGCTCTGTAGCTCCAGTAAAATCGGTTAAAAACAATGCCGAAGGAGAAAACTTATTGAAACCAGAAGAGAGTGATTCAGAAATCTTAGCAGTATTCGAAGAAAACGACAAGGGTGAAAAAGAAAAGAAACTAAACCGAAATAAGCGAAACATCGAAGACGCTTACGCTGAATTCGTCAGTATGTTTAAAATTAATTTCGACGGAATCCCCGATAGTCGGTGTTTAAGACCAAACTTCAAAGGAGGTGTAATCGGTAAAAAAGTCAAGATTCTTTCCAACTTTTTTAGATTGAAACTTACCGGAAACATGGGCTACCAATATGACATTCAGTTTCTTAAACGCGATGGCCAAACGTCCGCTGTCAAGAAAGAAGTTGAAATTGGCCGTAGATTCAAACGATTGACCAAGAGGATGCATCAGATTCTCCTTCAGGCCTTTGTTACGGCGAATCCAGATCTTTTTATAGGAATTATTTATGCTTATGATAATGATCGAATTTTAATCACGAATAATCCTCTTCCTGGTATCACAAATGATGAACACTTATTCAGATTAACTGTCAACGAAACAGTCAATGGTATTATTGAAACGTCAAATTATGTCGTACGAATCAAAAAAACAGTTGAACTCGCTCTCTCATTGCGATCCAATAATAATGGTGAAGAGAACATCAATAATGATCGAGCAGTTCTACAAATGATTGATATTATCATGAAAACGTTTGCATTTCAAAATCATGTCGTCTACGGATCAAAAATTTTCCCTTTCAATATACCCAGAGTATCGATGAACATTCGTAGAAGAAAACGCCCTTTGAATTGGCTTGGGGTTATCATCAGTCGACACAAATCTGTCAGGGTGGACCCATGGTGAACATTAACCAAGCCACCGCTGTGCTTTTCAAAGAGGGTCCTTTGATCAATTCGATGTGTCAACTATTCAAAGTCGAATCTGCTGACCAGATAAGGTTGGATCATAGAAACATCAGAATGCTCGATGATTTAACTTATATACGAGTTGAGACAACTTATCGCGGTTACTCTTGCCCTCTTACCATCAGGAGCTTCACTTCTCAATCGGCTGGCCAGCTTTATTTCCACGATGGAAATAGGCGAATAAGTGTCGCTGATTATTTCGTCGCGCATTACAAAATCCATCTAAATTATCCACATTTACCTTGTGTTGAATATGGTACGCAGCGTTACGTACCCGTTGAGCTGTGTCACATTTTGCCTAATCAGCGCAATCAACGAAAATTACGCGATGAACTGATCAGAATCGTAAGTGACCATTTAAGAGGCCAGACACCAGATATAAGATGTGATGATACAAAGGTTTTGGCTGAAGCTGTTTCTCGTCAATGCAACAACAACAATGGATTTAACATTCAATTGGTACCCAATCAAGTTGAGGTTGAAAGTCGCATTCTACCCGCACCAAAGCTTAGCTATTCTAATGATAGACAATTCCAACCCATAGAAGGTGATTGGGATATGATAAAAAGTCGTAAAACATTTCTGGCACCGATCGAGTTGAAAAGATGGGGACTGATTGTTCTTGATGAGCGGAAGATAGATGGTCAAATCTGTGCTCGATTTGTTGATTGTCTAAATAAAGTTGGAAACTTGCTTGGAACTTTAATCGACCAACCATTAATTACCGTTTTAAATATAAGGATCCAAGATTTGGAAAAACATTTCGATTATTTGAAAGAGCGAAATGCCCAATTGATTTGTGTCATTATGCCAGAAAGAGCTGAATATTACAGTCGCGTCAAACATTATGGTGATCAAGTCCTTGGAATCCCAACTCAAGTGGTCTTATCCAAACATTATAATATTCATGCCCATTTTCATAAACTCTTTGACAATTCGTATCTTTCCAATTTACTATTGAAAATCAACTTGAAACTTGGTGGATGCAATTTAAAATTGAACGAGGCTTCAGTTATTAATAACAGATGCTCAATTCTGACGAGAAAAACAATGGTTGTTGGAATCGATGTCAATCATCCTTCACCAGGTGAAAACAGTTGCTCAATCGCCGCTGTAGTTGGCTCTATTGACGAAGATTTCAGTCGATATCGAACTGTGATCGAAGCTAATGCTGAAAGAGATGAAATCGTTCGGGTCGATCAGATGATTGTTCCCATTTTGAAAAAATTCAAAAGTTCAAGAGGTTTTGATCCTGAACACATTATTGTTTATCGAGATGGAGTCTCAGAAGGACAATTCGCCCATGTCATGGGCTACGAAATTCTACCGCTTCATAAGGAACTTTCTAAACTTCCTAAACCCCCTCAGTTGACCTACATTATTGTCCAAAAACGACACAACACTCGATTTTACTCGAAAAATCCAGCCAATCGGAGCGTCAAGACACAAAATATACTACCAGGTTCTGTTATTGACACAGAAATTTGTCATTATAAGTGGTTCGACTTTTATCTTTGCAGTCAAAAAGCACTTATTGTAAGTTGAACATCTTATGTAGTTACAATTGGAAACTAATTTCATTTTTTTGTTTGTTTTTGTTTCATTTTTCTTTCAGGGAACTGCTCGTCCAGGAAAATACACTGTCCTCTGGAATTCGAGCCCTGCCCTTGCCGATGACCTGCAAATGGCCACTTATTACCTTTGCTACTTGTTCGCTCGAGCAACAAAATCGATCGCCGATCCAGCCCCAGCCCGTTATGCCCATCACGCTGCCGCTCGTGGAAAACTTCATTTTCGAGAGCTGGTCAATAGAGGACAAGTCCAACAGAACGAAATCAACATTCATCTCAACAACGCTCTTAATGTTGATGAAAATTTGCGAAATATTCTCTACTTTAGTTGAACGTCGATCGATGGCACTTTTTAAGATGACACTTGATTCGATATCAAATTTCCTACTTTCTTAATCTCCAATGATTAATTTAAATTTCATGACCTTATCTTTTGACTCCATTTATATTTTAACTTTTTCAAAATTATTTCGCTTATTTACTAAATAAAAGTTTTACTTTATTCACAATTAAAACAACAAATTGTTCACCATTTTGATCAATATTAACCTTATCCTTTTCTACACACAGAAATATAATCCTTTCCAACAATTGGTTAACTGTTGATAATCAATCTCGAAAATGTAAACAATCAACTGATCTCATTTTCAAATGAATGAAAATGTTTCCTAAATTATTTTCCCTTGTAAATTGTTCATTGAAATCTTTGAGTATAATATCAATTGCGACTTTGTTAATTGGTGTTGATTGTAATTTCCAAATTGATGAATCAAACATTTGGATTCCAATTTTCGATAACAACATTGGTCAGCCTCTTTTCATGTTCCATCAAGACTTTAACTTTGTCCGAACGGAATATTCATCGATAGAAATGAACAAAGATCCAGCGAAAGTTGGACCTGGTGGACTAGAGTACAATTTCACGAAAGCTTATCCAATGTACATAAATTCGAGTTTCAACAAATTGTTCTCGGAAAATAATACGCAGATCGCAAGGTTCGAAGTGTCGGCATCTTTTTCCCTGAAAAGAGGCGAAGATATTATTCCCTATCAATTGGAAATTGATCGAACTCGTTGGATTCCCGCTGCGACGAAAACCTATGAAACGATCTCCGTTTATCGAGAAGTTTTTCTGGACAATCAAGGCGACAATCGGTTCACATTTATTTTGAAGGATATCGAAGGTTTGTTACAAGGAACTTCCGTTACAGATATTGACAGTTCAATGCAATATCTTCGTTTCATTCATGGTTTCATGTTCGAGGAGAAAACTTATTGGTTCGGATTACAATTGTTAGAAAATGGAAACTTAATCTACTTTATTTCACAATTAACTCGATACGGTTCACATTATATTTATAAAGAACTTTATTCTCCAACATTTGAAGAGAATTATGGTTCGGTCGGTAAAGTTCAATTCGTTTTCTCTCATCTAATTTCGTCGATTTCAAGTAGATCAGATTTTTCCAAATTACTTGTGATCAGTTATACAAAAGATTTCGATGATTCTATTGTAGTTTTTTCTTTCGATAAACTATTGAAACTTTTCGATGAGATCGACCAATCGACCTGTTACTATTCGGAAGAAGTTTGGTCTGAACCTGTTACAATGAGGAATGGATCGAACTGTATCTTTACTATTCAACATTCGTCCATATTCATGAGGAAAAAATGGCAACTCGAAGGTTTCGTTATGGAAAATTTTTTACATTCAGAATGGAATCGAATCATTGATTTTGTACCACTTTCGTTGGTAGAAAGTCCAAATCATTGTTTTCTCGTTCTTTCCTCCGACATCGATTATAGCAAATATCGATATTCAGTCCATTTTATTGAGAACTTTGATTCGCCGAGTGGCTTTTCCCCCGAACGAATATTCAATTTAGCTGGACCTCCAAATGAATCGACAAAAATTTACTATTTCCCAATTCCAGTTCCTCAGGCTCTCATAGTGATTAACCATTATCACTATTCTGAAGTGATCTCTTTATGTCCAATGTTTGCCCGTTCGTGCCTCGAGTGTATAACCCAACCGACCATAAACAATGATCAATACAATAGATATTGCTCTTGGACATTTGACGAAATTTTCGACTCTGGAGTTTGTTTAAATGAAGATACGATTGACCCTGATTCAGATTTTCAAAAGCGAAGGTAATGTTTACTTATAATTATCTCTTGATTGTGACAATTTAATTTTCTCTTTCCACTCAATTAGTTTACCGCGAGAATTTTCTGGTTACACTTTGAATCCGTGTTTTAAATTATCGAAAATTGTGACATTCTATTTACCTGAACAATTGATTCTTGGTATTGATTTAGATCTGTCTGGTTATGATCATCAGCTTACAAATATATCACAACCAGAAATCAATTTAATCAGCAATTTAAGAGTTATTGGAAGATGTACCGTTACTAAATTGTTCAATTCCTTGATATCGGCCAATTGTACTCGTGTGACCGAAGGTCATTATAAGTTATTGGTAGTGTTTCATCGTAACCTTTCATCTTCTCCTGTTGACCCTTCGTCCAATATCATTACAATTAGTGACACTTTTAGTCCGATTAACGGAACCGTTTTTCCAAACTCAACAATTGAACCAACAGAGTCGATTGATTCTTCTAAATCAGTTGAAACAGATTCTATGTCGTATAGCTCGTATCTTTACCTAATTCCATTGATTGTCATGGTTGTTGTCGTTTTCGGAATAATCGGATGCACTATCGGAAAAAGGTCGAGAAATATGACAAAATTTCCGAGTTCGACGTCTCCATTACCTGTGAATTTGGACTCTTCGTTCAAAGTTGCCGATTCTTCATTTTCTTTGTACGACAGACCAACTATAAGTCGAGTATTGTAGAATCAATCAAACTGCTATTATGTAAAAAAAAACGAGAATAATTAATGAAAAGAAAATATCTTCAGATTGTTACTCAAGTTCGTTTCTTATTTAAGTTAATCACAATTCGTCTCGAACAAGAAATTTCGAACGTTTCATCAATCGATCAAAATTATATTCCAATATTATCAAGAAAACACAAACTAATTATTAGATAGAAAACAATTTATTCTCCATTAGATTCCAACGATTATAATATTAATTGTTTTACAATTTATCTTTAATTGTAATTTTCATCTTTAAAATGGTGAATCAATTCAACTTTTCTAATTTAATCTCTTGTTAAAGTTTAGAATCTCCGTAACAAAGTGAAGTTAATTAGCTCAATATCCTCTATTGGTACATGTAAACTATACTGGAATTTATCACATTTACTCAGCTAATTATCTTAATTAATCATCTTTGATTGTCGAGACTCCATGTTGATGGTTCCTCGATTTTCAATTGGAAAAAGAGATTCAAACTGACCCCCAGATGGCGCTTATGTTGTTCCAGGTTTATGTTTACCTTTAATTGTCAATATTAGTTCATTTGACTAATTGTTGTTTCATTTAATTAAATGTGATTAGATTAAATTATTGTGTCTTTTTATATCTCCAATGTGATGATAACTTGAGGTTGACTGATAAAGTAAGTCAATTGATTCACTGAAAACGTGATTATTATTCAAATTGGACGAATTTCCTTTTTGTTTTGTCAGTGACACTTTTTTAGTGATGATGATGATTTGGATTATCACCATCAAAATCTAATTAATTGACGTAAATTACGAGTCAATATTATCTTAGAACTGTTGTGTTTTCAATTCAAATAGAAATTGGAACATCACCATTTCCGTTTTCTCATTTTTATAACCTTTTCGAACAACAACAAAAAAATTCTATTCTCTTTTTGTTTTGTTTTTTGTTCCATGACATTTACCATTTGAATTCTAAATCATATCTTTGCCAATTTTCTTCTTCTCTTTAATCAATTTTGATTAATTCCCATTCTTTTCTCCCAACAGATTTTAATCTACTTCACAATGCTACTGTTTAAGTTATCAGACTGATTAATTAAATTCTATTCCATTGGTTACCGTTTATTATTCATCAATCGATTCAACTGATATCAGACATTTCATTTCCACCTTCTCTCAAATTAACTTATCCACATCCTTGTCAATAATTTTATTCTGCAAATCAAAATGTCTTCAACAAATTTACTAAATGTCTCTAATGATGATGCGCTACAATTAACTTCCATCTTGTTTCAATGTTTCGCTGTTATCATTTTGGGCTATGTTTCTGGTCGTTTGTCCATCATCTCGGAAACCCAATCAAGAGGAATCACCAACTTTGTTTCTTTCTTTTCTCTACCTTCTCTCATATTTCTTAGCCTGGCAAGATGTGATCTATCCGCTATCGATTGGTATTTTGTTGCCTCAGTTTTCATTTCAAAAGTTATCGTCTTCGTCTTGGTGGTTATAATAACCCTTCTAGTTACCAGACCATGTAACCTTGGTAAAGCGGGTCTTTATGGAATGCTGGTCACCCAAAGTAACGATTTTGCGATCGGTTATCCAATATTATCATCACTTTACGATTCTAGTCAACCTCATTTTGCTGATTATCTTTATGTTGTTGCACCGCTTCAGTTGTTATTCATTAATCCGTGTGGTCTATTTTTACTGGAAATGTATAAATATCGTCAAGCTGAAGACGCTTCATCATCAGTTACAAAGACCCGGACAATTGTTATCATTGGAACTGTACTTAAAAATACAATTACCAATCCGATTGTTGTAATGACTCTTGCTGGTCTCATTTGGAATCTATTCTTGGGTAACACTGTACCTGAAATGCTTGCTGGACTTTGCCAATCGCTTGCTAATGCCTTCAGTTCAACTTCACTATTTCTACTTGGCCTCAATATCGTCCAGGAAACTGGTTTAATTGGTAATTCAGCTAAAATTATGGTCCCTTGTACACTTAGTGCTGTTAAATTGTTCATCTTACCCGTTATATTGAGACTTGTCACCCAATACTTGGTTCGTGGTACCGAAAACTATGTATTCACCATGGCAAGTTTCGCCTTCCTCTATGGTACAATACCTTGTGCACCAACGAGTGTTATCTTTGCTCTAATTTATAATCTCGGTTCATGGGTAACATCATACGCACTTATTGTTTCAACCATTATTTCTGCTCCTTTACTCTTTGTCTCTGCCAATATGATCCGTTACTCTGAGTATACACCCGAACAAGTTACTCATGATTTATGCCTTACCATTTACACGATTAGTTTAATTGCTATTCCCTGTGCTGTATGGACTTTATTTATCTTCATTTGTGGCCGTAAATGGACTTCAATTACCCACCGAGTTACTTTTGGTTTACTAATTACTCAACTGATTGTCGCTGTTGGTGGTTACCTTATGCCTCATGATTCAACTGTGATGAAATTACGATACTTTGTCCCCGAATTTGGTATCTTTGCCTCCCGAATATGGACTGCACTTCTTGCTTTGACCTTTGCTCTTCTCAGAAAGCGAAGTCTCTGTTTCGTTTTACGAGTTCAAAACTTCCTTTTTGCTGGAGCCTTTTTACTCACCATAATTATGACACTTACTCTCTATCTGGTCGCCCCTTACTCTCCAGAATCTTCCATTGATCCTTTCTTCAAATTCGGATCCTATCAAACCCTTCCATCGTTAGCATTGACAACTTTATCCGCTATTATCACAGGAATCGCTATTATCTCTCAGCAACGCGATAACGCTTCGGCTAATATGTACTCTCGACTTAACGTTGAAAGCTCCGTTGATTCAGGTCGAGAGTCACCAGTCCAACCAATTGCTGTCGATGTTGAACAACAGCAACAACCAGAAGAACCAAGTAACTCAATAGATGCAGATGCAATTAGCATTGAAGATTTAGTCAGTTCAACGATAGTTAATGGTTCTTGTCAAGGGGCTGATTGTTCAAATACTCATCGACGTAAATCATGTCTCAAATATTTACAGCGATATTTACATGATACAAATGATGAACTTGTACCAGTTAAAGGAGAGCGATTAAGTTTATCTTTTCAAAGGCACATTCAACAAACTCATCATTTGGCTTTACTTTTGATTCTATTACTTTCAATGATAATTGATTTTGCTGTTTCAGTTAGTAAATTGTTCAATGAAAAGTTTACAGGCATTCATGTTGAACTTGTTTCATTAGACATTTTCCTTGTCTATGGTCAAGCGATTAGCACGTTCGTCCTATTTGGACTAGATACAACAACGTTCATTGACATTTGGCGTCGTTTATGTTTCCATTTTTCTCTGGATAATTCAAATCATCACCAACAACATAATCCACAGCAATCAACCGACATCACGATTAATGAATCTCATTACATTTGCCACCAATTTTCAACATATCATCTTGAAAAATGCGCTAAAGATATTTGCTTCCTAATCTCTTGCCGAAAGTCTGAAGTTTGTGTTTTCAAAGGCTGCGATTTGGTCAATTGGCTATTGAAAAGTGGACTAACTACCGATCGAAAATCAGGTCGTACTTATGCGACTAATCTTCTTCGTGGTCACCTTATTCGATCCCTTGATAGGTCATCACATTTTCTGGACGCATCAACATTTTACCAATTCCTTACCGTTCCAAGATCTTCATTAAATGAACAACCGACCAACAATTAACCCTTTTGATCCTTAAACATATTTACCTCTATTTTTGTTTCAATAACTCAAGTTTAATCTCACTAGTCCAATTCATGTTTTTATCTTAATCATCAACAATTTAAATTTTTCCCTTGTTGTCACTTTGATTCCCTGTTTTTCCAATTTGTCATCTTTAATTTAATCGATATCATTATGATATTCTTTATAATATCTTTGACTTTTGATTTAATCACAATTTTAATTGTTACCTTATATACATGTTGTTTACTTTTAAAATTAGTACAAGGTTTTTGTCTTGTACAATTTAAATTGATTCATCATATTAGGAAAATTACAACTCCCTCAGCTAATTAACTAAACATTTGAATTCAATTTCTGTTAGCTGACTTTATCTAACATCTTAATTGTTTCCCTCTGTGATATTATCCTGTAAGTTAATTAAATAACAATTAACACATTTGACCAATTACGATGTCTACTGTTAATAAAGATGATTAAAATTAACAAAAACTTTACTTTCGCAAGTATGTGTGATCAATACAATGTAAATTGTTACAATTTATATACAAGATGAACAAAAAAACTCATGAGTTAATCATCATCTTTGAAAAGTTAATTAAAATTTGCTCAAACAGTTAACTGACTTGTTCGGATGAATTAATAATTATACATGAAATGATAATTTTTGTTTTACCGTTATTTATAATAGATTTGATTGTCGATGGTGTTGATTTAATCCATTTGTTTAATCTACATGAATACAAGGTCTTGATGAGTCAAGAAATTAACAATTAGTATCGTGAATTGATTAAGTTAATCATTTGATAGCCTTGAGATAATTTTCTAGAAAACCAAATTGCAGTTGATTTTTTCACGAAAATATAATTGAATGAATTGACTGATTTACACTTAATTAATTGCAATCAAGAAGTTATGAGCATTGGGATAAGAGAATAAAAATAAGTCTCGATTATTATCCTGTGAATATAATCCGATTTGTGTTTCCATAATTAGCACAAGATAAATATCCAATTTTTTCTCGAAAAAAATGTTTCATTTAATTTCTTTAACAAGTTTTTCTTTAATTTGTATATTTCTCTCATCGATAGTTGGTGTTAATTGTCATCTTCTTATACACGAATCAAATGTTTGGATCCTGATTTTCAACAACAATTTATCAACTGCTTATTTCTTTTTCACTGATGACAAATTTTATCCAACTAATTATTCGAGTCAAGCTCTCAACACGGACCCTAACGCTGTTGGTGAACAAAGTAGCGTGACTCGTTTTGCTCCAGCTTATTCTCGCAGACCCAAGTACAACAACTACTACTTGCACACGAAGGGAAGCCATTTCTATTTCGCGCGTTATAACTATACAGAAAATGGTTTTCAACTAATAGCCGGACCATTTCCTCGAGGATACCTTGATACTCATCGATGGCTTTCAATTAATACTTCATTTTATGAAATTGCAATGATGTCAGGATCAATAGGGCAATTGTCAGGCTAGAAAGATATTTCTACGCCGAGCTTCATTCTATTTCATTATACGAACGTTATGGTTCGATTGACGAAGTTCGATTTGTTGATCCTTTTTCTATCATGAGCGCTAGATCTTCATTCTCTTTAATTGCATTCTCTTATAATCAATAAATTGTTGCAATTTATATACAAGATGAACAAAAGTATCATGAGATTCACGAAAATCTAATTGAACGAATTGACTTGCTAAAAGTTTTATTAATCAGAGTGAATCGAAGAGTAAAAGCTATTAGGTTCATTAACACTGGGTGAACATTTAAATAGATAGTCTTCTATACTTTTTATTAAATTCTAATTAATAATCTTTTTTACAGAGAAACTACACTCACGAATCAAACAATGAATCCATGTTTTAGCCCAACTAATATCCAAGTAGACTACGTTTCTGATGAACCAACATTTGATTTGGGCTTAGATCCATTTTTAGTCAATCTATCATTCTGGTAGCCATGAAGGTCTAAAATTGTCGATACCCAATTAGCAAAATTGTCCGCGTAGATTAAAAAAACTTCAAAAGTGAAGACTGATTTACACTAAATTAATTGCAATCAAGAAATTATGAGCATTGGGATGAGAGAATGAAAATAAGTCTCGATTATTATCCTGTGAATATAATCCTATTTGTGTTTCCATAATTAGAACAAGGTAATCATCCAATTGTTTGTATTTTCATCTCTCGAACAAAATGTTTCATGTAATTGCATTGACAAGTTTTTCGTTAATTTGTATATTTTTCTCAACGATAATTATTGTTGATTGTCATCTTCTAATCCACGAATCAAATGTTTGGATTCCGATTTTCAACGACAGTTTAACATCTCCTTTTTTCTTTTTCACTCATGACAAATTTTACACAACTAATTATTCGAGTCAATCCCTCAATACGGACTCTAACGCTGTTGGTGAACAAAGTAGCGCGACTCATTTTGCTCCAGCTTATTCTCGTAGACCCAGGTACAACAGGTACTACTTCTTGCACAGGAAGGGTGGCCATATCAATTTCGCGCAGTATAGCTATCGAGAAAATCGTTTTCAATTAATAGACGGACCTTTTTCTCAAGGATACCTTGATACTCATCGATGGCTTTCCACTAGATATTCACTTTATGAAATTGCAATAATGCAAGGATCCAATATAACGAATTCTTCAGCGGATATATTTTTTCTTATGAGATATTATGACAATGAGCATAGTACTTGGCAAAATTATCAACATTATCCCATTGAATCTACAGTTCGTTCGTTTGAAATTCTTCAGGTATTCGTGTTTGGTGGAGGACTGATCTCGTTTGGCCTTCTAACAATTGACCTCCTAAGGCCAGTCTACTTCATCTCTGCCCTAGTAGTCTTTTCGAACAATACGGAACGTGTCACTTTAGAAGCCTATGCCTACGCCGAACTTCATTCGATTTCATTATACGAACGTTATGGTTCGATTGACAAAGTCCGATTTGTTGATCCTTTTCCTTACATAATCGAAAGATCTCCGTTTTCTTTGATTTCATTCTCTTATAATCAAAATGGAAGAGATCATATTGCAGTGATTCCATTTAATCCAATGCTGAATGACTTTGACAGGTCAACTAACAGCTGCCAAAATACGACAACTTTTTGGAAGGCTGATCTTTTCAACGAATCTGGTCCAGAGTGCAACGCATTTTCCCTATCAAACAATAAAGAAGTATGGGCGATGCGTAGAGATTTCATAGGTTATCATCTTACAGATATTCTATCGGGAAATTGGACTCGAATAATCGATTTTGTTCCATTGGCTCTCGATGCGACTCCTGGTTATGTTTTCCTCGTTCTTTCCTCTGACAGTCGTTTTACTAGATATCGATATTCAGTTCACTTTGTCGATGAAAATTATTCTGTCCCGACCCACCTGAACGAAACTACTTTCACTCATCCTAATATTGTTGGTGCAAATGAAACAGTATCACAGATTTATTTCTATGGTTTTAATCATCCACGCGTCATAATCACACTAGGTCAATATTCTTACACTGATTCAATTATTTTGTGTCCATTCTTGCACAATTCATGTATTGATTGTTTTACAACGAAAGTTTATAATCCGAATGGTAATTTTCTTCGATATTGTCAATGGAGACGAGGAAGTTCAATAACATCGGGCGAATGTTCAATAGGTGATACAAATTCTGCTAATTCAAGGTAAGAATTTAAATAGTTTATTTATATCTTTCCTATTTATTTCTTTAATTCTAATCTATCTAATTTTAATCTATCATCTTTTTTACAGAGAAACTACAATCACGAATCAAACAGTGAATCCATGTTTTAGTCCAACTAATATCCAAATAGACTACACTCCTGATGAACCGACATTTGATTTGAACTTCGATCTCCTTGGTTTCCATTCAAGATATGCAACTATTTTCCCCTTGAACTTCACTTTAGTCGACATTATGACACTTTCATATATAGAAAATTGCACTGTTCTAATGTATAATCAGTCCAAGATTTATCTCAACTGTAATCGGGTAAATTCTGGTCAATATCAATTATCGATTCTTATGCTTAGACGACGAGGTCCATTTGAAACAGAAGAGATTGACAACTTGATCACTTATAGTGATCCTTTTACTATCAGTTCACCGAGACCTCCACCTTCTAACGGATCTTCATCTCTTTATATCCTGTTGATAATATTACGAGTTTTCTCCTTTATTATCTCAGTGATCGCTCTCGTTGTATTTCATTATTTACTATTTTTTTCGTTGTATTTTAAGACCAAAACCTCCGTCACATCAAAACATAACAAAACAACGAGAAAAGAGTCTTTTGAAACAAAGTCTAAAAGTCAGAAGATGCGTGTTGGATCATAAACACAAAAACTCGAAAGAAACATATATATCAGACGATTCCAACATCGAATGAATTAAATTATCAATGTTCAAAGGCTATACGGTATTTGATACAAGACTCAGTTCGTTTTCATTACGAATATTCCATTGTCTTAAATTACTCCGAGTTCGTCAATGAATTGGCACATACTAATCATTGATGGTGATTAAATTCACTCTTTGATTAGAACTTCGAAAACTATTAGTTTCTTATATTTTTCCTTTGTCTTTTTTTACGTATACAGTTATAACTGTAGTTATTTAGCTGTTAGTTATTGTAGAAATAAATAAGGAAACAATGAAGTTACAACATAAGTAACATTAAGTTTTTTAACCTTAGTTCATGTATTGATTGTTTTACAACCAAAATTCTTAATCCGAATGGTAATTTTCTTTGCTTTTGTCATCGGGTGAATATTCAATCGGATTCACAGATTCTACTGATTCAAGGAAATAATTTAAATAGTTTCTTCTCTTTCTTATTTATTCAATTTAATTCTAATGCATCATCATTCCATCAGAGAAACTACACTTACGAATCAAACGGTAAATCCATGTTACAGTCCAACTAAAGGGAACAGTGGAACTGGCAAACAATGTTGGTTTTTAGTAATTAATGAATTTTTTGCGATTTTTTCTATAAGTAATTACAACTTCAAGACATAAATCGCAGATTTTATTAAAAACTATTCTTAAAAATATACTATAAGATCAGTTTTCACGGTTTTTGCTTTGTTCTAAATTCGATATCTTCGTGATCATAAACGTTAGAACGATGAAAATACCGGTAATTATGGTTCAAAAAACGATCTTTCGAATGAAACAAGAATTAATTTTTACTTTGAGATCCTGTAACCTCACTCTGGATTATGTAATCAGTACGAAATTTTGACATTATATTATTATAATATTTGTAATATTTTCAACCAAAATGTCAGTTTTCATTTTCCTTCTACAATAATTTGGACAAAAAAAATCAAATCTACGGCGTTTCCACTATTTATTAGCAACCCTTTCATATTCACGTAGCCAACAATCCTGATGAACCGACATTTAATTTGGACTTTGTTCTATTTCTAGTCAATCTACACTTCTGGTAACCATAAAGGTCTATAATTGTCGATACCAATTGAATCGTGAGCAAATTGTACGCGAAAATTATACAAATCACCAAAAGTGAAGACTGATTTACACTTAACTAATTGCAATCAAGAAGTTATGAGCATTAGGATAAGAGAATGAAAATAAGTCTCGATTATTATCCAGTGAATATAATCCTAATTGTGTTTCCATAATTAGAACAAGATAAATATCCAATTGTTTGTATTTTCATCTCTTGGACAAAATGTTTCATTTATTTTCATTGACAAGTTTTTCTTTAATTTGTATATTTTTCTCATCGATAATTATTGTTGATTGTCATCTTCTAATCCACGAATCGAATGTTTGGATTCCGATTTTCAACAACAGTTACCGAGCTCCTTATTTCTTTTTCACTGCTGACAAATTTTACACAACTAATCATTCGAATCAAGTTCTCAACACGGACTCTAACGCCGTTGGTGAACAAAGTAGCGTGACTCGTTTTGCTCCAGCTTATTCTCGTAGACCCAATTACGACAACTACTACTTCTTGCACAGAAAGGGCGGCCATATCAATTACGCGTTTTATAACTATACAGAAAATGGTTTTCAACTTAATGCCGAATTCAGTCAACAAATGTACCTTGGTGCTCATCGCTGGCTTTCCATTAATGACTCATTTTACGAATTTGCAATAGTGGCAGGACTCAATATAACGAATTCTGAAGCGCATATATACTCTATTGCCAGATCTTTCAGTGAATCTATTTTTTTGGGATATTATAGCCGTACTCCCATTGAACCTACGGTGCGCTCGTTTGAAATTCTTCAAGTATTCAAGTTTCGGGAGAAGATCTATTCGTTCGGCCTTCTAACAATTGACCTCTTAATGCCAGCCTACTTCATCTCTCAACTATCAATCATTTCGTACAATGGACTGGATTCTGTGTCCATATGTGTCCAGTCCTATCTTCATTTGATTTCATTATATGATCGTTATGGTCCAATTGAAAAAGTTCGATTTGTTGATTCTTTTTCTATCATGAGCAACGGATCTTCATTCTCTTTGATTGCGTTCTCTTATAATCGAAATGAAAGCCATCATATTGCAGTGATTCCATTTAATCTGATGCTGGATGACTTTGAAAGGCCAATTAACGGCTGCCAAACTACGAGAACTTTTTGGCAGGCTGATCTGTTCAGCGAATCTGGTCCAGAGTGTAACTCTTATCTCGGCCCAGATCGCTGTACAATGTGGTCAAAACGTAGAGACTTTAGAGGTTATCATCTCACAGGTATTCTATCGGGGGACTGGACTCGAATAGTTGATTTTGTTCCACTGGCTCTCGATGCGACTCCAGGTTATATTTTCCTCGTTCTTTCATCTAACAGTAATTTTACTAGATATCGATATTCGATTCACTTTGTCGCTGAAAATTATTCTGTCCCGACCCACCTGAACGAAACTACTTTCACTCATCCTAATATCCAAAATGCAGATCGAACAATTTCACAAATTTATTACTATGGTTTTACTCATCCACGTGTGATAATTACACTTGATCAGTATTCTTACTCTGAATCGATTAATTTGTGTCCATTTCTGAACAATTCATGTATTGATTGTTTTACAACCAAAGTTTATAATCCGAATGGTAATTTTCTTCGATATTGTCAATGGAGACGAGGAAGTTCATTAACATCGGGCGAATGCTCAATCGGTGATACAAATTCTGCTAATTCAAGGTAAGAATTTAAATAGTTTCTTCTCATTCTTTTTTGTTTTATTCAGATTTATCATCTTTTTTACAGAGAAACTACACTCACGAATCAAACAGTAAATCCATGTTTCAGTCTAACTAATATCCAAGTTGACTACTCTTCTGATGAGCCGACATTTGATTTGAACTTCGATCTCCTTGGTTTCCATTCAAGATATGCAGATATTTTTCCCTTGACCTTCACTTTAATCGACATTACAACACTTTCATTCATAGAAAATTGTACTGTTATGAGTTATAATCAGTCCAAGATTTATCTCAACTGCAATTGGGTGAATTCTGGTCAATATCAACTATCGATTCTTATGCTTAGACGACGAGGTCCATTTGAAACAGGAGACATTGACAACTTGATCACTTATAGTGATCCTTTCACCATCGGTACACCTTCACGTGAAGGCATGTTGATAATATTACTAGTTATCGCCTTTATTATCTCTATGATTGCATTCGTTGTATTTTATACTCGTCGCACTGAGGTCAGAAAAGTCCCGAACACAATGGTCGAGACAAAAAATCTTCCACCCAAAGGCTCGCTACCTGATATAAGAAGCAAACATAAATCGTCGTTAGATCTTAAATCTAAATCAGTAGTAATTCCAACAGTCCATCTCAAATCTAAATCAGTACCAATTTTGAAAGTACATTCCCGTGAATTGATCAGCAAAAAAACAACATCAATTGATCCACAAGTCCCCAAGAAAAGCCCTTCAAAATCCAAGACCATCGCAACACCCAAACAGACAAAAAGAACAAGAAATGAATCTCTTCAATCAAAAGCTAAACGATAAAAGGTCCATTTTCAATTTCCAGTGGAGATCTGATTTGCTTTAGAAAATCTAAGTTAAAGCCATTACAGCGATTCTCAGTAACTTTCGCCGAGCTCTCAACTTATAAATAATAGTCAATTCGCTTTTACATTGAGTAGAAAATTAAACTTTTTGATTATAATTCATTTTTTAATTGTTTCTTTAAATTTTTACTGAATAATTTCTCAAATTTTTATGTGATTATTGTTGAGTTTTGATCAATTCTTGGATACGATTTACATCTGAAAATGACAAAAAGATCTAAGAAAAGAAGAATCAAATTCGAAAACTGATCAAGTCTCGAGTAATAAAAATTTGAAAACAATTTTCCTCGAAAGAAACACGTTCAGAAATTAGACTATCGGGTGAATATTTAATCGGATGCATCATCATTCCAATAGAGAAATTAGGCCAACAGGTCATAATGAAAATCCATGTTTCAATCCAACTAATATCCAATCAAACTGCACTCCTGATGAACAGAAATTCGATTTGGACTTATGTCAATGGAACTAGTAGTGTGACAATTAAGCTTCATCATTACATTAAATTCACAGTTCGCTCGTTTAAAATTCTTCAAGTCAATTCTTCTTTCTACTCGTAGAAATATCTGTCTGACATAACTTTTGAATTCAATTTCTGTTAGCTGACTTATCTAACATCTTAATTGTTTCCTTCTATGATATTATCCTGTAACTTAATTAACTAAAAATTAACACATTTGACCAATTACGATGTCTACTGTTAATAAAGATGATTAAAATTAACAAAAACTTTACTTTCGCAAAGTGTGATCAATAAATTGTTACAATTTATATTCAGAATGAACAAACAAACTCATGAGTTAATCATCATCTTTGAAAAGTTAATTATTAATACAATTTGCTCAAACAGTTAACTGACTTGTTCTGATGAATTAATAATTATACATGAAATGATAATTTTTGTTTTACCGTTATTTATAATAGATTTGATTGTCGATGGTGTTGATTTAATCCATTTGTTTAATCTACATGAATACAAGGTCTTGATGAGTCAAGAAATTAACAATTAGTATCGTGAATTGATTAAGTTAATCATTTGATAGCCTTGAGATAATTTTCTAGAAAACCAAATTGCAGTTGATTTTTTCACGAAAATATAATTGAATGAATTGACTGATTTACACTTAATTAATTGCAATCAAGAAGTTATGAGCATTGGGATAAGAGAATAAAAATAAGTCTCGATTATTATCCTATGAATATAATCCTTTTGTGTTTCCATAATTAGCACAAGATAAATATCCAATTTTTTCTCGAAAAAAATGTTTCATTTAATTTCTTTAACTCTTCTCCAGCTTATTCTCGCAGACCCAAGTACAACAACTACTACTTCTTGCACAGGAAGGGAAGCCATTTCTATTTCGCGCGTTATAACTATACAGAAAATGGTTTTCAACTAATAGCCGGACCTTTTTCTCTAGGATACCATAATCACTATCGATGGATTTCCATTAATGATTCATTTTATGAAATCGCAATGTTTTCAGGATCCAATATAACGAATTCTCAAGCGGGTATATTTTCTTTTGTTAGACCTATTGCCGGTGGATATAGTTATTGGGCAAGTTTCTTTCATTATAATATTGAATCCACAGTTCGCTCGTTTAAAATTCTTGAGGTATTCAAGTTTCGGGAAAAGATCTACTCGTTTGGCCTTCTAACAATTGACCTCTAAAGGCCAGTCTACTTCATCTCTCAACTATCAATCTTTCCCTACAATACGAGACGCAACGGCTATTTCTACGTCGAACTTGATTCGATTTCATTATATGAACGTTATGGTTCGATTGAAAAAGTTCGATTTGTTGATTCTTTTTCTAACATGAGCGATGGATCCTCAATCTCTTTTCTTGCAGTATCTTATTCTCACAACCAAAGAGATCATATTGCAGTGTTTCCATTTTATTCGATAATCAATGACTTTAGAAGGTCAACTAACAGTTGTGCAAATACGACAACTTTTTGGAAGACTGATCTGTTCAACGAATCTGGTCCAGAGTGCAACGTATGTTTCCAATCAAGCAGTTTATGGAGAATATTTGTAATATTTTCAACCAAAAAGTCAGTTTTCATTTCTACAATTTGAGCAAAAAAAATCAAATCTACGGCGTTTCCACTATTTATTAGCAACCCTTTCATATTCACGTAGCCAACAATACTGATGAACCGACATTTAATTTGGACTTTGTTCTATTTCTAGTCAATCAACACTTCTGGTAGCTATGAAGGTCTATAATTGTCGATACCAATTGAATCGTGAGCAAATTGTACGCGAAAATTATACAAATCACCAAAAGTGAAGACTGATTTACACTTAACTAAATGCAATCAAGAAATTATGAGCATTAGGTTAAGAGAATGAAAATAAGTCTCGATTATTATCCAGTGAATATAATCCTAATTGTGTTTCCATAATTAGAACAAGATAAATATCCAATTGTTTGTATTTTCATCTCTTGGACAAAATGTTTTATTTATTTTCATTGACAAGTTTTTCTTTAATTTGTATATTTTTCTCATCGATAATTATTGTTGATTGTCATCTTCTAATCCACGAATCGAATGTTTGGATTCCAATTTTCAACAACAATTTATCAACTGCTTATTTCTTTTTCACTGATGACAAATTTTACACAACTAATTATTCGAGTCAAGCTCTCAACACGGACCCTAACGCAGTTGGTGAACAAAGTAGCGTGACTCGTTTTGCTCCAGCTTATTCTCGTAGACCCAATTACGACAACTACTACTTCTTGCACAGGAAGGGAGCCCATGTCTATTTCGCGCGTTATAACTATACAGAAAATGGTTTTCAACTAATAGCCGGACCTTTTCCTCGAGGAAACCTTAATGTTCATCGATGGCTTTCAATTAATGATTCATTTTATGAAATTGCGATGTTTTCAGGATCCAATATAACAAATTCTCGCGTAACGAGTATATTTTTTCTTATGAGATCTTATGACAATGGAAATAGTCCTCGGGGTACGCAGCAAAATGGCTATGTTGAATCCAGAGTTCGCTCGTTTAAAATTCTTGAGGTATTCAAGTTTCGTGAAAAGATTTACTCGTTCGGGCTCCTGACAATTGACCGTCTAAGGCCAGTTTACTTCATCTCTCAGCTTTCAGTCTTTTCGATCAATAGGGTGAATGTCGGGTTAGAAAGATATTTCTACAGCGAACTTCATTCGATTTCATTATATGAACGTTATGGTTCGATTGAAAAAGTTCGATTTGTTGATTCTTTTTCTATCATGAGTGACGGATCTTCATTCTCTTTGATTGCATTCTCTTATAATCGAAATGAAAGAGATCATATTGCAGTGATTCCATTTAATTCGATGCTAAATGACTTCGAAAGACCAACTAATGGTTGTCGAACTGCGAGAACTTTTTGGAAGGCTGATCTGTTCAGCGAATCTGGTCCATATTGTAACTCTTTTACCAGTTTCATATGGGCGAGACGTAGAGATTTCAGAGGTTATCATCTTAACGATATTCTAACAGGTAATTGGACTCGAATCATCGATTTCATTCCATTGGCTCTCGATGTGACTCCAGGTTATGTTTTCCTCGTTCTTTCCTCTGACAGTAATTTTACCAGATATCGATATTCAATGCACTTTGTCAATGCAACTTATTATGTCTTTCCCCACCTGAACGAGACTACTTTCACTCATCCTAATATCGTTAATGCAAATCAAACAATTTCACAAATTTATTACTATGGTTTTACTCATCCACGCGTGATAATTTCGCTTAATCAGTATTCTTACTTTGATTCAATTGTTTTGTGTCCATTTCTGAACAATTCATGTATTGATTGTTTTACAACGAAAGTTTATAATCCGAATGGTAATTTTCTTCGATATTGTCAATGGAGACGAGGAAGTTCATTAACATCGGGCGAATGTTCAATCGGTGATACAAATTCTGCTAATTCAAGGTAAGAATTTAAATAGTTTATTTATATATATTTCTTATTTATTCAATTTAATTATAATCTATCATCTTTTTCACAGAGAAATTACACTCACGAATCAAACAGTAAATCCATGTTTCAGTCCAACTAATATCCAAATAGACTACACTCCTGATAAATCGACATTTGATTTGAACTTCGATCTCCTTGGTTTCCATTCAAGATATGAAGATATTTTTCCCTTGAACTTCACGTTAGTCGACATTACAACACTTTCATTCATAGAAAATTGTACTGTTGTGAGTTATAATCAGTCCAAGATTTATCTCAACTGCAATTGGGTGAATTCTGGTCAATATCAATTATCGATTCTTATGCTCAGACGACGAGGTCCATTTGAAACAGAAGACATTGATAACTTGATCACTTTTAGTGATCCTTTCACCATCAGTTCACCGAGACCTCCATCTTCTCATGGATCTTCATTTTTTTATATTCTGTTTATTATACTACGAGTTTGCATCTTTTTTATCTCTGTGATTGTGATCGTTGTATTTCATTATGCATTAGTTTTTTCGTTGTATTTTCAAAACAAAAACCATCGCAAAAGACAGAAAATTGTGTCACTTGCAACGAAATCAAAAAGCTAAAAGATTTGTTGTTAATCATAAATTCAAAAATCCGAAACAAAAAATCAATTTAAAAAGCAGAATTGTCGTCTCAAGTTAAAAATCGAAATCGACGATCCATTATTTCAATAGAGCCTCTTTGGACATTATCACTCGCTATGAGGTCGTTAGTTTATTATATTAATATATAAAAAAAGTAATTTTCACTCATCGAGAAGAATATAAGTTTAACGAGAAAAATTCTTTGATTATGACTTTTTACTCATCCACGAGCCATAATTACAATCGAATTTCATTTTTACTATGAATCAATCATTTTGTGTCCATTTCTGAACAATTCATGTATTGATTGTTTTACAACCAAAGTTTATAATTCAAATGGTAATTTTCTTCGATATTGTCAATGGAGACGAGGAAGTTCATTATCATCGGGTGAATGTTCAATCGGTGATACAAATTCTTCTACTTCAAGGTGATGATTTAATTAGTCTCTTCTCTTACTGATTTCTAAACTAATTATAATCTATACTCATTTCAACAGAGATTCTAGATCCACACGTCACATATTAAATCCATGTTTCAGCCCAACAAGCATTCACGTGAACTACAGTCTGGATGCATTGACCTTCAATTTGAACTTTGATCTTCTCGGTTTCCATTCAAGATGTTGAAGCAAATGCTTATCGATGTTGATTAATTAATTAATTATTATTAATCAATTATTATTATTTAAATACAAGTCGAGTTAATCAAAAGTAAACAAAATTTTAAGCTGAGTTACAGAGAAAGAGAAATGATTAATATCGTCTTTCTTTTCTGATTATTAATTGTCCATTTAACTAATTTACTAATTGTTAACTTGATTGTACAATCGAGGATATGACAATTAATTATAAATTTAATTGTTGTTTTTCTACTATTTAATCTTAAATCATATTTAATTTAATTTAATTACAATAAAGTTTCTGATTCGTAATGATCAATCCATTCAACAATCTTTATTTACATCACCAGATATTTTCAGAAGTCCCCAAGAAAAACCCTTCAAAAACCAAGACCATCGCAGCACCCAAACAGACAAAAAGAACAAAAAATGAATCTCTTGAATCAAAAGCTAAACGATAAAAGGTCCGTTGTGATTTGCTTTAGAAAAGTCCCGGTCTCAATGGTCGAGGCAAAAAATCTTCCATCCAAAAGCTCACTACCTGATATAAGGAACAAACATAAATCGTCGTTAGATCTTAAATCTAAATCAGTAGTAATTCCAACAGTCCATCTCAAATCTAAATCAGTACCATTTTTGAATGTGCGTTCCCGTGAATTGGTCAGCAAAAAAAGCAAATCAATTGATCCAAAAGTCCCCAAGAAAAACCCTTCAAAAACTAAGACCATTGCAACACCCAAAAGACAAAAAGAACAAGAAATGAATCTCTTCAATCAAAAGCTAAACATTTAAAGACCCGCTTTTGATTTCCATTGAAGATCTGCCTCTTGTTAGTCCAAGTTTTACTCCAGCCAACTCTACGATCGATGTTTCACAAGTTCACAAGATGAACAAACAAACTCATGGATTACCCAATCAACATGGAAATTTTTATTGACACAAAAAGACAGTGAATTTACTCTCAATTGAGTCATAAATTGAGTCTGTTGAGTAAATTCACTTCACGAGTTGTTTTCGGACTAATTATTGACTAATTTCTAGATAATTTTAGAATCCAGAAACTTAGATTCAGAGCAACTAGAATCTTATTATTGGTATTAAAAGTTTCAACAAGATAATTTCGATTTAATTTTTTTAATCTTCTACCATGAAGTGTAACGTAAATACAAAACAATTTCAATTGGAATAAGAATCTGAATGAGTGGAAACTTCATAAAGACTTAGAAAAATAGATATTCAATTTCCGAGGTTTGGAAAAGCAATTTGATATAAAAATCTTGACATTGGTAACAATTTGTAAGAAAAAATAAATATGATTGAAGTAATTGAGGACATTGATAAGATTCTTGTAGCATGAATCAATAATAACAAAGGGATATTCATATGAGATGACACACTAATAAAAAGATGATATTCACAAAAAAGCAGATTATAAATTGAAGTGAGGTGAGATAAGATAGAAAAGATTTGAGATTCACTGAAAGATTATTTGAGATTCTTTGATGGATGATTAGAGATTCTTTGGTAAGTTTTTTTTGAGATTCATCGAAAAGTGAATCAAGATTCAAGGAATATTGATTGTAGACTGAGGTATCAATTGGAATAGCGTTTGTCTAGTGATTCTTGATACTTGAATGGCGATAATTGATTCATTAGAAAAGTTCCATGTCCTCGTAGTCTTGATCAAAATCCATTCTTTCGTCAGTGAAATGTTTGAATTTTTTACTGGACTTGTAAACATTGAACCAGATTATTTGTTTTCCGTCAATTTCATAACGATTCTTGCTTTTTGACACACGATAAGAACTTGGGAATCCAATGATTCGCCTGAGAGAATCTTTCTTCATATTTTCTTTTTTCGAAAAAAATTCTAAAACTAAAGAAAGAAAAAACAAAACAATAAGCTTAAAAGCTAAACACACAAATCAAACTCTTTAGGAAAAACTTACCTGTTGAAATTAATTGATTCATTTTGATAGAAAATGATCTATTATTAAATGTTGAATATCTAATAAATTGATTGATTTGATTTGAAAAATGTGATCACAATTAACACAAAATTTAAAAATAAAAGGTTTGATTAACAAATTTTCTTTTGTTGATTTTCTGAAATTTGGCTTTTTTCCTGGAAAATGAGATTCACTTGTAGTCTTTGAAGAAACTGGAGATTTGTTTTATTTAATAGATGAAATTAGGATTCACGGTGATTCTTGGACACTTGTTGATCACTCGAAATTAAAAAAATAACAGAAAAAGATGATTAAACAATTAAGAAAAATATTAATCACTGAGAGCAAGAATCTGATGTGAAGCGTTCAGAAATTCACAAGAAATGGCCTGACTAGGTAATCTTTGTGGTACTTGTGATGAAAATCGGTGCTTTTTATCAATAAGCTTTTTTTCACTTGTTCGTCAAGTTTCACCAGCTGTTTTTCAGCTTTTTCCAAATTTCTTTCGGTTTCAAAAATATGATCCAAATAAAACAAGAAATTTCCTGTGATTCCTTTGAATTCGAACTTGATTTTTTTCACTTTGAATTCTTTGCAAATTAAGTATATTTGCTGTTGGCATCGGACAATATTAATAATTGAGAAATATTTTCCATCTTTCTCAACAAGAGAATCATCTCGTTTCTTGTCTTGACAATAGCGATGGGTTGAAAATCTGATGCTTTTAAATGAAACAGTTTTGATGAAAAATAAAGAAGAACTTGTTATTGTTTGATCGATTTTAGTTCTAGCTATTAGTAGAGTTTCATCGCGTATATCTTCATGAATTGAATCATCTTTCAAGTAGATTGGAACGCTTTCATGATTATGTTGCTTTGAAAAAAGACCAAAAACTTTTTTTTCTTTTTCATTGAGATTCCAATTCGAAAGATCTTTTTCCACTGTTTCGAAATACTTGAAGTCATTGATGAAGATTCTAACTAGAGAAGGTGCAATGTTTGATGAACGGTGAACTTTTTCTTTGAGGATTCCCATGTAATTTTCTAGTGGGTAAGAAGAGACATCAACTGCAGGTCCAAGGTTAACCAAAGAACTAGGAAGATGAGATAGAATATGCAAATTATAACTTTGAAAACCTTTCCCATAGTGGAGCTCAATGAATACTTGAAACTCTTTTATTAAATTTTTGATTTCTAGAATCATAGATTCATCAACAGGTCCAGAGTGAGCCAAGTAATAGATTCTAATCAGGCAGATAATATGATTGTAGAATTTTGGCTTCATTAATCCTTTGATCACCGGGAAAAAGTAGTACACCAAGAAACTATCAAATTCGGCACTTTTCCAGTAAGCTAAATTGTCTAAGCTACGAGGTGGTCGAGCAAATTCCGACGGAACAGAGATTTTGCAAATTCTAGACGAAAGTTCATCTCGGAAAAAGGTTTTACCAATGTCTTTTTCTAGAAAATTTACACTTTCATTTCCAAACCATCCACGTGAAATTAATCCTCGAAAAACCCCTAACACTAGACAATGCATTGTCTCAACGCTGATTCCAGAAACCATATCGAAAGAGTTTAGTTCAACCAATGGTGAAACACCAACAAGTCCTTTGAATCTTGGAATCATAGATTCAACCGGAAGAATATTCGATTCATTATTACAATGTTTTGCGAATCTAAGAAAATCGGAATGTTTTCTTTCCAATGTGTTTATATCAAAATTATTAGGGAAAACTCTTGCTCGATTATCCGATTCGGCTGTGACGAGACACCAATCACAACCATTGAAATGGTTATATTGACGTACGTTTCTTAAATAAGCTCTCATCGGAGCATCGGCTACCATTCCAATCAAATGAAAAGTCGCTTGGTGAAAAACTTCATCTTTATCTTTCCAAATAACTGGTTCAACTTCTAAGATTTTCAGCTCTTCGACGATCGGTGAAAGAAAATTTCTGACGCTTGGCTTATTTTTTCCAACAAACAAGTTAACAAGAAAAAAGTGAGATTTCCTGATTCTTGGAATCAGTTCATTCAAAGAAACGAAGACGGGAAAAATCTTGATTGATGATGAGTTTCCAGCTTGTACCTCATCTGCATGTAGAGTTAAAGTTAGTCGCCTGATTCGAGAATCATTTAATCTTGCATTCATTTCAGATTTCACCTTTTTCGCCTGAAGGCTTTGACTGATATCTCGAATTAAATCATCTTCATCATATGAGCTCCAATGGTCTTTAAGTAATGATGGAAGATGAGTTTCAAGCTGGCTCTTTAGACTGATGTGCAAAAAATATTTTTCATTTTCAATTTTAGCTTTTACACATTCACCATTGCAATTGTATTCACCAAATGATTTCGGTTCACCTGAAAAAGGGCCATGATTGTGACCATTTTCACATATCAAAAAACAGTTTACTGGATTCTCCTTTGACTTTCTATCCCAGAAATATCTCATATTAGGAAGTTGAAGTGGATTCCTAGAAAATCTCAGATTCATGGTATTGAATAGATTCACAACACTTTCAGCTTGAGTAAGATTCAATCCAACTCGAGCCATTAGAGCGAACATAAAAGCTTCACTATATTCCTTGAATGTAGGTGATTTTTTATTCGGTTGAAAAACAAAGGTGAAATCACTAGAATCATTGCTTTCGCTTTCACTTTCACTTTCGCACGAAATATTAGAGTTTTCCATTGAGATTGTAAGAAAATTCGCTTCATTTTCATCACTTTCATTTTCACGTTGATTCGAAATCTCAGGAATAGAATTAAGGTAATCCAGTTGATTATTCATTCTTCTTTGTTTCAAATGTCGATAAATTGTTCGAGTTGAGAAAATATTCTTATCCGCCATTTTGTAAACAAAGGAGATTTTATTTGTTTAAAGTTGAGTCTCAATGAGAAATCACAAAACAAAGATAATAACAATTGAATCTTAAAAACAAATAGAAATCAAATTAAACGATTTAAACAACTAATTAAGAAAATTAATTAATAAATCAATTAAATTTGTTCTTTTAATCTTTTGAACAAACAACTGAAGGTCAAAAAGAGAATAGAATTTTAAATAAAAGAGAATAGAATTTACATTAAATTCTATTCTTTTTTATTTGTTCTTTTCTGTAACCATGGAAACTGGTTTTCTTATCTTAGTGATAAGCTTATCTCTTTTAAAGAGCCATAATTGAAATCTAATCAATTTCGGAAGTCATTTTTTAATCACATTTTATTTCAATCACAACGTGTTTCTTTTTATAAATTGATTG